TTTTGTCCACGAAAAATCTCTCATAATTTTGCGCGTTCTCTAGTTTTTCTCTAATGCCGACGGCAATTAGACAAAAAGAGGGAACATACAAAATTATGAGAGCTTTTTTCGTGGACAAGAATTCAAGGTTTTCGTCAGAACTACGAATGAAAAGTATATTCATCAAGGGTTATATACTAGTAGAAAAACTTTAATTAAACCTATATTTTTAAATTTGTAAGTGTAGCATGACAAGTAGGTCTAAAAAAGAGCTTGGAACACAATGCCAATTCTGCAAAATTGGCGGAAACTTCAAATATTTTAATTTTAAGACTGAACAGCGTGAGCTAAAATTTTATATGAGTACTATCAGTGGTACAAAGAATTTATATAAAAACTTTGAGCTGATTTTGAATGGGGCAGGTTGGGTACTTTCTTTGTAAGTACCCTAGAATTTATGTGATTTATATGACATATAAAACAATATTTATGTTTCTTTTAATAAATTTTGTACAAAACAAACCTTTGTAATGTCTTTCAGGCTTTAATTAATTGTTTGATTTATTGTTTTCAATTTTCAATTTATTTCAAAAATAGTTTTTATTTGTTACTTTTTAACAAAAATTAGACCTGGAGGCTTAAATGTTACCTTTATTACCTAAAAATTCAACTTATTTTTTAATAATTTTAATTTAACTTTAGTTTAGTTTATATCAGAGTTTTTCACAATTGTTTTTTCTTCATCTGAACGTTTACTACTTTACAATGTTTATATTGTAGTAGACTAAGACATGATATTCACATTGTATTCTAAACCATAGTCTCATCTTGATCCTGCAAAGATCGTAAAATTGGCGCCATTCCAAGTCATTAACAGTTTGAGTTTTGATTTATGAACACGTTCGGAACACATTGTGTCATAAAACAGAACATTAACGGCGTAGCCGACGTGAAGAAGCCCAGATGTCTTGTAGGTAGGATTAAGCTAACGTGAGGCTTCCAGATGGGTGACACTAGTAAAAAAAGGTTGGCATAGTGTCTGGCTAGTCTTGGTTTGAAGAAATTTAATTTTAGTTGTATCTGGCTGAGTTTTAGCACTGTTTTGAAGCACCCCCCCCCCTTAAATTCCTCTTTAAAGCCTTGTATAATATTTTTTGTACTTTTCCAGGGCCTTTCTTCACGCTACTGTCTCGTTTTCATAAATAATCGTTGGCCCAGAAAGACATCTCAAAGAATCTCCGTGTTTGCACAGCGCTTGCGAGACGGGAACGTCCCCCCCCTTGTCTTACCCCCACCCCGACCCGGCCGTTCCTTTGATCGCAAGAACGATGGGGCCTTGCGTTCGTTTGGCCAAGTTTTTGGTCATTCCCGGTGCCAGTTCATAGGTTTTTTTTCCGTCGGTCATTCCTCGCTGTGATAGCATCGATCCATCACCCCCCCCCCATAGTTAATCGTACATCATTCATCTATTATTTGGGTGTCGGAGTCAATTGAGTGTTGGAAACACTTTGGGTTTTGAATTGTCGTACTCATGGTTGGAAGGGTGGGTTGGGTCAAACGTTTTTGTGAAAACTCAAAAAAATTTTTTAAAAATTTCACTTTTATAAATATAAAAATGCTTTTTTAAACTTCACTATTTTTAAAAATTTAAATTTTGATACCTCAAGGCTTATAAACTCAAAATTCCAAAAAAATCCAAATTTAGCAAAAGAATAGATTGGGATACGTCGCGGAACGCTGGGGAACGGCCATTAGACGAGAGTAAATAATTTGTGTTTCACAAAGTAATTGTATTTGTATTGACGCGGTTTAAACCAGCCCTAAAGTACTTTTTAAACATTCTTTTTTCTGTTCATTTAATCTGGTTTCGAGCGATCTTTCACAGTATCACTATTCTCGCTGTTTTATGCTATTTTGTTGTAGTATGCATTATGTTATGACACTTTTATTGTTTTACTGGTTACTTATGACAATATGCTTTACATTGACTATGAAAAACATTATCTTTGTAACATTTTTAAGCTTACTTTTTAACTTTTTAAAACTAGTAGTAGCTGTTTTTTGTGTCTTTTTATACTCTTATCCCTTTTATATTGTTGCAGTCGTAAGCCCATTACAAGCAACATACCAATGTCTGTCGCCCTCCCATTGTATGCCTCCCTTTGTCGATTTAAACGTTTTTAAGTGCTGGACTTGACCCCTTGCACTTTTCCGCCTCTCTGTCTCTTATCGTCCCTCAGGGCATATTATCAATAGAAGCCAGTCGTTTTTTGTCCATCTTTTCGTATGTAGCCAGACTTTTTTGTAGCCATGTGTAGACGATTCCAATCTTTTTTGTAGCTCTGTGTAGACGATTCGGCGGCCGATCTTTGGACCGGATTCTCATAATTCGATTAATTTCAAAGGCTTTTTATTTTTAAAATGGCTTGAAATCTGTTTGAAATTTTTGGATTTATTTTGGGAAATCTTGTCGACTATTTAGTCGTACAGCGTCTTTTTCAAAACTAGGCTTTAAACTTGTCTTTGAACGTGAAAAATGAAAGTTTGAAAAAATTTTGAAAAATTATGGAAATTTGGCAAAAAATTCAAATTTTCATGTTTAAAATTGCGAAGTAAAATCTCTAGTTTTTGATAGTTATTAGGCTTGATATGAACGTGCTAATTTTATAAATTCATTCAAATTTGACTATGTCTAGCTACTTTTGGTAAATTTTAAGATTTTAACCCTGTCCTTAACAGCCACCCCTTAAATTCAAAAAAATGTTTTACATTTTCACCCTGCTTCTACTTTTTTACTATTCTCCTTCCCTGCCTTAACCCCACCCAAAAACCCCCTCTTCTCCTGCCCCAACCTCACCCAAAAAGCGGAAATCGGCGTGTGCATATTATTGTTTATTTTCCGGGCGCCGTCTGCATTTACATAGTTGAACTGTCAACTCAATTACCTGTGCATTGTTGACCAACTTCCGGCCGCCCCTCCTCCTTCCTCTTTGACCCTTTACTCTCTTTCTCTTAACCTAAAAACCCTTTCGTTTATACCTAAACATAAAAAACCATTTTTTCTTACCTGAATCGAAAAACCACCCTCTCTTATTTGTTTTTTTACCACCCTTTCTCTGTCCCTTTCTTTACCCTTCCCCTCCTTTTCATACCTTCCCTCTTTTCTTCCACCCCCCCCCCTCCTCACCCCCTCCCCCTCCTCACCCCCTCCCCCCTCCTCCCGCCTTTACTCGAGAAAAAAGTTGCGAGTGTTGCTAACAAGCCCTTTCTAATTGAAAAAAGGTTCGAATTTCTTTTGTTCTCTTCACTTTTGCACCTCCAGGAGTGACCAGTCCAAGGGATCAGTCACCTGTCATAAATCTGCCGTTGTTCTTCAAATTCGATTCAAATCTCGGTTTTTTGGTGGGGAAGCGTTTTTTGTGTTCAAAAAGTTTTTTTTTAGTTGGGTGGAGACATTTTTTGGTCAAATAATGAAATTTTTTCATGGTTTTTTTGGTCGATTAGGGATATATTTTTTTAATTTTTTGGTCGAATAAACCCACTTTTTTATTTTTCTGGTCGAATCGTTGCCTGTCCTTGATCGCCCAACTTTGTTTTCATAAAAGGGCGTTCCAGATGTTTGGCCGTGAAGGTGGCAACGGGCAGAGAGAGCGGAGGTACCTCCTATTCAATATCCATATTTATGCGGTTTTCGCGATTTTTCACCGGTTTTTCTTAGATTTTTGGGTTTTTAAGGATTTTTCTGGATTTTTAGGGTTCTTAAAGGTGATTTATTGAATATTATTTTTATGTTTGTGCGGTTTTTTTATGATTTATTTGAATTTTTAGGGGTTTTAAAGATGGTATAATTTTTAGAATGGGAAATTAAGGGATTTTTGACTTTTTTTGATTGAAATCTTATTGGTTTTTTTTAAATTGAATTTTTAATAAAGATATTGTAGAATAGATTGAAATTTACGTATTTTAAAAGGATTTTTTATTTTTTAAATTAGCAAAATTTTAAAAAATCAAAATTTTTTACTTTTAAAAAATTTTTCGTTTTTAATTTCATTTTTTCCCCATTTCAATTACAGCCCTATTCCAACACAAAAACTAATCCAAAAACTCCCCATAACATTTTACTTTACTGTTACAAATGGTATTCCGGTAGTTAAACGGGTTTAATATATGTTTGATGAATGACCGGCTTTGATTTATTTTTTCGAAATTTTACACTTTTTTCATTATTGTAGTAAAGCGTTCGATCGAGAGTTCTCAACCGAGTTTTTCCGAGATTTCGTGGGATTACGAGAGATCTAACCTAATTTAATTAGGTATACCGATATTTGTTCGAAGAGTTTTGTAAATATTCCAAATTTGTTTGTTTTTGGGGGTTTAAATTTTATTTTTCTTGTTTTAGTTTTGTTATTATAGGTATAAAATCTATATTTAGCCTTCAAAATGTTTTTTATGATGTTCTGCTAATTTATTTTTGTTTTACAATTTTTAAAAAATTTTTGTTTTTAAATTTCCGCCAATTTTTTTTAAAACTTTAATTTCTAAAAATGATTAAAAATCTTTTTTTTCATGTTTTGAGGCTAGTGATTAATCATATTTTGAGAAAGAGTTGTCAGAAAAAGGCTCTTAATCACCTGCAACACAATGCCAAAATGGCGGGAAAGCAAACGAATTTTTTAAATTTAAAAAGGCTTTTTTAAATTAGGGATTTCTTGCAATTTTTATTACAAAAATATTATTTTTAATTATTTTAATTAATTATTAGTCTCACGTTTTGGAGTTCAAACTCATTTTTCGAAATTTCCACTTTAATTTTTTTATTTTTTTTGTGATTTATGGCATTTTATATGGTTTTATTTAGTATTTTTGTAAAGAAACGTATTTTACACATAACGTAATCCGTGCTATTTAAATAAAATTTAACTTATCTTAAACCACATTTTTATCAATATTGCTCATCTTTTTCTTTTTCAGACCAGTTTCGAACAATGGGGCAACAAAAAAGGTACTAAAAGCACTAAAAGATGCCGCGACTACGACGTGATCGTCGCCAAACCGAAGATCCGACCTTAACCTACCCAAAAGATCAGCCTTGTTGTTCGACCGAAGCCAACGAACGACTCATCCACGGTGAAGTAGATGCTTCAGAATCTTCGGAGTCTGCAGAATTCTTTTCTAACTCAGAATCCACTAGCTTTTGCACGAATTCATCAAAAAATGGCACTAAATTCTCGTCGAAATCTTTAAAATATTCAAATTCAGATTTTAACGACAAAAATGGTGCTTCAGAAGGCTATGCTACGAAATATTCAGATTCAAATGACGCTTCAGAAGGCTATGCTACAAGATATTCAAAGTCAGAAGCCAAAAACTGCATCTCAGATCTCGTTTTCTACAGCAAACACACGAAGAAGCTGCTGTTTCTACTGGGCGGATTAGCTTTGTTAAGTCTAATCGGAGGGATCGTCCGCTTCGGCGAAGGCCAAACCAAACATCGGCACAGTCTTTATTCAGGTGAGTCTTTTCAAGGAGGTAAGAGGATCAAAAGGTGTTTTTGTGGGAGAAAAAGTTGTGTTTTGTTATGGAAATGAGGTGAAAATGGGCTTTTTTGAGAAAGTTTTGGGTTTTTTAAACTTTTGGGGCAATTTTAGGTTTTAAATTTTATTATTGTGTTAATCCCGAGGCGAGATCAGACGTGGAGTTAGGCTTTTACAAGGGTCAATGTAGTTTCAATTTAGAACTGACTAGGGCCAAACTAAAGTATCAGGCTGTTCACATAATGTTGTGCCCTCTAACTCCGAAAATTTTCTTTCATATGGTCTCAGAATTATTTGAACAGTCTGTTAGTATAAAGGAGAAGAGTCTAACGTAATATAACTAACAGTATTTGAAAAAAAAATAATTTTGTTGGGGTAAATTTAGTTTACAAAGCCTAAAGAATTGTATTTAAAGTTTTTTTTTAAATTATAATTTAACAGAAAATGTTTTTTTTTCTAAAATTTCTTGAAAAAAACCTCTTTTTCCGCTTTAAAACCCCAAGAAGTAGTCTGTCCTTGTAGTTGTTTTTTTATACAAATCGAATTTAACAAAGAGTGTCTGATGGTCATTCCTTCCCCTCGAGTAAACTGATCGAATTATAAATGGTCAGCACCTGTTCGTTCGGCCGTTCTCATTAATTTCGGCCCAATTCATCTAGATGTTTTTTACGATCGAACTTGTCACACCTTTATGCCTTTAATCCATCAAAATTCAAGAAAAATTAATTAAAAGTGGGCTGAATTCAAAAAAAAGAGAAATGAGGAATATTTTAGTTTTTTTTAAATTTAAATATGACTTTTAAAAAATGTTTAAAAAAACCTTATTTTAGGTGTAAGCGAAGATGTAGGCGAAACGTGGTATCTTAACTTACACGACGTGCGACGACGAAGACATTTAGCATTAGAAGAAGAGTATTATAGAGAAGATCAGAATCTGAAGGGCCTGGCCTTGGACTGTAACGACAAATGTACATTAACATTACATCGAAACCAACAACTTTTGAAAATTAAATTATTTCGACGAGAGTTCAACTCTGTTCAAGGGTAATATTCGGATTACAGTTTTTTCTTTTTATTTAAAAAAAATTTTATATTTTGATGAGAAAAGAGTGGCACGTTTTTAATTACTAATAGCACCAACTTTCAGTGAAGAAGTAGTAATCCCAATAATACAGTACCTGGATTCAGAAAACGAAACTCGAGCTCATCCAACCATACTGCCAACAGGCTGTATATACACAGCGAAGGTAGAAGATGGCACGGAAGAGAGTACTGTCAACTTGTGTGATGATAATGGGCTGGTAAGTAAAATTCAAACATTTTTTAAAAGATTTTCTTAAATTTTTTGATTTTTTTAAAATTTTGAATATTTTTGAATTTCCCGCCAAATTAATAGTGTTTCCAGCTTATAATTTTGTCATTTTTTGAATTTTAATTATTTTTCTTTAATATACTTGTAGAAAATTTTTAAATAAACCTGAATTTTTTAATTTTTAAGCATATCTTGTCTGGAAATTAAAAAAAAGTGCTTGAAACACAATGCCAAATCTGTCAAATTAGCGGAAGATTCAAATATTTAAATTTTAAAACTGAAAAGCACAAGTTAAAATTTTTTGTGGGTACTATTGGTAGTACAAAGAGATCATATAAAAAATTTTGGGCTGGTTCTAAGCGGGGCGGATTCGGTACTTTCCTTGTAAATTTTTGGATTTTTTGTTGGTTATTGATCTAGGGTCCTATAGGGTAAAATTTTGATAAGGTTTTTCATTCTCATAGCTATTTTTATTTATATTTTCAAAACCAAAGCATTCTTGACCATAATTCATATTTTTGGCCAAACTCCAATATACCTTCGGCCAGAAACCCTATTTTAAAAATATTTTGGCCACATTCCAATTTTTCAAAACATTTTTGGCCAGGTTTCAAGATTTTGTAAACAAAATTGGCCAAATTCCAAAACATTTCTCAAAACATTTTGGCCCGATTCCAATAATATTGGCCAATGTTTTTAATAATTTCTGGCCAGGTTTCTGGAGCAAATTATGATTCAAGAATTACAAAAAATGGCCCAGTGGGAGGTCCGAAACGGGCCCGAATTTGCATGTTGCTAGCATTCGTAAACATAAATAACATCAGAGGAATGAGTAACAGAGAAAGTGGCAACGAAAAGAGCATTAAAAGTAATTGTGTTCATTGAGTTTCGAAAGGATGAAGTGCACTAGGTTAAAAAAAAGTGGAAAAGAATACTGTATTTTATCAAGCAAATAAGGGTACCAATATTTAGTACAATATAAACAAATAGTACCACAATTGACCAGAAATTTCGAATTTTTGACCATAAATGTATAATTAGCGCCATTTTAGAAGGGTGTGTACCATATAGGTAAGCAAACATAGTTTGGGATAACTAGTAGCGTTTTAGGGCTTTGAAGATAACTAGTCTTATTTTGGGACAGTTAGTACCACTGCCAGTCAATGTGTACCATCTTAGGACGAATAGTACTATTTTTTAACCAAAATATCCCTAAAATACTATAAAAGACCTAAAAAGCCTCAAGATGTATACTGTTCAATTTTCAGTACGGCACCCTCGCTTTACATGATGGTGCATATGTGATCGAGCCTCTGAACGCGACCGAGACCAGTCGAAAGAAACGTGACCTTAAGATCTCTCCTCACCTCATCTACCGCGCCCAGACCATGCCATTCGAAGACCCACCCAATATTCAAATTGAGGACGAACAACTGTCCAATTCGACCCGGAACGGTTAGTCGGAACGGTCGTTAACTCTCTTAATGAGGTCTTTCGGACGTTTAATTGGGCAACAAATCGAAAATAAAATACAGAAACTATAAAGCAAAAGTTTAACGATTTTAAAATATGTTTTTGAGTGAAAAAAGTTTTTGAAATTTAAAAAATGACAAAATATTACCTGACTTGATTGACTTTACACTTTTTATATAGAAAGGTCATGTAATTATAAGATATTCAGCAAAGTACTAAACCGCGATTTCCAGTCAATCTCAAGAAAATCGAGATTAAAAAACTGGGTTTTGAATTTCTCGCCAAATTGGCATTGTGTTTCAAGCTTATAACTTGGTCGTTTTTTTGACTTTTATTCATTTTTATTTGATATACTTGTAAGCGTAGCTTATTTGGGACATTAAAAAAGAACTTGAAACACAATGCCAAATTTGCCAAATTGGCGGGTAATTCAAATATTTAAACTTTAAAACTCAAAAGCGCGAACTAGATTTTTTATCAGTACTACTGGTGGGGCAAAGAAAGTAGGACAGGGGTAAAACAGCAAAAAATTTAAACTTCTAAGTATTTAAAACTTCAAAACAACCATTTCAGAACGACAAAAGCGAACAGCCAACTCCTGGGACTACTATGTGGAAGTGCTGGTTGTGGCCGACTATAAGATGTTGGTATATCATCAGAACAACCTTGAAGCATATGTATTGACTTTGTTTTCAACTGTAGCTTCCATCTACCGACATGCTTCCCTGCGAGCTTCTGTTAACATCATCGTGGTCAGAGTTGTGGTACTCAAACATGAAAATGTAAGGGTTTGAAGTTGAATTTTATAATGGTCAATTGGGTTTAAAAGCAGCATAACGTTTAAAATGATGTTAGAGGCTCTGAAATTTAATTTCTCGTTGATTTATACAATTCTTAAAAGTTTGGTTTTGCCGTGTTTTTACCTACTATAATATAGTTTTTTCAATAGATTAGTCTAAAAATAAGCCTTAAAACCTAAACGTAAAAATAAGAGATGAAATCTACAATCCACATATGATAAAAAAAGAGTTTTTTTTTATTATCTTTGCTTTATCAAAACTACCTTATTTTACCCCACCCAACCCTTCAGGTCGGTCCACGAGTCTCAAACCATGCCCAAGAGACCCTCCAACAATTTTGTGCTTGGCAACAAAACCTGAATGACAGAAACGACGATGCTTTAGCTCATCACGATGTAGCCATCCTTTTGACTCGACACGACATCTGTAGAGCGACGAACAAATGTGATACACTTGGATTGGCAGAACTGGGTACGATGTGTGATGCTAGGAAAAGTTGTGCCATAATTGAGGACAATGGACTGTCAGCGGCGTTTACTATCGCTCATGAATTGGGGCATATGTAAGTTGCGCTTTCCTACAACAAGGTACTAGTTTTTGTTAATTTGCGTTGTTTTGTTACCTAAAATCTAAAAAAATTTTAATTTCAAAGTTAAAAAATTGTTTTCACCTTAAATAAAGGTTAAAATAGGTATTAAATTTCTATTTTTACAGTCTCAACATACCACATGACGACGAACGACGTTGTGCAAGATATATGCCATTGACCAAGAACAACTTTCATATTATGGCTCCAACTCTCGAGTACAACACTAACCCCTGGGCTTGGTCACCATGCTCTTCTGCTATGCTCGAAAAGTTCTTGGAGTAAGGGTTTTAGATAATTTTAACAAAAATTTGAACTTTATTACCTAAATTTTGAATTATGTTACCTACAACTTGAAAAAATTAAAGTTACTGTAATATTATGAGGAAATTTTTCAAAACTGAATTCACAGTAATGGAAAAAGTGACCTTCATAACATTTTTCAATAAAAACTTCCATTTCTACCCTATGCACGAACAATATTACAGTAACCAACGTTCCCAAACCCAATGTATCCTGGACAAACCAGTGGAACGCCGCTACATGGACAAGATGTTCAACCATCCCCCAGCTGGCATGCTCTACTCAGTAAACCAACAATGCCAATATGTATTCGGCCCGTCGGCGGAGATCTGTCCATATATGCCGACTTGTCGTCGACTATGGTGTTCAACATACTATGGCTTCCAAATGGGCTGTAGAACTCAGCATATGCCTTGGGCTGATGGCACACCGTGCGGAGATAGCATGTGGTGCCATCGAGGACAATGTGTAGGTATATCGCCGGACAAACGGTTGAAGGTTGATGGAGGCTGGGGAGAATGGCAGCCATTCGGACCTTGTAGTAGAACTTGTGGGGGCGGAGTTCAGAAGGGCGTCCGGGATTGCGATAAACCAAGGTAAATTCTAGTTAACGTATTAAAAGTAGTGAAGAATAAAATGTTCTTGACCTTTCAAAGGTTTTTGTAAAAATATTTTACAAAATCTTTCTGTTTTGACGAAATGCCACAAAGTTATCGGAATTTTTTGTGACATTTCGTGTTTACAGTTTTTCGTTGTGAAAATTATCTTTTCTCGCAAAACTATGGAAATTACTACGATTTTACACCTAAATCACTATGATTCAGACCAATGAACGGTGGAAAATACTGTATTGGACAACGTGAACGCTATCGTTCCTGCAACATTCATGAATGTCCATTTGAAACAGCCGGTTTCCGCGAAGTTCAGTGCAGTGATTTCGACAACAAGAACGTTGGGATCCACGGAGTGCCAGTTCAAACGAGATGGGTACCTAAATACACAGCGATTGCCAAGAACGAGCGCTGTAAATTATATTGTAGAGCTAAAGATTCGGCCGCGTTTTACTTGCTAAAGGACAAGGTAATCGATGGAACGCCGTGTGATATGAACAGCGACGACATTTGCATTGACGGCATCTGTCACAAGGCTGGATGTGATCATAGACTGGGGTCGAGTATCAAAAGAGACACTTGTGGCGTTTGTGGTGGAGATGGCAGGTCGTGTCAGACTGTTCAAGGAGTTTACAATGAAAGGACGTCTTTTGGATACAATGAGGTGCTGAGGATTCCGGCAGGGTCGGCTAATATTGACATTAGTCAACAGAGTTATAATAACCATAAGGATGACGATAACTACTTGGGTAAGTGTAATATTGTGTTTTCTTTGTTTTGAGTAGTTGTAGAGGCTTTTGGCTATGTTAATACCGAAAGTTCGAGGTTTATGGTATTGAAAATGAAGAAAAGTTTTTTATCTTTAAAAGTTTTTAATATTTTTTAAAAACTTAATACCTAAAATCTTTATTTTAGCGCTTCGTACAGCCACAGGAGAATTTCTTCTAAACGGTCAATATCAAGTCTCTGTTTTCCGTCAACAAATCCCAATTCTGGACACAGTTCTCGAATACTCTGGCAGTGACAACATTGTAGAACGAATCAATGGAACAGGTCCGATTCGATCTGACATCTACGTTCACGTTCTGAGTGTGGGGAATCTGAATCCACCTCACGTCAACTACAAGTACATGGTGCCTTTGAATCCGAGCAAAATCGACGCTATTTCCCTTTTGAATCCACGATATTATTGGCTGTCTTCGGATGCGTGGAGTCAATGTACGTCACGATGTCAAGGGAATCAGATTCAGGGGTTACGGTGCATTGAAGGAAGCAGCAATCGACCGGTTGCTGATCAATATTGTACATCACAGAGACCGGAACAGAAGCAGAGAATGTGCAATGTGAATTGCTTTTTCAAATGGAAAACCGTCGTAGCTTCTCAATGTTCAGCACGTTGTGGTCGTGGAGAACAAGAACAACGTGTGATGTGTGTAGCGTTGACTAAACTTTTGAATAACACGGAGAAAGATGAGCCAGCTCACGAATCCGAGTGTCTACAAGCCAACCTCCGGAAACCGGCTACAAAAGTACCCTGTTATAACGACTGTGAAGGCCGTAAGTGGTCGTACTCGGCTTGGAGTCAATGTTCAGCTACATGTGGCAAAGATGGTGTCAAGAAGCGACAGATACGATGTACTGACAATGCTAATCGTGATATTGATCGAAGACATTGCGAACTTATCGTACGGGAAGCTACAGAGACTGAATGCAACAGAATACCATGTCCTGGATGGTCGTACGGTCAGTGGACGGAATGCTCACGGTCGTGCGACGGTGGAATCAGAATCCGACACGCTTCATGTCATGACAGTTCAGGTCGAGAAGTCAATGTAGAGTACTGTGCGAATCAGGAGAGAAAAGATCGTGAGAAGTGTAACGAACACGTATGTAGCCAGTGGAAGTTCGGACCGTGGTCAGCGTGCTCTACAAGTTGTGGTACTGGTGTTCAGCGAAGAGAGGCGACGTGTAGTGACAGGAATGGCAACAAGTTGGACGAGTCGAAGTGTGACATCAGGGAGAAGATCCTGCACAAGTCGTGTCATCAAGGTGACTGTCCACATTGGAAGGTGGCCGACTGGAGCACTTGCTCGGTATCGTGCTTGGATGGTTACAAGACGAGGTCGATTCAGTGTGTGGATGGGAAGGACAACAGAATTGCAGAAGACTATTGTCTACGGACGTCCAACAACACACGACCAGCTACACACGAATTCTGTAACAATGGACCGTGTCCTTATTGGAGACAGAATCCATGGTCATCGTGCTCTGTATCTTGTGGAGCTGGCATCAGAGTACGAACAGTGGAATGTGTGTTCAGAGAACAAGTAGTAGATGGATCTTTCTGTAACGATCAACCACCAAAGGCCTTGACTCAGAACTGCACGTTGACACTGTGTTCTGAATGGAAGCTTCATCCTTGGTCTCGGTGCTCTAAATCGTGTGGTACTGGTAGTCAAACTCGAAGAGTAGAATGTGTCAAAGATGGTGATAAGATTGTTAATGATAGGGAATGCTCTGGAACAAAGCCAAGAACCGAGAAAGAGTGTAACAAAGAAGAATGTGAAGCTACACGGTCACAACCCAATGAATCTCCTATCTACTGGGCTACAGGACCGTGGACAAAGTGTAGCAAGGCGTGTGGTACTGGTACTCAACGCAGACAAGTCAAGTGCAGAGACAGTCGAGGTGGACACAAGGAGCTGCCGGACGAATACTGTAGAAACTTCGAGAAGGAGCCAGAATCCAGGCAATGCATCGTGCGACCGTGCGTGAAATGGAAGACCGAAGAGTGGGAGCCTTGTCAGGGAACTTGTGGCGTTCATGTTGTACAGAAACGAAGAGTATACTGTACGTCGGTCGAGAATCCTCCAGTAGCTGTCAAGGATTCTGACTGTGATCCTACTGATCAGCCGGCTGCCTTAAGGGGCTGTAACTTGGCTCCATGTGTGGCTGAGCCGAGGGTTACTTTGGGAGAATGGATTGTTGGAGATTGGGAGGCGGTAAGGTTTTATAACATACTAATATGCATGTTGTAGTAGGTCTAAATTTGCGTTTTATTGTTTTTGTTACTTTTAATAAATTATATTGTTAACTTATTTGTAATTTAAAAATGTATATAGACGATAATTTAAAGTAATATTGAGGTTTTAGTGTTCTGTATCATGCGGTATTGGCTATAAAAGACGTACGATTCAATGTGATTCTAAGTTATGCAATGAAGCTAAAAAACCACCTCAGTTCGAGCACTGTAACCTAGGAGAATGTAGACAACGGTACACTTGGCAAGCCGGCCAATGGTCTATCGTATGTTTTTTTAATTTTTAATGTTCGGGCTTACTTTATATAAGATGTCATATAAAAGTCATTTTAGCGGCTGATATTATGGCTAACATATTGTTTATGAATATGAAAGAATAAAGTTAAAAAATACTTTAAACTACTTAAAACTAACATGATTTATATAAAGCATTACCTACATTTCTAGTGTTCCGTGTCCTGTGGCCAAAACGGTCTTCAACAACGTCGAATTTGGTGTGAATTCGATACAAATCCGCCGAAAGAAGTCGCGGCTACAGAATGTGATCGTAAAGATCAGCCTTCATCTCGGCGGCCGTGCTCTGATGTTGTGCAATGTCCTGTCGTACATACGACAACACAGTCGAATCCGAAGGTGAAATACGTTTGGACGACCGGTCAATGGAGCATGGTTAGTGAATTGCAGTCAAATACGATTAAGTACATACATATGTGGCCTTAGTTATCGCTTTTATTTGAATAATTAGCTGTAGATATCACTTTTTGATATACTTGTTGTCACAAATTTTATGTTTTTTTGTTATCACATTTACACTTTTATATAGCTACATCACAACTGATTCACAGCTTTATATTCGATGTTACACTTATTGTACGGCTTTACTTACCTTATTTATGCACCTTTTTGTTGGTTACTTCAGTTTTGTTTATGTTTTTGTGTTATTTTTGTTATAAACTGTTGATTTTTTTTTGTTTTTTTGAGTAGTTTTTGTTGTTTTATGCTTGTTGTGATCAAGTTTTTACATTTGTTTGCTTTGGTTCTGTTACTTTTGAGTTTTTTTTTATATTGCACAGTTCATTATCATGCACAATAATATTTACGTATTTTACTCTGTTAATTAATCTATATTCAAGTTTTTTTATTTAGTTATATACATCTATTTAAGCATTATAAACTTTATTTGTATTACCTTATATTCTCAACCTTACCGCCAACTTTCAGTGCTCCTCAACCTGTGGATCAGGCGTCAGAATCCGTGACGTCTTTTGTGTGAACGAACTGAAGGATGGAGAGAAAGTACCGTCAAGCTTATGTAGCCCTGCCGAACGGCCGATGGCAGAACATCGTTGTCGACAGAAGGTGTGCCCCAAGTGGACCAAAGAGAAGTGGTCCGAATGTTCTGTGACCTGTGGCAAAGGGATCAGAAGGCGTGAAGTCTTGTGCAAACGAGGACGAGACGAACTTCTGGAGGCATCGTTATGCTCAGAAGCCGATCGTCCTAAAGAAACTAGACCTTGCGAAACTCAGAAGTGCTCGTCTTATCAGTGGAAGGTCACGCCGTGGTCTAAAGTAATATTTTATATTGTTTTAGATGTAAAGTTGGGGTTTTTCTTTATTTTTGTGATTGTTTAATTATATTTTGGATAAGCAACGTAATTTATTAAAAAAGAAGCAGGGCGTATTTTACAAATTCAAAAAAAATTAAGAAAAACTAAAAAATGATTGTTACACGCCATAAACATAAAATATGGCGTGTTAGACAACATTAACCAGCAAATGTGTTTATTACAACATAAATCTTTCTTTGCATGAACATTTCTGAATTATGTATGTGTTTAGGACGAAATGGCACCAAAAGTTGTAAAATTACATTTTTTCATAAAAAATGTCATTTTTTATTTAAATTTTTTATTTAATTCTTTGTAAGTACACTTTGTACCTTGGTACGTTATATTATACATGATCTAATATTTTAATTTTACTTTATTTAAACTGTAAATTACTGTTATATTAACCAATATAATTACAGTGTACCGAGTTATGTAACCCAAGTGAACAAACTCGTCGTGCTTATTGTATGAGCTCTCTGAATCAACGTGCTGCTCCAAGAATGTGTGCCAAAGATCCGATGCCGGTACTCAAAAAGGATTGTCCTACTGACAAATGTCCTTATCAATGGGTGGCTGGGCCTTGGAGTACGGTAAGTATTTTTCACTTTCTTATTTTTCTGGTCAAAAAGTTTATGGAATTTTTTTGGTAATCATATTAGGTTGTTCAAATAATTCGGTGCTCTTTCTGAAAGCAAATTTTCGGGCGTTGGGGCTCAGAATTGTTTGAAAGTCTTAATATTTGATTCTATTTTGACTTTTCTGCTTACTTTTTGACCGTTCTTTGCGAATTTCTACGTATTTTTGGACCAAGTTCGTAAAAATTTTAATTTTTCAGTTTTAAAATTAAAAATCTTTTTTAAAATTGAAATTAAAACCTCAGTTTAGTGTTCGAAAACCTGTGGTCAAGGGCACATGTTCCGTCGCTTGGAGTGTAAGGTAAAGGATAATATATGGCTGAACCAAACGGAGCAGCAAAGTACAGTACTCTCGAGGATGTGCATGTCTCTGGAGAAGCCGGAAGTCTCCAAAGAATGTGTAATGAACGAATGTGGCTCCGAGTTCCAATGGAGCGTCGGACCTTGGTCTCAGGTATCTACTGCAATATTTTTTGGGAGTTGGGCTTTTTTTGTTACCTAAATTTTAAATTTTTTTTTAGAAAAATTAATTTTTTATGGTTTTTTTATATTTAGGTATCGAAAAGTCATGGACTGAAATATTTACGATTTTATATTAATATAGGTATAGATAGGTGTTAATTGAACTACATTTAGCCAAATACAAACAATTCTTATCACTAACAATAACAATATCCCTTACAGTGCTCCAAAGACTGTGGCACAGGCACAAGAAAGCGCAAAGTGTACTGTTTGAACAAGAAAGGCGACAAAGTGGAGAAAGAATACTGTGATGAACAACATCGACCGTCGAAGCGGGAGAACTGTTTCCTCCGCAACTGTCTGCCAGGTGATTGTGCTGAACTCAAGAGTCAGAATCCAGCTGTCAATGGAATTGATGGTGAATACATCGTGCTGGTTACTGGGTTTAGAGTTAAGGTTTATTGTGCCAGAATGAACGAGACTTTACCCAGAACTTATGTTAATGTAGACCCGAAGAGTAATTACGCCGAGTTTTATGGCAAGAGGTAAGTAACCTAGCATTGTAATGTCAATTGTCTAATGTACCGTACTATAAGTAGATGTTTGCCAATGTAAAATACGCCGAGGCATGAAAATTTTTAAGTATTATAAAAATATATTTAAGTATTATCTTAATATAAACCTATGTTTTAGGCTAGCTTATCCATTCTCATGCCCATACGATGGCCAAAGGAACGACTCTTGTGATTGTACGGATGATGGACATCTCAGTGTTGGTAAGACTGAGTTCTCCAAGGTCAGAGTTGACCTACACAACATGAAAATCAATCGTAAGTTTCAAAAACAGCTTATTTTGGCATAAAAATGAGGATCTTTGCCATTTTTTACTGTTTTTAAATCATAAAATTGGCTTTTTAAAAACATTTTTTGAATTTACCGCTATTTTTGGCATAGTGTTGCAAGTTTTGCTCCAAATGTGTCTCTAAATGTAAAAGAAAAATCTCATCGAATGTTGTTTCAGCCCATGACTTCACCTTCACAAACACAACCCACGGCTCTCAAGTGCCATATGGCACAGCCGGCGACTGTTACAGTATGAGCGACTGTCCTCAGGTATAGATTACACTTTCATGCATAAGAACATATATGTTTATTTATACTGCGATCTATACGAATTTCCGTGCAAATGTTTTCGTAAATAGCTCGAGCTCCTATAACTGAATAATTAAGATATGAGCTGGATTGTATAAATGAATATTTAAAGTATGAAATGGGTTATCGTAGGAAGAGGGCAAAGAAAGAGTTTAATCTTAAAATTTTGATTTCAGGGCCGATTCTCGATTGATTTGCGAAATACTGGTCTAAAAGTGGTGGACGACCTTCAGTGGGTCGATCATGGTCACAGGACCAGTTCACATATTGAACGATCATACGTAAGTTCAAATGCATAGGTTTCTCAAGTATTTATTGAGCTACGAATGTATTCATAAACAATATATAATATAACAGTAAGGGTTCCTTAAACACTGATCCTGTCCCAAGCTTTAAAATCACCCTGTTCCTATCAAAAATGACATAATACTATCTAGGAGGACCCGTAAAGGCTTTTTGAACCTTCTGTTTTACATTTCAAATTTTCAAAATTTAAATTTTAAATTATTCATACGCAAACCCCTTTCAGAACAACGCCGTGATCAAAGGCGCATGCGGCGGTTACTGCGGCGAATGTGCGCCGGAACGCTTCAAGGGCCTCGTACTGGAGCTGGAGCACAAACTCAAAGCCAGAAAACATTGAAACCTCCCCCGGTGGCCATAGTCTATTCAGTTATTATTTGTATAATATTCAGGAAAACCGCGTGACTAGATATATATGTTAATGTAGGGTGTTAAACTTGAGCTTTCGTCTAGACTAAGCTTTATATTGTTATTGTTGTGGAAACAAATCTCTTCCCCCCACTCGAAACTCACTACTGTTTTGTGTTCTTTTTGTTGTAACTGCCATTTTCGATTCGAATGCCTGCCATTTCACAATAAATTATCAACTTTTTGTTGGAGGTTTTGCAATTTCGTCAGATATTTTAAAGTTTAAAGGCTATTTTAATGTTGTAAATGGGTTTGCAAATTAAATTTTTACACTGTAGACATTAAGAATAGATTTTTGGAGGTATTAAAGGATGTAGATAAGGTTAGAATAGAATAAAAATAAGGTAAAGTAGGCTAAACTGAGGTAAACCTTTACTAATAGCAATCTCGAGGCTTTCTTCTTGACTAAATCTCAATAAAACTTCTTTTTTTAGTTTAACAGCTCATATCCCATACCCTACCATAACCTACTGATCAGTAAAATTTCATGTACAACCCAAAACTTCCAAAAACTTTTTTGAAATTCCGGAAATCGCAACATGAAACGCCAAAACTATTTTTGAAACCGATTTTGTTATACGGAAGTCTTTTTTGTTTTCCGCCCTTTTAAAGTGACGTTACTGTGTTATTCCCAGTACTGGTCCTTGAACTTCCCCTTCTGTCGGGGTCGTTCCCCTACTCAAACATACCCTCCCCGACTTTCTTTTTCTATTAGGTTTTTCAAATAGTTCAGTGCCCCCTGATTCTAAAAAACTGTTTTGACAGAGAGCACAGAATTAATTGAAGGACCTGATATTGTCCTTATACCCCCACCCATTTACTGCTTCTACTATCTCTTCTTACTAACCCTACCTACCTGTTATACTATGCCCAGCATAAACCGTTCAAACGTCATTGTAATGTTTAACAGAGTAATTTCGTCAGCCATGCCGTGTCCAACCAGTTCCGGCAGCCAAAAAAGCATTCGTGACCCGCTCTTGATTTACAATTCTGACCGCCGAAGTTAGTATAAATCCGAACGAATCCGCGGAGACGGCCTCACTTAACACACTTCAACAGAATGTCCCCGATTCTCGTCTTTTTCGCCATCGTCCTGGCGCTTACAGTAACGGCGCAGCGAAGTCGGTTTTTATTTGTTGATTCTAAGCTAATGTTGTAGTAGTTTAATAAGGGTTTTCTGTAACTTGACTTTAAATTATCATTTTAGAATAAAGTCAAAAGGTTTAAAAAGGTCATCTTTAATTTTTTTTTAATTTTCACTTTCATTTTTTCATTTAAAATTCCAAAAATAACAACCTTTAATATTTGAATATTGTTTTGAATTAAAAATGTTTAATTTTTAGGCTTTGCAATCACAGACAAAGTGGGCCAAGGAAACTTTGCATACGTCAGACGTAAGTATACCTTTATTACGCTTTATATTAACATTCATTGCCGTTTAATTACCTTTTTACGCTCAAAAGTCGTTCCACATATTATACTTATTATGTTGTTCAAATAATCCCGTGCCCCTAACTCCAAAAAATAACACCAAAATTTGCTTTGAGAGGGGTACAAAATTATTTGAAGAACATAATATAATAAATTGAAGTCAGAAGTCCTGTAAAATCAAAAAATGGCCTTTACTTCATTCTCTAAAGACTTTTTGACCAGGTTACTGGCTAGAAAAATATTTTTTCCCTAAAGATTGTTTTTCATTCCTTTGATTTTCTCAAGCCAAAAAACCATAAATTCGGTCCTAACACTCCTTAAAAACCTCCTCATAACATTGTTATCTGAGCAACATTCATAAGATGAAGATAAAGTTAATATCAATTTCAGCTTTTGCCTTCGCCCTAGCCGACAATGGGGAATGGTACCCAGTGGCGAAAAGATCACCAGCTGAGAGATTCGCCTATGCACCAGACACGAAAGCGGCCAAAGATAAGGATTCGTTCGCTTTTGCCAAACGATCTGACGATTCCAAGTTTGCATTCGACTTTGCCAAACGAGCCAAGTTCGCTTTCGCTCGGAAATAAGGTTTTCTTTTGTGGTTCCATTTGAAAATGTCATTATGTTATCTTTAAATGTCATTTTAACACATAAATGGTGTTTTAAGTTCAAAAGTCAAGTTGTCATCTAACTGACATTGAATAATGTCATTTCAAGACATAAATCGTCTTGTCCCTCTGAAATGTCATTTTAGCAACATTTTTAACATGGAAGGCCAATTTACTGTATTGTTTCGGTTAAAAGCTCACGTAAATAAACCCCTTTGCTACCGTATATCCTGTTCAAGTTTCGAATAAACTTTGTAAAAATTATTGTAAAGTTATCATATGATCATACAATGTCTAAGGCTTGTAATGCTAAAAACAGGTTGTAACCAAACAGTTTAGAAAATCCACTATCACTTCTTTTCATGGCCCTAATGGTATGTAACTACTGATACTCATTACTGATTCCAATTAAAACCATTATTTAAACCAATCCAATTAAAAATTTTTAAAAACCCGGCCCTGACTTTAGGACTGAATAGATAGCCATCTCCACATACTCAACAATGTCGTATAATCATCAAGTTAAACAGCAAAAAAACCTTTTTTAACGATTGCAAAGTAAAATAAGTAATGCCGAACGTTTGACGATCGAAATAAAACGTTACAAAAGCAATGTAACAATTTATTATAAATTCATAACCATAACGTTCTTGAATGTAAGACATCAAAGAAAATTCTTCACCATGACAAACGTACTAGATGAGCCAAAAGTAAGTAAAACAAAGTTCACAACACAACAAATAAAAATCAATTTTAACTTTTAGGTTGTTCAAATAATTATGTGCCCCTTAACTCTAAAAACTTGCTTTAAGAGAGAGTACAGAATCAGTTGAACAACCCAATAAATAGCCTTAACCAATAAACCTTCAAAAACCCCTTTTTTCACTTCTCTCTACGTACTTCTTGGCCACACTAGTATATACTAATACTTCAAAAATTTAAATTATATATAACACCCAACACCAGCAAGATAGATATGATGAGATTTCTCTTACAATACGAGACTTATAAAAGTAAAAAGGCACTTTTGGTAACACAAACTAGCAGAGTATAACTTACAATAAGGACAACAGAAAAAGTCCAGTAAAACATGAAATAATAGTAAAATCAGAGCTTATATTACCACAGAATAATATAGATCGTGGTCATAAAGCTCGAATGATAGTTTTAATCAGTAGAATCATAATAATAGAAAAGTATAACATATGAAACAATAGAACAGTGATAAGTAGAATATGAAACAGTCAAGCAGTGATAAGTAGATGACAAATGACATACTTCTTAGTACAACTTGACATTCAAATTCCTTCGTTTGGCCGATCTTACAGTAGGAGTAAAGTTGAGTGGAGGGGTTTCAGATACTGGGCCAAGAAGAGATTGATCTGCATTTCGAGGTGTTGTAAAGTGACGAGGGGTCTTGTTTTCGATGATGAACATCCTGGCATTCAGATATCGTTCCCAGTAATCCTAAAAAAATTATATTATTGTAGCCACAAATATTAATCATAAATCAAAAAAAATAATAGTGTATTACTGCAGCTATAGGTTATATATACTTATCTTCAGCTCAACATAGAATATCTATGCCTATTTTGAAAGACAAAACCCCAAATATTCTGTATTTTACCACAAAAACATCTCTATTTTATTAAGTTTAGGTAACAAACGTACCTCCGGGAACTCAAGAAGTCTTTGCATGACGTAACGCTGTTTTTCTGATTCTGGATTCATTCCGTTTCGCTCCAACGTATTTAACTCGTCCTTTCTGCCTCCTCTAACAATAATAACCCCCATACAAATGGCTAGTCCAGGAATAGTCATCTTGTTGATCTGGCTACATTTGGCCACCTTTTGAAGGTGAAGACAAATGAAGGCGAGGGTGTCCTTGTTAGGCTCTGGGAGTTCAGCGATAGCTTTCATCAGACTGCCATTGCTTTGATCTCGAGATGCTTGAATGAATTCGCTGTACGATGAGTTGGGAATCAAAGGCTCCTGAATAGTATAAGGTAAAGATTCAAAAAGAATTAATATGCCATTTTTCAAAACTTTTGTAAATCAAGTGTTCTTAAAATGCAGTTTATAGTCTTTATTAAAACCTATATCTCATCTCATATAACTCACCTTCAAATTGACCAAGAACTTCTTAACGGCAGCCGTCAACACTTCAGTATATTCATGTGTTAATTGAGGAATGATGCTTCCACTCATGTTAGACAACAACTTCTCAACCAACGCTCCATTTCCAGGTACTCTATATAAACCTTCAGTCTCAAGTCGGCTTGTTTCAATCTCGTATATCAGTCTAATCAAAGTAGCTGGCACCAAAGGAGGAGTAACTGGGCAAAGATCAGCCAATCGAGGAAACTTATTCTTCTTCTGGGGCGTCAGATTCTTGCTTGAGGCAAAAGGAAGACATGGCAGAGGAGCTCTGGCTCGGCAATTGTTGTGGAGGTATAATGAACAATCTGAAAAATAAAATTTTGAACATTATTACAAATCTTGCCCTTTGCAAATAAACTTGAAGTAACATATAAATACCATAGACAAAACTAAATCCTACCTTTACATTTATAAACAGGTTGCATAGCTACAGACCGGTTACAAACAACACAACTCTTCATCAAAGATCCCTTAACAGCTTCCAAAGAATGATCACAATCAAAGATGGCTCGGCCTTTTGTCCACGACGATCCCATTCCAGTCAGCGGAGTTCGCCTAAACATAAAAATAACTGTTGAAAATAGTATCTAAATTAATATAAAAACTATCAAAACAGTGTCTACATTAACAAGTAAGTAAAATACTTACAGATCCGAGCTGCTCCCACCCATTTTGTAGCTCTTGTGACTCAATGGGGTATTCATACTCTCCATTATCTTACTTTCTGACATAGACCTCTTTCCTCGATGAACTTCTACAGAAGCCTTAGTAGCCGATCTTCCTCTAGCATCCATCGTAATTGTTGTTACCGTAGTAATCGACTCCTCAGCATCTCTTGACCTCTTTGGTGGTGTTGAAGTATGTTGATATTCCTCTTCTTCTACCTCTTGAATGTTGTCAGGCAGCTTTCTGCTTCTTTTTACAACATGTCCTTTAGTTTTGTTGTGCTCTGGATCAACACTCACACTTCTAGACCGTCTTTCGTACATTCTGCCTTCTCGAAGATGAACAATATCAATTTCCTCTTCATCGTTAGCTGATTTGTCAAAGTCCAAGCCAAAATCATTTGACCTGGTAGCTCTAGAGTCCCGAGTTACTTTCTTTTCATCCAATTTGCTCAAATTCATCAACTTGCCAAAAGCTGCTGAACCTTTGAGCTCATTCTGAAACAAACAACACGATAAATATTAAACTTTAAAACCTACACTAAAACAAATAATATTCACCATTAATATTCATTTCAAAAAGCCAAAAAACATGTTTACATTAACATAAAAAATAACAAAGACAAATATGTTACCTAAAAATATCAAAAACCATACCTCCATCAAACTCCTGATGCTTTGAATTCGTTTTTGATATTCGCCCAGCTGTTTCTTCAAATCATCTTTCTGGCTCAATAATGTAGCTACTTTGGCTGCCGAATCATGAAATCTTTCGTTAAGAAGATCATACGCAGCACTCAGATCCCTAAAACAATAAAATCTAATAATATTCAACTTACTCCTTCTCCCTCTCCAATCTTTGCGCCTTCTCCTCTGCCAAAATACAATGCTCTGAAGATTCTTTCCATTTTCTCTTCAACTGATCACACAATTCAACAAGTTCAAGGCATTCTAAAACAAAGTTATGAACTGCAATATAAACTAGAAAAACCTATAAAATTAAAATCATTAAAACAAATTAAGAAATAAAACAAAAAACAACCTGCCAAGACGGTTTAATTCGTATTTGTTATCTAAAGTCAAAATCTGGACAAAACAAACCTTGTTCTCGACCTCTCAGCTGGACAAAACATTGTAACACGAAGTCGCTGTAATTGGTAGCCACATTGGCACTGTCTGTTGACAGTAGATTCAAATTCGTATCCCGTCGTTCCATGTTTAATGCTCTTCCATTCAAAATTCGACACCAAAAATACAAAAGAAATTTGATGCGGTCTATTTTTTGCGCAAGACTTCGCGCAGTTTCAAACAAAGAAAGTTGTGAACAAACGTTTTCGTGGTGGGACTTACGCTTAAGTGTTATGCTCATTAGACATGGCAAACGGGCCGGGCCGAGGCCCGCGTCGGCCCGTTTTTTGAATTTTTTTTCCCGCGCTTTTTTTCTACTTATCAAATCAATCTGAAACTTTTTCTACCCCTATGTTTTATTGGGTGCTACCCCATCCAAATGATCTTAAAATTTTGATAGCTCTTACAGTTTTTGAGATATGGACTTGGCGGGAAAAAAAATTCAAAAAACGGGCCGACGCGGGCCTCGGCCCGGCCCGTTTGCCACGTCTAATGCTCATAAAACTTACTGTGTAAAAACTATATATTTGTACTTATATATTGTATATTTAATCGTATTTTACATATTATAATTTGAAGTTTTTAAGATTTTGATATTTTGTGACTAACAAGTAACAAGTCATGTATAATATCCAGATTTATTTACAAGTACCTAATTTAGGTACTACAAACTACAATTTTAAAAAGACCCGTTTAGTTGAATCGTTTCGGTTGGAACAGTTCGAATTCATGAGATCTGCGTGTAGTTTTACGATAGGAATGAGGTTCATGAGTTGGCAAAGGCTTCTCGTGTTTGGCTCTGATGCGATCGGTTGGGAACAACCGTTGAATCTGAAACATATGACACTCTTAACCTTTTCGAGCTCCTGATTTCGTATTTTATGGAAGAACTTATTCTATACCCAATTACTGAATTAATTTACACAAGAGTTTTTCCTGTAATTTCACCGTTCTTTACAACAATGTAACCATACGTACAATAAAAGAAGCCAAATCATACAGAAATCTAAAGCCTTCAAAGTTTCCAATTATGTAAATTGTATCAAAATTACCTCTCTAGCCTCAGCTTTGGTCAACTTCATCTTCTTTTCGTCCCATTCGTCTGTTTCTCCACTGTTTTCACTCACGGTACGATCTTTCCTGGGGATTCTGCGGCTTCCAGCAACGGTTTCAGTTGGAACACGTCCAGCTTTTCTTTCCTCTTCTGTGTGATATTGTTGATCCATTTTTAATACTTTTTCTGAAAAAATGTTGTTTATTTTTTAAGTTAAACTTGCTTTATGTTGCAGTAAAAGCAAAAATATAAATTTATCTGAATGTAAACATTTAATACTCGTTACAAGTTTTTAAATAGTGCTTGTAGAAGCTTGTAACATGTCGGCTATAACGCCGCAAAGCAAAATTCGACCTTTAAAATAGGCAAAAATAACAATTACAAGAAAAAACACGAGAAGACATAGCCACATGTCTCTTATAGCTAATAGAAACCACGACTCCTATGGCTAATATTACTATGTATCTTCGCTTAATAGTAATGTCTTCAAAAGCTTTAAAAGAGCTCCGAAATTATAATATAATGAAAGTCGGAGAGAAAGCCCAAACTTAAATACTCCTGATGCTTACGAAACATTCAAAAACAACCTTGTTTACGGTCGTTTCGTAGTATAAACAACACGTTTTTCTAAAAATTCTCCTGATGTAAACAAACCTTGTAAAAGGGCGTTCAAAGTACACGAGATGGTCATTATAATTTGTAAAAATAGACATAATTATTTACTAAAGTATCGTGATGAAGTTACAGTAAACTTTTTTCAACTATTACCCTTTTAAGTTAAAAAAACAGTAAGCATTTACAAAATTTTAACAAAACTTACCGATAAGCTTGTAAGAATACAGTTTAAAACAACCTAATTGTGTCGTATTTGGCATAACACGTTTCATATGATCTGTGTTTACCTATAAAGTGCATGTTTAAAGCTTGACGCTTTTTGGCGATGATTAGTAGGTTATTTACCGCCGTTTTATTGTAAACAAAGCGATATAGTAGTATAATAATGTACACGTTAATACTTTTTGTGTCTAATGTGTACATTTTACTTGTCGCCAATCTCATTACTTCCTTTTTCAAAAGGTTGTACAACATTCTGTAATTGTCTCTTATTTTGGCTAAAAACATCTAAAATAATATTCACTTGAGTTTTTAATGTTATTTATTTAAATCGTTGATTCTTAATGTTTCAAACTGTTTATTCCAGTCCCGAAACAACTGCCACATGATCACTGATTAGTCCATTCTAATTTTGTCTGCTCTCTAATCAGTCAAGCGTTTTCGTGACGAGACTCCGCGTTTTGGCATTCCGTTTCACTAAAGAAATAAAATAAAATAATTTTTTGTCGAACTGTGGTAAAATTAATGTCGCGATTGGCTTCGAACAGGAAGATCTGCACATATGAGGACTTTACCGTGTTTGAAGGAGATTTTCGATCAATTTGCTCAGGATGGTTAACTGATACCGCTGTTAATTTCGGAGCGATTTATCTGAAAAATCAGATTTTAGGTGGGAAGAACGATCAAGTAAGTTGAAGTTCAGTTTATTATTGGTGTTTAGGTATGTCTGGTTTATGCTTTTATGTGTGAACTGATAAAATATTGTGATCTACGACGATCCGAAGCTCAAGAACTTCTAAAATCTGTTGGAGCGGACAAAAAGAAGTGGACCGCCTTTATTCTTAATGATAATGTAGACCCGACGGTGGTATCAGGTGGATGTCATTGGACTTTATTGATGCATGATCCCACTAAAAACATAATTTGGCAGTTGGATCCTATGTCAGCGAATGTTCCGCCTCACTGTTTTCAATTTTATCAACGAATCAAGACATTTTTTGGACATGAATATAAAGTTTTGGAGTGTCCGAAGATGACAGTGAATGGAAGTTGTGGAGTTTACGTTCTGGAATATCTACATGTTATCTTTCAGGTACGGAAAAAGTTTTAGAAGATTTGGTTTCTAAGTTTTTGTGCAACAGTAAGATTTATATTTTAGGCGCTAGGACAAATGCGGTTTTTGGACATTTGCGGATCTTCGGTTTTTAGACACTTGCGGATTTTGGACATTTGCGGATTTTTTAAAGGTTTTTTTTATTTTTTAGTTAATTTAGTTGTATTATGGTACTAAATTGTACTAAAGTTTGAATTGGTACGGTTTTAACATAACAGTACCTTTTTGGGCTTTTAGTACTATTTAGTACCAAAAATATAAAAACAGTACCAATTAAAAATTAAGTACTATTTAACATTAAGAAATATTAAGACAGTGCCAATTTAAACTTTAGTACCATTTAGTACCATACTACAACTAAATTAAATAAAAAATAAAAAAAACCCTTTTAAAAAATCCGCAAATGTCCAAAATCCGCAAGTGTCCAAAAACCGAAGATCCGCAAATGTCCAAAAACCGCATTTGTCCTAGCGCCATATTTTATAGTTAATTTTTGTTACCTAAATTTATTTAAATTCAATTTTTTTGGTAATTTCAAATAATGTTTGATTTCAGAGTATCAAAAACGACATTAAGGACATACGGGAGATGGATTTTAGTAGAATCAACGACAAATTCGCGGCAGAACGGAGGATATCTTATTGTAAAATATTGAATTCGTTGGCTGAAGAACAGAAACGGCCTCCAGTGGATGTATAGCAATGTATATTGATTTTAGATGTTCTAAATCTGTAAATAAATAATTTAATTATGATTTTGCTGTTGTGAACTTTTGTTAGTAACAATTGCATATTTATGAAGCGTGGTAAAATACGAGCAATTATCTTCTGTATTGGATGACATTGATTATGTTAAAAATTAATTCTTTATTGTTGCTGTCGTAAATTTTTACTGGGTGAATTCATTTATTTTAGGCTATGTTAACCCCCTTTTTCAAACTAGACCAAACAGAGGAATATGTTATAATAGATATACGGGCTCCAAATGCTAATTTACGAGACGCTGAGATTGATTTTTGTGACAAAATCTTTCTGTTCTCCGCCGCGCCATACTTTCTGAGACTGTATCTACCTGGGTATGTAGGATTATTTGAAAAGTCATCTAGTGATTATGATGCTGATACTGGTAAGGTTATCTTTATTTTTTGTTTTTAATTTAGGTTTTTTAGTTAGTTTTAAAATAAGCCATATGAAAGTTTGATTTTTATTAGCAGTGGTGTTTGTAAATTGGTAACAGTCAACTATACTACTAACTAACTAATGTTATATACACTTTGCAGTAATTCTTTAAAAAAATGCTTATTTAGGTACGTTTAAGATAAAAGTGCCAAAACAAAACAAAGGTGAACATTTTAAAGACCTGGAGATGTTAAGCCAACTTCTGAAGCCTCAAAGGCCAACAGGTCAAAGCAATGTAGAAGAGTTGGAAGATGAAGTTGGTACGTTCAAAACTTCACTTTCAAAGATTAGGTTGTTCAAATAGTTATGAGCCTCCTCATAGAGAAAATTTTTGGGGTACACGGATATTTGCACAACCTAATATAAACTTATAGAAATTCGTTGCCTTATTGAAGGGAAGTAATTGCATTATATATTTTAGAAGGAGTACTAACTGATCAAAAAGTACCGGAAACAGAAGTTGCTCCAAATTCAGAAGAAATTAAAAAGTTTGGCTACGGATTTGGCTGGTCAAAGTTGGGAATAATGAAGAAGTTTGGAGAAGAAGTCGAAGACCTTTTTGATATCAGGAACCCAGATGAAATAGAAATGTCAGAAAGAGACGATGTCATGGTAAAACACGATGAGAAGGCTTTTAATTCAGAACATTACTTAGCTGACTTGTTTGATGTACCTGATGAACTTGAGAGCATTTTAAAGGTAGGTCAAGTTGTTTCTGATGTTTTATGGGTTTAGGATGACATGTTTTACTTATTGTTATTTATTATAAAAAGCTTATATAATACTATTTATTTGTACTTATCACTATATGTATTACAAAGTATAAAAACCTTTTTCAGGAGCTCCTACCTACATCAATATACACGTTCAACGATGAAGACCGATTAATCTTGAAAGACTTAAAAGTCATTAAACTAAAGTCATTTACAAAAGAAGAGCATGTTAGTATACTGTACTCATTGATCGACATACTGTATTCATACCTGATGGAACTCAGAATCAACAGCTTCGAATTAAACGTACAAAGTGATATTATGATAGGCAACGTCTCTCCTTCAATATCAAACTTTGTCAAATTTACATCGATGAAACAAGCGCTCACTGCTACAGTAAGAAGAGTGTTATGTTTGAGTTTGTACAGGAATTTCGAGCTATGTCGCAGGGTTTTGGAGGACTTGGTCACTGTGGTCAAACAAGGTACGTTTACTGGTTTTAGGTATCAAAGTTATGTCTCTTTCATATGAAATTTATTGTAAAATTATTCTTCACCGGTTCTCTAAAGTCTTTTTATTAGGTATTTCATTGATTATTTTCAGGCAAATCAGCGCTATTACACTGCCTTCTAACCTTGAGAAAGAGGTTTTACAATTCATCTCAAGAATTTATCTACTTGTTCAACCAATTATTCATTGATGATTACTGTATTTATATTCAAGTAGTTGATGATAAGCTATTCGATGATGCCATGGATGAACTCTTGAACATAAAGACGTTACAAAAGGCAGATATAGATGAGTTGGACTTGGATTACATTGAAACTGAAGCCAAAATGATAATGTTGAAGGTCGAGAATGGAGAATATGACTCTGATGACAATTAATAACATGTGGTGAATGAAGACTACCATTTTGAGGACATTAGAACTATATTTAAAATAGTTTTTTTTTTGAGAATTTTGAGAAATTGCTGTTAAAGGTTGTTGTTTTACATTCTTTCAGTTTTGATCGATATTTTGTTACTTTACATTGTTGTTGTTGGCTTTATTGTACTTTTACTGTTGATTTTTTGTTATTAAAATGAATTTCTTATATATGAGCCATTGATTTTACCTGTTTTGTCAGTAGTTTTATATTTGAAAATATTTGACTTTAGAACGATTAAAACGTTTTTTTACGAAGGGGTTTCAACGGTTTATTGGAAAAATTATCTGCCCCTCGCTATGTTTTTATGAAAATGATTTTAGATGGGAAACGGGCATATTCACAAACAATACATGAGACTACTTGCTAAATGGCCAGTGGATCCGAACAAAAGCTACGAACGGAATGTCAAGTACTACCTAGAGAACCAGGTTCACAGGCTACACAATCCACGTAACAATCAGAATCCACTGGAGATGGATGAACCCTTAAGTGGAAAGAATATTAAACACGATGCTAATATGAAAGGTGAGTCTGCTAACAGGACAAGTTTATTTCTTGAGGTTTGAGTTCATCTTATAGGCCATGAGACGGGTGTTCTGTTTGTTATTTGGCTGCAGAAGCCAAAACTTGCTTAGAAGCCATATAAGCTGATATACTATACTACTATTACTCATACCTAAATTATAACTTCTTTAGCCATTCAAGAACTGATCGACAACAAATATCAACAGAAATGGCCGACTACTCACTTTAAGACTGGCATCTTTGGCGTCACGTTGGCACAGCTGAACAAGATCAATTCAGACAAGTTCAGGATCAGGTTGGGATTGGGGGCTACTCGATGGACGTATTTCAAATCATTATTCTCTAAAGCAGAGTAATCTTATAGGTGTTGTTATGGACCTGTTATGGACATACTGGTATCGATAGCTAGTTGTTATATAAATATTTGGTTTTGAGGAAAATAAATTTGCCAAATTCAAGTGAGAGTTAAGAAGGATTATTATAAGGTGGCCATGTTAGAAGCGGTTCACAGAACGACCCAAATCTGGCCCAGGTAAGCCTATTTAAATTCATCGTCGCGCAGCTACTAGGTCTGTTATCCCAACGAGACCGGCCTCTTCTCTTGAAATTAGCATCAATTTCCTGTTTCCTTCAGTATCTTTAGGACACAAGATCACCGACTTTTACTTTCACTTGGCATTCCTTCCTATTTCCTTTTCCGATGCCATGGAAATGCAAATGAGCACCTCATTAAGATCGCGAGCGACTCTCACTTTCTTATAGTTTTCAATTTCTTTTCGAATATAAGGTATAAAAAGATTGCCTTTATGATAACATAAAAACTGAACTATGTGAATAGTGTAAGCCGAATTTTCGGTAGAAACATACACAAATAGCGGATAAAATAAACAGTGTCTTCATAAAATACGAAATTAAAAGTATATAAAAGTAGAAAACGTCAGCATCTTAAGTCGTCCCACCACGAAAGCTTTTGTTCACGAATTCATTCATTTGAAGCTGCGCAAAAAAATAAAACGCATAAAATCTCTTCCGCCTTATTGGAGTCGAATGGACCGTTAAAGATGGAACGACGAGATACGAATTTGAATCTGTTATCCATAGACAGTGCCAATGTGGCTAGCAATTACAGCGACTTTGTGTTACAATGCTTTGTCCAGCTGAAAGGTCGAGAGCAAGGTTTGTTTTTGAAAGATCTTGATTTTAGATAACAAATGCGGTTAAAACTGTTTCGGAAGGTTGTTTTGGCATTATCTGTTAACTTTTTTCTAGTTTTAGATTAACGTTTTTATATTATCTTTGTTTTACATTATGCAGTTCATAACTTTGTTTTAGAATGCCTTGAACTTGTTGAATTGTGTGACCAGTTGAAGAGAAAATGGAAAGAATCTTCAGAACATTGTATTTTGGCAGAAGAAAAGGCACAAAGATTGGAAAGAGAGAAGGAGTAAGTTGAATATTCTTAGATTTTATTGTTTTAGGGATCTGAGTGCTGCGTATGATCTTCTCAACGAAAGATTTCACGATTCGGCAGCCAAAGTAGCTACATTATTGAGCCAGAAGGATGATCTAAAGAAACAATTGGGCGAATATCAAAAACGGATTCAAAGCATTAGGACTTTGATGGAGGTATGGCTTTTATATTTTTAGGTAACAAAAATATGTACTTGAAGGTACTAGCTGAAATTGTAACTATAATATAGTATTATGTATATGGCTGGTTTGTTAAACGTAATTTAAGAGGTTTAAGAACGTATTTTATTGTTTTTATGTAAACTTGATTTAACATTTTTTAGAATGAGCTTAAAGGTTCAGCAGCTTTTGGAAAGTTGATGCATTTAAGCGAGTTTGATGAAAAGAAGACAACACGAGGATCCAGAGCTACTAGGTCAAATGACTTTGGTCTAGACTTTGACAACTCAGTTGACGATGAAGAGGAAATTGACATTGTTCACCTTCGTGAAGGCAGAATGTACGAGAGACGATCTCGCAGTGTGAGTGTTGATCCAGAGCACAACAAAACTAAAGGACATGTTGCAAAGAGAAGCAGAAAGCTGCCTGACAATATTCAAGAGGTAGAAGAAGAGGAATATCAACATACTTCAACACCACCAAAGAGGTCAAGAGATGCTGAGGAGTCGATTACTACGGTGACAACAATTACTATGGATGTCCGGGGAAGATCGGCTACCAGGGCTTCTGTAGAAGTTCATAGAGGAAAGAGATCAATGTCTGAGGGTAAGGCAATGGAGAGTATTAATACTCCATTGAGTCAGAAGAGCTATAGGATGGGAGGAAGCAGCTCGGATCTGTAAGTATTTTAGTTGTGTGTTAAAATATATATTAATATAGATACTGTTTTAATATGTTTGATATTAATTTAGATAATTTTGCCAAGTATAATTGAAATGTTTAGACGCACTCCACTGACTGGAATGGGATCGTCGTGGACGAAAGGCCGAGCTATCTTTGACTGTGAACATTCTTTGGAAGCTGTTAAAGGATCTTTGATGAAGAGTTGTGTCGTTTGTAACAGATCTGTCGCTATGCAACCTGTTTTTAAATGTAAAGGTAGGTGTCAGTTTGGTTACTCGAAATTTATTTGCAAAAGAGAAAGTTGTAAGAACGCTTAAAATTTATTGTTTTTCAGACTGTTCACTGTACCTCCACAACAATTGCCGATCCAGAGCTCCTCTGCCATGTCTCCCATTTGCTTCAAGCAAGAACCTGACGCCCCAGAAGAAGAACAAGTTCCCTCGACTGGTCGATCTTTGTCCAATTACGCCACCTTTGGTACCTGCTACTCTGATCAGATTGATATACGAGATTGAGACTAGTAGGATCGAAACAGAAGGATTGTATAGAATACCTGGGAGTGGGGTTTTGGTGGACAAGCTCTTGGCCAACATGAGTGGAAGTATTATTCCTCAACTGACTCACGAGTACACTGAGGTGTTGACATCGGCTGTCAGAAAGTTCTTGGTGAATTTGAAGGTGGGTTTTATTTAGAAAAGGTTTTGCCTACGTAAACAGGTTTAATATCTAAAATTTACGTAAAAATACACTAACTTGCTTTAACAAAAACTGCTTTAGGAGCCTCTGATTCCGAACTCGTCCTACAGCGAATTCATTCAGGCTTCCCGCGACGAAACCAATGGATCTCTGATGAAAGCCATCGCTGAACTCCCAGAGCCCAACAAAGATACCCTTGCCTTCATTTGTCTCCACCTTCAAAAGGTGGCTAAATTTGCTCATTCGAACAAAATGACACTTCACAATCTGGCCATTTGCATTGGACTGACTGTAGTGAAAGGTAGTCGCAGGGACGAGATAAACACATTCGACAGGAATGATGTTAGTCTGGAGGCGGAGAAACAGAGGAGAGTTATGTTGAAATTGCTGGAAATGCCTGAGGTAGGATAATTATATTATGTTAGGTGCTGAGGGTTTTACGCATATTTTGCGAATAAAATTAAGTTGTTTTTTTGATTTTATATCGTTTTAGATATTAAAAGGTTTTTTTGGTATTTTCGACTAAAATTTTTTTGAATTTTTTTAAAAATTTTAAAGAAAGTGTTTGAGTGCAAGTTCTAATTTTAGGACTACTGGTCCGGCTACCTCAACTCGCGTATGTGGATCGTGGCCTCACAAGTCCGTCCTCGCCCTTTCACGCCAGGCCATGCCGACCAGTCGTTACTCGGCCCAATCAGCGGAACCCCTCCAATGAACTTCACTCCGACGATGCGATCACAGAAGCGTAGAGGATTCAGAAACTGAAGCCCAGTTAATTTTGTACCACTCTTATTATATGTACAGAACAGTATTCTCGAGAAAACAATCGAATCTCCTCTACCTCTATCTACTTATCAATTTCGTTTATTTTGATTAAATTGAGTAATATCAGGATTATGGTTGGTTTGGTTAGTTATAATATAGTAATATGATCTTGATTTTATTTTTTTATGAATTTGGAATAATGTTTTGGTCAATTTAAATATTATTTCGAAAAGTTTTGCTATTTAACATACTTTAAATGCAAAAAATTGTTTTTCTTTTGATTAGTAATCTTTAAAGTCATCTTGACCATAAGGCTTCTTTAATATCGAAATTTACGAAAAATGACTTAATTTATAGTTAACTTGTGGCAAAACAGAGCCCAAATTGGTTTTTCTAAGAAATTCATAACAAAAGTCGTAATTTTTTAATAAAAACATCAAGGTTAACTATTTTCATAGTACACTATACTAAAAATTGACTGCTTTAGGGATTATGATGATTAAAATGATGTTAAATTGTCTTTTGTTTGAAGATGAAGCTTTAAACTAGGGTTTATGTTTGATTTCAAGTCTTTAAACGTGATTATATTGCTCGTTGAGCTGAAATAATGTGTATAGTGCAGTTGACAGTTTACAGTGTTAAGACCAGTTCACTGTACAAACAAAGGTCTTCTGTGAAGAATTCCGATTCAAGAATCTCACTTGATTTGATTTATTGTTAAAACCTTCGCTTTTTGCGGACGTCTTCTGTGGCCATCTGGTACTAAACTAATGATAAGTTTATAGAAGTCGTACCAGGAAGACCAAACTTGGCCCAAAAAAGCTATTTTTTCAAGTTTTAGAAATTCAAAAACCAGCCAGCTATTTCTACATCTTAATCTTGTAGTGCTCTATCCAATTCGTATAAAAACATTCAAAAATAGATTAATTTAGCTCATTCTTGACCCAAAATGGCGTAGTACGAGTTGGTGAGGCATTTGTCTGACAATCTTTCTGAAACATTACCCATTCATTAAACGTTTCAAACAGGAATTGCCATTTGTCCGTTTTATGGTGATTGTCAATTGTCGCGTTTTGCCTCAAAAACGGTGGGCGTGGCCTAAACATCGTGGGCCCCCGCGGCTACGATCGTCGGATTCTGGAGGGGATTGGCGCTGGTCCGCGGTCATTCCAATTAAAACGTGCCGAGAATGTCGCCGCTTTACACCGTACTTCTGGCCTTGCTCACGTTGTTGGTCGTGAACTCGGCCAAGGCCGACGATATGGATTCGTATTACTTCCGGCGCAACGCCAAATGGATCAGTCTGGCGCCGTCGGGCGGGTCGCTGGTCTCGGGGCGCGGCAACTTTCGGCCCGGTTTCTATGGACGAGGCGGTTCGGCCGCTTATATGGGCGACCCGGTGTTGTTCAAGGTAAGAAATGTTGTTTAATGTGATTGTTGCGTATTTGTCACTTTATGGGTTGTTCTAGACCTTCAGGTTTTACTTTATATTTGTTCTATTATGTTGTTCAAATAATTCTGCGCCCCTAGCTCCAAAAATTTGCTTTGAGAGGTAGCACAGAGTTTTTGAACAACTTAATAGATCATTTTTGTTAGTTTACGTATTGTAAAAGATGACATTTTTATCTAAAAAGTATTGTTTTGCTGTATATTGCACTAGACTAACTAGAATTTTAAAGTTTGAAGTAGGGCGAACTAAAAATTTGTTAAAATGATTTTATGCAAAACATAAAATGCCTATTTCTGTTACTATCCAGTACATTATATACTCTTATTTTCTATTTTTACGGCTTCCAAATACATTAAAGTAATGTCGTTAAAGACAGTGAAATCTCATCAAAAGTTTATGGCATTGTAATGTCTAAAAGTCTTCTGGGTATAACATACGACACTATGACATCATTTTAAATGTATTGTAGGGTTTTTTGTAAAAAATTGTTTTACGGATTCTACTCTACGTATTCTTAAATTTACAGATCTTATTATAGATACTCTTTTTATGTCAATTTCAAAATTTCAATCAGCAGCTGAATCTTCTCAAAAACAAAAAAATGTAAAGAAAGTTGTTGCCATTTCAAAAAACAGTTGAAAACGTAACTCCTGTTGCCAAATATAGCCCGAAACTAAACAATAATTGTTTTGATTACTTCTTAAGAATGCGTCCCTAATACGACCGTGTCTCGAGTTTCCTCCTCCGCGTTCGGCTTCTGGATTGATGAATGAATCCAGAATCCAGACGTTTTTCATTAATTCAAATTAATGTCTTGACGCTTTTGACAGTCAATATGTTACAGTTGTAGAAGAGTATTATAAGTGACAGTTGAATGAGGTTAGTCTAGTTAGAACATGCAATTGATATGATAGTAAGGTAATCTTATTGATGTAAAGTTAATATTATAGTATTGAGGTTCATGTTTTGGTAATAAAGTTAATACTATGGTAGCAAGGTTAGTATTTTAATAGTAAGGTTTATATTAAAAATGAAAATTTTTTACGATAAAAAAGATTTAATTATTAGTTACTACTAGGTCAAGTTGTGGCTGTAACTACTACAAGTTCAAAAAGTAAATAAAAAAGTTTTTTTTTAAATTTGTAAAAAAATTAAAGCCAGCACTTGTTGTTTAGAGTACTAATTTAAAAAAACTCTTTTTAGGTCAAAAATAATGTCTTACCATATTCACGACACTTAATGCATGACTATTTCAAGCACGTAGACTCGTTTTATAGGACAAAAACAAAAAACCATCTTAAAAAGTAGTAATGATATACGTATATATACATATCATAACAATTTTTCGTATATTGACAAGGCATGATGTAATAGCAAATACCTAGTGCATTTAAAAAGTTTCGTCGCATTAAAAAGTTCTATAATAACATCATTAGCTACTACAGTAAAACCTGTGTTTTATTCAGTAAACAGTTTTTACAAGCAATAAAATTACTGTGTACAGTAAAATACTACATATATACTATAGTACTATCGATGAGCTTTCGAAATACTTTTTTTAGTACATTATCTTAAAATCACTGCCATAAATAGTAAGGTAACGCCAAAACACAGTAAAAAGTTTTTTAGATACTACAGCTTTACCCCTAACAGTATAGTAACATTGCCTTTCCTTTCAGCGTTCTCAACCCTCGAACATTGACTTGGAATAAAGCACGGTGGCCAGAAGATGGAGAAAGAAGTATCAGTCTATTAAAGTATGGACAAGTAATAACCACAACGACGAGAAGACTTTTACCTGTAATAACCCCATGTATACGTAGCATTCTTTTATGTTTTGTTTTGATAATAAAGTTGTAATTTAGTTTTGAGTTTTTAATACAATACTAAGTACTAGGATTCGGCTGAAGAAGAAGTTAAGGTTTGATGTTACGAAGAAACTATTCTACCTGCCCCGCTCTGATTTACTTGACTTTTATATTAGGTTGTTAGGTAAGTCGTGGGCCCCCTTTCAACACAAATGTTTGAAAAATCAGGAAAAAATTAATATATATCGCAAATTGAAAATTTTGATGTCCTTTTATAGTTTAAAACCTATATTTTCAGAATATGTAAGTTTCAAACTTCTTTTAATTTTTTGTTTTGTTGTTTTAGTGGCCAGAACATTATAGGGCAAATGACGACTTTGGGTAGTGATGTAAAAGAGTACAAAACAAGTCGTAACGTTAAAACTACGGCCGGATTCATAAATAAGACACATGGACAAAGTATTGTGAGCTACACAACAGCAAAAATTTGGTTCCAAAAGCTTCCTTCTGGAGATGAGACGCTTGAAGAAAAGTGGAGGTCCTGTAGAGTAGTTCTCTATAATTCCTTGAAACTTGGCCAAACCATAACTGTTAGTACGTATTCTATTAATATTGACCAAATGCGCCACTATCTACCTTCAAAGTTGAGAAACAGAAGGTCAATTATTGTTCATGACAGTGTCCGCCCCCACTTGGCAACGATGACCGCAGAAAAACAACGGGTTTGGATACAAAGTTTTTGACCATCATTTGTATTTACTCGACATGATAGCTACATATTACCATATTTTCAAATCTTCGACAGCATTTATGTGTCAGCGACAATCCACTGAAGATGACGATGTCATGGAAGCCATCAAAATTTTCTTAGGCTCTAGAAATTCTGAATCGTATGCTACTGGGATAAAACTGCTTAAAAACGTTGGACACATTGTGTTAATGTTGATGATAACTATTTTGATTAATAATTAGTTCTTGTTGTAACGCAAAAAATTTTTTTCTGATACACGGTTAGGGGGGCCCACGACTTACCTAACAACCTAATAGAAAGGTTATGCAAATATAAGGTCTTCATCTAACAAGAAAAGTGCCCATCAGGCCCCGCTTTGATCGACTTCAAATTTTTTATATAGAAAGGTCCTGTAAATATAAAGAATTTCCCGCCATTTTATAATTGTGTTTCAGGCTTATAACTTTCTCATTTTTTAAACTTTTAATCATTTCTCGGCGCTAGGACAAATGCGGTTTTTGGACATTTGCGGATTTTTAAAAAGGGTTTTTTTTATTTTTTATTTAATTTAGTTGTAGTATGGTACTAAATGGTACTAAAGTTTAAATTGGCACTGTCTTAATATTTCTTAATGTTAAATAGTACTAAATTTTTAATCGGTACTGTTTTTATATTTTTGGTACTGTTATGTTAAAACCGTACCAATTCAAACTTTAGTACAATTTAGTACCATAATGCAACTAAATTAACTAAAAAATTTAAAAAAACCTTTAAAAAATCCGCAAATGTCCAAAATTCGCAAGTGTCCAAAAACCGAAGATCCGCAAGTGTCTAAAAACCGCAGATCCGCAAATGTCCAAAAACCGCATTTGTCCTAGCGCCCATTTCTCTTTAATATACTAGTAGTAAACCTTTAAATGAACCTAAATTTTTAAATTTCTAAGCGGCTCTTGTGTGGAAAGTTGAAAAAAGTGATTGAAACACAATGCCAAATTTGTCAATTAGCAAGAAATTAAAATATTTCAACTTCAAATCTTAAAAACGCAAGCTAAATTTTTTTATGGGTTCTACTAGCGGTACAAAAAATTTATTGAAAAGATTGGATCTGAGTTTCCTTTTTAGTTGGAAGGTTAGTTGAAGGTAAAAACAAGAGTTACTTTTTCAAATGTTGCAACAAGAAGCCCCCCCCCCAATCATCTTAAAATCCTTTTTAAAATTTTTTTTCTTTTTTCTGATGATAAAAAATGCTTTAAAATTGGGTATGGCATTACCATTCGACAAAAAATGGTTTCAAGCATCAATTTGAATGAATCATAATTTGTAGATCAGCTTTAAAAATGTGATCACGTCAAGCCTTCTTTTGAAATGATTTGTTATTACAAATTTTAATTCTTCTAATGATAAAAACAGTACAAACCTTGTTATCAAAATAATGCTTTGATGATGAACGTATGTTATACTGAATAAGGAATTTTAGTGTTATCTTAAGCCACAAAAGGGTGCACCAAGGCTTATAATATAACGACAGTTTTGCTTATGCGGTTTCATTCTTTTAAAATGTTGTTACTCTTAAGTGTTTTGTTACTTTGTAGTTGTGTCAGTGGACAAGAGGGAGAGTATTACATTGGAAGTAAGTTTTTAACAGATTTCGAAATTGTAAAACAAAAATAAAATTTTTTAAAAATTATGGCAATATAGGCAGAAAAAAGGCAAGAACTTTCTTTAAAAGGCCAAGAAAAACAAGAACTTTTTTACAAAAAAAATGGCAAAGACTTTTTTATATTTTATATGCCACCTTAACTTTCAGACTCACCATACGTTGCAACCTACTTTTCTCGTGACCCAACAGATGTCCACAAATGTGATCTGAGCTTAATAAATTCTGATTTCTTTCTTATTGGGAACAAATGTGCAAATTGTAAAGTATCATCAGATACTCAAGCTTATAATCCAAGGTAAACATCGAAAATTACTTTTTCAGAACAGGAAACGGACCTGCCTCACTTAGAATCATCCGAAGTTTTTATATACTTGTTTCAGCACCTACGGCTCAACTCCATTAAACTCTGGGTTTACTATAAAACAAGGTGAAGTTACCTTGAAAGGCAACAACTACAAAGGCTACATACAATCAACCATCTTCAACAGAAAGTCGGATGAAGTGTTACCTGTAGTCGAAGAAGCTGACAAAGATTACTCTACTAGTAATGTAGGCCTGTTCGGACTCGACTTTAAGAGCCAATACACAGAGAATGTCATTTTAAACAAGATATTGTCGTTTGGGTCTGAAAAGAAACTTATTATCAGGCGTGGTGCTTATCCTCAGATTCTGGTATGTTTTACTGTAGTTTATGAAAACTTAATTTGGTACTGACTTTTGACAGTTATATTGATAGCTACATACATGTATATGTTTATAATCACATGATATTGTTTTTCAGAAAACAAAAGTAGTAAAGGACAACAATATTCATGGTTATGTCTTGGCAGGTGAAAGTACTATGGATGGCTGTGGACCTTTCACTTACTATGATGCTAGCGCTGATGAAGGATTGGGTATTACTGGAATGTAAGTTAAGATTTTTTCATTTTTATTGTACAGTAAAACCTCTTTAGTATTACGTTCAATAGGATGTCATCTTCTTTATAATGCCAGCTTTTTTACCATCGTTCATAACATCATCGATGACTTTGAAAAATTAAAAATTTTTACTTTTGCAACTTTGTGCAGTAATATTTTTGAAAAAGACTGTATATAATAGTACACCATGACGTTTTTAGTCATTACATTGATGGAAACCCAATATCAGAGAAGACCTTCAAGTTTAGTATAGACCAATCTCTCCAAGTGCCTCAGGCTATCTATGATCAATATTACAAAGACGTGAAGAAAGAAGAAGATATACCTACATTTACCGTTAAATTTGGCCAACGAACATACGAAACAAAGCAAGAGTACTACCCAACATACTTGGACAAGTACCGTCAGACTATGACACTTTCAGTAGCACCAAGAACAGAGACCAATATTGTAGTACTAGGCAAAGAGTTCTTAAGAGATCGATGTCTTAGTATCTCTGCCAATTCTGATGGTAAAACCGTGCAAATTGGGTTGGCTGACATCGTGAAGTTAACTGATGACGTTGACTATGAAGATGATGCTCCACCCACTACTACTACGACAACTACTACAACTACTACAACTACAACTACTACTACTACGAATATTCCTACTACAACCACAACAAAGCCACCTGGTACTACTACGACTAATGTACCTACAACTACCACAACTTTAGGTACAACGACAACACCAACAACCACTACACCCAAGTCAGCCAGTAGTGTCATTGTCAATGTGTTGGCTATGGTTGTATTGATTGTTTTGTTTGCTATGTGATGTTATATCTTCTTTAAGCAGTTTCTTAATTTTTTTGTAATATTAAACAGATAGTAAATAAACGGCTCTAAATGTCTTATTTTGTAAAATATTAATCAAGAATAGTTTGATCTAGAAAGGTCTAATCTGCTGAACAATATTGTGAAGAAACTGAAGTATGATTGTTATCACAAACAAATAGTAATGAAACTTATCAAGAATTGGGTGTGCCGTTAAAGACCTTATTAAACAATGACTGTTAACTCTTTCAGTCATTTTATATTGTTAATACTTTGGAGATGATGCTTTTTGTTACTGTTTTGTTGGGCTGCTTCTCTTTTGTTCATTGTAAAGATGCAGAGTATTATGCTGGCAGTAAGTTTGACAAATTTGTGATAAATATTTAAACGTACTTTTTAATGTGTAACACTTGCATATTGTTTTATTTTAAAGGTTTTTTTTGTTAATACAAAAATAATAAAAAGTTATTTTATGTAAATCATTATCTTTGTTGTAAGCAACAATACATATTGATATATAAGCCCGGTTCGGCTTCTTTATAGAGCTAGGCCCGTAAAGAAGCCGAACCGGGCCTATTAGACCTACTTTCACGTCTAGTTATAAAACATTTATAATATTATACAATGTTTTAAAGGTACTCCATGCGTTAACACGTTCTTCACGGAAGACAAAAGCAATGCCTATAGATTGGAATTAAGTCTTCAAAGCCAACAGTTCTTTATCATTAGCAATCAGTGCGAAAACTGTAACGTATCAACGTCGGATAAACCATACGACCCAACGTAAGTTATAATATATTTGTAAATACTATGTTGCACCTCGCTTCATATCTCTGTATACGTTTGTATTATACTTACATATCTTTAAAAACGTAACATTTAAGCTTTTTTATAAAACATTTTTCAGAAAGTATGGTGCCGAGAAACTAAACTCTGGATTTTCTGTTAAACTAGCGGACAATACCTTGAAAGGAAACAACTACAAAGGCTTTATAGCTTCTTCAATCTTTGATAAGAAGGAGGATGAGATACTGCCAGTAGTTGAAAGTGCTGACAAAGAGTACTACAGTACTACACATGGACTATTTGGACTTGATTTTGAAGAAGTTAGTGATAACGTGATTTTGAAAAGAATTTTTGATTCACAATTAGTAAAAAAGATTATCATCCGACGTGGAGCTTACCAACAAGTCTTGGTATGTCATTACATAAAAGTAGACTTGAATGAAGTCTCTCTAGGCCTAGCTCGGTTTCGTTTAGTCTGAGGCGGACGGGTAATTTGAAAAAATCCGGGCCAGGTCAACATCGTGTAGGCCTGCAGGGTTTTAAATCAATGACTTTTTACGGGTTTATATAGTAACTTTGTAAAGCTTCCATAGAGTCAAGTCTTATTTCAAATTGGTTATGCCTATAACATTCAAAAAAACATAATTACTTATCATTCAAATACTATGTTTAATTTTGTATACAGTAATGACCCCAATGTTTAGAAAGACAAAGAAGTAAAGCCAAACGGCATCCACGGCCATATACTGGCAGGAGCCGATGCAATGGAAGGTTGTGGAACTTTCAGCTATCATGACGCTGAACAAGGTCAAGGATTGACACTTAAAGGAGTGTACGTACCTTTTATTACAAACTTTTAAAATTTCTAAGTTCTTCGTTTGCTCTAGGCTTTAATTTAAAAAAAGTTAAATACAGTTAAGCTTTTCTAGTATGATACTCAAGGGACTGGTCCAAACCTGTCTTTATAAGCAAGATGTAACACTGTTAATAGTCAGACTAAAGATGTTTTACTGTACACTTTAGCTATAACTTTTAATTTCAGAGTCAAAATTGGGAACAACACACTCGAGTCAAAGAACATCAAATTTGACCTTGATGGCCCGTTACGTATACCTCAAGACGTCTTTGACAAAAACTATCAAAGCATAGTAACAGAAAGCGCAGTACCTCAAGTTACCGTGACTATTGGTGCCAAAGAGTATGTCACAAAACCAGAATACTTTGTCAACTACGAAGATGAGTACCGTGAAGTGCTGAAGTTGTCGGTATCAGGTGGAGCTGAGCAGGACGTCATTGTACTAGGTAGAGAGTTCTTGAGAGATCGTTGCATTAGTATCTTCCTTAATTCTGATGAAAAAGGTGTCCAAATTGGTTTTGCCGATATTGTGAACTTAAAGTCAGATGTTGACTATGTAGAAAGTCCAGCTCCAACACGAACGCCAACTACGGAAGCACCAGAAGGCACTACTAAAGCGGTTGGTGAAGTTGTTGTCAATGTTTTAGCTATGATTGTCATGGTTGTTTTGTTTTCTATGTAATTTTTATGTCGAGATTTAATAAATACAAAATTTAAAAACTTTTGAAAATTTTTTATGCAAATTGTAAAGAGGTTGGTTACTAAAAGCGTCAGGTGAAAAGTTTGACCTAAAAACCAGAAAAATTTAAAAATTTTTGAAAACTTTCAAAATAAATTTTTAAAAATTATGTTTTTAATAATGTAAGTAAAAGATGTCAAAGTGTAATAAATAAAAATTTAAACTTAGAAAACAGATTGTAAAAGTAGTATACAAATTCAAACAATAGTAAAATAGACTTCTCCTTTGGCGCCGCACTCACAAGATCAAGATGCGCTGGACTGCAGGGTCGCATAATCCAACTCTACCCAAACTCAATAAAACGGCCTTCGCATTATATTCACCTCAGTATGTATAACTCTTTGAGGTCAATGTGTATAAATTTGGAATTTGATATTAAAACAGATATTATAAATATAAACCTAATGGAACTAACCTTATAGAAAAAGCAGTCCGAAGCATAATAGGCTTTCTTTCAGGTCTAAATTAAGCAATTTGTAATGATAGCTTTCACGCCGCTTTCCGTAATAAAACTTCTTTCAAAAATTACCTGGATAGTTTAAAAACTTGGTTACAATGGCGCGTAGACCCAGCTCTTTGAGTGTCATTCTAAAGAGTTTTGACCATACTTTGTTTTATAAAACATGTTTATATACTCCTTCTTTATAAATGATGCATATCTCAATGTGACTAATTTTGTATCATTAGTTCTAAGCTTAGGCTTGCTCGGCAGTAAATGTGAAACTGTACTGTACTATAAGGGAAGTAAGTTGTTACATGTCCTATATAATCACAAAAATTAAAAAAAAAATTTTTTAATTTTAAAATTGATTTGTTCAAATAATTCCGTGCCCTCTAACCCCAAAAATTTGCTTTGATAGAGACACAGAATTATTTGAACAACCGAATATTTTTAAAAACTTTCAGATACACCTAACATTCAGGCCTACTTCAATAATGTGCAGAGTAAAGATGAGTACAGGGTTAGCTAAGATCTGTCAACATCAGATTCATTTATTATTGGCAGTAAATGTAGCAATTGTAAAATAACAAATGGAGAGAAGTTTGATCCAGCGTGAGTTGTTATAGCATAGATATCTATTAGGCTGTTTAAATAATTCTGAGCTCTTAACCCTAACAATGTGCTTTAAGATGTAGCACAAATTTAATTAAACAACCTAATAACTCAAAAGCATGGCGGTAGTAGGAAGAGTAGAAAAACAAAAACTGATTATATTATAGTAGCTTTACATTCCTCACTTTAAAAGCCAAAACCTCTCCTATTACTTCAGAAAATACGGGTTCGATAGCTCTAACCTTGCAAAACTTCAACTAGTATACAACAACAATGTCCTGTACTGTCAACAGTACCGAGGAACTGTAGGATCATCTTTGTTCCCATCTGAGAGCAACAGTGTTATCAATGTTGTTGAGAAAGCCGAAACCAACTTTCATCTAGAACATTCTGGAGTGTTTGGGTTGAGTTTTATAGGAGATTACAAAAAGAATGACATTTTGAGAAGGACACTGACTTCTTACAATGTTAAGAAGAATCTGATCATTAGACGCGGTCCTTATCCACAAGTTTTGGTATGTTGTTTTAGGTTTTGTAGAGGATAATGTTTGGAAAATATAATTATAAGTATTAGTGTTATAATATTATAAAAAAAGGCAAAAACTCTATGTTCTATAAACTTTTTGACCTGATTTTTTGAAAATCGATAAAGTTGTCGAAATTATTTAGAAAAACAAGGAAGTTCAGTCATTTTATGTGCATGGTCGTATTGTTTTAACTGAAGACGAAAGCAGTGATCAAATACATTGTACTGATTTCGCTTATTTCCTTTCAAGTGTCATTGGATTGGCATGGAAAAATGAGTGGGTTTTCTATATTAACAAGGAAATTGCCCTACTTGAATGACTTTAAAGTTTAAACTTTTTATAAAGGAAGATCATGTAAATATACATAAGAAGTTAAAAAATTACTAAGTTGCGCTTTTCAATCAATTTCTTTGTTTTAGAATTGAAATCGACTCAAAATCATACGAAAAATTTGTAAAGTTTTCTCCAGAACGAAAGACGCTAGTGTCACAAGACATCTACGACAACCACTACAGTAACATTCGCCATGAAGAAGACATTCCAGACTTGAAAGTTCAACTCAGATTAAAACCTAACGATAATCACGTCTCCAAATTGTTCACAGTACCAAAACAAAACTTTGTGCAGTACCAAAGGGGAGAATTAGCAGTACCAGTGCACCCAAGTGTGGATGGCATGGATTCGTTGTTTTTGGGTCAAGAGTTCTTCAGAAATCAATGTGTCAGTTTGAGAGTGAACTCAGATGACAAACTTGAGATTGGGTTTGCTGACACGACACCTTTGCCAGACGACGCCAAGTTTGATGAAATTATAGAAACTACAACTAAAAGTAGCAATCTTGTGAAGGACAACTTTTTGTTTGTGGCATTCTGTTTCATTTTAGGGGTTTTGTTTATTTAAATAAAGTTTTTTCGTTTTTTTGACTTCCTTATGAGCCACCACCGTTACACTGCTGTGATAGGTAGATAAAGTTCTCTAAAAGCTCAATTTATTACAAATTTTTACCGTTTTTAAATTTACTTACCCCACACACAACTACGAAAAGGCCCTACTACAATATCTTACGCATACCCACCCATCCCTTAAATTTTACCTTAAAACCAAAGAATTTCCTTGCTCATATCATTACTGGTAAAAATGTGTGATTACAGCTTGCAATGTATCTTTTAAAAACTTCGCAAAGATCAGAATCAAGGTCGGGTTAATTAACAAAGTTTCTGAACCGTTTCCGGCGTTTGATAAGTGACCGACTTCGAGGGCGGGGTAAAACAACATTGGCGTCGGCGTCACACCGCCAACGGCATCTTTTTGTTGTTGACATTTCGGGATGTTAGTGGGTTTGTTTTTGGTGCGATTGTTTTGTTTGGAGGGTTGTTGATTTGTTTTTGTTGGAATTATACTTTAAAGAAGTATATTGCAAAATTCAAAATGTGGGTGGGTCAAAAAGTTTGTAGGAACAAATGTTTTTTAATTTTTGCTAATATTATTGTACATATTTACTGTCTGAAAAGAAGAGCTTACTGTCCCATAAGGCTATAATTTAGCAAGTTTTAATATATTCTCTTGTGTAAAAAGTTTTGAGCCTCTACTCGTTGCGCAACAAAACTTTACATAAAGCTAAGTAGCTCAAAACATTTTACACAACCTAAACAAATATCTAAATTTTTTAAATTTCGAATTTTCAAAAGTTTAGATGATTCAGAAGCTGTTGATTCTAGAACAATGTTGTTTGTTGTTTGAGCCATCCCATTACTTTGTATGTCTAAAAAACATTCCTTTTCAATTGTAATAGGTACGTATGATCCGATTAAAGATAGTTGCAAAGTAGCGCAAAGTATTAAGGTCAAGTTTTTATGAGGCCTAAAAAGTTGTCATCGAAAGCGTAGTTTTTGTTGGTATAAAGAAAAAGAATGTCACATTTTTAGCAATTTTAATTTTTTTTACTTTTTGGTGATATCACTTGATTTCTAGCTTAATATCTTAAAGATTTCAATAGAAAGTAAAATAAAAGTGATTCTATAGACTTTTTGATCCCAGAAAAGTTTTTCACATATTAGATTGTTCAAATAATACTGTGCCTTAAGATTAGGCTGTTCAAATAATTCTGTGCTTCCTATTTTTTTAAATTTGTTTCGAAATAAGGCACAGAATTATTAGAATAACCTAATATTGAAAAAAATATTTTTGAGGTCAAAAAGTTTATAGAATGTAATTACAACCCTCACGCCTCGTCATTCTATGTTATATGTTTACACTACAGTAATCCCGCCAATCTAATTGATATTGCTCAATGTCTACCGCCTTCCACGCTCTTCCAGAAGTCCAGGAACCGGTCTGCTTGGAAATCGGCTTACGTCGTATTTTGATTCCAAAAAATGAGATTTTTTATTTGCCTTGAGCAAAGTTGCATTTGGCGGCGATTCTCGGGTAATCATCGTATATGGAGGGAGGGGATACGATGATTTACTTTATTAATCAGGGATTTTATTTCTTTTTTTTTGAATTTTTTTGTTGATTTCAGGTCTTCTATTGAGCTTCTTGTTGATCTCGCTTCTATCATATTATACTATCAAACTTTCCTTCTTCTCTACCCCAGACCTTGACCCTTCTCCCCCTACTCGTTTAATGACATTATGTAATTTATCTTTGGTATAAGACAGTTAAGATACTATTAAGATACTTTTAAGATATTTGCAGTCGTTCCAAGACATGCCAATTTTTATTTTGCTAAGATTTTTTATGTAATGAAAGTATTGAAACTTTAACATTATATTTTATGATCAAAAAGCTCCTTTTATTAACAAACTACTGCTTACGCTACTACAACATGACTAATTGGCTACGTATAAAGTGCTTTTTACAGTGTTGTAAACTTATATTCTGAACATTCTCAAAGTTATAGTCTGAGCAGTTTTTTGAAGTTAATATTCTACCCTTTCCTAATGGCGAGAAGGCAAGAAAGAGGTAGAAAGTAGAGAAAAAAAAGGTAAAGAAAAGAGGGTTTTATCAATTTTTGAATGTAAAAAATAGTTTTTAATTTTAAAATATTTTTTGACTTGCCTTTCCCCACCCACTGAAACCTCACCCCTCTTTCCCAGCCTTTACACATAACATAGACCAAGGTTCTTTAAACTTTAATATTCTACCTTAATATACCCGCCTCTTTGAGAAATAAAAAAAAACTTTTTTTTTCGAATTTCACTACTGAAAAGTTATTGTAGCTCCCGCTGATTTACTGACAAGTAACATAAACTTTCTTGACTGGCTTTACGTAACGGAAAGTTTGAGGAAGAGGAACTATGTTAATATAGGGCGATGAGTTACTCAGAGAGTATTTGGGGAATTGGTGACTTTTTCAGGGTATTGAGAGTTTGAGGATTTCGAGGTTGTATTTTAGCTTTAAAAGGCTTTACAAAGATCTAAAAACGTAAAATATTCCTTTTCCTCCTCTTTGCTCTACATTGACTCTACCTCAGTATACAGCTTTTTATGCCGTTATTTATATGTTTTACTGTAATATATATATTCGTACTGCCACTAATATCTCTCTGCATATAACCTGTAAAACTCAATTAATAATATACTTTTCCAGTTTTCTTTACTGCCATCTTACCATCCCATTGTCACTAGTAAAAGCAACCTCAACGTGCCAGTAATCATGGTGAATTCCATGAAAAATGGGGTTACAACGATCTCAGTGACATCTTCAGAAGACTCGGCTTCTAGCCTTCCTACGACTTCAGATTCCGACATGACTTCACAAAAGAATGTCACACTATCTGGGTCTTGTATCAACAATCTGTCAGACAAAATATTTCGCAAGATTGGTCATTTGGTCGCGGATTGGCCTGTTACTATCTTAGTCGTACGTTATTTCACAATTTTGGGGCTTTTTACCTAGTTTAAAGATTATTTTAAGCTGTGCGTGAGAAGTACAAGATCATATTAATTTAAAAAATTTGAAAAAAGCCGTACAAAGTCCAACAACTTACTACAACAACATTCCTTTTCAGATAATCTCAGTGTTCACCCTAGCTACCTCACTTAAAGTCGCAATAACAGAACAAGAAGATGACCTCCGTACAGGCTACACTCCTGTTGGCGCCAGAAGTCACGATGAGTTTGCTGCCTACGAAAAGTTCTATGATAATATCGGCGGTGAACCTTTGAACACGATTTTGTTTGTAACGCCAAAAGGTGAAAATGGAAACATGATTGGAGCTGCAGAGCTGAATGAGACAATGCTACTGGTCGATTACATCGGAGTCAACTTCAACTTGACCAGTCGATCTTTCTACAAATTCTGCACGGATTTCTGCGAAATGAACGAGCCGATCAGGCAGTTTAGGGTGGGTTTTTAGGTCGAATCTTAAATCATGACTAAAAAACTTGAAATTATTAAAAGTACAGTATCTTTACCACGCTTTCAATGAGTTTATTTCAACTTTTGGAACTTTTTCCAGGCTTAGAATAGCATAAAAGGGATGAAACAGCGCAAAGCTATTAAAAATTGCCTTTGTAAGGCATTTTCTATAAACTTTTTGCCCAAACCAACAGTGTTTTTTTTTAACTTTAAAAATTGTTAAAGTCATCAACTTTTTTAATTTTTAAAAATCGCTCTTCTAGAATGCCAACAAATACTATCCTTATTTCTTTTCAGAACGGCATAGTTCTCCACGAAGAGTTGGTTAAACTCAATCAGACGTCCGTAGACGCTTCAGATGATCGTCTAGAATTATCATTCCCTTTCATGTCAATCCTAGGCAAGCAGCTCGACTTGTCGCCAAACTTTTTCGGAGCAGAAAAGTACGAAACAGAAGAAGAACAACGGCTAGCTGGTTCTCCAACAAACATCAAGAAGCTGAAGCTGATTCTGATTCAATTTAGAGCTGACAAACCAGCCAATGCTTCGAAAAGTGACGTGGACAAGTATGAACGACAGATCACTGATTTTGTTAACAAGTAAGGTTTTAGGTAGTGAATTTCGCATATTTTTTAAAATTTTAAAAACAGAAAGATTTTTAAACTCTTAAAGTTGCCACAGTCGTATTTTACACATTTTTTTTACAAATTTTGACAAATGATTATCAAAAGTCATAAAGCAAAGATGCAGCTCACACTCTTCGACAAGATTTATATTTTTTGCTTCAAATCGCCTGCGGCGACGCCCTTTTGCGAAATGTTTATTTTTTGCAAAATTTTATTTATTAGGGCATCCCTGCTTCTTCTATGATCGATCGTCCCCCTCCCTTTTTTTAAAGTCTGGAAATTCATTTATCAATCGAGTTGTAACAGAACTCGGTTTCCGGTCGGCAACTTGTTAAAACTATTTGTTAACATTAAAAACGGCTTAAAATTAGTTTTAAATCTTATTTAAAACAATTTTTTGTTTTAAATTTTCTTTCAAAGTTCATTAAAGGTTTTAGAATACAAAAATTGAGTGATTAAGGGAGTAAACCATAAAGTAGACAAAGAGAAAGTTTAAAAGAGTTTGGTAAATTAGATCAACAAAGATCACTCTTTTCAACATTCAAAACGAAACTTTTTTTTGTATACAAACTACTTTTGGAACTTACAAAAGAATTTGCAGAAAAAATTATATAGGGTTTTTGAAGTTGTAGTAGATGGCCTTTATAACAAGGAAGAAGGGGTGAGAAATGGATCGGCCTTGAGCTAAAGTTATATCGGATTGAAACTCAAGGCCCGGCCCGTTGCACGTAAAAAAAATTGGGTCGGATCTGGCTTCACAAATTGGGTCGGACCTGGCTTCACGAGGTAAAAATGAAAACGGGCCTCATCTTATATTTACATGATCCTTCAATATGAAAAGTTTGAAGTTAATCAGAACGAGGCAGGTCGGGCACTTTCCTTGTAAGTAGAGGCTTTTCAGGGCTTGTAAGGAGTAAGCTTAACTACTAGAAAGAACATATAGTTTATAGCCACATTTTAGACTGAGCAGGATATGCGGGCGAGAAACGAAAATGGAGCCGGGCTCAACTTCTAAGCTCGGCCCGATTGTAGGGCCGGGTTGGGTTGGGCCTACACGGCTTGGTTCGCACCCTTATTATGATTAAACAAACTTTCTGTTCAAGTAAAAGTTACAGTAACTTACAATTAAAATTTTTTAACTTTAATTTTGACCTTTATATTATGAAATAAGGTGTAAGTAACAAGTATTTGTTGATGACGCAATTGAAATCGCCGAATTCGTTAACCCCACCCGCACAACGGTATTGTAAAGTATACTCTGTAAAGGGCGTAATTGACACGGAACTTCTCGAATATTTATTGCGAGACATAAAACACAAACTGTGAACGTCAATTTACAACTGTAACGTTATGAACGAGTATATGAGTTGGGAAAGGCACGTAGATGGAGTTTGTGATGTGATTGTGGTGATATTACTATTGTGATGTTATCACTTTGGTGAATAAGGCGCATAACTTGTTTTTGTGGTCAATATAAGATTGAAAACAATAAAAAATGTAAAAAATGGCATGAATAAGCTACGCATTACATTCAAAAACAGTACCAAAGCATATAACAACAACATGTTTAATAACGGTTACTGTAACAAAAAGCTCAAAATAAAATTTTTCAGAGAATACAAGGGCCAAACGATTCGCCCTCTAGCTCTTACTGTAACTCTAGCCAGAGATGAGATCATCAGAACAGGCATGACACTGTTCCCTTATCTATCAGTCGGCTTTACCATCATGGTTACCTTCTCCATCATCTCTGTATTCCTAAGTGCTTTCTACTACAATCAATGGACAAAACATAAGTTATCATTGGCTATTGTTGGTTGTGTATGCCCATTGTTGGCTACTTCTAGTGCTTTGGGCTTCTTGTTTTGGTGCAAGTTCAGGTTTGGTACCATCTTGGCGGTTACTCCGTTCTTGGTCATGGCTATCGGTGAGTTATTCGTATTAATTTGGCTCTTTTTAGAGTTTGCAAGTCTTTTTACTGTGATAACTTACAGTAAATTTTTTTAGTTAGTGTTTTCTTTGCATTTGTGTTTTTGACGAAATGTCACATTGATTCTTGACATTTTGTCAAAATCTGAGTTTCTATAGGCAATCAAAATAATGATAAAAAGTAAATCTAATATGGCGTAAAAAGTAATCTTAACTTATTTTGACATAAAAACTACATACTTTGTCTATTTGTCTATGTACAGTATTATGTTCACAATAGCTACTAAAATTTCCACTATAACATTCTCTAATACTACTATAATATTCTTTAATTTACTAAAGCGTCTACTATAACATTCTCTAACCCTTCCTAACTTTAGGCGTGGACGACGCTTACCTAATGATCCATTCTTGGCAACGAATCTGCTCAAAACAATCAAAGAAACGAGCTCTAGCTCCTCGCAACGCCATTCTCGGAGATTCCCTTCGAGATCGTGTGGCAGAAGTTATGGTAGATGTGGGTCCATCGATCACAATCACATCCCTAACAAATATTCTGGCGTTTTGTGTCGGAGTTTTGTCTCCAACTCCAGAAATCAGCTTGTTTTGTGCTGGAAATGCGATGGCCATCTTCTTCGACTACGTTTATCAGTTGTTCATGTATGGTCCGGTTATTGCGATAGTAGGAAGATACGAAATGAAGGATGAGGAGGCTATGGACAAGAAGAAGGCTGAGGATGAGAATTGGGTTAGACAGGTGCTCAGGGAGAAGGTAGGTAATGATCGTAGCTTTAAAAATTAATTCTTTAGTCTATTAGGTTGTTCAAATAATTCTATGCTCTCTAGCCGCTGAAATTTTCTTTGAGAGGGGCACAAAATTAATTGAGCAATCTAATAGTTATACGTATTTTTGTTTTCTGACACTTGAATACCTCAAAGAAACTCACAATAAGTATATTTTCAGTTACTATCCTTCATGTCCAACTATTGTGCCTGGATATCGAACAGCTTTACCTCAGTACTCGTGCTGGTGATTCTGATCGGCTACTGGATTGCAGGTCTAAATGGAACTTTGAGTATCGTGCCCAGAATCACTCCAAAGAAGCTGTTTTTAGCTGATTCTGTCATTAACGATGTAAGTTATACACTTTAATTAACATACCTTATATGGATTAGGTTGTTCAAATAATTCTGTGCTTTTCTCAAAGCTATTTTTCTTATGCGGCACAGAATCGTTTGAGCAACCTAATAATCTATAATAATATTACGAATATCTTCTCATTTCAAAGTTTAAAAATTTATTTTCTCAACCAAAATAATTTAAAAAATTTCAGATGAACATGTTGAGAGACGAATACATTCAACAAAGTTACTCGCCCATGACATTGTTTATAAACAATGCTACGAACCTTGAAGACCCGGTAAGAAACAGCCGACTTCGACAAATGATCGAGCGATTCGAAGCCGAACCTCACAATCTTGGAGCCGAATTCTCACACTTCTGGCTTCGAGACTACGATAAGTTCATGGTAAGGGTGTTTACTGTTATTGCGTTTTCGAGAGGAGAGGGGAGGGGTAAAACAAACTCTGTAGTAGTGCATGATAGTGCTTACTACCTTTTCCTGTTGAATACTATACAATATAAATCATTACTTTTATAGGAAACAGCTGCTGAAGAACCAGAAGATGAAGGTATAGAAGCAGAAAATGGCTTACAGTACGACAGACACCATCTAGATGCCTTTTTGAACTGGCCTGAATACCATCATTGGGGTGGATTCTTGAGATTTGATAGTAATACGAAGTATGTTTACCAAGGTTTCATAACGTTTTCTTTGTTTGTATTACCTTACTGTAACCTTTCTATTTTATATTGTCTTACTGTAACTTTTGTACTTTTTATCGTAGTTCCTTAATTATATAATTTTATTCTAATTTAACTTCAGATCCCTCTCCAAATTCATGGTGATAATGGGCTTCCACGGTAAAGAACTAATCTCCTGGGAGTACCGTGCCGTGCTTCTAAACAAATGGCGTTCCATCGTCGACGAATTCCCTGAATTCTCGGCTTCTGTTTGGGTTGACGATGCTCCATTCCTGGATCAGATCCAAACCCTGGTATCATCTACCACAAGCTCGAGTGCGTGGACGTTAGCATGCATGGTCATCGTATGTTTGCTGTTCATGAACAACCTGTTCACACTGTCCGTAGCCACTTTATCCATTGTGTCAATTTGTCTTGGAGTGTTTGGATTTATGTCGTATTGGGGGCTGGACCTGGACCCCATCTCCATGGCCACTACCATAATGTCAATCGGGTTCTCGGTCGACTTCCCAGCTCATATCACGTATCATTATTACCGAATGGGCGAGGATTCTAGATGTCTAACTCCACAGCAAAGGATATATCACTCGTTGGTGTCTATTGGGTACCCGTTGATCCAATGTGGCCTGAGTACAATCTTCTTCGTGATGTGTTTGAGGTTTGTGGATACCTACATGAGTGAGGTGTTTGTGAAGACTATGGTATTAGTCGTGTCACTGGGAGTTATCCATGGGCTGTTTATCATTCCTACGATATTGTGTGCCTGTTCGAATGTGTATGAAGCTTTCTGTAGTATGGTAAGTTTGGTTTCTTACTTTTAAAACAGTTAGTACCTTGATATTACACTTGTATTTCTTTATATTCTTTTTTCATTAAAATTCAAATTTTATAGCTATATCTATAAACTAAAATCATATCTAGTTATTTGAAATATTAAATTTTCAGAAAAAGCCATCAAAACCTCGAGCATCGCCAGGATTCAGCCTGAGGCCAAAAATCATCCCAATAGGATCTTTTATGACCAAACACTAAGCTTGGTCATAGTACTAAGTAACCCACTGCCACAACCCCATGCCGATACTTGTACTACTTAAAAAATCTTGTTACATTATTATCCTTTGTTATACTATCATTCTGGCTATAGCATATTACACATACGGGTCAACGTTTTTATTGTTTTTTGATTTTAAATAAAGATAACAACTAATGGCGCTTATAACTACACACAAATATGCAAAGATAGTGTTAGTGTAAAGCTAGCAGTTTTGAATTGACAATTAGGAGCTCAAAAAGAAGTATCGGCATTTAACATAAAAGACTAGATTATAGCCATTATGGGTGTATCTTACTGTAGACTTTATGCTAAACATACCAATACCAGTTTAAGCTCCTAATATTATTCATCCTTCTTCTTCTTGTCCCCAGAATCCCCTTCCAGAAGCCGTCGTGTCACCTCATCCTCTCGACTTTCTCGTAACCTGTTAGTCTGCCGAGGATTGTTGTCTCCAATAATGAACTTGCCATCCTCACCTCTTGTTATCATAGGTCGACGTAGCTGTTCTTCCTCACGTTGATACCTCTCCAATCGTTTAGCTCTCTTAATCTCCATATCCATTTCTCGTATCTTCGTCACCATCTCCATGGCTTCTCGAGATTTGTCGTTTTCACCGTACATTCGATTCAGAATACCTTGAGGCTCGTTGAAAGGATTACATAAAGTGCTGAATAAAGGATTGCCAGGTAAGTGATCTCGAGATTGATGCATCGCTAATGATTGTACGTTCTCTTCTTCGGAGACTTTCAGATCTTCTTGTGGAAAGAAGGCTCCAGCTACATAACGACGCTCTTCGTTCAGGTAGTTAAACGTAGTCACGGCTTCTTCCTGAAGAAAATTTTAATATCTTGCTCAAATTAAAACTGAAATAAAAAACATTTTAAATTATATAATATAAAGTTATTTGCTTAATAACAGATATACTATCACTAAACTTACCGATACTAATAATTCAATTCCAACTCTATATTTAGAAGACAATTTAGCAACATTCCTCCTGACTATATCAAGGTTCTTCCTAGCCCCGACTCCCAAAACTAGCACATCTAATTTCGGCCGAAGAGCAAAGAACAAGCCCAAACTTTCCTCATTTATGTCCTCAGGTCGACAAACTTTCCATGAAACTGCAACAGTCGGAAACACAGCTATAGGACCCCAAAGAAAGTTGAAGTCGTACAGTCGGAAACCAATCGCACTCATTCCACGAATTCCCACCTAAAATGTAGAATTAAAGCAATATTGACGTTCTTTTAACCTACTTAAATGTTAATTTTGCCTAAACTCATTAAAAAACAATAAGAATACTTACATATGAATCCGTAACTTCCTTTGACAAGTATGTTAATCGTGTTGAGAAGCCCACATCACTTTTACCGGTCGGAACGTTCATCAGGTTCTCATGTAAAGGAGCATCTCCTTTTGCGTAGCGTCTAGCAGCTATAGATGTAAGGGGAATCCGTTTCAACAGCATCAAGTTTTGCCCGGAATCAAAAGACAAGAAAAAACTTGATCAAAAACAAAAATTTTTAATTTATTTTTTATAATAAATAAGTTATACGACGAAACCTTTCTCACTTCTTCATACAGTCAACTTTCATCGTATAACCTTAGACATATTTTTGTTAGTTTTTTGGCAAAAATTAAAGTGAAGGTAACACGATAAATTATAAGAATTACTTTATAAAATGTCTTTGTACGACGATATATTACCAACTTCAAGCACGGAGTCTAATTCAGGTTGGTTTTAATTTTTCATAACTTAAAGATTAATAATTTTTTTATATCTTTCAAACATTAGAGTAAATTAAGTAGAGTTTTGAGCATAAAAGCGTGGTTATTTAAATATATACTTTAATATTGTGTATTTTAGAACCAAAGCCGGCTTCTCAAAACTTTTTGTTCTTGAAACAACAGCTGGAAGCGAAGAAAGCCCAAATAGCTCAAAGCAAGTTCAAGCCTGTAAGTTAATTTATTTTTGTTTTCTCAAGTTTAGAAATTCACTTCAGGTGTTCTATAACAATACTTTAATATTTCATTTCTTACTTTAATGTATATCGTCTTCAGAAGCCCACAGGTGTTTCAAATCTGAAGCCACAAGTTTCTGTGCCTGTTATCCAGCTAAAGCCAAATAATATTTTAAAACCGAGGAAAGCGAAACCACTACCTTTAGATGGACCACCTTCTTTTAGCATAATTCCTCAGGCCAAAAAGGAGGAAAAGGTAAGGTGATCTTACTTTACATAAATCGTATAGACAGATACATAGGCGGTAAAAAATAACGCAAATGAAGATTTCCGGTTGGTTTAGTATTAAAATAAGTTTACTTTGTTTTTTTTTAAATTTATTGCTATTTCAGATAATTTTATTCAATGAGGTTGAAATAATAGACGAATACAATCCATTAACTCCTACAGATTACATGGTTTATAAGCCGAAGAGGTCAGTTTTTATTATTACTTTTTCAATATTTAGGTACATACTATTTGAAGTGCACATTATTTATTCGTCCAACCCTGACGATAGACTTAAAATTTACTTTTAAGAGAGCTACAATTGTCAAAAGAACGGATTGCCAAGGAAATTGCTGAAAGATTAGCCAAGGAACATGAGGAAGAAGAGAAGAAACGAAAAGCTTATGCTCAATTTGCTCCACCTCAGGCTTTGATCGAGAACAATGTTGTTATGGCAGAGCCTGAACCAGAACGTATGTTTTTATAAGTACTGTAAAACGTTTAGCATAACCTTTTGGGGCTACTCAGTTTAAAGGTCCCATCTCATTACAGGGTCCCATGCAAATTTTATTCATTAAAATTGCATTTTTTTACAATTTTCATTGTAAAAATATCGCGAAATTGAATCGCGGTTGCTGTACCTGAAAACGGCCTCGAAAAAGTAAGTTGACATCAATGTTTTAAAAAGTTGGGACCCATATCTAAGAAGTGGGACCCATATCTAAGAAGTGGGACCCATATCTAAGAAGTGGGACCCATATCTAAGAAGTGGGACCCATATCTAAGAAGCGGGACCCATATCTAAGAAGCGGGAGCCATATCTAAGAAGTGGGACCCATATCTAAGAATTGGTTCCTAAATCTAAGAAGGTGAAACCCGTAACTAAAAAGTTTTAACCAATATATAAAGAACTATACTTACCGTGTAGGTATTTTTGTGAAATACGATCAAGTGAATCCATCATCGGCAAGTGTCTCAGGAGAACCATTCATCGGACGTTGATTGTCGCTGGCAAAACCCACTTCAAAACATTGTCACGGACCACTAGTAACAACACGACCATCCATGGTCTTGGCAAAAAATCAGAATGAAACAACCAATACAACCGATTTTCGGTTCTCATAAAATTTAAATTTTGGGACCTTCTATTGGGTCAAAAATTGGGGCCTTTTACTGGGTGGCGTGGGACCTTTAAACAGAGTAGCGCCCCTTTTTTATATACGAGGTTTTACGGTACTCTAAAGTATATTTTACTGTGTCGTTATAGCTGTACTGCCGGTAAAACCAGTAAAACGAGGCTTGGATTTGGCTGCGGACATCATGTCGAAGATGGGGTACCAAGAAGGAAAAGGCTTGGGGAAGAATGAAACTGGCATAAGCTCGGCTTTGAGAGTGGAGAAGAAGGGCCGTCATGTTGGTATGATTGTCGATGGGTCAAAAAAGTCATGGGATCGAGATACATATGGAAAATGTGAGTTATCTGAATAAAAGTTAACTTATGCATCTGACTGTAATTTTGGGGTATTATAAAAGTTACTGTAGGTAATCCTCATGATGCTACTTAGATTGACCATCAAAAGAGACATTTTTATGTTGTGTTTCAGACGTGACTCAACAGACCAACTTCAACACGAAGGATATGGTTCAAAATGCCTCAAAGATAGTGTTGATCAAGGTAAGCATTTGAAAACATTGTCATATCTGTTTTTAGAACATGGTAACACCTTCTGACTACGAGGAAAACATTCAGGAGATTGTGGAAGACGAAATGGCCAAATATGGAGCTGTTAGTAAAGTTGTCATCCATGAGGTAAGGTTGTTCGAAAAATAGTGGCTTCGTTTTGTAAACTACAATTTTTATTCAATGTAACACAAAAAGTGTACTAGCAAGAAGATATTCGTAGACAAAACTGTTATTTTAACTCTTTAAAATGTAATAAAATTTTTTAGGTACCAGATGCTCCAGAAAACGAAGCCATTCGTATCTTCGTTGAATACACGAATCAAGCTCAGGCCATGAAAGCTGTTGTCGACCTGAGTAAACGATTTTATGGTGGCCGAGCGTTGAAAGTGTCCTTCTTCGACATTGATAAGTACAACAATCAGCAGTTCGACGACTTGTAGTTATAATGGCAGTTTGGGAATCGGTAATAAATTTATATATTGTAGATGTGTCTTAGAAGTTTCTTTTGTGATTTAAATACCACTTTACTAACATAAACTCCAAAAATGTGGTATAAAAACAACTTTGTGTTTATTAAACCATTAGAATAACGAAGAAAACGTAATCACATACAATTGAGAAAAGGGTGTTATTAAGTCCTTGTATCTAATACAAATCAAGAGTCTAGGAAAAGGAAGATTGATGACTGATGTGTCGTTACATCTGGTGTAACAGTCAGACTGTGAGGCTGAAAAGCTCGTTGTAACCCGTAGGAAAAGTGTGTTGTTATTAGAAACAGTGGAAGAGTGGCCGCACAATTGATTGGTAGAGTTGAGCATGACGAAAGAGAATTCAAGACCGGAGGGGATATTTTCATTACTTAAGACGCGACTTTGCATTGAAATGTGGCCGATTAATGGTGAGTTTAGTGTAAATTTTGGTTAGCACTAGATTTCTAGAGCGGAATTGTTTTGATACCAAATGTTACCTCTAATTACCCTATATAAGTACTTTTATGTAACATTTGCAACATTATACAAAAACCTGGTATCAAAAACACCTGTCTTCGAAATACTGTACCCTATTTGGCGTATAACCTAACAATCACGTTGAACACATCCTATTGCCTTCTTAAATAGTTACAAAAAGTTGTTATTTCGACGACCTTCATACTTAAAGTAGTTATGCTAAACTTCCATTTAAACGACAAAACTCCGCCACATTAAAAAAAGACATTTCCTGATAATAAAAACAAGTTTTGATAGAAAATTAACGATATATTTCCTCTAGACGTCTACAATTGGGTAGTTCCATGCGTTGTGCTTGTGTATACAGATTCCCGTCTCCCGACATCTTTGCACGCCATATTGCTGTTTCCCCTGAAATTTGTGTAAAATTAGTAATTAAGCTCTACGTAGTTTTTGACCACACAATATTCATCAGTTGTAGTTTACTGTTACAAGTAAAGTCAAGAAGCTTCTTTATCACAACATTTAGAAAAACTAAAGATCTATCTTTACAATATACGACAATTAAAATGACTTACGGTGATTCTTTTCCTTGTAGCAATTCAGCCTTAACTTGCTGATGTACTCTTCTTCTACATTCACATCTACTTGATATATCCTGTCTCCGTATCGAGCCAAAAAGTCCGATTTTACATAATATGGTACTCGTAAGTCTTTGGTAAACCGTTGCACCGTGTAGCCCCTAAAATTATTAGTTAAAGCATACAAGAATATACTGTCGTATCATGCTTTTTAAATGTAAAATATATTAAATTGTTAACTTTGTTCCACTTCTTATAGCGAATTTTTTGGTTTGAGGGCGCAGAATTATTTAAACAACCTGATAAAAAGCAGTAACCCGCTAAACCAAGTGCACTATAAAAAAGATAAACATCACTACAACCTACACTCTAATCAAAGGCAATTTCCGTAAAGATTTGTAGAGGTTGTTAATATTATATACTTACCCTTCGGCGCGCAATGAAAACGCGGGCTCTCCAGCTAAAAATTGAACAAACATGGCTCCAAACAGTAAAACAAACAAGGGTGCAAGTTGTAACAAGCTCGAGAACAAACCCTGAAAAATTTAAACTATGTAAAATGCGAATAATACATCAAGGTCATTTTTAAAAATATCTTTTTGATCATATAATCAAAAAACTACACATTATTAATCGAAAGTAAATACCAGAGCCTTTGCTTAAACAGTTTTCTATTCCAAATCTAAAAATAAAAAAAAACTAAAAAAACCAACCCTGTCTTCATGAACCTCCTCAGCTCGATGAAAGTGTGCTCTTCTTCTGTAGACTCCACCAGCTGGAAATCCACCTCCGAAAAACATTTCGAATATTTCTTCAGGCGTCATTTCAGCTAAAATGTAAAAATATACTGTTTTCAAAGATCAAATTTGTGTTTTTTATCTTTTAGATAAACTGACATAAACAATAACTTAAAATTGATATTTCTTAATATAAAAAACTTACTTTCAAATCCCCTGTTGACATCGTAATCGTAGAATCCTCGTGTTCTTCTATGCGACACTTCTTCTGTTCCTCTCGTATCATAACTGGCACGCTTTTGAGGATCAGACAACACCGAATAAGCGTTACCAAGAGCTAAAACAAAGTGGTATTACTCAAAACTCTTCAAAAAACAAAAAATAATTTAATTTAACTTTCAACCCGTGAAACTGTCTCTTCAATGAGTAAAACATTTTTAAAAAAATCTAAAAATTTAAAAACGTAAAGATTACCTTTAAACGCCTCAGTCGCTCCAGGCGCTTGACATTTATCCGGATGCAACTTCAAGGCCAACTCTCGATACTTCTTCTTGAGTACAACTTCAGTGACATCACGAGACACTTGGAGGATCTCATAGTAGTCTTTACAATGTCTTATTCTAAAATTAGGTTAACATGAATGTACGAAACTACCTTTTTAATTTAAAAAATGTATTCATTAACTTTCTTTCATTAAGCAGTAAAAAGACTGAAGCTTTAGAATAAGTAAAAAGCATACCTTTGAACATGATGACCTCCATCATCTCTATTTTCCTGATTATTCGCTCTTGGTAACGATCTCGACCTACTACGACTGCTTTTAGCTCTTGACGCTTCCGGGGCATCAGATCTACTTGATTGTGCTCCTAAAATGTAATTTTTTACCCAAAAGTCCACATCTTTTTAAAATAAAAAAACAAGATATTGCACCAAAGTTCTTATTGAGCCCTATCACACACCTTAACTTAAATTTTTTTTGCTTCATAAAGCAATTTCAGTTTAAAAAACATGTATCCACATACCCCTCGAATCATTAGATTCTGTTGAGAAATGGTTTTCAAAACGTTTTCTTCTGTTTCTTAACCCATCTGGTTCTTCATAGTGGTCATCGTGAGAGTAGCTTCGTTCATTTGGCGGGTTGGGTGAAGATGGAGCTCCATCAGATGGTATCCCCTTGGATCTTAGGTATTCTGCAATAATTGGCTTTTAAGAAACGTGCTCTAGATTCCAACGGTATTTCACGCTAGATTTCGATAACAAATAACATCAATTAAACCGTCAGAAAACTGCTAAAAGTTATTATCGTTTAACAAAATTGTATAGCTAACTTGTATTTTACCTATATCACGTAGAATATCTCATTATTGACCTAAAAATCGAACAAAAACTCAAGAACTTTAACGTACCTTCACTATCAAAGCCGGGATCCAATTTCTGAGCACGAGCCAACAACTTCTTCCCTCTGGCAATGTCGCCGGACCCAAACGCCTGATTGGCCTTGTAGATACACTCCTTGGAGGCATCTCGATTCGCCTCCACTACCATTTTACCAAGTGTTTATTGATTTTCCACAACCCGCATCCACTGAACTCGCCTCCGTCTGAAAGAGCAACATTAATGTGTCTGGCTAAAATAAATATACTCGGTCATTTTGCACGTGAAAAGAGGTAAATTTTCAGTTTTAATTGTGGCCCAATCTAGTCGAGAGTGCTAAAAACCAGAACGTAAGAGTCGAGACGAGAGTTTTTTGCGCAGTCCGCACGAAGCTTGCGCCCAGTTTTCCAATAGATTTTTTGGAAATTCTGGATTTGAAGGAGATTTGAGAGGAAATTGGGTAATATTAGGAAGAATAACTCATTTTCTTAAATATTCCTTAAATTTAAAAAAATTAAATTATCTATTAAAAAATTAATCTCGTCCTAAACATTTTTAACAAACATTAGATTGCAATATGGCCGAAAATGAAGACATTAAAGTAGTTGAAGATCAAGCTCAACAGTAAGTCCACATTTCACTGATTGCAACGTTTAGACCCAAGAATCTGGAAGAAAAGAAGGAAAGAGTTGATGACAGACAACAGTTTATGTGTTCCATTTGTGGTTTGTGCGAATTGACCAAATATGGACGACTGGAACACAAAACTATAAGGTAAAACAATATAAATTTAAAAAAATAAATATTAAAAATCTCACAAAATGTATAAACTTTATAAAAATAATGAGATAAATGTTAACTTTCAGCGCACACGGAGAAGTTTTCTACATCCTAGACCCCTTTGTTCCCTATGACATTCACAAGGTCGACTTTCGAGTATCAGACTTTGTAATCTTCGGATCAAAGTGTTCAATATGTCAACAACCTGTTTGTGTATCAAAGGTAATATTCTTTTCTAGTTAACAAGAAGTATTAAAAAACAATTTTTTTAACTTCTGCAAGCCTATAATAACGAGCTAAATGAACCCGACAGACCTCAATATTCTTCAAAATCAGAACCCTCATAATTATAACCCAATTTACAGGCGTGTTCACTATTCTACCACAGTAACTATTGTTTGTATTGCGTGGAACGGGAACAGCATCGATTTCCAAAAGAAATAATCAACGTAAGATAACTCCATTCACGTGAAATTCATGTTTTTAGGACTTGCACAAGAGATTCGCCCAGATTTCCAAAAAAGATGTCCCCAACACGTCAAAAGAAACCCTAAAGGAAGATGTTTTGACTAAAACAACATAAATATTAAAGATGAGACATATTTTGGTCGGATTTTTATTTTTGCTGGATAATATCTCCAGTCAATTATCGGAAAAGTGACACTTCGCATTGTACTGTGACGTTTCGTTTTGTTTATTTCTCTGTTCACTCTCGTAAATGTTCTTATCTATCGGTCAAACAGATATTTACAGGTATTTTTCTTCAAGGCTCAAATCTAACTAATAAAATGTAACACATCGAGCATAAATTATAATTTTATTTTTTGTTATTGCTGTATATAAATGAAGAAACTCACAACATCTTATATTTGTTAATATCGGCTTATTTCCAATAAATTTGTGGCATCCCGTTTGTTGTGACACTCCGTTCACCTAGATCTTTTCTCGGTTTCTGACTGCCTAACTCTGGAATTTGATGTACATTTACAACTGTTGATGGGGATTATACAATTAATAATTGTTTTTTACCACATAAGTATTATTTTGGACTTGTTTTGCATGCTTTTGTTTATAAAATTGTATAATTTTCATTAGTTTTGTGGTTTTTGCATTTAGAAGTTTTCTCGGATATATCTGACATTTTATGGCCATATTTCGTTGAAATTTTTACTGGTTTGCTTTCTAAATCTTTGTTGAACGCATTCTTAATGTAGTGTAAGATCAATTTATCCATTTTCATCGATTTTAGTGTGCAAAATGGCCGCACCAAAGTTGAACTTCTTCGAGAAGATTGCCAACCTCAGCGGTGTTTTGTACCGTTACCACGCCGCTCACTTCCCACGCAGATGGGATATTGTAAAGAAGGTGGCTGAAAGAGAATTGGCTCCACCAACGATGAAGGATCTTCCAGCCATCAAGAAGGACTTCAATGCTTTGTTGAAGGCCATTGAAGCTAAACAATACAAGAACTTGACTGTCAGAGTGAGTTTAATATTTGATTGTTTGTTTTTAGGTTTAGCAGCGATTTATTATAATCATGGTATAGCTAAGTAATCTTTTTTTATTGCCATAAGTTTATTTGAAATGTGTGGTTTGATGTATCGTATAACTTCATAGTTTTGGTATAAGATAATCTTATGCTTTCTACGTTAAAATAGGTGTATACTACTGCTCTAATTATTTGTGATTAATTTGCTTTATCTACAGGAATTCTTGGTGTACGCTGCCGTCGGTGTTGAAGTTATTTGCTGGTTCTTTGTCGGTGAAATGATTGGTCGTCGCAACACCACCGGTTACCTCGTTCCCGGCTCGTATGTCTCGAAGGAAACACGAAAGGCCGCCGCCAACCAGGTTGTTGAAGATAAGCACAACTTCTAGGATGTTTAAACTTTAATTCAGTGAAGAGAATAAATTTTAGTTTATATTTTATCTTGATTTTGCGTATCTGCTGGGACTGGACGGCTATTGTGTCTCATCTTTAAATGATTATTGATAACACTGAGCTTGCTGGGCATGTTATAAAGATTAGGCCTTTTTTTATTTATCTTCTGGTAGTAAGTCACTGTGAAGGTTTATAGAGGAGGTTTGAAACGATTCTATTATAGGACTTCTACCCAAGCATTTCTTAACATTGTGTCCAAATTTATTACCTTTTTGGTTTCTTACGATATCACGATAATTTTTGAAAAATTCGTGACCAGCAATGACAAACTTTATTACTTTCTAAATCATTTTCATTTCGTTGGTAAATTACAAAATATGTTAAAAGTTTAGAAGTCTTGACACTAATCGGAATATAATGGAGATTCGTATAGACAATATACTACTGTAGCTTATTCTAGTTGGCCAACTGGTGCATTTTGGAGCCATAATGTGTGTAGGAAGTTGTATAGCTTTTCGGAGACAGATACCTAAAAAATTACAATATTATACATGTTAACAGTTGTAAAATGGTATACTTTTTAAACCCTTTACAGTACAAAATACCTAAACTAACAATTACTTTATAAGGAGTTGGGTTGAGATTCCGTTTATGATCTCCTCTCAAGTCGGAAATGCTGTTATGTACATGTTGCCGTATCTTTTCGAGTGTTGGCAGTGGGTGTGCGATCGTTTTTCCGTCCCAAAACACGAGTTGAAGCTTCTCAACTTTGGCTGGAATAACCATGGCACGTTTGCTTTCTTGGAATGGATGTCTACACATTATGTTTTTGTTGGGTTCTGGAGCTGGTTCGTCTTCTGTTAGCATCAAATCCAGAATGGCAAAGCCAGCTTTACCGTACAACCGGTAACACTGTTTTCGACCGGGAATTGTGACTTTGACCACATCTTGGCTAAGTTTAATCTTGGGCATTCCACTCTTAGCAACTAACTAAAACAAGATTAATAAGCTTTCTTAAGCCATAAAAAGGTAATACGATCATAATGTAGCATATATTAGGTGATTGCAAAAGTTTCTGGCCGATTTTTCAAAAATTTTTTTAAAAATTTTGCACTGTTCTAGAACTTTCTGTTGGCAACCTGTATAAAGATGTGTCCAAAGACTAAAAACTATTGCATGTTGAAGCTTTCTGTTGTTTACGGTAGTTCAAGAAACCAAGGTGAAACACAATCATGTTCGGCCAGTGTTGTTTCTCAAATTCCGCAATCACGGCAACGCAACAAGAGCGACGTAGAAAATATGCAGTGCTGTAGGGCCTTTAGTTGTCTTTTACGACACCACAAACGTTTGGTTCCACAAGTTCAAAAACGGTGAATTTGACATGTCCGAAAAGTTCGATCTGGTAGACCATCAGTGTTGAAGAAACCCCACCTTCTGAAGCTGATCGAAGAAGACCTCCGACGACCCTGCACTTATTTGACTGTAGAGCTTCAGTGTGATCCTTCTACCACATTAATTAGACTTCACGCCCTTGGGAGATTACGGAAATATGGTCAAGAAGTACCACATGATTTGAACAGCGACCAGCTGAACGTCGAGTAGAAGTTTGCACTTGTTTGTTGATGCTCCCAAGGAACTTTGAATGGCTTGACAATTTGGTTACTGGGGATGAGGAGTGGGTACTGTATGTTAATCACACCAGTAAGAAACAATGGCTTGAACGTGGAGAACAGGGTGTATCAATCTCAAACCTGATCTTCACCCACTGGATAAGATGACCAGCTTTAGCTGGAACTCAACAGGTATTGTGTTCTGGGAAATGGTACCACATGGAACTACGATCCCTGTGGATGTCTACTGTAAACAAATTAAATTTGTTTTCGCGGCATTGCATGGTAAACAGGAGCGGATCTTCTTCATTCAAGATACTGCTTGCGCCCTTGTGACAAAGTTGACCCAACACAAGCTCAAAAGCCTCGGCTGGACTGTGATGTCATATGCACAGTACTCACCTGAGGTTGCACTAACAGATTATCATATGTTCCACTCTCTTCAAAATCACCTTAACGCAACACGCTTTGACAATCGAGAGTACCTCAAGAAGTGGTGGGCTAACTTTTTCAATTCTCAAACTCCAGGTTTCTACAGAAGTTGAATCCAAATGCTGCCGAAGGGATGGAAACAGGTCGTTGATAATAATGACACACATATTTGTTAATTAGTTATTGTTGTTTTTTTAAATATTAAATTTTGGTAAAAACAAAAATCGGCCAGAGACTTTTGCGATCACCTAATAAATTCACAATAACATACCTTATATACACACCCAAGAGCCGGTTGTTTTTGACACGTCACCAAGTGAGTGCCAACGCCAAATGAGTTGATTTCATGTTGCTGCTCATTCAAGGACACAATAGTCTCTTCGTTTATGTCATTCGAAGCCACTATAGTAAGGTGGGCGACCCATTGTAGCTGTTTTGGGTCCAAGGCGGCGATCTTGTTAAATCTGGCTCTGATTTCCTTCGAAAGGTACGACAAATCCCCAGAATCAATACGGCAACCGAGTACTTTGTATCCCAAATCATGCATCGCGAGAGCTACTGCACAAAAATTGATGATACCGCTCCTGAAAAAGTTAAGATTAGATGTTTAGGCAATAAAATTGATTATTATAAAGAGACATGACAATTTGGGTAACAAACTTACCTCAAAACGTCGTAAGTATCAATCAGAGCGAGGAATGTGTTAGGGAATGCTATGGCATAGGCACAAAAGGATACCAGTTCTCCCACCGAGATCTCTGCTTGAGAGATTCCCCATTCAATCTACAAATCAGTCACATGTTAAAGCATATCATGTACAATATAATCAAATAGATTTAAAATACAGCCATTTTTCAATCTTTTTCAAAAAAGGAATATTAAATATTACAAAAAACACATTTTCCCAACCACAACAACATTAACAACCATCAAAAAGCACCAGACAACTACTATAACCCACCAAAGTTTGCCGGTCAATCTGTTAATGTGTTAAGGAAATGGACAAAATTAAACACATTAGTCATCAAACTGGCACTTACCTTATCCAAAAGCATCTTTATCTTCTGTTGGCTCAGCTGAAACAAGTCTACACATCGCGTACCATCTTTGGCCTTCAATGTCTTGACCTGAAGATCTTCTTCACATCCGAACGATGAGATGAACGAGTGAGCTTGGGTCCCTTTCACTGGAATGCCAAACAACTTTCCGGCCAGCAGATTGGAAGTCGCATCAAATCCTCCGGCATAACAATATTTACTGGCCGAGAGTCCTCCATTCGGGCCTTGAGCTCGACGGAGGCCAAATTCTAGAAGTTCAACACGTTCTCCAGCCACCTAGAAGGTAAATATTAACAATAATCTTAAAATTAGACAGATATAAACTGGGATTTACGCAAACATTTACTCTATAGAGCTAAAATAAATTGGTGAACTTACTTGTCTGAATCTAGCAGCGTTCGTGGCCACCAAAGACGCGTAGTTGACCAAGTTCAGAAAAATTGTTTCCAAAAGTTGACATAGAGCTAACGGACCCACGATGGTCAATAAGGGCACTCTTGGGAAGACGACAGTGCCTTCCTTGATAGCGTAGATCTTCAACTCACTGCAATCCAACTTCTCAAGGTATTCGAAGAAGGCTGGCTCTGCGTGTGGAACTTTCTCCCTGATGAATACCATGTCTAAACATGGATAAGTTAATATACAGCCTTAATTTGTCAAATTTCATCTTAAAATTTGTAAAATACATTATAAAAAGATAGTAAACTACTTTTACTATAAATATATTAAATTTTTACCCTTTTAAATTCAAATATTATCTACAATTTTGAAAAACTTACCAGATTCTGAAAATCTGAAGCTCTGTGTGAATCTCAAACAGTCTTCCAGTCCAGCAAACACCGTGAACTCTCCGCCAAATGGATTTTTGCGGAAAAAAAGATCAAAACAAGCGTGGTCCAGATGAGTCCCACTCTTCCAATACCCATAACACATATTCAGCTGATAAAAGTCCATCAAAAGGGGCTGGACGAGGCTGTCCTGGCCGTTCAAATGTAGTCCATTCATATTCTGAAGGTCTCGTTCTAAAAGAACATCCAGGAATCTCAAACGATCGAAAAGTGGCCAGAAAATAAATAATTTTCGACTTTTGGCCGAAATTTTTTATTCGACAAATATTTTATGAAAGCGAGCTGCGGCCGAACCGTAATATACGACGAAACGTGATGTGAAATGCCATGCACGGTTTGAAACATCTTTGAAATTCTTATGAAATTCATAGAGAATTTGGAAGTTGTTTTTCAAAATGAACATTACTTCAAAAATATTTTTTAAAATAAAAATTAGCGAAAAAGCGACTTTTAATATTTAAAACTTTGGAAACTTTAAATAAAAAAGAATTTAAGAAAATCTAAACAAAAGTAAATTTAAATAAAGAAAACCTTCTTGTTATTGAAAAAACTTTGTTACTAAAGTACTTCTTATCATCGGTTTCGTGGTCTTGTTTATAATCTTATCATTTTTTGTTGAAATAAGTTCTTTACCAAGTGTAAACCGTTATTAATTTCAAAATGGCATATTTTTAAAAAAGAAGTTTTAAAAAAATTTTTATTACGATCTTAAAACATATAATAGATCCGTTAAAATAATTTTTTCAAACTTTTTTTTGACTTTTTCTTCAAACAAAATTGTCCACTTTAAACTGAACTATTAGGTTGTTCAAATAATTCTGTGCCTCTAACCGAAAAAAAACGATATCACTGGAACGTACGTTAATATAAATTTACTTCTTTTTATTTCTTTATTTTGTAAATTCGCTTTAGGTTGTTCAAATAATTCTGCGCCCTCTCTTTAGAAAATTACCTTTGAGGGTCGCACAGAATGATTTGAACAACAATACATTATACTGATCAAGATAGTGAAATATGTCAAAATCACTTACCGGTCGGTAAAATAAATGCCATATTGTTACCAATGTTGGCGGTGGTGTTGCTACAGGTTGATCAGGGTAATTCTTAATTAATCATATAACAAGTTTCAGAGTAATTGATAGAGGTAAACAATTGCCCACGGTTCTCTGGTCAGTTCAGTCTTTAGAAACGTTGGGAGGAGATATTGATGTGGCAAGTCAAAGAACGCGGAAACAACACTTTTAGTGGTGTGTTGTTAACATGTTTTAATAAATTTTGTTGTATATAGCAAAAGAAACGGCAGTTTAAAGTTTATTTTTTAGAAAAGTGATGGTTTAAACTAGGTTTTGTCAAAATTTAAAGTTTTTACATCACTGATAAGACAAGAAACATATAAAAATGACTTTCCAGTAGCTCAAGACTTGTAGTTTTAGATCCATACTACTACAAGTTCTCAAACCCTTCATCTTAAAAAAATATTTTTTAGCTAGCTAAAACTTGTTATCTTAACCTACTTCTCAATAACTATAAAAACAAAAAATAAAAATTTATCAAAACCTGGAATGTTATTACCTTACTGTCGTACGCAAAACCTCCAAAACAAATCACGTTTTGGAATGAGAAAGGAACCCCTCTAATCACTTCTTGCTGATAAAACACAATAAATACTCAAAAATTGTAAAGCAATCACGCAAATCAGCGGGAAATCATTGTAATACCCGCCGAGATACACTAAGAACAACTTTTTTTAATTGAAACAGTTATTCTTGATATTAATACATAGCTTTATATTGAAAGAAAATGTATGTAATTACAGTAGAATCACGTTTTGATACTATATACGCTAGAAGAGAAGGGTTGAGATGTCTATACTGGTTTTTTTTTAACATCCAACCGGGGACTATTAAAGCTATTTACATTTTTTGCTTACTATTAAATTGTTCAAATAATTCTGTGCTCTCTCTAAAAGCAAGTTGTCAAGTTCAAGAGGCACATAATTATTTGAACAACTTAATATAACAATATACTTCTCAATAAGGCCTGTAATGGCGCTTTTTTATGACAATATATAGCTGTATATTGAAGTACTTACAAAATTTTTAAAGTAAGGTATTTATAGTAGTTAAGTGCATTAAAACTATTTTTTCTTATCACTTATGTTTATGTTGACTATTCGGACCACGTGACCAAAGTGTACTCAGAATAAACGTGTCTTCTGGTGATTGATACTTTAGATTTAGCAGGGTACGAAGTGAATTTAATCTTAAAGATATACGTTTAAAAACGTGTCAAGGTTTATGTGTCAGTCTACAGTTAGTAGTACGCTTGATTATTGTCAGAATTTGTTCCGGTTCCGGAGCTCGGAGCGCAACCGGAGAATAAATTTTTAAGTATTATAGAAGAACTCACTATCAGATTATAAACAGTACCAGGCTGTAAGCTAGGGGAGTGGAAGCGGACGAGAGGGAGTTTTCTACCTCAAAAAATTTTTTAATAATCAAAATTGCTTGGTCAGCATAATAATAATAAGAAAAAGTTGTAAAAAGTTGACTATAATAAATTTGCAAATCTTTCTGTCTACGTAGTCTCATTAATCATCATATAAAGACGTAGAAACAAACAGACAAAACATAATTCTAAAAATTAATACATTAAAAATTTGTACAGTATCAACCACCACATTGAGCAGATAAACTCTAGATGTAACATCTCCCTCCAATATTTAAAAAAGTAAAAATAACCAATGTTTTTGTCATTTTCTTTGACTAGTCTGTTTGTAAGTCTACCAAAACCTTCAAAACGTTATAAACGTTGCATATAACGGAAGTACGGAGGAACAACGTCGTAGGCAGTGTTTCAGAACGTTGGAACTGTGATTTTAGTTTTGCAAACCGGAAGCATGCTCAAATAACTGTAAAATTTCAAACTAAAAAGTTATGTTGTTATACAGAGAATACAATCAATCAAAATATAATCATATTAAGTTTATAAAAATTTGTTTTATGTTATTAAAATGATTTCTAAAAAGAAAAGATAAATGTAAGCAAAGCTACAAACATTAGTAGCAGTAATACAAAGAAAACTTTATAATTACAGTAAAACTGCTGTACAAGAAATAGCTCGAAGATATAAAATTTATTCTTTATAAAGGCGTCTTGGTATAGAGAAGTTTTAAATGCACTTTGTAGTGCTAGCCATAGCTTTAAAATATGTTCGATATACGGAATTTTTGTTATAGAGGAAGTTGTTATACAACAGTTCTATTGTGGTTCTAAAAATTAAGTTTTACTTATAATACATAATTCGTCGAAGCCGACCCTGCGAAGCGCTGAGCCAAAGCTGTAACCCTTTAAGTACATAACCTGGCGAAGCCACGCGCAGTGGCTTCGCCATGTCCGCTATTAGATTGGATCTCCGGGACCGCGTAGCAGCCGAAGGCAAGTGCTGGCGGTTGTAACGACGGGGTGCTATAGCTAATGTAAAACAGTCAAAGCACACGAACAGCGCAATCTTGGAATCGGCGAAGCCTAGCGCTAGTAAAATTTAAGTTGGACCTAGCACGAGCGCACCATTATGGTCCCGCCACGACAACGAACAGCACTTGGCATTCTGCACCGCGCCAGCACGATAAAAGGAGAGGACGGTCAAGCAAGAGGACAGTCGAGTATTCAGTCAGCGGTCACGTAGGACAGTTGGGACGTCCGAAGGACGTCACACTTTACATCTGGATCTTAGTTTATATCGGTTTATATTATATTATTGTTGAATGTATTGAGGAAGGTAAATATTATAACCTTATCTTGTGGGCTTATTGTTATAGGCATTTTATGTAGGATCACCCGCTTAAGTGATCCGAATGTTATATGAGTCCGTTTTTGTCTTTAAAGGACCACGAAAGGTCGGTCCCTCGAAAGTCATTGGCGTTTTGTGTCAAAAATCGGAAAATTTCGAAGTTCATTTAATTAGACAGATCTATTTTATTAGCTAATCACTAATATTACATACATGTATAAGCTGATAAAAATAAAAAGGTATATATTTTAAGTTAAAATTTGTAGAAATGTAAAAAAAAGTTCACATTAAAAATTTAAAAGAAGGTAAAAGTTTGTGGCATTAGTCACGTTTTATCCAGCGATATCATATTAACAATTTATGAAGTTGAACGATTAAAAGTTGATATACTCTTGCTTATATACACAATTTCTTTATATTATATTAGTTAACAGGTAACCCTCCAGCTTTATTTTTCTTTAAAAAAGAAATATAAAGCTGTTCTTCACATATGACTCTATGTACCCAGATTATAGTGTATTTTTTACACTTTCTATACATTTGTATTGGACTTTGGTTAGATTGACTGCTCCTCTCGATTTAAGTGCGTTTGTAATTTGTAATTTACAAATCAATAGAAATTGTAAGCTCGAGAAACAGTAACACCTGGATGGGGCTCGATTGGAAACAACTACAATGGAGTTGCTCTGACGGTCTTCACTAAAACTTTATCATTCAGCCTCCACGTCTCAAATTGTATTCTTGCGTTGAAAAAAAGAATAAAATTTAAAAATTTTTTAATTATAAATTTATTTTTTAGTTTACTACATATTTAACTTAAATTAGTGTTATATAGTTTAATTTTTGTAACTTTAACTTTCTAAATTTATATTTTTTTTCAAATTGAATTCCATTCGAATCAACTGCAAGTTTATTGTTTTGCAAAGCCAAGAATGGCAATTATTTTAGGCCAAAAGACTTTTTTTCTTTTAATTAACTTTGAAATAGATATTGCGGTTACTTTTTCTAAAACCCTTCTTCATTAAGGCGTCTGGGCTTTTAACTTGTTCAGTATTTTTTTAACTTTTAGGGCAATGTGGAATAGATGTAAGGGTTGATATTTGTGAATTTTTACAATATACATTTATTGTTTATACTAGTAATGTTTTGCGTATTTTATTCATTGTAGAGTTACAACAATGTATTGTTCAAACGAAGGCTGTTCAAATAATACTGAGCACCTAATCTCATAAATTTGATTTGAAAAAAAGACACAGAATTATTTGAACAACCTAATATTGCTGTCAAGCTTCTAAATAACTTTGTACTATTCTTTTCCTGACCTTAGGCGCTCTGCTTGTGACTTCAGTATTTTATAATAACTTTACAAAAAAAATTTTAAAACAATTTTTTAGTTTTTAAATTTGAAAAAAATTAAAATTTTTGGCCAAAATTATTGCCAAACTTCGTTTTCCCGCAAGTTTAATCATTTTTTGACAGAGCTTTATCTAGCTAGTGGATCTTCTTTTTGAGGACAAAACTGACCTCAGATATGATGAATGAGGATATATAAGTCAAAGACGAGCGTAATGGATGGATTTACTTTGTAAAATTGCGAAAAGTGTTGTAATGCCAACTTTCTTCATTTATCTCAATTTGACTTGACTTAACGGCTATGCCTTACAGTAATCATCATAGGAAACCAATGGGTACTGTAATTTGGTGTATTTGTTGTCAGATTTTTTAAATTTAAGATGATATTTCAAGTCTACTTGCTAAAAGTCAGTGTAGATGTTAGGCTAGGAAGAGTTGAGCTTTCAAATGTTCTTCAACGTTCTAAGTTCAATAGTCATAATAGTTTGTTCATCACCACTGGATTGTGACTACTAGGTGGTTTAAATAACGCTGTCACCCATCTTAAAGTATTTCTTTGGTATTCGAGGCACAGAATTATTTTAACAACTTGATATAAATCTTATCAATAGATGATAGACTAATAATCGTCATCAGATTGCAACTCTTTAATGTCCCCATCAACCCTTTAATGTCGCCATCCACATGTGTAAAGTAGCTTCTGATGGCAACAATGGACCAATCGATCTGGCCCGCTGCCAAACCTTTTTGTATTTGCTGAAACATTCGCGAAACAAAAGCGCAATTCACTTAAGACCACAAGTTTTTGTTATCGCAGTTTTTTTGTTTAAAACGGCACATAAACAAATTTATTCCACTTGAAAAAATACTTGTTATTGTGGAGGATTGTCACGAGCGACATATTATTTTTAGAACGGATTTATAGCCACACATGTTTTAAACACACGTTGGGAGTTGTGGTTAATATAATGAGTGTTACAACAAGTTGAAAGTGAAGAAAAGTCAATTTTAATACATACTTCAAAGTTCAAAATCTCTTCTCTGAACATTTGAAGAACAATATTGAGGTATTAAGCTGTTCAAAAAAGAATGACCGAGTTTAGCAGAAAAATCAAGGTTAAAATCGGTCATTCTTTTTAGAGCAACCTAATACTACAAAATCATTTTTAAGCCCAAACAGGTACTTTTAAATCAATCAAAACATGAAGTTTTCAAATTTGCATCAAGCTTAATGTAATATACTAGGCCGTTCAAATAACTATGTGCCCCACTCAAACCAAATTTTTGGGGTCAAGGAGCACAGAATTACTTGAACAACTTTAGAAGGCACAGAATTATTTGTATGAGCTAATATCTTGTAGAACAGCACAATGGCGTTGTTCTCGACAATGTTGTTCAACGTGAAAAAGCGTTTATTTTGATATGCATGCGAAATGATGTATGGAAAATAATTGAACTTCCGGCATTGAACTAACAATACTTACTGAACTTGAAAGGATTTTTGTTTAAAAATAAGTTTGAAGAAAGGTTTTGAAAAGTATGTTGATGTACTTCTATTCTACTATCATGTTGCCAATATTAGGCTGTTGGTGGTTGCAAACTGTTTATTTTACTAGTTGTCAAACACAAAAAGTAGCTGGTATTGAGCCCTATTTAGTACTTTCATTTTTTTGTTTTTACTATACTATTTTAACTGTAAAGACTAGCTGCAAAAAAAATTTTAAAAAAACCTTAAAGCAACATATCAGTATTTTCTTCAATTCAAATTTTTTGTTCTTACCATGTCTTTCAATGTAAAATACTTTGGTGTTATCAAACGGCATGAAACAACCGCGCGGAATGAAACATGACAAAATTCCCCAAAGATACGAGATATAAATATATCTTGGAAACAAATGAAAAGACTCCGAAGGCTCGGCCCAATCGCTCTTCAGCAATATAAATGGTTGTGTTTTGCAAGTATAAAATGTTGTTTGGTTAGGAATGACATTTCTTCCTATTTTCATGAGTTGTTGGATTTATCGAGTAGTTTACGTGTAGTAAGCTTTTGTTTAATAGTTTATATTGTAGTAGATGTAAAATAGTGTCTAATGTGTTTATATTCATTTTTCAATATTATGTTACAGTAAGTGTAATTATATTTAAATTTTATCTTTAGTTTTGCCTATAACAACATGTAAAATGTCTATAACACTGCATATAATACAAATAATCAAAATCCAAACCAAATAGACCTTATTCACGTGAAAGCACATGTGAAGTCACATCAATTGTGACATATTTACCTTATGTTACCTGTAGTCATCATCGCGTATGCATACGACTGTTGGTAATATTTTATTAGTCGTAAATCGCGGTTGCACAATTCGGCGTTATCCTTTCTTATAACAGTTGGATATCGTCCATTATATATTCATATTTCTTTTAAAAAAGTTTTGTTGACGCCAGAAACAGGGCTACGGCATGACAGGCTCGATTTTACTGAACTCACCGGTTTATATAGGTTTTTGAAACTTTTTTGTGAAACAGTCCGGGAACAAAAGGTTTTGATGTCATATCATTTTCAAGTTCAAAATAATTTTTTTGAAACTTTCAAAAGTTGTATTACAGTCTTGGTAAACTAAATATCAAAGCAGGTATAGTACTCTTTCTTCCCCTCTTGGTTCTTCTACAACAAACTTAACTATGATTGCTTGTTGTTGAATATCATGTACAGTATAATATTAATAACATTTGTTCTTACTGTGTTTCTTATATTATACTTGCCATCTTTGATGTTTTCATGAAATTTTCTTTTCTTAATTTTATTTCCATACCGCTTACTGTAACATACTTTTACCGTACCCTTTACTCCCTTGACTCCAAGCATAACCCTCTCCCCCCCCCCTTCCTAGCCAAACACGTGTTCTTTGCTCCATTATGTCAGAGTTATTGTCCATCGTATCTCGCGGGGTCATTGCAAAATCTTAGCCAAAAAGGCGGGCTTTTCTGGCCCACCCCTGCCCTTCATAAAAACAACGCCATTCGCTCGGTGGAAGTGCTCGCAGTTGTCCAGGAGACTGCATTAAGGCGCGCATATGCACGGTTTGTGTGGCTATAAACGCCATTATGCACTGTGGGGTGGACTGGCATTCGCTCGCGTCTTTTCCCTTCAGTTGGCAGAACTTGGGCGGCTGGTCAGTTGTGGCTGGGGTCGTGCAGCTTGTGGCCCTGTTTTCTGGGATAATCTTACAGTACATGGGTGTGGAGGGATATAGGGTTTTAGGCCTATAATCTTACATATAATATAAGGGTGGAGGATGGCTTTTAGGTGTTTGTTGATGAATATTTCATAGAGATGGCAGATTGAAGTTTCAAGAATTTAAAGCTTGAAGATACAAAATCTGCTATCTTTAGCCTATAATATGTAGGTATTGCTTTGACTTTACTATAGATTTAAATTGTAGCGTTACGAAAAGTAAAAACAAAGTTTTGATGTCAAAATGTAGTAGAGCTTGGCATTTCTTACATTTTGTAATAGTGTTGTTTATACTGCGTGGTTATTATGTTCTTACATTAGTAATTAAAGTATGTCTACTTGGCTGTAATTTAATTTTAACATTGATATTAATGCTTGATGTCTTTAAGCTAGCTTTTCTTTATGAAGAATCTGTTAACTTAATAAATTTCTTTAATGTAGGCTATTCTACTGACTTTTTGACCGCTTTTTAAAACTTTCGTGTAGTTTACTATCTAATACATCAATATACTTCTTGAATACTTTTTAGTTGTTCGTTGTTTATCTTAATTAAATAAATCAGAAATGGCCGAGGAGAAGGTTGAACTCACTGAGCAGACCCCATTGAAGGAAGAGGAGTCCAAGGAGGTAAAGGAATCCACCGAAGCTACCATCGAGACTCCAGTAGAGAAGAAGGAGGCAGAGAAGAAGAGATGGTTCTTCAACAAGAAGGTAGGCAGTGGAGTTGATACTGTAGGTGGTTGAAGGTTTGAATTAGAGGTTAATTTGATTACAATTGATTAGGTGATTACAGTAGACCATACCATGATAACAGTAGGCCGTAACGTGTTAACAGTAAGGAAAGATCCGGCTTCATAGTAGTAGCTAGTAGTAGAAAGGTACTATGAATAATAGAAAACACAACAAAGTCGATGCTCCACATACTAGAGACTGCTCTAAAACGCATAGTAAGAACATATGACCATACTAAGCGCTACACTAACTCTACATAACTTCAACCTAACAACAATGTACTAATAATAGGTCCAGTAGTTGTGTATATATAAATATAGCAACCAGTAATCGGCCAAAAAACAAACAAGCTCGCTTTAATTAGCATAAAAATGCAATTAAGACCTGACACAGTTCCTCGGCACTCTCTTTTGTCATAATAATTATGGTCTTAAGATAATTCGCTTCTTTTGTTTTGCCGCATTTACGCCACACATACGATCGCGTTTCCACTGTAACAATAGAACATATGTTTTTGGCAAAGTTTATCGCTAAATAGAGATCAGGGTGGTGAGAAGACTGATGGTATTCAGCTATTCGATATCGGATAGAATTACATATGTACTATTAGGTCGTTCACTTAATTCTGCGCCCCTGACACAATATTATATAGAAGGCCAGTAGAAAATGATGAATAAACAGAGTCAAGAAGTAGTAGAATAAAGATAGAAACAAACAAAATGACTATTTCAAAACTTGTAGTAGTTTTTCAATATTAAGCTAAAGGTAATGTCACAGTATAATAGTAGTAGAAAACAGAATTCAGTACCTTTGCAAAGCCAGCAAGTTAAGCAGCGTTAAGTTAATCCGAGTTTATGCGGAACACGAAACCGATTGGGCCGGAAATAATCAACGCATCGAGGCGTTAATGGTCAAATCTTTGTCATGGTAACAAGGGTAATTTGCATACGTCTTGAGGAGCTCATTAAAGAACCTCTCGGATTACGGTAGAGTTCTCTCCGGAGAGATTTAGGTGCTACTGTGCGTTTTACAGGTACTAGAAAACGATAACTACCTGATTTTTTTTGCTTTAAAAAACTGAGCAATCGTCTATATGTTATGTATATATTAGATCCGATAAGACAATATAATCCAGTTTCTTGTGCCAAAAACAGTCTCACTCGCTGTAAACATTGTGTTACATTCTGGAGTGCCAAATCGTATAGTTTGACACGGAAACAACTCATTAATTTTGAGCCCCGGCATTAGAGTGCCGCTCTCGAATCTTTAATTAAAGCAATTCGAATAGAAGGGCGGATTATCGGCGCGGATTTGGAATAGGGTTCATATTGGTTTCGTTTTCGCTGAAATTTGCATATCGCCTAGATAAATGCTAATAATAGCGAGCATTCTATAACGGTTTTAGAAAACTAACTTAAGTTTAGAGGAATTAGGCAGTAAAAGCATATTATTGTATGTAAAACAACAGAAATGAAGAAGTCATTGAAGTCAATCCTATAATCAACATTCAAACATATTTAACTTCATCATTTTCAGGCCAAGAAGGAAGAAAAGGTCACTGAAGAAGAAAAGCCAAAGGAAACCGAAGCCACCGACTCGACACCAGCTGAAAAGAAGGGCCATTGGTGGCAACGCAAGCCATGCTGCAAGACCGACGACGGCACTCAGCCATCGTTCGGCCTCGACTTTGTCCACCGTGACGAGCAGAACCTTCACACAGCCATCGACTTCGGCTTCAACGACGTCTTCGGTGAGCCAGATGCCTTGCACTCGTGGAACTGCGTCTGGAAGACCACTCACAACGTCTTCACCGGCATCCGCAACGCCTTCTTCAAGCTGTTCACCGTGATCATCTGTCTTCCCTCCGCCCTTTTCTTCGGAATCCTCTCCGCCTTGTTCACCACCCTTTCCGTCTATGTTGTGCTGCCGGCCGCTCGTGTTCTGTCGATTCCATTCTTCTGGATCGTCGGATTGTGGAAGTACTTGGTTGCCAATGTTGTAGCCCCATGCTTCGCGGCTGTTGGACAATGTTGCGGCGGAATCAGAATCCATAGATACGGCCTCAACAACGACGCTACGGCGACAATCGCTTGAACTTGCTGATTTAAATTTTGCGGCGTAAAAGGTACTGTAGCCTCAATCTTGTAGTATAATGTAAAATTGCATATATATTGGTATTATTTTATGTGAATTTGCATGATACTACTGTAAGCTTGGTTACTGTACTTGTGAGCGTTAGATTTACAAAAACTTGGTACAATTTTGGTGTTTGAGCGTTAGTACCTTTCGTTAAAGCATCAGATACTATGAATTGTCATTTTTATTCCTCCATTGTAATATTAACTCTTCAATAAACGCTTAATTTAACTTAAAAAGGTTTTATTTATTTTAACAATACCTTATAACCAAATCAATAACTTTATCAAATAATTTACTAACCATAAAAATACACACAAATGTCATAATATATACCGATGACCCTTTATCTGCCTTACATTGACAGAGTAAAGTATTCGAGCCCACAAGTTTAGCCAGAAAATAGATCCAGCTACAACACACCATCCTATTGAGTATACGATGAACATATCTGTGTAGTTTTTGTAAAGTTTACTGAACGAAAAACTGGCGTTAACAGGTAAAGCATCAACGAAACCTTTGTTGAAATTATAAGCAATATTGTCCAATTTTTCGTTGATGTAAAGACTTTCGAAATTGAAAGCTTTTTGGTCGATTAAATGAACCAAAATCACTAGAAGGAAATAGCTAGCGAAGAATATTAATGTAGATATTTTAAGCGCTGAAATTATGAAATACGTTTGTACAAAACCTATTATATTTCCCAACCTATTCATTATTATATCTATAAAATCTACCCAAACTCACATATTATTATAGAAGAGCAATGTGGCCGTCTTGGAAATGCTATCCTCTCACTCACGGTAACTGACAATACTATAAAAGTATTCAAATAATTAACCAAAAAGATAACTACACGAATTGGAAACAAATACTTTTCCAAATTAAATTCGTTATCAGTCAGATAAAAGAGTTGAAGTATAGCCATAAAAAATAAAAAGTTACATAAAGCGAGGAAAAACAAGTTGGATATCAATATACAGTATTGTAGAAATGTAAAGAAACAAAATAATTTCATTTTGGCATTGCTGATTCCAATAAGAAATTAATTGAACAATTTAATAAGTGAATCATTTAACAAAGAGATTACACTGATAAAAGTTTGAGACAAATAACGTAGTTTAGCCCATTAACAACATTCATTTGTCGTTTCATAAGCAAAAACTACCTAAAGTAAGCAAGAAAAGTAAGTTGTCTAACATTGCCTATATAGACACATAACAGGAGTCTAATTTATAACAAAATACAAATATCTCCCACAAGAAAACACATAATTCCATCTATAACAACATGATCTCCACTCGTATTCACTTTGATTTTATCCATAAAACAAAAAAATGAAACAAGGTTAATTTATTGCTGGTGATCAGTAGCGTGTGTCAAAATTCAAGCATCCTTCTTCTCCTCTTTCTTCTCCTCCTTCTTGTCATCCTTCTTCTCCTCTTTATTGTCGGTTTTTACGACATCCTTCACGTCCTTGTCCTTCGGCGCCGAGATCTTGCAGTTGGACGAGCGTTTGCGACGTCGTTCACGTTGAGACGGCGCCGTTTCACGTCGAAACCCTTGTTTTGCATCGTCACTCTTCTTGTCATCCTTCATTTTCCTCCGCAGCTCGTCCGCCATGATTTATCAGAATGTAAGTTCGACAAGTTTAAAGGAAAATCAATCTGAAATGAAGAAAATCAGACGAAAACAAAAGCAACAGAAAAAGTAAAATATAAAATAAATTTTTTGAAGGAAAAACATCTACAGCATCATAAACATCAAATTTACAACAAAAAACAAATAAAACTAAATCTTCCTTATAGTAAAAACGTAATGCTATGTTTAAACTACGCCAAAAACGTCTAAAATTTAATTAACATGAAAATAGATACCTAAAAATACACAAAAACCGTAACTTACCTTGCCCAATCAGTCAGAATCAGATGCACAAAACTTCTTGTGATCCGGCGACAAAACGTCTCGTCGCAGTGGGCCAACTAATTTTCATTTTTTTCATCTAGAAAATGATTTATGCATAAATTATTTGTACAGTTTTTCAACTCAAAAACTACGTTTTTGCGTCCGCAGCCTGCGGGATCTTTTTTATACGATTAAACAGTTTAATGAAAAACGTTGTGGAAATGTTTTGCGTTCATTCGACCTTATCCGAGTGCCGTAGGCAAGCAGTGTATGAAAATAATTCTCGGGCACTGATTTTTTACCCTTTTTCGACTTTTTTTAACAATTTTTTTTTCGAATTTTATAACAAAATGGTTGTTACGCCAAAGAAAACTCCGCCCAAGGCGCGATTGGCACTCACGCCGACCAAGATTCTACAGGAACGTTACCAGCGCCTGGTCGACTCACCAAAATTATGTACGCGCAAAGAAATGGCAAGTTTTTACGTTTTTTCTGGGTTTTAGGTATATTTTACCTTGTTTTGAGTTTCTTCGATATTGTATTAGATATTTCGGGAGTTTTTGAAGGTAATGTCAGGGATTATAGGCATTATCAGGTAGGATAATTATTCTTGTTGTTTTTTAGATATATTTTTAGTAGCAAAATTTAAAAACTGTAAACGTTTATTGACATAATGAAAGACAGCTTTGTAGACTTGAATCAAGCTTATGGTGTTTTATTTTTAGTGTATGAGGAACTCTCGAGAATGCGAAAAGATGACGAACAATGCCAGATTATGTCGTACAGCACCGATGAATATGAAGATTGGCAAGAAAGGATCAGTTATGGGATCAACCAGACCAAGAATCGTCAGTTTCAGTGATACGCGTAAGCTTTTCTTATTTGTTTTTTGATGTTTAGGTAGTTTTTCAATTGTTTTGTTGAGAATCGACATAGAAAACATTATGATGTTCAAGTTTAAGGTTCTATATCTGATCTATGAACACTATTGTGTTTGTTTGAATATTAGGTAACAAACTTTACATTTTTTGTTTTCAGCACCTGATATGAGTATACATTACAGTCCAAATAAACTGGACAATTATCTGGATCAAGTTTTTATTAAGGTTGGAGCTTTGGGCAATGGATCGTTTGGAAATGTCAGTTTTTTTGGTATAACACCATCAAAATTAGCTATATTGCATAATTTCCTGATAAATATTGTAAAATGTATTTTAGGTGTACTGTATGATGTCCCGTGACGACCACAAGTATTATGCTGTAAAATGTTCCCAAAACAACTACCGTTGTCGTCGTGATCGCGTCGAGAAGCAACGTGAAGTCATGTTTTTGGAGCGATTGAACCATCTGAATGTCGTTCGTTTTTACTCGGCGTGGGAAGAGAACGATCTTCTGTACATCCAGACTGAACTCTGTGAAAAGTCTCTACAAGCCTTTATTTTGGATACTGATGGGAAGGTGCCAGAAGGCACGGTATGGAATGCTTTTGTCGACATGCTTCATGTAGGTTTTTGGAGTTTGTAATATCTAATGGACTTGCTGTTATAGTATGCAATATTAAAGCTTCATTTTACTGTACTTCTTGATTTAGTGATTTATGTTTTAGGCTGTCAGATACATTCATAAATTGGATATTGTGCACGTTGACATCAAGCCAGACAACATCTTTATGACTTCAAAGAAGATTTTCAAATTGGGCGATTTCGGAATGGCTGTTGATTTGAAAAATGTAAGTTCTTGTATTAGTTTTATCAATACATAAAAAAAGCTTTAATTTTACTATCTTAAAACTTTTTACAAAATTTTTGAAATATTAACTTATTTTAGGACGAAGGCCTGGACAGAGACCACGAAGGAGATGCCAAATACCTGGCTGCCGAAGCCTTGAACATGGAAAATGTGACCAAGAAGATGGACATCTTTAGTTTGGGACTTTCCATCTTCCAATTGGCCACCGACTTGTGGGTACCCACCAATGGAAAGGCGTGGCACGACATCAGAGAACACAGATTCAGCGACGAAATTCTTGAAAGTAAGTTTGTCTTGAATGTAATGTGTTGTAAATGGATTCAAATTACCATTTCTTAAGTTTTGTCTTTTTTTTTACCTTTTTACTGTAAATTAAATACTTTCAGAATGCCCAAAGGACCTACAAGATATATTGTTATCGATGATGAAGTTGGATCCCGATGAACGTCCTGAAGCTCACGAAATTCTCAATTTACCTACTGTTCAAGACAAGGCCAGGAATCGTCAAATCACGACTTCGAACTTGGTATGTTATGTCGCTTTTCTTATTGTAAAAGTAATTCGGGTTACAGTTGTTTTTACCATCACCTTTCGTATACTCTTATTATTACTCTGTACTAAAATTTATGGCCGTCAGTTTGACTACTTGAGTTCTTAATTATATACTTTCAGAGATGGGACGACACGACAGTCTTTTCTCCTCAACTTTCATTCGAAGTCAGAGACAAGTACTTCCACACTCCTCCATCCCAACGTCAGTTCGAGAACTCGTCAATGTTCACTCCAGTTCGCCATCCCGCTTCTCTGAAGCGATGCCACAAGGTCCCGAGCTTCCTCCAAACCCAAGTAATCACCGAATCCTCGTTCGGGTAATCCCTACTGTAACATGTGAAACTTTGTATATATCTAACTAGAATATATTTTGCTCATGTCCTTTGTATAACGATAATTTTATTTTTGTCGCGAGAAATTTGTAAAATTTTGTAACGAAACATCATTAAATCTATATGGGTGTTAAGAGTTTGTTTGTGGTAGTGTAGTACTTAAGTCTATTTATGGTTATATTGGTACTTATTGGTTTATATATCAAGATTTTCAGTATATCAAGTGATTTCTATTGTATTCGATTAAATTGATAAAAGTAAAATAAAGTCAAATATTTCACTTTTGTTACTTGAAAAGTTTGTTATTGCCCGGCTTAAAAGCCATTTCTACTCGTATTTTATTATCACCGCGCAAAAATATGAAATCTACCCTATGGCATATTTATTTTGGTTCTTGTATAGCTGATTTTAATTGTTGAAGACACACGTTTTGCCGTGATTCAAGGACGTTCCATGCTTCTGGCTTCTGAATATTGGCTTTATATGATGCTAAAACTGAAGTCCAATCCATTTCCATCAACTCTTGAATCCGCTTTCCGTGTTCTGGAGTTTGTGGCCCAAAAACGTATGCTTTTTTGTATATCTAAAAAAGTAGAAACTTTGACTCAACAATAAAGATTTATATTAACCATTACTAGGTCAAAAGTTCAAAAAAATAAAACTGAAGCTAATCGCTAATTCCGTAAACTTTTTGACCAAACCATCACATTTACGACAATATAAGTCATTACCTCATTAAAAAACCCTACATGAACATACCTGAATAATGGCAGTTAGTATGAAACAAGTTGAGATCGGTACAGGTTCAGTGAACAAAGCAGTCCGCAACAAAGTGTTGATCAGACTATCAGGGTCCAAAGTGTTGGAAGCCAAGCTTCTAGTGTATAAGCAGACTTTGAGTAGTAACCGGACTTTGTTACTCTCTTCTGGCAACCATACTGACGACTCTTCTGCTGGTATATTACCCAGTTCTGTCACTTTTTTGATTCTGAAATGGTAAAATGAAAAGTTACACTCGAAAACAATTCAAACGTGGTAAAACTGGTAAAACATTACAGCAGCCAGAAGTTGAAAATGTCATTTGGCTACTGCAGGCCTGATCACTTTTAAAAAATGTAATAGTAGCGTATCTAAAACTTGCATTTCATCGTTATTAATTTTTAAAAGAACACTAGTGGAAACAATGGACGCCATAAGCCGTTCTCTAATCACACTGTTCAACCTGATCAGCATGGTGAAGATAGTAGCAATTGTTTCGATGAGATCTCCGTCAGTAGCCACAAGTTTCTAAAATTTGTTAATCCAGATAACTATTTTGCACTGAGTATAATATGATATAAAGATAATAGTACAAACTTTACATTCCCACAAAGCAATACTTTACGCATGACAATAACATCTAAAACATACCGTGTATCGTTCACAAATCCACGCAATCGTATACTCCACGGCAATTTCATTGGCCAAGTCCAACCTTACTTCACCTTCATCGCCAGATCCCCTGACTGGACTGCCATTGAACAAACTTTCGAAAAAGTTGTGAGCCATTGAAATGCGTTTGATGTCATTGTAGTCTTTGCTGGTCGTCACATCTATTTGTTCATTAATGATACGTTTCAGTGAGTTACAGAACTTAGCACTCTCCGGCTCTTTACGGAACTTTGTTAGTTTGGCTCGTAAGGTCTTGTGGTCTGACACCAACTTCTGTATATACCCATCAAACTTTTGCTTTAGTTCAGCTGGTTGAGCAGTTACCGTCTGTTGAGTTGATAATGAAGGTGGGATAACTAAAAGAAGAATAAGTTGTTGTTTTTGCTCCCTGTTTTTACATTGTCTTCTTAGAATCACGCTATATTAATGTAGGTAAAATCAATACAACGAAACAAAAACCTACGTCAATTCCTAAACTTCATATTATAAATTCAAATAAAACTTACCAGCCGGTTTCACAGGTGTTGGCTCGCCCTCCTGTTTAACATTCGGTGAACCAGCTAACGGAGTAGATGTGACAAAAGAGGCATGAGCTGTAGATGCATTTCCAAGTATTCCTGAGGTTCCTAACAAATTAATCGACCCTTTACTATCACCAAATCCCACAGAACTTTTATCTTCACCAGCCAAAGCTCCAACTGTAAAACTGGCTTTAACTGAAGCATCTTCAGACGGCAACAACGACGCTACGGCTTCTGGCTTCAAAATAGAATCCGTTTTCTGGAGCAACGCCTTCTCAACAACCTTTGGTTGATTTTCCAAACTTGAAAAAACAGTTTTTCCGCCAGATGCCTTGAGCTTCTCAATTAGAACTTTGGTATGAAACAGTTCATGGTTGAATTCGACGGTATCGGACTCTTTGGGTAGAGACGGCTTTGGAGAAGGAAACGAAACGTTGAGACTCTAAAATCAGAATAAATGACATTAAAAAGTTAAAGAAAAATGTTTTTATAATTTAGCTATTCTAATTAAACCTTAAAAAAGCTGTTTTGCCCATCTAAAAACCATCGTTCTTTCTGATCTTCTTTTCACAGTCGTATTTGTAAAGCAACTTAAATCGCAAAACGAAACTAACAAAAACCTTACCTTGTTAGCAGACTGATTCAAACGTTCGTTCTTTATTGTAGCCCATTTGTCCAACTCCATTCGACGTATGTCTCTTAGCGAAACTTCAAAATCCCGAGAAAACGAAGCATCAAGATCTTCATCTAACCGTTCTTTATATGTTTTACATAATTTTTTTAGTTCTTGTTCTTTTTGAGCTTCAATAAAGCCTCTAAAACGCAATATTTAATTTTTAAAACAAAACAAGCGTTTGTTAAATCTAAAAGCGAGAGATAGCAGAAAGATAATTTACCTTATCTCGCCTTCAACCTCTTTGAAAGGTTTCGCTTCCTGTAGCTTACGTCTTCTACCCAACATCTGAAATAATATGAGAGTTACAAGAAAATTTTAGACCAAAAGGTACAAAACTTTAAAAATTTTTTCCGAAATTTTCGTAAAATATTTTCCCAGAAAATTAAAGAAAACTTGACCTGCGCGAGTCAAGTCTTGTTTCAGTTGATGAAAGTTAGGACGAAAAACTGTTGAATAGCGATTTTAAATATTTTCACAGTCAGTTGTCAAATTATGTTCAGTAATTTTACAAGTTTTAGTTTGTTATTTCGATTTAAACTTGAAAACTACGCATTTTAGTTTTAATTTTTATATTTCTTTATTACATGTTGTTGAGTTATAACTCGTAATGGTATTGCTATATTCCGTTCACAAATTGTCAGTTATTTATTTAATATAAAGCGTGTCAATTGCAGATATTCCCTCCACTGACCTATATCCACTTTTCTCGTTCCCAGATCATTCTCGGCTTTGGAGTTTCCGCTTTGAATGGATAAAGCGTGGAATGGTCAAGAGCCCAATGAAAAGAGAATAGGTAGAACCTACCGATTATACGATTGTTGTAAACGTAAAAGCTTTAAAATACAAATATGTATCATGATGGTACTAACAACTTTTATTTTATTATTGAAGATTTTGGAATTGCTTTAGGATAAAACCAGACTTTGAGCTTTAAAAAATATGTAGCAAGTTTTTTATGACTAACAAGTTTTATTTTGGTTTTTGAAGAACTGCTTCAGGGAAAAACTAAAGACTCAAAAAAGGATTTTAGGTATCAAACTTAATCATAGAGGCAAAAGAAGCGGACAAATCAAAGGCCGGGCTAGGCCAGTGCCAAAACAAAACAGGCAGTGCTTAAAAGTTGAATGTCTAGTTCAAGACAGTCATTAAATGAAGGCTATTTTTAATCTCTCCAAGCCTATCGATGTATAATGTCATATGTGTTACAATCTTCAAAGCTTTGACTTGTCATAGTCATTAAAAGCAACCTAACGTATGTACATTACCTTGTGTGAAAGGAAAGCATAATTTGCGGTAAAGCTTAATGTCCTTTTTTGTGTTTCCGGAATAACCTTCAAATTTGTATTTTTCGGGAGGAAACGATCATAAGCGCCGTCGGTTTCCGGTAGCCTTATACCTTGTTTAATTTCTAAGGTCGTTTTGGGTAAAGGTTGTGGTTTGTTTGCAACTGAACTAATTTGCGCTTATTGTTAGTTATCATGACAAACTTGACATTCGGTTTTGTTGATGTTAGTGACGAATTTAAATTTGTACTTTTGTTTTAAAAGTTTGTTTTCGAAAAGTTATGTTGTTTATTGATTTAAAAATATGTATTTTAAGTTTCGTAATATACTGATCAACTAAAAAACGTAATATAACTTCAAAGAGCCGGGCTTGACTAGGGCCAAAACAAGATGAGGAGCTAGAGTGGGACTAACATAAGCCTAGTATAATACAGACCTAGAGGCATGGCTAGTTAAAGCTAGGGCAGGGCTATGGCATGACTAGAAGCCAGATAAAATCAAGGCTAGGGCGGCTAGAATATAATGGAGGGGGGAGCTAAAACGGTTAAAGCATGGGTGTGTAATGGCAAAGATAGGGTTGAAGGATCGGTAGTAAAACTATATTGAAAAAGGTTTGATTTTAGGATCTTTTTAAAAATTTTTAATTGATTCGAAAAGTTGGAACAACCTAGTATGTTAAATTTTAAATTGCTTTCAGTGTTTTTAAGGAATATTGTACAAGAAATGCCTTTACTTACAGTATTCAGTCCTTGAATAAAAGTTTTGTGTCTTTTCTTTGAAAGGAAGCGAAGAGAGCCAATAAGAAGTCAGCGAGTCTCCTTCTTTTCTTCGCTTTTTAAAACTTTAATCCGATGACAATAAAACGCTTTTTTGAAATTTAAAAGGTTTTTGAACTTTTTTTTTATGGAAAACGATTTTTTTTTCTCAAAATTTTAAACTTTTGCTTCATTTTCATTAGGTTGGCTAATAAATATACAGGCATACCTCTAGTATAACACTAACGTCTTTAGTATGACACTAGACTTTGCAACCGAGCCGATTTTTGAGTCCGGGCCGCCCTGATAGCTAGTTATATATGACATTCAAGGGCTGGGAAAAAGTGCCATATTAACCAGGGTGTCATACTATCTAAGTAATTTTTGATGCATAGGAGTTCTATTTAAAAAAGCGGGCAGAAAGCTGCCATTATAAAGAGGGTGGCATACAATCAAGAGTGATACTAAAGAGGTTTTGCTGTACTTTCAAATTAAATTTTTTTTAAAAATTTAAAACAAAAAGTAATAGAAATGTTAATTAAACGTATTTTACATTTTCAAACTTAAAAAACTTGAAACCCCTTATACGAGTTATTGTCGTAAAAACCAGCTTAGTCAGTGGCAAAGTGAAGGGAAAGAAGAAGACACTTTGTTTAATTGATTTTCAGCACTTTAATGGTTTTGTGTCTTCGAATCTGCGCCTTCGAACCATTATCGTATTCCTCCAGGAATTCCCAGTAATTTTCTTTTCAACTTTCTTAACAAATTCAGCTGGTTGAGGAGGATGAGCTGAGCAGTTTGTAACAATATCTGACAATAAATTTGATACTAATGATTATAAAGCATTATTTTTTAAAAACTGATTGATAAGAACTTTTATCTGGAAATGTTGCCTATTGAGTATGATAATACCTTTAAAAAATTTAAAAAAATGGTTATTTTTGGTCAATAAAATTTCTTTGTTTTTTCAAAAGAAAACGTTAAAGAGTTATAAAATGGCATCTTATGCTGTTACTAACACAAAATCTAAAATTGCATACTATAACTCAATGACCATGTCATGATTCGTACTGCAACTCAATGACAATGTCATGAATGTCAATTCGTACAGTAACTCCCCCAATTTTTGTCGAAATTAGGGCGGCGTTGCCATTTGAAGCGCGCTTAACCTCAAAGCTGAATACCAAATTTAGGTTAATCCTCATATACGGTGGTCATCACTCAAAACTTGTTGAATCGTCCGCTCTCCGCCCATTTTTTGGGTTCCAAAAAATTTTCAGTTAGAAGCCATCGGCTACGCTCCGTCGGACCGTGTCGCAAGGGAGGGCATTCAACCGGCGCGGTTACGGTAATTTTTACTTAGGTAGATTTTGGAAATTGAGACAACTTAATTAGTGACAATTAGGTAATTTACTATACGAAAAAGGAAAGTGGAACAAAGTTTTTGCAAAAACGAAAGTTGTGATTTATATTGTGATCTATTGACTAAAATTTAATGATTTGATGATACTTACAAGCAAATTTATGTTTAACTAGAGTAGAATATAATGTTAAAAAGCTATGCCTTCATTAAATCAACTTTTATCATTAAATGAAATTTTGATGAAGTTTTAATCACTTTTTCGAAAAGAGTTTTGGTATTATAGTAGGCGCAATATAATTTTAAGCATACGGCCCCCAGTAAAAAATTGAAATTTCAGATGCATCAACCTCACCAAATTCCGCACCATCCTGGACTAGATCCTCATTGTTTACAAGATAGTCAAATGAGCAATGGTGTCATGTTTTGGCCCGGTCCTTATTCAACGGTAAGATTGGAAGAAATGCCATTGGGACACTAATAATATTACTTGTCTATGACATTATATAACTAACACGTTTTTATTCTAAATTTTGATTAATTTTTAATTTTTTTTATTCTTCGTATCGTCAACGTGTTTTTGTTGCCATTTTTTGATATTATAGAAGTGCCTTAAACGTATTTTACAAAACCTTACTTTAGTGTTCTCAAACGCCTCCTCATATCGACCCGTCGATCTCACAAAACCAAAATAACTTTATTGTAAACGCGAGTACCCAAAACAATGTAAACTATCAACAGCTAATGGCGGCTGCCGCCGCGGCCGCTGTCACGGTTAGTGCTTCTGGAGCAATGTCTAGTCAAAGCAGCGATTGCAACGTTTATTCTAGTAAGTTTTCACCTAACAATGTTTTTTCTGTTAACATACTTTACTTTTTGCCATTTTTAATTAGTTATTCGCCAAATCCAAAGAAAGTTCAAGAAACTGAAATTTTATTATGATTTTCCGAATTATTTTACAAATTTTAAAAATAAATTGCAGCACATACGGGAGTGAATCAGTTAGGCGGGGTATTTGTGAACGGCCGACCCTTACCTGATCATATCCGAAACAAAATAGTCGATCTGTGGAGGCGAGGAGTACGACCGTGTGAGATCTCAAGACAGTTAAGAGTTAGTCATGGATGTGTGTCAAAAATACTTGGTCGATTTCACGAAACTGGCAGTATTAAACCAGGTATGTATGTTATAATTGTTTTTGCTATTACTTCGACTGGCTTTAAAGCTACAAGTTGATTTCAAAATTTTGGAGTAGGATCTTTGTGCAGTTGTTACATTTTTTGAAAGAAGGGTTGGCCTGTAGCTTTTAAAATAGTGTAAAATGGTCTAAAACACGGAAATTTACTGAGGTTGTTAATTATTTTGCTTTAACAGTTTCTTCACTATCATTTTCAATCAAAACCTAAGTAATCAACTCCCATTTCCAGGTGTAATTGGAGGCTCAAAGCCAAAAGTAGCCACTCCAAAAGTCGTGAACACAATCGCTTTGTACAAACTTCAGAATCCGACAATGTTTGCGTGGGAGATCCGAGAGAAACTAATCGAGGATGGGGTTTGTGACGCTGAGACGGCGCCATCGGTCTCGTCGATCAACAGGATCGTGAGGAATCGGAACACGACGACCAATCAGCAAACGTCTCGGATCGAAAAGCGCTGCGACGAAAGTGAGGAGAAGATGGAGGTGAAGGTGTTGCACGAGACTGACAATCGGAACAACATGGCTATGGGCTACCCTATGGTGAGTTATTCACAAAATGGGTTGGGAGTTACTGTAGTGTTAGTATTGTGCAGTTTGCGTTGATAGGGTAGGGTACGGTTCGGTAAAATAGGGTAGGGTAGAAAATAACTTTTTTTCTTTGACAAACAGTCATAAAGAAGTCAACTTTATAATATGTCTTGCAGCAATACCAACCTCAACGAGTACAACAACCAAACGACAACTTTAACTCTCACAATATGGAGTCAAGTTATTGGCTTCGGACAGCCGAAATGTACAGACAAAGTCTTATTCCGGGTTTGAATTACCAAGGTAAGTTCATTCACTACATAATTATGTCAATTTATGTTGCGGACTGGCTTTACTTTTTGTTAAAATTACGGTAAAACTAACTTTTTTTTGGTAGAGGGTGACTAAGACAAGATTCAAGCAGTCTTTCAAAGACGCAGGCAAACCAAGGCCTTCTTTTTGACTACTCTTGGTCTATGTCACTATACCGAACAAATTTTTACAAAACTTATAGTAAATACTTATGATATATTTGCTATAAGTGTTCTGTTATACTAATATCATCATCTAATAACAATATTTTTGCCATTGCGCGCTATTAATGAATAAAAACTTTGCTTTCAGGATGAGCAATTAATTTTCGACATTAGAAATTCTTTTTTGGACACATCTTCTGTCATGGTGCGGTATTCACATACGATAGTATACTTCAAAAGTCTATTTATTACAGTACATATTTATGATTCGAACTTTTGAGTCGTCTTTCACTACGAATAAACAACTAGTTGTATAGTGAATGGTCGTATGGATGATGGGTAATATAATGGCGGTAAAAAGAAAAGTTAGGTAACATAAAAGCTTTACTATGTAAGTAAGAACGTATTTACTTTAGAATGTTTTTTTTGTTTTAAATTTTAAAAATTTTAAATAAATCGTTTATAATGTAAAATACGACCATTGCAGTGTTTAGTATCTACAGTAAACATCCTTTTCACTACAGTAAACAGCCTTTTCACTACAGTAAACGGCCTTTTCACTACAGTAAACAGCCTTTTTCAAATCCTCAATAATATAAACAAAAAGCTAATTATAATATTACAATCTCTTATATTTGCATAACCTTACATCGTTTCTCCACCGTCTCTCAAACACTACGACCTCTCGCTCGTTTCCCAGAATAATGCGATTAAAAGGCCAAAAGGTGGCATACAATAGGAGATATTTGTCGGATCAAAAACATTAAAGGATTTTACACCCGTTTACTTGGAGGTCAACAGGCTTCAATTTGGGAATGTGTGGCAGGCTTATTGAAAAATGATGCTAACAAGGAAGTACCCGTCCTGCTCTTCAGAATCAGCTTTTAATTTGTATATGAACCTTTCGTACCACCCACCAATGGTACACACAAAAAATTTTAGCTTGCAATGTGGACTTTTGAATTTGAAAATTTGAGTTTCCCACTAGTTTAGTAACTTTGGCATTGTGTTTCAACTCCTTTTTTTAAAGTTCCAGGTAATGCATGCTTACAAATTTAAAAGTGTAGATTCATTTTAAGATTTTCAACTATTATATCAAAGAAAAATGCTTAAAAGTCATTAAAATAACAGTTATAAGCTTGAAATACGGCCCAAGATTATTTATAAGATGTTAGTTGTCACAGCTTGACAAATAATCCTATATTTATAAAGTTTATTAAATTTATTGCTTTAAAACTAAATATTTTAAATTAAATTTTTAACTAAATGACTTTTCTCTGGCCTTTACCTCCTCCAAAATGCCAATTAGAAGTCTGGTGGAGCTACTTTGTCATTTCCCTAAAAGAATCATACGGTATTATTCATCAATATATCAGTAATATTTAAGTGAAAATAATGTGTTTTTGTTTATAAATACTATTGTTTGAAAAACGTTTTAAAATACGAAATTTAAACTTTTTTTTATAAAATTTAAGCTTCTTTACTTTGAAAAGTAAATTGAACTATGATATAATCCTACCTTTTCAAGTTCCACAACTCCCAATTCAATGTTCTTTTCTTCCTTAGCATCTACATCTACACTGTCAACCACTTCAATATTCTCGATTTTACTGTCAGAGGTTGTGGCATCGTTAATATTCTTTTCAGTAGCTGCTATTTCCAATTCATTGATAAGTTTTGAGGTTTTGCTATCACTGACAGTGTTCACAACTTTGTCTTCAATCTGTTTTTTGATGTCATCAACTGAAATCTCTTCAATTTTATCATCAGAAAACTCTTTCAAGCCTTCTGGAGTTTCTTTTTCTACCTTAACTCCGGAATTTTCTACTGAAGACGCTTCGGTTGTTGTAGAAGAAATGTCTGAATATGGTGAAGATCCATCTGTTGAAGAAGACGAATCTGATGACGTGGTTGAGCTTCCGTCACTAAGAGAACTTGTTGTTGTTGTACCTTCTACAACCTCAGCTTCAGTAGCTTGATTTTCAGTAACTGTAGATTCCTGATTCTCAGAAGTTTGAGTCGTAGTCAATTCTGAATTTTCACTTACTGTAGTGGCATCGTTTTCTGATTCTACTTGACCGTTACTCGGTTCTTCTAGTGCTGCTAGATTAACACCGTCAACTTCAGAATTTCTTTTTTCTTCTTCTTCAGCTTCTGGAATTTCCTCTTCGGCTTCTGGAATCTCATACTTTTGAGTAGTAGATTCAGATTCTGAAATGAAAGCTGTTGTTCCTTCAGAATCAAAAATGGTTGTGCTTTCTGAGACAGAAGTTGTCGTTTCAGAAGTTCCGTCGGCTGCCACAGTTGTTGTACCGTGTTCAGAAGGTTTATCGTTCAAAGTAACTTCTGAAGTAGCAGTGATCTCACCATTAACTGCATCGTTGACAGCAACAACATCTCTTAATGGAGCGACCGTTGCTTCAGCATCAGCACTGTTCAGACTCTCAACAACAGGTTCGGTAACTACAGCATTAGCGACATCAGTAGAAGCTTGAGGGACGTCTGATGTTGTAGTTTCGGTTGTCGAATCGCCTGTGACGGCATATTCAGAAGCTGTAGTTTCATCTAGACTAGCTGAAGATGTGCTACTTCCGTCTTGTTCAGACGGTGAAGAAGTGCTACTAGCATCGTATTCAGCAGTAGATGTGCTACCGTTCTCAAGAGCTGACAAAGTACTAGATCCGTCGTTACAATCAACAGAAACAGTACTATCGCTATCACTTTCAACTGTAGTACTACTAGATCCATCCGTAGTACTATCTTCATCAAAAGTAGGCGACGTGAAGTCAGTCACAGCCAAAGCTGGGTAGTTGACAGTACTACTTTCACCTTCAACCTTGTAGCCCAACGATTCACCATTCTTCATTTCATGTTCTTGCGACAAGTTTGACTCTCCAGAAACCAAAGAATTGTCATTCTCAATACGATTACTAACATCTCTGATGACATGGTGTCGCTGAGTCGATGCTGAATGTGTAGAAGTCATTGAAGAAGCCAAGGTTACCAACGCATAGGCAGCACATGCTGATATGATGATGGTCTTGTAGTTGTTCAAGACGAACTGACGGTATTTGGCCCACAAAGTTTTTGCCATTCTAAAATTATTTGCCTATTAAACATACTGATAGTGCTCACGATAACAGTAAATTTCAAAAAAAAGTTAAAAACAAAAATTAAAAAAAATTTTTTTATTGAACACCAGGAAACTTGAACAAGCTCCAGAATAATATGCGGCGTCCGAAGTGACAAGATTTCACGTTACTGCAACAAGCTAACAATTGTTATCCTCGCGCTTATCTAAATTTTGAAATTCGTTTGAATTATTTTAGAATCCAGTCTTGTCTCCGAATCGGATCTTGACAACTAATTTATTTCGGTTTCTTTGGAAGTTCACGCAACTTTTTATGTCTAGTATAAGTAACTTGCCCACTGGTATATCACTAAAAACATATTTTTAAAAAATCTCAGTTTTATAAGCATCTTCATTAAAAAGTACCTTTAAGAATAAAATTGATAGCAGCCAACTTCTCAGATTAGTTTATTTATCGCATTTTCAAACAAATACCATTAAAACAGTCTGGAATTTAAACATGGAAGATCGTTTACTTTCCCTTCTTTCCTTTCGTGGCTCTGCCGTATCGTTCACGGCCTCCAGGTTTCTTAAATTGGCCTCTCTCAGCCATTAGTTCCGGATCTTCTTCCTCTTCATCGTCCGATTCTTCAGATTCGGACGACTCTTCCCACTTTGGCTTGGTCGGTACCTTGTTCTTAGACGGTTCTGGAGCTGAAGCTTGAGTTTCTTCTTCATCTGACTCATCGTCGTCTTCAGATTCAGATTCCGATGATGTGATATCGTAAACACGATCCTGAGCTCTCACGCCCTCCTCATCCTCTTCATCGTCATCTCCAAAGTCAACGAACTCCACATCGGCCTCATTTTGTTCCTCTCCTTCGTTCAGTCGAGCAGATTCTGGCAACTGACCTTCGTTTTTGAGGATTCTGGCTTCGTCAGTAGTGTACTTCAAGATGACGTCGGCTTTGGATTCTTGGTAGCCACGAAGACCGACTAGAATAATGTCACCAGTGTTAATCCAGACCTTTTTACGCAGTTTTCCACGGATATGACACAATCGTTCTTTACCATCAAAACATTGTGCAGTTAGACGGCCGTTCCCCAGCATCTTCGTTACTTGGGCGTAAGCTGAAATATAAATATAATAGAAATAAAACCTTATACATATATTTTTAAAAGGTGCTTATCATTATGTATTTTGCTGTATACTAAAAAAGTTAAAACAAAAAAAAATAAAAAAGTAAAACTATTTCCTCATTAACAACTTTGTAAATTTGATAATTTTCATGGTATTTAACACAAAATAAAATCTAAAACATTCTACAACCCCAAAAAACCAAGTAAATAGACATATTTGAAAAAGTCTAGTGCAAAACCAAGCAAAACAAATTACTATCTCATACGTGGTTAGTGAACAATAAATGTTATAAAAAATAACGAATATTACATAACCTGAATTTGCTTTGGTTTGTACAAAACAGAAACACACTTCCTAAACTAATAAACCTCAAAAACATAAAATTACCTTGATCATCTCCATCACGACGGATCAGCTCTCGTTTCATAACATCATTCTCGTTCTTTCCTCTTCTACGATTCTTTCCTCCTTTTCCCTTATTCTTCGGCATTGTTGAATGGTTTTCTCAGTTGAAAGCCCTAAAAACAATCAAAAAATCTTAACATAATATGAATCAATATTGATATTATACAAATCAATAAAACACGAGGTTATTTCCAAGTAATCAACAAATAAAATAAAAATAACTGGTTTTCGTAAAAAAAACGGTTCCGGTGAAGGTTTTCTGAATTCGAAGTAACTTTTGAGGACAGAAAACATGGAGAAATTGCATCACAGAGTTTATTTTTATAGATCCCACCACGGAAATGTGATTCCATGAAAATTGGCATTCCGTGGCATTAATATAATGTTTTTTTTTGTAAATCCATGCATGAATGATTAAATGTTTTCTGATGTAATAAATTTGAATATTATATTTCGTTTTTATTTTTTTACAGATTTGTTAGGTAATTTTATTATTTACGGTTTTTTGCTCAACTTGGCGTTGGCGTGCTTATATCTTTATGTGTTCGAAAAAGAACAGGAAGTTTCAGACTAAACCGACAGATAAACAAGACCCGATATCAGTGCAAACTAACTCTTCTACAACTACATCTGAAACTGTTGAAGCTTCCAGTGACGCGATGAATAAGCTGAAGAAGTTTTTACAAGAAAAGAAGCTTGACAAGAAGTTCAAGTCTGCCGGAAAAGGACAAACATTGGCTGGATCTGGAAGTCCAGCGCGATCACCTCAAGCTTCGTCAGCTGTTCCTTCATATCAACCACCAAGCGTAAGTTATAGTATTATTTGTTGATGTTTAGGATGCTTTCATTTCAACGTTAAGCGATGATAAAATCGTATCATGACCTACATTTTTCTAGTTCTTTTGTACTATACTTTGTTTAAAATGTCTAAATTGTAGGATAGCGAAACTCGTAGACAAACAGCAAGTCAATTAGCTGATGCAGTTGAGAAACGACTTCAAGGGTCGGAGAAGAACCTTACTTATGCCCAGAAGAAGATCAGAGAACAAGCACGAAGAGAGTTGGAAGAGGAGGAAAGGAAAAAGAAATTAGAATCAGGAGAAGTTGATGCCAGAAAAGATGAGAGAGATGGCGAAAAGTTGTTTGAGCACACTGAACAGATCTCCTCTGTATCTTACACTTGCGAATTGCTGGATGATGATATTGTCCTGCCTAGGAAAGAAGTTAGTTATTTTTTAGCAGATTTTAGATATATTATGCAAGGGAAATAGATTTATTTTAAATTCATAATGGGTTTAATGATAAGAATAAGTTTTTTATAGTTTAATTGAGTTTGATTGTTATTTTATAGATGATCGATGCAGTTGAACAATTCTTGACTGCCCATTTATCTGAAGAGCCAATTGAAGCCGCTATTATCATGTTTTGGTCATTGAATCAAAAAGAAAAGATCGACATTGCACTGCCAATTATTCACAAATACATTAGCAATATTCTTCTAAACCCTGACGAGCCAAAGTTCCGTAAGATCAAAACGACTAACAAAGTGTTCATAGAGAAGGTGAAGCCGGTGAAAGGAGCCGTTGACTTCTTGAGAGGAGTTGGATTCAGAGAAGAGCTGATGGATGGACCTGATGGAGCGAAAGAAACGTTTTTGGTATTTCAAAATACTGAATCTGATGCTTTGGGCGTGCTTGAGGATTATATGGCAGCATTGCAGTATGGAGAACCTGTTTCTTTGAAATTGTACAGAGACCCGAAGGTAATAACTTGTTTTATGAATTTCGTAACTTAGCTTGTACACCTATTGATACCTAAAATTATGTTTTTCAGGTCTTCCGAGTAGATTCGTCAAAGCCAATTCCGAAAGCTGAAGTACCTTCTGATTTCTTCATTTTGTCTCCAGAAGAATTGAAGAGAGAACAAAAACAACGTGAACAAGAAGCCGAACGACTCCAGACGCTGAGAACGTCAAAGATGAGAGAAGAAGATGCTCGGCTACGAAAGTATAATTACAAATACACGTTGATCAGAATTAGGTTTCCTAATCATATTGTTCTTCAGGTAAGTAGTTTAATCTTTTACATTGACTTTAAGGTATACCTTTAGTCGTTTTTACACGTTTTTCAAATTATTGCCATAGTCTAAAAGAAAGTTTTTAATAAAATTTTTATGTCACATTGTTTTTGGCAATGTTTTTCCTATAATTTCAACATTTGTGCCGTTTAAATTGATGTTATTGTTGGTACACGATAACGTTTTCATATTTTTAGGGGGTATTTGGCGTGCACGAAAAGTTCTCAACTCTTCGAGAGTTCATCGCTTCTAAACTACAAACGCAATCTGGCACATTTGTATTGACGGATCCCACCAACGGTGGTCAAACTTTTAGCAACGATGAAAAGTCTTTTGCTGATTACGGGTTAATGCCAGCTGCTGTGGTCTTCTTTGACTGGGATCAGGATACTATGGTATGTTATGCTTAATTTTTTTTTATTTTTGGAGGGATGGATTACTTTTTTATGAGTTTTTTAAGATTTTTTTCTTTTTTAGGCCCAATTTGCCCAACAGAACCTCCAGCCTTCCTTCCTAACGCAAGAACTGAACCAAAAAGCACAAGTGCTGTGAATAACTTGATCAACTTTTGCCGAGCTTTTGTAACATAACTGAAACCCAAGTGATTTGACATAAAATACGGTGTCTTTATTATTCTGCAATGATTTTTTAGAAAACTAATTTTTTATATTAATTTATTCACTTTGTTGTAGTGACTTTTAACTTACAGTGTCTATTATTCTGCACGGTTTTGCTTTTAGTTTTTGCTGGTATTACAAAGGTTTTCATAACTTAACAATGGTCTAAATTAGAATATTTGCCGGTTAATATACTTTTTATTTAAATCTAACAATTATAATGAATGGGGCTGAATTGAAAGAATTTCCTGAAGCACAATAAATATTTATTACATTTACAGGTCTATTATTTTAGAAACGGTTACATTCCGTTGAATATCTGGTGATTTTTATATGTTTCAACTTTTGATAGGATATTACATTATATTGTTTTACATAGTAACATCAAGAAATAAGTGCGTAAAATTGGAGCTAGAGATACGTTTAATATATAGGATTGTTGAGTTTATATTTCTAGTTTAAATTAGTGTTTGAAGTCTTAAGGCGAGACGATTTAAAGTGATTTAACTGTTTTTAAATGACATTTTATTGTGATTGATGATTAACGTTTGTTTTTTACAAAATTAGTTTGTGAAGATTTTTGATATAAGGAAAATAACTTGCAACTTAGCTTTTAGCTATATAATATAGCTATTCGAAACGTAGAATTGATTATTTTTCTATACGAATCAATGAATTACACCTTGATCTCATTTATTTCAATGAACAGAATCTTTTTAGACATCTTAATATACCTCAAAAATGAGTGGAAACAACAGGAATGTAGCCAGAAACTTCTTGGCCAGAGAAATGGGCCCAATACCGAAGTCATCAGTGTTGGACAGGTGCAGAGATTTCATGCCTTTAATAGCGGCCGCTAATGAGGAGCTGAAGAGGAAGTCAGAAGATGGGATTGCTAACTCTTTAACTGGCATTTCTATAGTACCAATAGCAAAGAAGAGTAAGGACGAACAGAAGGAGATTGCGACGAAGGAAGACAGCTCTTCAAGTTCTGATTCTAGTGATAGTGAAGTGGAGGATTCGGTAAGGTGTTTTTTAGTTGAAAGTTGAGGTTTTGCTGTGTAGAGTAGTGTCCATTGTTAGATTATATATAATAGATCATTTACAGTTTGACTGACCTTGTCATTTCAGAATGCAGTAGAATTCGAAATAGATGTACGGGCTAACTCTGATTCTGAATCCGAAGCAGACAATGATAATGAAGTTCCAGAAGCCTTTAAAAAACCAATAGAATCCAACAAGAAACAGAATAAATCGTTGATTGAGGAGGTAGACGACTAACTTTGTTACACTGTATATATCCACTTGTTATTGTTATTCTTTGTTATTTTCAGGTACTAGCCAAGGTTGTAAACAGTATAATAGGTAGCACAAGTTAAACTTGATGAGTGTTACTTATTATAGAAAATAATGGGGTAGATAATTGTTTTCAAGTTTTACAATTTCTAGAGCATTGTTATCACTTTTTGTTAAGTTTGATCATTTTAAACGTTTCTAATTTGACATTTGTACTTTCAATAAAAATTATCTTATTGTTGTTAAAGAATATCACATTTAGCTAAACCATCAATTTCTGTTTTTGAATAAACTTCATTTTTAAAACTACGATTGTTAAATTTTTGCGAAATATTTTTAAATTTGTTTTCAAGATGTGCAAATATATTGCCAGATATTGTCACATTTTTAGATTCTTGGTGGGTGATGTTTTGAGTCATTGTTTGTACAAATTGAAATGTTTCTGATCAGTTTTCAGTATAAAAGTTGCCAAAATGAAGGACACTTATCTGTATTCGATCAGAGTCATTTTGAATAAGTTTTATCGTACTTAAATTGTCATAATGAACAAGGTTGTTCTTTCTTTTCTACTTGCTTTTGTTATCATGGTTAACTTCACAATGGCTGACAAGAAAAGTGGTACGTTTTTAATTAATAACGTATTGTCATATGTAGTATTTTAGATGAAAAGTAATATAAATTATTTCAAAACAAACTATAAAAGATGACATTATAATATTTTTTAGAAATAATCGACAAAATAAAGGCGTTGGCTTCAAAAGACAATAATAAGATCAACGATTTCTTCAAAGAGAACTCAGGACAATCGATGGACGACCTCATGGATAACATGAAGAATGAACTTCCAGATTTGGGTGATTTGATCGACCAGATGATGGACAAGTTCAAGGATCTTGAAGGAAAGGCTGATGAATTCCAGAAGCAGTTGGATGATCAGTTAAACAAACTTAAAGAAAGAAACTGATGGATTACTAACTAAAATGATTCTAACAATTTTTTATGTTTTTGCGCACCAACATGTTCATTTTTAAAGTAATAAAGTTGACTTTAAATACATACATATTTGAAAAAAAAATTTACTTATATATTTATTGTAATATAATAACAAACAAATATTTACATCCTTTAACAATGTTTAATAAAAACAGATTTAGAGTAATATTATTGTAAATTGAGAGATCACTTATACCCGTAATACATAGTATGGCAACATGTTTCTAAAAAAATTTTGGCCAATTTTACAATTATAATTGTCTATAGTTTATCCACGTCCGCAGTTAACAGTGCCACACAGCAAATAGATACCACCAATATTATTACCAGACTATACGTTGCCTCCACTGTAGCTATTGTAGCTTGGACCACCAAATAAAGGCATAAAGTTTTGGGATACCGTCGTGCTTATCAAGCACAAAAGCAATAGGGCTATGGTCATCTTGTTGATCATTATGAACGTTGTAATTGGTTGATTGAAGGTAGAAATTAGGATTTTATCGAGTAGAGTATTGACAACGTATTGTAACTACCTAGTTAAGCTTGCTAATACAGTTGTGTTACAGTAAAAGTAAAAAAAGGTGACGTAAATGTACAAAGCAGTGACTTTTACAGTAGTAAACAAATAAGTGAACAATTAGGCTTTGTCTTATATATAAGCAAACCTGATGTTAGCTTAAAGTAATATAAGCTGTCGATAATAACAGTTAATGTTGATAATGATTACAATCAAACCCTTTTATTCAAAAACAAAGTAAAATGTTGTTTACTATGGGAATATCTCCACCCCCTACTTACCCCTCCATAAAAACTTAACGACAAAAGAATAATGTTTAAAGTGATACGTTTAATGAAAGTCACAAGGAAGATTGTATAAACACGTAGAAAATGTTACAGTAAAGACAGTCATAAAAAGTTATAGCCAAAAAGTTTTTACCAAAAGTATTGTAAGTTTTGTTTAAGATTCATCGGAAAGTTATGGTGACTTTAAAGTACAAGTGTAAAGCATGCTATGATTCAAGTGTTTTTGAATTTAAATACGTTTACTATGTGATTACTAATGTTTATTATAGTAATTACAATAGTAATGACAATGGTGTCATGTATATATCTTTAGTGTAATGTATTTTTATGGTTTGAGTCTATTTTTGAACTGTACCTACTTTTTAGAATCAAACAAGTTGAGACTAAAAACAGATTGAAAAAAGTAAGTATTTGATCTTTGAACCGATTAGTTTTACTTTTTAATAGTTGAATGTTTACTGCTTTACAACTAAACATAGAACAACTTTATGGCCTTTTGAAAATTTCATCTTTGGATTTCGAAAAGTTTAAAGTATAGGAACATCTTGTTGTTTTAGGCTTAAAAGTAGTTATCAAGGTAGAGTATCCGGCCGCTTTTTAACCAAACTAAAACAGGGGTCTAAAAATTAGGCTAAACTTTTGAGGCGGAAAGTTAAAAGAATTTAAAGTTTAAAATTCTTTAATTTTCCATTCGTAAGTTACAACCAACTCTACGTTTAAAAGTTCAAAGAAAATAAAAGTAATTCAAGAAGATTTTCGAAGAAATTCGAAAATCTTGTTTTTATGAACTGTCACCGAATTTCAAAAACAAATTCCGAAACGACCATTCTCGAAGTCGGCGCTCCGATGGTAAAGTGGTTGTCGTGTGTCTTGGTCGGGTGTGCCTGGATTGGGTTCGATTCCGGCTTCGAAATGGTTAAATAGAAGCTCGGGAGAACACGTGAGGGATGCATGACACCGCTACCAGCCGTAGGCCTTAACCGGCCAATGATGGATTAAAGGAGTCGTACGCTAGCTGAAAAACAACAGGATTGTTCTGATCTTCTCGAAGGCCAACGGAAATCAGTTTTGAACTTTTTAGTGGGCAAACGATGTTGTAGTAGGTTTAGGGGGCTTAGCTACGTAATAATTTTGAAATCGCTCCTTTTCTGTGTTACATTCTTCTCTTTTTTGTATTTTTTTGATTGAAGCCTACTACAAAATAACAAAAAAATTTCCAAAAATGCTAGATTTTTACGCTTTACAGTAACTTTTCATACATCTATGGTATTCCTATAAGGTGTAATTAATTTATTAACAAATAAACAATGAAGTATACAAACAGAGATTCGTTATGCTATATTATATTTACACTCTCGGCCGAGATGACGAATGCGAAGCTGGTGAAGAAGATGAAGTAGTAGTTGTATTAGTATTCGGAGTAGAATTAGTAGATGAACTGCGTCGTATCCTTTCAGCCAAAGCTTTGTGATCAACTTTGCTGATTTTGTTTAGGCTACGGTGTTCAATGTGACGCCATAATTGTATGAATTCGTGAGTCATGTCTGAAAAGTTATCGTAAAAGCGTTGTAGACAGAGATTTTGAAGCTTATAAGATATAAGGAATAAAAAGGTATACCGTCAGCCTTGCTACTTCAAAAAATACTATAAAACTCTAGATTTCAACCAAAAAAGTAAAAATTTTAATTAAAAAATCTTACCATCGAGTTGCTGATGTGTTAAAGTAGGATCAAAGTACTGGTACCATTCGTCGCCTTTGCTCGAGCGCCCAGGAAATGTGTTATTATTCTCTGACCATAATATTGCCATGTAGAATGCAGCCCCAGCTATTACTGAAGGTTTGTAGCGAATACACCAGTTTGTTACATGAATACTAAAAGACATATCTTGAGTATAATGCTATCAACTTTTATATTGAACCATGGCCCAAACATTTGAGCCAGTAGCTTCCAAAATAATAACAATTGGTAGAAAAACGTTAGCTTTTTAGTAAAAAGTAACAGTTTTTAAAGTTTCCCAGCCCCGTAGCACTATAAATCACTTACATATCAGTAGTCAGCCAAAACACAAACTCTGCAAACTTGGAGTCATTCTTCCTAAACACATCTTTTGCCCTCAACACGAATGGATGTGGAATATCAATAGCGAAGTTGAAGCCAATAGTCTGCAGAACAATATTCTCGATCCACACAATATATTCAACCAGTTTGTGATACGTCTGCTTGTTGATTATGGCTGTACGTTCAACTTCGTTCTGTTGAACTTCCGTCTCTATACGTAGTTTGTACCATGTTCTGACAATGTAATCTAGCCTTTTTGGGCATTCTTCTGATTTCGAAGTTAGAAACAGAACAGCGGCACCCACATCCTAGGAATAAACGTAAAATAATTTTGGTTTAACCTACTCTTGCATCAAAATACTTTAGTGAATGAACGACGAAAAAGCGTTTTAAATGCACCATACTGACACAAATGCAAAGTTGTGAGCTGAAATGCGCAAAATGTTAGAATAATAAATCTTGTCTTCGTAAAACTTCAAACCATATACTTGTACTTCCTAAAAATTCAAAAATAAGTCAAAATCAGGTCTTACATTTTGCCTTCCGGCTGCATTTCGTTAAGTCTGTCAGCGATGATCCTGATGAACATACAACCTGTTTGTATACATCGTTGTTCTTCTGTAGTTGAGATGCCAGACAGACAAGATGGAGAGCGACTTAACTCGTCTTCAGAGAAGAACCATTTTGGTTTAATCGGCCCAGGAATACCAGTATTGGCCACAGCAATAGGTCCTGTTGGCAATGCAAAGTCGTTCATACTGTAAAAAACTATTCAACTAAATTCAGTAAAAAAAGTACTGAGAAAAGATGCACGTGATATATTATAGCAAAAATGTGAAGCCAATAACAGTTATTAATTACGAAATTATATAGTAAAGTTATTTCTACCAAAACCATAATATAGTATTGATTAATATAAGAAAATGCTATATTTAATTAATTATACTACATGAACTAAAGTCATTTTAATTCAAAATAAACTATAAAAATACACAAAAACATAAAAAGTCAATAAATCTCTAAAATTTATTAAAAACTTTAAAAACTTACGAACCTAAGACGCCTTTCCTCTTCAAGAAAACCCTTTTAACATCTAAAACCACACATGCTCAAACTACAGAAACATTTACAAAAAAATGTGTAAAGATCTTCGGTATGTTATCAAAAAAGTCTGAAGGAAAATATATATTTTCCCCGCCAAGCTGCAACAGCTTTAAGTAGACAGCAAGTCTTGACCTAAAGAAATTGTGTGTCAACTCTTTCTTTTTAAAAATAATAATTTAAAACATTTATTTTTTCAATTTTACAAAAATCTTGTAATTTTAGTTTGATTTGATATTACTGCTTGAATTTAAAAAATATTGAATGGGTGATAAGTCAGAGACATCAACTGACATTGATCAGTTGATCAAGCAAGAGGCTGAACGGGTATTCAAACACATATCTACAGATCTGGTCAGTCGGAACTTTGATGAATTCGACATTGCGGATACTTATGAGTAAGTTTTTTCAATTTTGTTTGTTTTATCTTTAGGATTTTCTAACGACATTGTCATCATATTGATGTTATTAACTGATCTTGTTGAAGATTTTTATAAAATCTTCCTGTTTTAGAATAGAAGATAGTGTGGTAGATTCCCTTGATCTTATTAGTGAAATACCTGATTGTGGTTCTTTTCCAACCACACTTCAGCCGATTTTGGACAGAGAAAGTGGTTTAATCGTGGGTTTTGAGGAGCAATGGAATCAAGAAGCCGAGATCGTCGCCGATGCTTCCCATTCTATGTCAATGAGTCGAGCTCCAGACCCGGAGGCGTTTGGCAAGATCAAGGGAAAGTCAGGCAATATTCCATTTGTTCCCGGAGGGTTTGACGCTAGCTCTCTCAGCGACATTCTAAAAGATCCTCATTCGGTTGCTGAAGGTGAAGATGAATCGAAGTTTGTTGATTTTGAAGGTATGTTTTTTTTGTTTTAGTTATATATTTAGAAAATTTAAGCCTGGTAAATTAGAATTGGTTTGTTTTAGTTCTACTTGATCAGCCAATAGGCTTTACCGAGAGGATATCTGTGCCAGAGACTGCAGAACCATTAGAAGGCCACGACAATTCCGAATATGAATTATTAGAAAACGTGTCAGCTCCACCGGGATTTGCAAAAAAGCCAGATGTTATCACTGCCGAAGAGCTACATGATATCAAAACGAATGTTGTAGATACGACTTTAGAAGAAGAAAAACATTTGTTCAATGTTGAGGATGATGATGTGGCAGAGGAACTGGAAACTCTTGCTGTGAATGAAGAAGATGATTTGTCAGTTGAAGTTACTCCGGAAATGGCCGAGTTTACTCATGCTACAATATTGGATGAAGTGAAGGTGAAGGAGAAGTTTGAGACATTAAGGCCAGAGCTAGTCAAAGAATACCCGTTTGAGTTGGATACCTTCCAGAAAAGTGCTGTTGTGGCTATGGAAGCGGGCAATTCAGTTTTTGTAGCCGCTCATACTTCTGCTGGAAAGACCGTAGTAGCCGATTATGCGATTGCTTTGGGACAGCTACATAAAACAAGGTGAGATATGGGATATCATTTAGAGATTTTAAGGTTTATTTTATGACTTTAGCAATCTTAAATTCAGAATTACATTCACAAATGCTAATTGAATGCCCATGACTTCGCATTTTGCTGTTAATGTTTTTGTAGCTTTGTATTTTGTATTTTAATACCTAAATTTTAGAGTAATCTACACATCTCCAATCAAAGCCTTATCGAATCAAAAGTTTCGGGAGTTCAAGAACGCCTACAGTGATGTCGGTTTGATTACGGGTGATATTCAATTAGAAACAGATGCTTTTTGTTTGGTAATGACAACAGAAGTGTTGAGATCGATGTTGTACAATGGGTCAGAGACTATCAGAGAGTTGGAATGGGTAATATTCGACGAAGTTCATTACATTAACGACGAGGAGAGAGGGCATGTGTGGGAAGAGGTGCTGATCATGTTGCCAGCTCATGTTAAGATTGTCATGCTGAGTGCTACAGTACCTAATTGCATGGAGTTTGCTGACTGGGTTGGGTAGGTTAAAAGACGATTTTAAAATTTAAAAAACAAAAATTTTCATTGTAAAATACGTGGTAACGCCTTGGCGTCTTCAACTAACACTTTTTTATAATACCTTTTTAGCCGCATTAAACAACGCATGATTACTGTAATCCAGACGTTCAAACGACCAGTGCCACTTGAGCACTTCATTTATACGGGACAAAATGCCAAAACTCGAGATCAAAAGTTTTTGATCAAAGATGCTGATAGCAATATGCATCCAGAAAACTATCAGAAAGCTAAAGAAGCGAAAGAAAAGATTAATCGACCGGTAGATCCAAAAAGCATGAAGCCTCCACAACAACAGAATCAAAGAGGTGGCGGTACGGGAGGTGGAAACAGGAATTTACAGGTAAATTTCAGCTATTTTTGAAATTTTTGAGGTTAAATGATTCATAATTAAAATTTTTTGAATTTTTGTACCATTTTTTTGTAAAGTACGACAGTCTTTCAATTTTCTATTTCAGCAAAAGCAACAAAAGTTCCAAAACTACCGTCTAAATCAACAAGTGAATCAAGCTCGTCATCAAGGTGGTGGTCACAATTCTGGCGGGTCCAACAAGTCCATCTACACTCATTTGATCTACTATCTCAATGAAAATGTACTCGTACCGGCTGTCATTTTTGTATTCTCGAGAAAGCGATGTGATGAATATGCAAATATGCTCCATTCTGTTGACTTGACTACCGAATCAGAGAAGAATCACATAAACACCTTCTTCAAGAAGGTTATCGACCGGTTGAAAGGGAGTGACAAGGATCTACCTCAAGTGCTTCAGATGCGATCGCTGTGTGTTCGTGGCTTTGCTGTACATCACTCTGGCATATTACCCATCTTGAAGGAGGTGGTCGAGCTGTTGTTTCAACGATGTTTGGTCAAAGTTTTATTTGCGACAGAAACCTTTGCCATGGGAGTTAATATGCCTGCCAGAACGGTCGTATTTGATGAGATGGAGAAGTTCGATGGACTACGGAGAAGAGATCTGAATCCAACCGAGTACGTGCAGATGGCTGGCAGAGCAGGAAGAAGAGGGTTGGACAAGACTGGCATTGTTCTGATTCTGACAAAGGCTACTATACCTCCAATACTTCAATTCAACCAACTTCTGATGGGTAAAGCGGTCAGGTTGGAGAGCAAGTTCAGGGTCACATACACTATGTTGTTGAAGTTGATGAGAGTAGAACAGCTGAAGGTGGAGGATGTACTGAAGAGGTCGTATGTTGAGAGAAGTGCCTTGAGGCTGGTTAATGAAAGGGAAAGCAAGATTGTTGAAGTAGGTACAGGATATTTTAAAAATTGCATTTTTCGTAACTTACCACAATAGGCTTCTACTTTTTTAAGTATATGTAGATACCAGATGTAGGCGACTGATAAGGAAAGTTACTTTCAGCTTCGTCAAAAAATAGATGCCATGTCGGACCTAGACTGTGAATCCTGTGCCAAATCTGAAGCTTTTGGAAAAACTTCGGCCGAAACTTTATTGTACGACCTTAATGCTTACTTTGATATGTGGAAGAAATTATGGACAGAGTTCGAAAATGTGGATTCGGTTAGGAAAACGCTACAAAAAGGCAGAATCTTACTGATCTCGTACCCAGCTTTGGGTATTTGGGGCCGATTGGCTGTTGTTTTGGAAGTAGGTTATCTTTCTTGTTTTGGTCTATATGATATTAGTCTTTTATGGTGGTATTTTGACTAAATTTGGCACTTTATGTACTAAAAATGTTTTAAATTTGTTTTTTGAGCGTTCTTTGTATAATAATGCATAATATTTTCAGCAAAAAGCCAACGAACACGACCAAATTCGCCTGAACGTGATGATATCAGCTGATGAAAAAGAATTAGAAACAGAAGATCTGGCACTAAAAAAGTGGAAAGACATCAGCGCGGAGGAAAAACGAAGAAAAGAAAGGTCTTTGTACCTAAACACCGTAGCCAAACGAGGTATCTTTGCCGTGGATCCTGACAGTTTCCGTCAGTCCTACAGACTCATCGAAGACCTTGAACTCACAAACATCATCGCGGTATGTAAAGCCAACTCAAAGAGTGTAGAAGTCGACAACATCAAAAAGGAGAATGACAGAAGAAAGATGAGTGTGAAGGCAAGAACCCCTGACAGATGTGTGACAAGAGTCGTGGTCGAGTTGGTGACATTCAGTGAACAATGGACACTAACAGGACCACCAGTATCGTTACCTGGAAGGGATATGAAGATTCAGGAAGTGAATTTGTTCGAAGAGGCACAGAAATTGAATGAATTGGTCGATTTACTGGTTGGTAAAGAGGGCTATGAATGTAGGAAGTGCGACGACTTTGAAGAACATGTAAGTTTGGAGTTTCATTTTGCATTTTAACTAATCTTATCATTGTTTTTAACAAGTTATTTCATCTTTAAATGGCTTCACCTTTCTATTTTAGTTCGCCCAAGTGAAAGATCGCCAAGTTGTAGCCGACGAACTCACCGACCTAATGTTCCGAACCTCAGCTGACGGTCTTCAGCTCTCAGATGAATACAAAAAACGAATTTCAATCCTAAAACAGTTGAACTACATTGACAAGAACAATGTCGTAAACCTGAAGGGAAAGGTGGCTTGTGAGATCTCTCACATGGAAATGCTGATAACCGAATTGATTTTGGATAACCATTTCGAAAACAAAACTCCAAGTGAAATCGCTGCCATGTTTTCAGCTTTAACGTGCCAATTCACGGATCAGAACACTGACGCTGAGGAGGCAAAGTTCATCAATCCGAGGATGAAAGATGTAAGTTAAGATTTTTGGAGAATGAAAGAGATAATTTTAGAGTTTGTTGGGGTTTAGACATATTATAGTGTATCGACCACATAAACATATCTAAAACTGAATAATTTTTAATTTTTTCAGGTCCAAAAATAATTTTAAATTTTAATGATTCTCATTTTAGCTCAAGAAAGAGATCCTCGACGTAACCCGCCGCTTTGACGACGCCCAAATCTCGAACGAAGTGGTGAGCTCATTAATCGAGCCAGAACTCAAATTCGGCCTAATGGATGCGGTCTTCGAATGGGCCGAAGGGAAACCGTTCAAAGAGATTATGCAAATGACCTCATGTCAAGAAGGCATCATCGTCAGGTGCATTCAGCGTCTCGACGAAGTCTGTAAAGACGTTCGGAACGCGGCCCGAATTATCGGAGACCCGATCCTAGCCAGGACGATGGAAGAAACCAGTGCTATAATCAAAAGAGACATTGTGTTTGCTGCCAGTCTCTACACTACCGATGACATGTGATTTTAGAGTGATTCAAAAGGTGCTCAACACCGGTTGTTATTGTTATTATTTATCGGTGATTTGCGTGTTTATAAATATTATTGTGCTGTGATGGGGAGGGTCTTTAGGCATTGAAAGTATGGGTATCCGCCCCAGCATTTCTTAGAAAAAATAATTTTTATGGATTTTTCAGTAAAATGTTTAAAATTTTCTAGTGATAAATAACAATTCAAGGTTTTAAATACAAGTAAATTCTACTTATTTTTTGACCGGTTAGTCCAGTTAGCGGCCTATAAGACACCAAACCAAGACCAAAGCGATAAGATGTTCAAAAAGTGCTCTATAATTTGTACTTCGCTTGCGATTCGAGAGCTAAAATGACCGGAAGCGGCGTCGGACGCTACGTGAAGTCCACGCAGCAGTTCCAGAAATAAGACGAATTTTAAAATTTTGTCTAAACAGTTAAAAGTTGCGCCAAGTTTAGTATTTTTAAAGCTTAAACCTTATTTCAAAGTTGAAGACCTAAATTTTTATAATATTTAAATAATAATTTTGTAAAATTAAAAAAATTTAAATCTAGTTTTAACTTTGTATTTTTAAACTTTTTTTCTCGCGATGCATCGCTCTTGGCCTTTTAATGTACTCGCAATCCTAACCCATTTGGCACCCGAGACCCGTTTAACCCCGGAGGGACTGTAGCGTGCGCGACGAAATCAGTAGCCTCCATCAATTTCCTCGCATTCAGAAGCCGTTTTTTCTTCTTTATCCGCGCTGCTTTGGTGACAAAACTATTCGCGGCCGACCAAAGATTTGCCCAGCTTTTTGTGGCCAATCTTCATGGTTCAAAAAATGTCTCAAAGTTTATATAAAAGTGTCGCTAATCGCGCCGTTTTTTGTCATCCCTTCTGGGGATATCCTTAGGCATATTATAGTCAGGGCTTCAAATCGAGTTTGAGCTTGTTTTTGCACAGTAGCATTTCGTACGAAACATGCGTGCAAAAGTGTAAAGCAACATGTATTCTTTGATGTTTCAGAGATTATTGGGGGTGGATGTGGGTTCTTTGGTGGGGATTTTATATTATGATTAAAGATGTTGTTATAGGGTAGTTTTGGTTTGTATAGTAAGTTGAAGCCTTTTTCATGGCATAGGCCACTTAAAAAGAAGGCAATATACCTTATGTAGTACATATAATACAGGGATTCTGACCGATTTTTCATTTTTTTGCGGTTATATCAGACCCTTACATACTAATAACCTTAATTTCGATACTATATTGCACTCTCGTACTCTCCAACTTTTGCAGCTGATACTATCTTCCCTTCTTCCACTACGGCTACACCACACCCTCCAGCCTCCTCTCCCCCATCCACCGCCCATCCATCACCATCTACCGCTTGTTGTGACCGCTCAAGTGTGGATGTGATGAATGAGTTCCAACCGCTCCTCGACCTCAAGTTCGGGTCGTTCGCTGCGGTTGCGGCCGCCGGCGCTGAGTACGTACCGGTCGGGGGATGCCGGTTTCTACCAGCATGGCCAGTACTTCGAAGTCATCGAGGACGAGGAACTGCACCGCATCCGACAATATACTACATCCAGACGCGCAAATCGCTCCCTGTTGATGAGCGAGGGCCCACAGGAGTACTCGTCCATAAAGGAGGTGCTCAAGGACTTTTGTGCTAGAACAACATCGCATGGGATTCCGTTTATTGGGTAGGGAATCTAGCGGGCTTGTTATTGGGTGACATTGAGGTTTACGTCTTGGTCAAAAAATTTTTAGAATCGGCTTTTTGTTACCCTTTTAATCTAATTTATAGCTCTTTCTTACTTTTTTTTAAAAATTTTTTGTTTAAAATCAAAAAATACAGTATTCCATAAAGAATTTACTCACAAACCATTTAATACAGCCCCAGCAGTCAAGATACTAAACCTCTTTTTCAGAACCCATTCATTTTTCGGCCCATACATATGGTCTTTTATCACTGCCGTCGCTTTCATCATCTTCTTCACCCAAACGTATCTAACCATGTCCGACTATCTCGAGTATCGTACGATTATCGAAATGCAGTTGAAATTCGAGCCGGCTCCATTCCCTGCAGCTACGATTTGTAATTTAAACGCTTTTAAGTTCAGTGAACTCCGCAAATTCAAGGAAATCGAGGAAGGCGTAGGTTTTATAAAATATCTTTAATGTAATATTCACTCTTTTTAGTTCAAAATCTACGAAGCAGCGATAGCCCAATCTAGGAATCAAAGCGAAGCCCTTCCAGTCCGAGTCAAACGTGAAAACGAGCTTCAAGTCATTTACCAACCGGTTTTTGTACAATGTGTTTGTAACTCACCTAATGATCAATGTGTCCCGCAACGAAATCCTTTGAATGTGAGTTTTGAAAGCATAAATTATTTTTTTACATAAAATCTTTAAAAACATAGTTAATAAAGGTACTGACGTGTGTTGAATCAACAAAAACATTCATTAAAGCTAATTATTTCCAGACAAACACAACTACATGTATATGTTACGAAGACGCTAAAACTGGAGACATTTGGCCATGTTATCCAGCAGCAGTTTGGTCCCCAAAACACTGTTTCAACTGTTCCAACTCTCGCACTTGTGACGATCCTCAGAAACTCAACTTCAGCCAGCTTTTGTATGCTTCCGACCCTCAAGAGTGTATATGTCAGTCCATATCACATTACTGTATAATAAAGGCCGAGAAAGACGAGATACCGTGGTGGGATCCGGAGAAGTATCTTGTGTATCCGGCTACAGATGCTCCGACTCCTCCGCCTCCTGATAACCAACTGAATAATCTGGGTGATTTGAGGGATCGAGGTTCAATCACGATCAAGACAAAGGAGAACTTGATCTTCCTCGTGGCTGCGATGCCAAAGGATGTGAGGGAGAAGATCAGCTACAAGTTGAATGAATTCGTGTTGAGATGCTCGTTCAATGGTGAAGACTGTGATGAGGAGAGGTGAGGAAATAACAGTATGATTGAAAAATAGATGTGAAACATAAAAAAGTGCTGAATCAAGCACAAAATTTAAAATTTTAATACCTAGAATTCTATTTTATAAACTTTTTATATTATTGTAGGTAAGTCCCTGGCCTGGTCTATTCTCTAAACCGAGCCCAAACCCAGAAAGCCACTTTAGAGCCCGCCTTTACTTATTATAACCTGATATACCCCTTGCTTAACTTCAGAGACTTCCAACTTCACATGGATCCAGAATTTGGGAACTGCTATACATTCAACTTCAACGATTCGGTAGAATTGAAGAATAGTCGTGCTGGTCCCATGTATGGTCTACGTCTACTGTTAAATGTGAATCAAAGTGATTACCTACCTACGACTGAAGCTGTCGGAGTCAGATTGGTAGTTCATGAACAAGACCAAGAACCATTTCCGGATACATTTGGCTACAGTGCTCCAACCGGCTTCGTGTCTAGTTTCGGGCTGAAAACTGTAAGTTTATGTTCGTTTAATAGTGCTGGGTGGCCTCAAAAAACCATAGTTAAAGTAACCAAAACCCCGTTAGGCTGCTAGCAATAGTAATATAATCAGAGCACTTTACCAAAATATAGACACCAAAATTCTAGAAAGTCCTCCATCGTCTAGACGCACCGTACGGTAAATGCAGCGACACTTTTCGACCAGAAAACTACATTTACGCTGAACACTACTCTCCTGAAGGCTGTTACCGTAACTGTTTCCAACAAATGATCCTAGCCAGCTGTGGTTGTGGAGACCCTCGCTTCCCTTTACCTACGGAAGACGACCGAACTTGTGACATCCGAAATATGAACGACCGGTTTTGTTTAACCAATGCCACTTCGATATTGGGAGGATTCCACCGCCTAACTCACAGGAATTGTCATTGTGTACAGCCTTGTACTGAGAACGTGTTCGAGACGGCGTATTCGGCCGCTGCTTGGCCGGCTTTGAATTTTAAGTTTGGAGATAATTGTACTGATATTGAGGAAATTACAAATGACCCAGTGGTACGTATTTCTTTTTTATATGATATTTTATTGCTTAAGCATATGATACTACCTTTAAATACTACTTACAAGGAAGGTGCCCGACCTGCAACACTCAGATTTCGTTCAAACTTTTTTATTGAAAGGTCACGTAAATGTAAGATGTTATGCAAAATTCTAAGTTGCGGTTTGCGGCCAGTCTTGAGAAAATCGAGATCGAAAAATCGCGTTTTGAATTTCCCGCCAAATTGGCATTGTGTTTCAAGCTTATAACTTTGCCATTTTTTGACTTTTAATCATTTTTCTTTAATATGCTGGTAAAAAACCTTTAAATGAACCTACATTTTTAAGTTTGTAAGTTTAGCTTGGCTGGAAAGTCGAAAAAAGTGCTTGAAACACAATGCCAAATTTGCCAACTTGGCGGGAAATTTAAATATTTAAAATTTAAAACTCAAAAGCGCAAGCTAAAATTTTTCATAGGTACTAATGGTACTACAAAGAATCCGTATAAAAATTTTGAGCTGATTCTGAGAGTTGCAGGTTGGGTACTTTCCCTGTTAGTATGTACACTAATTATGTATAATACTTAAATAGTATTACAAAAACTCTTATCGTTTTTTATGAAAAAATTAGTATTAGTGACAAAATATAATATTCAGGCGTGCTCAGAGTACTATCGGTTAAATACAGCGTATATTGAGATCTACTACGAACAACTTAACTACGAAACTCTGAAAGAAACAGCTGGCTACACGGTAAGTGTCTATGTACATTGATATGCCAATATTCTTTTTTGAGCAGGGTTTTCTTTGCTCAACTTCTCCAGCTTTTTTAATCAACCTTGTGAAGGTGGTGCTATATAGTACGAAACAATTATAAACTAATAAATATGACGTATTTTAGTTAGTAAATCTATTCTCTGACCTTGGTGGTAACATTGGACTTTGGATTGGGTTTTCACTTATTACTGTATTGGAATGCGCCGAGTTACTATGTGAATTGGTCGTTTACACATGTAAGTTATGTCATAACATAAAGGTGTTTTCTTATTTTACGCCAGGAAACCCTGAAAGTTAATAAGTTTAATATATATGAGAAAAGTCGACGCAGTACGTTTTTAAATATTATTTTACATTACAGGTCGTCAATCGAAGTACTTTATCGTAGAGAAAACGAGAAAAGTCAACAACAAGGACGCGACCGAGGAGAACAAGAGTTACTCCCTATACCTCGACAGTTCACCTGGCAGACACAAATTCTCGTATCAGGTAGAGCCAGCAACTCCTCAACCTAGTCTACCGAGTATTTTATCGACCGGTAATAAGACCGATACCGGCAGAACACGGTGGAGAAATGTGCACCATGCGGATACTGACAATCAGAGTACGACGAATTTGATCAAGAAAGATTCAAAGTCATCAACTGATGAGAGTTTGTCCAACGGTTCGGTGTTGTAGGCAAGATGTAGTGAGAGTGATCACCTTTCTGTGATCGCTGCCTATCTTATTCATAGTGATTTCTACTTTTTAAAATGTTGTAATTAGCTGTTGTAGATTGCTCAAATGTAACATAAATTTAATATTCAAAAGGTGCAGTATAATGGGCATTTTTCACTATAATATGCATTTTTGACATTAGAACGTCAATACCAATATAAAAAAAAATAAAAAGATGACACAGTAATTTACTCCAGATTGTACGTTTCGCGACGTCGAAATTCTGGAGCTTCCGTGACCTCTTCTGATCGTTTTTCAACATCTACACTCTTGGATATCAGCTCTTCCGTGTTCAATTCCTTTCTTCTTGGGTGTGGTTTCTCTTCCTTTTCTTCTTTCTCTTCCTTATCGCCTTTCTCTTCTTCCTTCATTGCACTGTCTTTCAATATCTTTTCATCATTCATCTCTTCTTTGTCTTCTTTTTCATTCGTTTCATGTGAAGAATCTTTTTTATGCTTCTTATCTCCATCTTCTTCCATATGTTTCGTATCTAAATCATGTGAATTTATATGAGAAGATGCCTTCATCTGTTTCCTTGGTTCATCTCTGTGTATTTTTCTGTCTTTCTTTGGTTCCATATCAGCCATGTTTTCATCTTCATTTTGCCTTTCATCTTTCTTATGCATTTCATCGTCCTTATTCATTTCCACTTCTTTTTTGTCATCCTCCTTCATGTTATCACCCACTTTATTATGGGACTTGCCTTTGTTTCCCTCCATATTATCATCCATAGCCATAGTGCCATTTCTAGCCCCCTTATTACCTCTTCGGTTAATATCCTTCTTCTTAGCTGCTTTAGTACGATGAGATCTGTCAACGTTATCATTCTCACTGTTGATTTGGTCTTCAACGTCAGCTTCGGCATTGTCTTCTGGAAAGCCTTGAACAGCACTATCTTCTCCTGGATATCCATTATCAGCTGGTGGAGGAGTTTGTTGTTCCAGGCCACTTCTCTTCGGACAAGCACAGTAATTAGCGTCCACTCCGGGTATACCATAGTCAACACCATGCATTCCACGAACTCCTGGCATTCCTGGTTCACCATCATCACCAGGTGGTCCAGATGGGCCTGTTGGTCCTCGTATACCTTGTTGGCCTGGCATACCAGCCATCCCCTGCATTCCTGGTAATCCACGGTCTCCAGATGAACCTGAATTATACAATAATAAGTTCTTTGATACAATGATAGTAAAATCTTATTTTGAATTTTAGAAAAATTCAAAAACTGACCCTTAGGACCAGGTACTCCTCGTGCCATTAAAAAGCCGTTCATTCCAGGATTTCCAGGTGGACCAGGTTGTCCTGGCGATCCAATATGGCCAATTTCCCCAGGTCGACCAGGCATTCCAGGTGGACCATCAGGACCAGACATACCAGCATGCCCTTGCATACCAGGCATACCTTCTTCACCTTGAGAGCCAGTTGGTCCCGGGTATCCAGCTGGTCCCATCGGACATAAACGACAATTTTGTTCCATATCCAACTGAACTGTTGGCTGATTACCACCCATTCCCGCTGCTCCGGGGAAACCAGGCAATCCGGGTTGACCGTCCGGACCGGCAGGCCCCGCATCGCCAGCTTTACCTGCCGGGCATAGGTTTTGTTCTTCGCAGTCTATAACAAGATAAAATAAACTAGACAATTTGAAAAAAATTAAAAAGAAAAGTACGAACCTGCTCCTTTCAGAATCGATTCAAAATTTTTGAGACTTCATTTGGGTTACAACTTACTGCATCGTGCTCCAGCTTGTCGTGCTATCCTAACTTGAACATTCGAATGTCTGATCTCGCGACTCTTTTCCCAAACAACTGATTGAATACGATCAAATTCAATCATGTCCTAAAACAACGTGCCAGTTTTTACAAGAAACACGTCCCTACTCGTCATAGAAATAACATAAATTACTAAAAACTTACATTATACTTGATATTATACTAAACAACAAATAAAAACGTAACATCTTCAATCCAACGTTGCAAAACCAAAAACTTACATGCTGAACAGACTTGGTGATCTCCTGCACCTTCTTCACCAATAACGGCACAAAAAACGTACAAACAAGCAAAGCGAACACGCTACAACCCAACGCTAGATTAGCGGCTAACCGAACCGTCATTTCAGCGACTGTTATCGCTGAACCAAGACTTCCGAACGCTTAAAAACAGTTTACAAACACGTCAATTACAAAAACGGGGATCCGGATGCGAAATCGGAAGCTCTATCTCGTTTTTATGCTATCAGGCTTATGTAAAATACCAACAAAACTATCTTTAAAAGATAAAAAGGTTTGGAAAAATTTTCGACCAAATTGTAGCAGTCTATTGTGGCAGTCGGCTAATTTATCGACTTTTGTTGACACTTCGTCCAGAAAAAATTAAATTGTTTTTATTTATTTTTCGCTAGTTTTAGTATTTTTTTATCTTGTCTTTCATGATTTGATATATATTTTGATAAGTTTTACTTGAACGTTTTGAGATTTTGATATTTTTCTTCAGACACACATGAGCAGATGAATATTGATGAGTTTGTTGATAATATCGGGCGTAACCTGTTGCTTTGTTGGGAATTTTGGGTTAGTTATATTCTTGAGCTTATTCTTAATATTTTGGTATACAATTTTATCCTTTTTGCGTCTAAATTTGAAGAAATTCTTTCATTTTCTGTCAAACTCATCAAAGGGGTCATGATTAATAATATATAACATATTATGTTCCTGGCCGTTTAGTTTTATTGTTCAAATCTATTGCTGTTACTGCTTCTAACGTAAAATATAAAAAAAATACATGAAGGTTGTCAAGATATTTTAAATTCTTAACAAATCTATGTTCATCTTTGTTATATTGTTATAGTTTCAGCACTAACCAAGTCAACCTTGTAATGTTTAATAGTCAAAATATAAATACTCTGTTATCAACACTATGTTTTGTACAATAGAAACTATGGAGCACTAATCTGGAAGTTGCGCAGTGATATGCACATGTTAACAAAGGCACAAAGGGAAGGCGGACAGATGGAAAAGACAGAAAAGGATGGCAACGATGTGGAAGAGATTGAGCATTACAAAATGACTGAAGTATTAGTGATAGGGGATGGAAGACGGGTTAGTAGGTATAAATATTAGGGGGGGGGCACTATGGATATAGTTAAAATATGAATTTAAGGCTTGATGATACGGTACGGGTACTGTAATATAAAGTTATAAAAAATTACTGTAAGCTAAGATTATAAAAGGCTTAAAGACACCGTAAGGGTGATGTAAAGTTAAGCCTTGACTTTTAAAACAGGATTTAAATTTAAAATATGTTTTAAAACAAAAGTAAAATACGGTATGATTGAAAGGTAATACTGTAATCTTTTCAGTCAAAACGAGAGACAATAGTCAGATACAATACAGTAGTTGCTTAAAGTAACATCAATATTGTTATCAATAACAGAAACTACTGTTAAAGTACAGTAATTGTAGTATAAAGAAAATTACTGTAATTAAAAGAAAGTTACTGTACTGTAAAGAAAGTAATATAATGCGGAACAAAAAGACGTGTTCGGCCTTGTTCTCCGCAATTCGAGAGAAACGGCCTTAGACTGTTGGGTTTATCAAGTTTGATCGAGGTTTGAGGCGGCGTTCTCCGAATTACCAGCACACGGTGCGATTATATGGTGTTGATGATGGTTGTAGATGGGTAGATAGCCGTAATTGATTTCGATGGCCATGGATTTAGGTCTGTTGTAGTAGGTATTGATGGTCAGCTTTATATTGTAATAGCCTCTTACTCAGGTATTTGTAAAAAAGTCTGATAGAGTAATAGACGTCTGAGTTCAACCAAGACTACCATAACTCAATACCACTTCAGTTTTCATAGTAAACCTGAAGAACGGTGATTTCTCCGGTCGAAAACGTCTGTGTGGTACTGTCGACCATCTTGGGGCGACCAATACAACATGGAGCAGTACAATGGAAGGCCATAGGTGTAGTCGGCGACAATGTGTTGTTACCATTCGAGGCTTTCTCTGTGATGCCAGGTGTCGAATATTGTTTTACCAGACGGCCGTTTTGAGATGGAATGGCTGGGGCTGAGTTGGTCGAGGATTGACGACGTTGAGGGGGTCTACAATAAGGTAATGATGAAAATAGATTTTTGGGTATTATTACAATATTTAGATATCAAAGAGGTACTTAAATTTATAGCACAGTATTGTAAAAAGTACTAAAACATTATATGCTAAATCTTTTCTTTTAACAACCAAATGTTCAAGTGTAACATTGTAAAACCTACCTGTAGAGATTGGCTGGATACTCGAAGCTACTGACACTTCCATTAGGAGTACCGTTACCCATACTTGGTGGTGGTTTAGCAGCACTAGGCGTCAGGGCTTCCAAACACTTCTGTTCGAACAACTTCTTGCACTTATCCGGCATCTGCCCATTCAGAAGACGATACAACGCTGAAACGATGCAATGACATTCTTCAGAAGCCTGCAGTAACATGTCATCCGATACTGGCCGAGTACCCCATGATGGAGTCTGTGAAAGTTTTCTTGGCGTGATATCACTTTGCATGAGAGATTGTGGGTAATATACTCGTTGAAGGTTGATGAAGGTAATGGCTCGTAGCTCGCTGACCGGCTTATTCAGTTTCTCGTGCTGAATTATAGTATGAGCAATCTGTGTGTCGAAAACGTTACGCATGTTGACCGCGTAGCGTTGTGCCATCAAGGTGGAGACACGACGAATGTCATGAACCACCTTGAGGACCTTGTTATCTTCTAGTAGCTCCTTCAGTCCACTCTCTAATAGAATTGAGTCGGAATGGGCCAGATCAAAGACAGCGATTCGACTGGTCGAAGCGACCACGATCAAGCTCAGGAACTCTTCGCTTTGAGCTCCACCGAGGTATACCAACTTGAAGTCGACTCCGAGGAACTTCTCTCCTTGAGATTCCAGATCGTTCCTGAGGTTGTGCACGGTGTCTGTAGCCGGCTTCAGCGCCTTCACCATGTGGATTCTGTGTAGATTGTCTTTGCACAGTGGGAACAGCACGTTATTATTCTCTCCACTGTCTCCAGAAGCTGTCGATCGTCCAGATTCAGATTCCCCGTCTTCTGGCCGAGCCTTCACCAAACTGACTTTATTCGACCGGATGAAGAAGATGTTACGGTTCAGCTTCAGGAACTGTAGCAACTCCTTTGGGTTGGTGGCTACCTCTTGTCGCACGGAATGAGGGAATCGTTCACAGAAGCGTTTGTAGAAGTTGTCCAAGGGAATGGGCTGGTCCTCGTTCTGTTCCAGCACGTCCTTCAAGAAATCGACCGCTGCTTGTTTGGCTTTCACTCCGACCAAGGGTTTGCCTTCATCGTCAAGTTCTACAGCTTCATCTGATGGCTCTGGCATGTTGCGTAGACGAACACGGTCTCCCTCCACGATGAAGTGCTCAGTTCTGGTGCTAAGAAATTCACAGAAATCTTTTAAGTGGCGACCAGAAACCAAGCGGACTTCTGGAGCAGCTTGAGATCGATGGCCTAGCAAGCTTTTGATCTAAAGTAATGTAATTTGTAACAGATGTTGGATTATTTTTATATAGATAAAGTGCTTTTCTTATGGTATCTTTCTTTTTTTGACAGTAAGTGAAGTTAAGATCAACTTATGATCGTTATTACTATGCAAAACTTGTATTATACCTTCCTTGTCCTCCTATACGACTCAAAATGATCTCGTTACGTAGGAATCTACTTTGATTCCTTTTTCGAAATAGGTTTTGCATATTTAAATATTGTGCAAAACTGAAATTGTCCGCCAATTCAGAATAAACTGACACTAAAACAATTTTCTGTGCTCTTATCTTTACTATTTTTTGTCAAAGTCGTAAAAATTAGGTATAAAAGAGCTCTAAAGTTATAATTTTAGGCATAAAAATGCTGTGAATTCATAAAATTAGGTAATAAAAATCGTTTAAAGTTGACAAACTAACAAAAACGTCTTAAAAAATGAAATAATAAGGCTAAAACATTAAATACCTGAAGCTCTGGACCAAATTTCTGTAGTTTTTGTTCGAAAAACTCGACAGCTTCCTTCTCATAGTCCCTCTGCCTTCCGGCCGCTGGCATCTGCATCAGATGGTTCTTCCCATCCATCTCTCCAAAACCCTTCAGAATCACCTGATCTCCATCCACTTCAAACAAGGACGAGAATGAGGACAAAAAGTCGGTCAGTCCTTCCTGAGTGGTACCCACGGCATCTCGCATCTCCTGTGTGAAGCCACGAGCTCCGAACTGACAGCTGAGGTCGTGGATGGTGCGACGACCATTCTTCTGCATCAGATGGTCCATGAAGAAGAGCAACGCCATGTTCCGTGCCTCGTCCATCTTGGTGTTGAATGTGGCGGGTGCGGAGCTTTTGCGTTGCGGGCGGGCTGAATCGAAAAGGTTGGCTAGTCCGAGAAGGTCGCGACCTCGTTGTGGGCCGCTGTTCTCTCTGGATGTCAGGTAGTCGCGCAACCGAGCTTCGGAAGTTTGGCCGGCGTCGTTCACCCGTACCTGAAGGTGTCTGGATAAGTTTAGGTATTAAAATGCTGGTTTAACGTGTAAAAGATTAAAAAGTAGATCAGATAGAAGAGGTAGAAGCTTCTAACTTTAAAATCTGAACCCCGCATTGCCTAAACTCTTTAAAATCGTCTAAAAATCAAAAGAAACCCCAAAACCCTAAAGTAATATACCCCAAAACAAAAAAATCCCCTAAAAATCCAGCAAAAATTCAAAAATGATCAGCCCGTGTGGAATTCGAACAAAAAACAATCAACTCGATCAGAGAAATAAATCATCTGCAAAAACATAATGTAGGTTATGAACATGGGAGTAAACACTGGAAAACAAACAATCCCCTCCGGGCCCTTGACTGTTATACCTGAACAGACAATAATATTTATAACTCCCATCACATAACCGGAACGATAAGTGAGAGAGCGTTCCAATTGTATTTTTGTAAATAAATTTCTGGAAGGGCACCATGGAAAATAAAAAATTTTGGAAAATTGTGGTGTTAGGCCTAAATAAATAATTTTTGGGCTTAAATTAAAGTTTTTTGGATAAATAAGTTTTCTAAATACCGTAAAGTAAAATGACAATAACTTTTTGATTATCATTAATAAGTTACAAAAGTTTTGTCGGTTTTTAATACGTGATACAAGGATAATTGACGACAAAACTTTCTTAAAGCCCTAATAAAGTCAATACCTCCCTTTTTTGACTACTATAAGGTCCGAAAGCAAATTTTAGATTTATAAAACCTTAATTTAAATAAAAATTTACTTGGAGCTTACCTAAATGCACCCAAAATATTTAAAACAAGCTCTGTACTGCTTTTGTAGCCCCCAAACCCGATCCTCAGCCCTGTTTCTCGACCTTTTACTTTCGAGAATTAAGCGTCAAAACAAACATTTGATTGTGAGGAGGGGGGAGGAGTGTTAAAAGAGCAACAGGATGAGCATTTCTTTAACCAATTTGAAATAACAAAAACTCATGTTTCATGGTAGGAAGGGGGGGGAGGGGGGGGTGAATGTACAGAAAGCTAATCAGTGTGGAATTCATAAAAACTTCATCTGATAATAGGGTTACTTCTTATCAGTTTGTGAGAAAAATATGATGACCAGAGGCGGAAATGAGATGCAATAACATTGAAATGGCGTGGAGGTGATAAAAGTATAATATTAGACCGTTCAAGTAATTATGTACCCCCTAACCCCAAAATTTTGCTTTGAAAGGAGCACAGAATTATTTGAATTACCTAATAGTCAGAGGTTGGCATACATAGTACCATGATAAAGACTCTTCGTATTAGGTTGTTCAAATAATTCTGCGCCCCTTAACCTCAAAAAATTTCTTTTGAGCGGGGGCACATAATTAGTTAAAAAACTTAATATAAAGGATCAGGAAGCCTTTCCCTTAACATAGCTAACTTTTATAAAAACTTACAGCAAGCCGAACATATCTAACTGTAACGCCAATCTATATTAACATACCTAACAGTTAAGCCAACTGATATTAACATACCTAACCGTTACCCCAATCTATATCAACGTACCTGTTTGGTCAACGAATGCATAGCTACAGTAGAAGCGACAATAGAACCCGACAGCCTCTGAATGGAAGCAATACAAGAGTGATAAGGGCTTGGAAGCCACAGATTAAAATTTGAATTTATAAGGATTAGACTGGACTGCCCATGTGAGTTGGCTACCCTTTCTCTGCGATTCTAAACTGCAAACCCTGAATTTGCATATTTTTGATTTTGAAAGATTATGAACTGACTAAACCTTTTCGAAATAGTATAGGTGGCTTGAAGTAGCTCATATGGCATTACTAACTAAATATGTATTCGAAATAGACCTATAGTTATCAGTGAATGGTAATTTTGGGACTAGAAATGGGCTGACTGGTTCACAAAATAGTAAGTAAGATCAATATAGTATATAGTAAATAAGGCAGATAATGTAACATATATAGTACGTAAAAACAGGAATATATTACATATAGTATACATAACCAAGATATAGTACTAGAAAAGTTTTGTGGTTTTTGAACGTAAAAATCAAATTAATTTAACGACAAGACTTTTTAGCATCTTAATATTGACCCAAAACAAGGTTTGAAACAATTGAAAGTACCACAACTACCAACTTCTAGAGAAACAAGATACTGTATCTACTATAATATAATTACCAAGACCTAATTGATACCCTTCCCTATAACTAACTGCCAAAACTAAAAAGCAATCTCACCAGATCGAGGTCGAGCGGCAACCGACTTCTCCAGTTATTCATTAGTAAAGCCATTTTGGCTACAGTAGCTTAAAAAGTAATACCGAAAACTACAGTATCTTTCAAAAAAATGTAATTTCAAACTATCAGTGCAAGATAGCCAAGTAAATAATGTTACAGTAACTGGTAATACTACAGTAACTTATAATATAACCAGTAATTGACAGCAGTAAATATAGTAGTTAATGTCAGGCAATATCAAAGAGTACTGACAAACCGACTGATAATCAGTTAATACTGACAAATTAGGTTAAACGAGCCGTTATCTTATATACTATGTTATGTTACTCTCCTACAGTGCCAGCCGCAGTAAACGCCCATGGTATTAGTAACAAGGAAGCGAGTGAGCATGTGTACGCAAGAGACACCATACAGTAAAGAGAAAAGATAAGGCAAAAAGAGAGAAGCCAGGCAAGGTTCAGAGAAGATTATGCAAATTACCGTAGTAGAGATTATTCCTGGAAACGAGAGCGAAATCAGAATAATCAGATCACGCGCTATGTTATCATAGGCTATACCACCAGGACATAACCTTGACTTTGAATAAAACTGTGAGTAGTTTAAAAACAGCTCAATTTTAAGCCGCTCCACGTTGGCTAGGCTAAAAAAATTGAAGTCAAAAGTACAGATAGTAACTGCAAAGTCAGTAGGAGTACCTAGAGTAAGTATATCCCTTCTCAAGGGTAACTACCTTTAAGCGAAAGGTATGGTTAATATAGGTAGATCTAAAGACTAAACTAGTCGCTCTAAAAGCCTCCTAGCCATAACTATACCATTCTCATTCAAAACAGTACCAAACATAATACTATTATAGTACCAATGCAATATATAACCTACTACAATATCAAATGTCCTTATCAATATGTAAATGACTATACTAATCACACGATCAGATTATAAAATTTTCAATAGTAATCACTTCATCCTATAGTACAATATCATATATTATATTATTATACAAACCCAATACCAACAATAATATTAAAGATATAAACTCCAGAGACCATTGAGACTACACCTATTGACATCAGTATAATAAAACTGTAATACCTGTCGATTTAAGAGTATAATCTTAATACCTGATTCGTATTATTAGGTTGTTCAAATAATTCTGTGCCCCTTCTCAAAACAAGTTTTTGAGGTCAAGGAGCACATAATTATTTGAACAAACTATTATAATAGAAGTATATTCCCAACATCAACGTATACAGACTCAAAACCGGTCACAGTAATGTAATCGTGCACTATAACATAACAATTCCCAGACTGTAAATAGTATTAAACTAGTTCATCAACAAGATATGTACTAGATATGAACGTGTAAGATTGATCTAATTCTTAATATTAATAAATTAAGGTAAAACATATACTCATATTATACTACATATCAATTACTAATACAAAGTTTACAAAAAGCCCAAAAGATTTTGAAACAACTGGTTATGTTGAGTCACCAAACACAATATTATTCATTCGTTTTCGTGATTAAAGAGAAATTAACATTTAAAGTGCTTCTGGGCATTTTTATAATAAGACATTATAATAAGGTACTGTTCGGTCAAAAAGTCGATAGAATAATACAAAGATTAAAAAAAGTGAATATGATAAAGTTTAATATTTTAAGATTTTTAAAGGATTAATGATAAAGATTTTGAAGTCTTTTTCACGCCAAGTTTTAGAAAATCAAAAAATGATTGATTGCTTTAGGACAAAAACAAATTCGAACCAAAAATAAAATATAATCGCCTTAACTTCCGATTCAAGACTTCACGAAACGTGCCCGACTCGTCCCACTCAGAGTTAGTCTAAAATTTTTACAATAATTTATTGTATCAACTTAATAGTACACATAAAAAAAAGGAGCTCGTGCTTTCGGGTTTTAAAGTTAAAATATTTGAATTTCCTACTAATTTAGCAAATTTGGCATTGTGTTTCAAGCACTTTTTTCGACGTTCAGACAAACTATGCGTACAATTTTAAAAAATTAGGCTTATTTAAAGGTTTCCTACTAGTATATCATTAAAAATTATTGAAAGTCAAAAAATGGTAAAGTTATATACACTTAAAAGACAATGCCTATTTAGCAAAAAATTATGAAAAAATTAAAACGATTTACACAAACTTTTATAAAATACATAAAAAATGACAAAAGCCCATAAAACATCCCCAACAACATAAACTAGTAGCACAAAACTAATATCAAAAGGGAACTAATGAGAATAAAACAAACGAGAAACAACCTTTGACCCTCACAAAACATTCTCTTATTTATGGCCGAGAGTTAAAAGATTATTTATAGTCAAGAGGACGAGTTAAATTAAAGACAGATTGAGAAAGAATGGCAGAGATCAAAGAATGAGACAAAATCCAAGTAATGTAAGCAAAGTTTTTGCACAAAAAGTTGTTCTCTAATGTTTACAAAGCTTGTACCGCATTAAAGACATTGTAATACGAACGTGACTGACGGTTGCAACATTTTTTAGAAATTTGAAAAACGTTTTTAAAATTATTTGAAATTTGAAAAAATAAGTTTTTCAAAATTAGTTTTTAACGTGCCTAAAGCGAAATTTCAAAAAATAACGTTCTGAAAGGAGTAGAAAAAGTCTTGTCGTAGATTTAAGAGAGTGTACACGTCAAAAAACGACAAGACTTTTTTTACGACTTAAAATTTGTCTTATCAGTAAAAATAAAAAAAGATTTGTGAATCGGTCATAGTTTTTCAATTTTAAACTTAAAATTAACATTTGTTAATAAATGAATACTTTTAAGACCGTATTTTACCATTTACTCTACACTATCTACTGTAACAGATGTAAAACCAATGTTATTCATTGAAACACCTCCCTGTTTATTCAAATTTTTACAAAACACCCCCTGTTTATTCAAATTTATGCAAAACACCCCCAAATCCGTGCAGAATCACCCCCTCCAAACCCGTGTTATAGTGAATATAATTCCCCACACATCCCATTAGACTTGCAGAACGCTTTAAACTTTGACTGAACCCTTTATGCGCCCATTAATATTAAAGTAAAGTGATCACTCCACAACCTCGAAATGAATAAAGGGACAGACGTTAGAGTTGCTACAGACATAAAAAACGGTAATTAAGGGGTTAATTAGAAGGACATTAAACATCATTTCGTAAAACAAACAAAAATTTGTTTTTAAAAGGGGGGAGGGTAAGAAAAATTAAGATAAAAAAGAGGAAGAGGGGGGGGGAAGTAACTTAGAGAAAACAAGTCCAAGGCCAAGAAGAGGAGGAGGGGGGGGGGTACTAAAAAATAACCTCCCCTATCCGTTGCCACAAATTTTTTATGATAAGTGCCATAATAGGCAATGAGAACTGAGGAGGAGGCTAATAAGAAACTACAGTACCATTTTTACCATTCCCTAGAAATTACTTACCATGTTTTGCCTTGTAAAAAAAGTTCTTGCCATTTTTTTGCCTTGTAAAGAAAGTTCTTGCCATTCTTTGCCTTGTAAAGAAAGCACCCTGCTACACATAAAAAGAACCTTTGTTAGAAAGCAACCTCCCCCCTACAATAAAAAAACTCACTCTTAAAAAACCCCTCCATCCTCTTCTCTATACCCAGCTTTTAAATACCCCTGCCTTCCTTCCTAGGCCCTAAAAAACAAAATAAACATTTAAAAATTGACCATTAAAAGGTTACCCTTTACAAATCGCAACAAAACCCCCTTAAGACAACATTAAAATGCCGTTTTCGACGTTAATTTTATGCGCTTGGAACGAAATTTATAACAAAAAAGCGAACTCTTTTCGATTTTTTTTGTATAGCCAACGGCACAAAAACAGAGAGGGATCGAAATTCAGTCGTTCACCTTGTTTGTCCCCCCCCCCATGCGCGGAGGTCGCCGGAATGGGAAAGGAAAGGGGTGGGGGCGAGGGGCGACAATCTTTAAAAGCAGGGGGTGACTATCGTTTTTAAGTTAGTGGCTATCTCGGAAGGTGAAAGTACCATAGTTTCATAACGGAGGGGGGAGGGGTACCAACGCTTAAAAAAGGAGTACGAATCCTGAAAAAAGGGTAGAAAGAGCCTTAAAGAAAGGGTAAAAAATTTTAAAAGCCGCTGTACAAGGGTCTAAAAAAAGGGGGGGGGTATAACTGTGTGCACACCCCCCAAAGGGTCAACCGCATCATTGCAATTCGCGCACTGAGAAAACTGTCGCTAATCGCCGCGACCGACCCGCTTAAAATGCATTTTCAGAAAGCCGTTTCCCTCGCTTAAAAACATATACAAACCGGACCGCGGTCGATGGCTATCGGGCCGCGGCGATTTTGTACTTGGGGGTGGTATTGGAAGTCAAAAAACTGCACTTTTAAGGTTTTACAGTGTAAAAAGTTTTTAAAAAATTGAAGAAAACATTAGATTTTATATTAAAATTCATTTTTAGAGCTCAGTACATTAGTCAAGGTATGACGTTTTAAAAAAAATTAATTTTTTGTTCCCTAAAATACGAAGTCTATTTTCAAAACAAAAAAATCAATAAATTAGTATACTAGGTATGAATTTTAGAAAAAAATTATTTTTTGTTACCTAAAATTCAAAGTTTATGACCTATAGCCTTATATATAAATTTATACCAAACTATAACATAATATGAGAAAGTAGACCACAACTTTAAAACCCGAAGGTGCGACTTTACAGCGTTCGAAACGTTCTGGCGGTCAGCAAGACTAAATTATGAAAAACGGTCAGTTTTAAAGCATCTGGCCACAAAAAATAGGAATGGCCAACAAAACAGGTGTTTTCCCAAAGTTCGATGGCCATCGCTCTCGGAATCGAGAAGCTCCGGATTCACTTTTCCGGCCCCAAAACAAACAAACCGGAAACAATTTGATTGACTTATTAGGACAGGCGTGGGTTTGGGTACAATAATAATAATATCTCATTAGATCATCAATAAAGTGGCGATGAAAGTCTTGTCGTCAATTTATATTGAGTTAGAGGTTAAAAAACGACAAGACTTTTTTTATAATTAAGTAAGTTTAGTTACCACTTTAATATTAGGTTGTTCACCTAATTATGAGCCCCCTAACCCCTAAAAGTTGTTTTGAAAGAGGGCTCAGAATTATTTGAACAAACTAATATATTGTAAACAGCAAAACTTTAAAATTAAAAAAATATATTAAAATACGACTTAAAAAGATTTTTTGATAAAAATTGATAAAAAAGTGCCCATTGATAACCCTTGCAACCAAAAAAGTTTAAAATAAACCAGCGTGAACGTTGATTGACACTCAATCTGATAAGTGAGTGTTCTAGGCCAAAGCTAAGAAAAAGAAGACCTATGGTCATAGGTATGAGTCAGAAAGAGATCAGAAGGACGTGTGAAGGCCTTGAAACGAGCAGCAGGGTACAGACCTGACCAACAAGCCGCGCAATGTCAATTTAAGTGACAATTTGAAACCATAACCGTTTTTCTATTTTTATTCGAATTTAAAAAGTAAAGGGAGGTTTTATGCATCTAAAAATAGATGCATAAAAGTATCCAACCTCTCAGAATCACCTCAAAATATTTATATGAATTCTTTGTACCAGCTTATAGTACCATAAAAAATGTTAGCTCGCTCTTTTAAGTTTTTAAATTAAAATGTTTGAAGATCCTACCAGTTTTTCAAATTTGGCATTGTGTTTCAAGCAGATTTTCCGACTTTCCAAACAAGCTATACTTACAGATTTAAAAATATAAGTCTATTTAAAAGTTTTATACCAGTAAATCAGAGAAAAATGAATAAAATTAAAAAAAAGACAAAGGTATAAGCTTAAAGCACCATGCAATTTGGCGGAAAATTCAAAACGTAATTTTTTGATTTTGATTCTCTAAAGGTTGGCTAGAAAGTGCGAGTTAAATAGCACGTTTCTGGAAGTCTTATATTTACATGATCTTTCTATCTAAAAATTTTGAAGGCAATCAGAGCGGGACAGGCCGAGCACTTTCCTATAGCTATTTTATTATTCAAACTTTAAAATAACCTTCCACTTTTTACTCAAAATTATCAATTGTTTGCCATAAATGTTTGAGTAATATTGCATTTTTTAATTAGTTTTGTGCCCTCATTTCAAAGAAAATTTTTGGGGCTAGAGGGCGCAGAATTATTAGAACAATTTAATATTTACAGCCAAAACTTGGTATAATATGCGGTCGATAATAATGACAAAAGGTGCACTTTGATGAAGCGGACGCGCACTCTCGATTCTGATTGTTTTTTGACAAAAAAGAGGATCTCTTTGTTTTGTCGCCCCGAGGCTTTTGACCATTCAAATCGACTTTTTTTTGTTTGTATCGAGAGATTGGGGACAATCAAAATGGGAAAACAAATGTAAAAGATAACTTTAAATATGGCAAAATCATAAATAAATCTTTTTAAAAATTATTTTAAAAATGGATTAAAGTGGCCTAAGTCGTCTTAAAATGAAGTTTTTGTAAGTAAAATTTTAAAAAATTTTGAAAAAGTTTAAAATTTAAATTTCAAGCCAATTGCGAAACCGTTTAGACCAAAAGCCTTCCTTTTTATCGCTGCAAACCCCTAAAGCAAGAAAGTAAAAGTAGAAACCTCAAGTTAAAAGTGTTTACGACCACAACACATCGCTGAAATGTTTTGCGATCAGCGATGAGGTGTGAAGCGCGCGAGTGCCATTTCGCGACAATAGTGTGTGTCGCGTGATTCCTCAACAACAAAGAGGTTTGAGGAATGACACTTTTTCATGGTGTACTGATTTCGAATGGTTTTGAGCCATTAGAATCGGGTTTGAATCGGTTTGAGACTTCTGGAGATTGCGTCACGCGCTACAGGAGCTTTTGAAATAAAGGTAGCGCTTAGAAATGGCAGTTTTAAATAAGAACGTGAGGTAATTTTAGCCCAAGGGCAGTTCTTAATTTATGAAAACTTTAGAGAAACAGAATATCAGCAAATCATTTTTAAAAAACCTCTATTCTAAACCCACAAAAGTCACAAAAGAACCTTCGAAGCGGCCGTTCATTAAAATCGTGTAGAAATAACGCCCCAGGCGTCGCTTTCCCCAATTCAAAAAGACCGCGACAATTGATAAGCGATTAATTTTTTGATTGAAAGCCACCCAACTTTCTCTCTCTGAATGCCCGGAATGCAACGTTCTTGGACTTTCTCTAACCGTCTCTCCAATCACAACGTTCTCTCGCCTTCACGCCACTCAAAAGTGGAACGGCCAGAGAATAAGAAGGGGTCGCGCGACAGATGAAAAACCAAGATACCTACACGTTTGTCCACCTGTTACTGGGTGAAAGGTTGCTATTTAAAAAGGCTAAAAAGTTGAAACTTTGAAATACCATAAATTTCAGAAAAGTGCCATTAATAATGTCAGAAATTTTAAAATTTTGATATAAACATTAAGGTACTATAAACTAAGTTATAAATAATTTATTTTACTACTACAACACAAAGTATACAAAAGTTATAAAAATAGTTATCAGCTAAAATGGATTACCACGTTTGACCTGGAAGGCTGATACAACTCGTATTGGACCTTGGCCTTCTCAAACAATCGCTTGCTGGCCTTCATCTCGTTCTTCTGAGGCTTATCTTTCATGTAGATGACCTTCTTGATGCCACACTGAAAATGATGATTTTATTTTAAAGCTACATACACTAGAATATACGAATGTTATCATAGTAAAAAGGCTTCAAAAGTAAACGTATATTAATATAATATAAAAGAGTTTTTAAAATTTGTAAGCACAACTTATTGTAAGTAAAACAAAAACTTACTTGAATAATCAACTTGGCACATTCATTACAAGGAAACAAGGTTACATAAATCGTGGCATTCGACACCGAATCCTTCTTATTAACAATGGCGTTCATCTCAGCGTGACAAACGTAGTAGTACTTGTTTTCCAAAGGATCTTCTGAATCCTTGCCCCAAGGCATCTCATCATCTTCACAACCCCTTGGCATTCCATTGTATCCAACTCCGACTATAATTTTGTTTTCATCTACAATCACAGCCCCAACTTGAGTGTTGGGGTCTTTACTTCTCTGTGCTGCCAGCAAGGCTACACCAACAAAGAACTCATCCCACGACAAGTAATCTTCACGCTTCTGGTTCTTGGCCACTTCTTTTGACTTTGGAACTTCTACAGCCAGACTGTCTTGGGAGGTGGATGAGGATTCTGGTGTGGATTCATCAGCTGAACGAAGGCAATATAAATTAAAAAAATATTTAAATTATTTAAAAGTGCATATTTTACCATATTTTTGTTCCCTATATATTTTTAAATTTTAATTTTAAGGACTAACAAAATATACCTGATTTGAAAACGCTCCAGAACATATTATTTTGACGCTAATAATCGAAAACGCAAAAAAATCAGAAAAATGTGAAAATTGAGATTTTACTATATCAGATAACGTAGTAAGATTATCAAGATTTTCTTTGTTATTTTACTCCTCCAGTAAGTGCAAGTATTAGATTGTTCAAATAACCCTGTGCTCTCTAACCCCGAGGACTTGATTTAAGAGGAGCACAGAATTAGTTGAACAACTGAATAAAAAATAAGTTTTGTTTTTATAGTAAAGTTCATTATTACAAAAGTACTGGAAGACTTTACATAGCTTAAAAACGGTATCTTAGAGTAAGTTAACTTACTGTGTGAATCCATCGAAGTGCCAGCCTTGTCGCTCTCCATTTCCTTATCTTTATTATAATGTTTTGGCCTGCAGTGATACGCAGGGTAGCCAGACGAAGATGCAGAGTCCGAATCGTTCAGCAGGCACTCGGCCTTTTTGTCACTTGTTCGATTAAATATTTTCCTAATTTTTTTGGTCAAAGATACGCTCTTAGTTTTGTTGTTTTTAGCACTTTCGGACGAGCTCATTGTTCTGGAATCAACAATAAATAAAACCAGTAAATATACAAATATAAACAGTAATTAAGTAAGTTTTCTATTCTTCTACACTAACTACAATAATACTGTTAAATAACTTATGTGCTCTTACATTAGACGTAAAAAAGAAGACAAACGAACACAGCGACGTTAAACAACAATAATTCAAAAGAACACTAACTAATTATGCCCAAAACCTAATAAAAAAAGCTATTTACATATTATTTTATAAAAACAGAAGACAATTTATTACGCAAATCACTTAAAACATGCTTAAGCATTCAAAATTTAAGTGCGGGTTCTAAAGTCTCGAAGCGAAAGCGAAGTCTGCTAAAACTTGTGGCATTCTATTGCAAGATAAAATTTTTAGAAAATTTTAATGTTTTCTTAAACTACAACAAAAATAAGCAGTTATTGTTGGTAATATGGCTGTTTCCAAGAAGCAAGAGAACGGAGTGACACAAGAGATTGTTGATGAAGGTGAAGAAATGACAGTAGAACAGTTGGTGGAACGGTTTGACAGGTATTATCATAAAGTTGTGTCGAACAAAAGAGAATATCAACAGAAATTCTATCAGCATCTGATGGATTTCCTTATCAAAGTGAAGAATACGAGTGTAAGTTCTTAGGTTTTTTTTGTTTTTAGATACAAGTTGGTGTTGGTTAAAGTAAAGTGAACACTTTGTTGTTTTAGTACGAAGCAGTGGAAATCATAGTACCTAAAATTGATGTCAAGTTCTTGAGCGAGCTTTTGATTAAATATAAGGCGACACAGAACGATGTGGACACTACAATATTCAATATTCTCACTTTTTTGGAAAAAAATCTTCATGTTGGTTTGAGGTAAGACGATATGTCGTGTATTAATGGATTATCAGGTGCACCTTGAAGCTATATGATTAGAATAAGGTTATGAAGCCAAAATATCGTCTTTTTAATAAGTATCTTTTATAATTGTCTATTTTTAGGGCCGTATCTCCATTGGTATTCTCGGAGAAGAGTCGTCCTTATTATGCTAATTTAATACAATTTGGACGATCTTTAAGCAGTGTTTTAAAGCCAGATCAGGTAAGTAACTGTCCTATTAACTTACTTATTTTATGTTTAGATATTGAACTTTATAAACCCTGAAGTTCTGAAGAAAACGGCGTTTTCAATGGTTTATACTGAATATAGAGGGGAACGAGCACCAGATATGTATGACCCACGGTTTATGCTACTCTTGTTTTTGAATATGGTGCAGCCTGGTAGTGATGTAGGTCTCAACATACTTTTTTAAATGTTTTGTAGAGAAAAGAAGCTCATCTTTACTTGTTTCGCCTTTCGAATATCAATCATATGAGATTTTATACTTTTTTATCCTTTTAAAGAATTTTCAAGTACATGTAAAACAACTTTTAATAACGTAGTGTTTTTCCAGTTGTCAGCCAAAAGATTTATCACATCGAATTGTTTGCACTTTTGTTTTTCTGCTCTGAGCTTACAAACAGATGAGTATCGTGCACTAGGCTACAGAGTAATTAACGATTTTACAAAACATTTGAATGATCTGAGCGCTGAAACTTTTCCTCAAAAGGCACTGTTCATCTATCTTCTAAAGCTGTTCAAGAACAGTGTGACACAAATTAACGAACGAGTCATGTCACGTAAGTTAACATACATAGTAAACGTATTCTAATTAATATTTTATTGTCTTTTTTTAGTGTTGATACGTCATTGCTGGGCGATGTACTACAAAATTAACAATTTCTAGCATATTTTCATTGAAGCTTTTTTCAGCACTAACCAGGTTCTTTTGTGAAGTCTTTGATGTTACATTAGACCCTTTGGATCCAATGTTCAAAGGAGTATGGGCCTCCTTAACCATGAAGCCGGCTATCGAGTTGAACAAGCTTCCCGAGTTCAAGAAGTTCTTCTTCTCAACCGCTTCTGTAGCTTTTTCAAAAGAACGAAGTTGGGTCTTGGACATAGCAGTGTCTTCGTTGGAATGTCCTCAAGATTACATGGCTGTGAGGAATACCTATGTGGCAGAGACCCTAATGGCTGCATTCACATCTTGTATGATTCACAAGGGAAACAAACTGAGTATTCTCAAGTTCTTTAAGGCTTGCTTACGGTATCCGGTGGTCACAAAAGATATTACTCTACGATGTAACTTACCTACTTGGATTTCTTATGTCATCAAAGTAAGTTTCGAATTATTGATTGTTAGTGCAATGTTTTTATTGCCGTAAGAGCGTATCACGGTAGGAGCGATATTTATACTATATTTACTCTTTTAGCACCGTACTACCACAAGATTCGAGCAAATCTTCTTAACCCAAATCTTTGTTCACAATATCAGGATAGCTTTGGAATACAAGTCAGTCTACGAAGACGTACTACTCAGACGAACATTCAAGTCAGCTGCTGAGAAGGTACAGTTTCAAAAAAGTCCACTTCTCGTTTCGAAGCTACACTTTGGACTGATATAGCAAGAAAACACTGCAAAATACAGAATTTGTAGTAGTTTATCATGTTCTTTTAATATTAATCGATCTTCAGGTTTCCGAAAGCATCAACTCTGTAGACGATCACGGAAAAGCCAAGTTTTCAGAAGCCTTGAGCAAGTTTTTGGAGACCGGAGAGATGGTTTTTAATGAGAAAGTCGAAGATGATGATAAACCAGAACTAGAAACATACGCCAAAGCAGAAAAGAAAAAAAGTCGAAGAACAGAACGGTGTGGAAACACCTGAAAAACCGGCGGAATCCGTGGAAAATGGTCATCCAACGCCTAAAAAGAAGCGAAAAAATTAGATTAGAAGTAATATTTGGAAATTATTGATTTTACTGTTGTTGTTATTGTTATAAATACGTTATAATTAGCTGGTTCTTAGGCTTTGGTATGTTTTATTCGCAATTGACAAGGAAGGTGCCCGACCTGCAACGCTCAGATTTCGTTCAAACTTTTTTTATTGACAGGTCACGTAAATGTAAGATGTTATGCAATATTCTAAGTTGCGGTTTGCGGCCAGTCTTGAGAAAATCGAGATCGAAAAATCGCGTTTTGAATTTCCCGCCAAATTGGCATTGTGTTTCAAGCTTATAACTTTGCCATTTTTTGACTTTTAATCATTTTTCTTTAATATGCTAGTAAAAAACCTTTAAATGAACCTACATTTTTAAATTTGTAAGTTTAGCTTGGCTGGAAAGTCGAAAAAAGTGTTTAAAACACAATGCCAAATTTGCCAAATTGGCGGGAAATTTAAATATTTAAAATTTAAAACTCAAAAGCGCAAGCTAAAATTTTTCATAGGTACTAATGGTACTACAAAGAATCCGTATAAAAATTTTGAGCTGATTCTGAGAGTTGCAGGTTGGGTACTTTCCCTGTGAGTGTTTTATATACGGTAGCACGGGAGTCTCGCAACGAAAACAAGGACAGCTAAAACGTTGGCATTCTGCTTTATCAAAAATAATATTTTATACATTGTTTTGAGTAATATTTACGTCTTACAACTTGTGTTTTTGGCATATGCAATAGATTTTAAACCTGTTTTTGTTTTAGAATGATCCGCCCGGAGATTGGAGTTACCACTTTTTTGAATTCGGCCGAATATAAACCATGGCCTTGTATTTTCAAGGAAAAGTATTCTGATTTTATAGTTTTGGAAGTGTTATCAGATGGAACTTGTTGTAAGATTAGTGATGGAAGTTCAGATGTCGTTCCCGGAAAGAAAGAAGTAAAAGAAGTTGTCATGCCGAGCAGATTGAGTGAAGAAGACAAAGAAAAGCTAGGACAACTGAAGGAACTGGGCGAAGTCTTGATCAGTGTAGAGGTGAGTGTTATGGTTATCCTATATTTTTAGGAAGATTTAGTATTTAGTATTAAAGCAGAACTGTTTGATTTAGGAAAGCTAGACTCTAATTGTTCATGGTTCTCTTCTATAATATTGTTTTAGGGCTGGACAAAGGACGAAAGACGAGAATTACATGAATATGTGAGGTCTTTGGGTCCTTATGATTCAAAGGTCGATGGGCAGCAAATAAAAGCCTTCAAACCGAGTAATGTTGGACGGAAGCGAAAGTTTTGGCCTAGAGATGTGCCAGAACAACTTCATTTTACTCTTTCTAAAGCTGATTATGAGACGAGCTATGCTATTGGGCTGATTTCAAAGTTCCTTTAGTAAGCTTTTTTATATTTATTTAAGTTTTTTATTGGTTTTATCGTTCTTTTTTGAATAGAGTTTTATTTTATTGTGGTACAAATAATTTGTTACCTAAATTCATATTTTCAGTAGAACCCCGGACTCTTTTGGTTACTGCGGTTTGAAGGATAGACGTGCAGTTACAGCACAAAGAGTGTCTGGCTTCCACGTTGATGCTCTTGATTTGCTAGCTCTCAATTCACGCCTAAAGGGTATTACAGTTAGTGCTCCAAAGTACGAAGATAAAAGGTTGTCACTTGGAAATCTGTGGGGAAACCGGTTTGAAGTTGCACTTCGACAGTTTGAAATGTATAATGATGAAGGGCTAAAGGTAGGTTTAAGCATATGTTTTGAAATTTTTATTGAAACGTCTTGTTCTGTAGGTTTTTTTTGTTACCTAAACTTTAAGTTTTATTTTTGTTGATAGGAGTATTGCAATTGGTTCTAATTTTTTAAAGGTACGTTTATTAAAAGTAAGATTTTTAGGACAGAATTGACGAATGGTCTAACAACGGGTTTATAAATTACTTTGGAGAACAGAGATTCGGCTCGTTTTCAATATCTACGGCTGAAATTGGGCTAAAAATCATTCAAAAAGACTATGAGACTGCTGTAAACATGATATTGGAGCCGAAGGAAAATACTAAAGGTACGTTTTGGCATCAGAGAAACATAATTTTACTTTTTAAAAAAACTATTGCTATTATTAATTGGAATTATCATCACTTTTTTAATGTAAATTACTTTCAGGCTCGATTGGAGATTGCTTGAAGACCTACAAAGAAACGAAAGACCCAAAATCTGCTCTAAAACAAATACAAGGGAATCTAAACCACCTCGTCGAAACATATGTGCTAAAGCAACTCCAGAACACTCCAACTAACTTCAAAGCAGCCATTCTGGCCATACCTCGACCTCAACGATCTTTATATGTCCATGCTTATCAGTCCAAAATATTCAACCAGATAGCGTCGAAGAGAGCAGAGAAGTTTGGTCTACAAGTTTTACCTGGAGATTTATTCCAAGATGAAAGTAAATTGGTTACAGATAGTGGAGATGACATTACAAATGTTGTTTTGCCTTTGCCTTCGAACAAAATGAGGATACCACAAAATGAAAGTAAGGAACAATAAATTACATATAATAATTCTAGTGTAATATTGATAAAATAACGGCTTTTTAATACTTGAAAACTTGTAATATTTAAATATACGTAAAAAAGCTGTTGATGTTGATTGTTTTAGTTGGTGAATGGTACAAAGAGATAATGGACAAGGATAAACTGACAGAAAACGATTTCAGAGACCTTCACAAGTAAGAAAAAGCAGATATTATCACCAACTTTAGAGAAAACGTACAGTACCAAATTAAACGGCGCTAGGACAAATGCGGTTTTGGACATTTGCGGATTTTGGACATTTGCGGATTTTTTAAAGGTTTTTTAAAATTTTTTAGTTAATTTATTTGTAGTATGGTACTAAATTGTACGAAAGTTTAAATTGGTGCGGTTCTAACATAACAGTACCTTTTTGGGCTTTTAGTACCATTCAGTACCAAAAAATATAAAACAGTACCAATTTAAAATTTAGTACTATTTAGCACTAAAACATATTAAAACAGTACCAATTTAAACTTTAGTATCATTTAGTACCATACTACAAATAAATTAACTAAAAAAGAAAAAAATCCCCTTTAAAAAATCCGCAAATGTCCAAAATCCGCAAGTGTCCAAATTTGTCCTAGCGCCAATTAAACATCGTTTTACGTAAAGAAACTAAAGTAACACCAATATATTATTATAGAGACTTTGCTGTGACCGAATCCTTCCGAAACTACGTAGCAAAACCTCGTGATGTTGAGTACGATCTTATTGGCTACAACGACCGCGAATCCATGCTACAATCAGCCGAACCCTTTGCCAAGGTAGCCGACGGAGAGCTTCAGAAGCCGGAGGAAGGAAAGTATCAAGCGTTGAGAGTCAATTTCTCGTTACCTTCTGGATGCTATGCCACGATCGCTTTGAGGGAATTATTGAGGGTCGACTTGAGTAAGAGTGCTCAAAGAGAGGCTACAGCTAACAGCAGAGACGTAGAACCTTCTGAATGATGTTACGAGAAGAAGAGAAGTAATGGCACGTCTACGAGCCAGTGTAACTTTAAAATAAGGTTGGCGCATCTTCTCAGTTATTGTTATAATGGTAACATTAGATTGTGTATTCCTTTACAACTTTGAAAAAATTACAAAATCTACAGTTACCGTTTTGTTGAATTATGTTGTTGTTAACTTAAAATTGTTAAAAACCGAAAAGTAAAAAAAATTATTTAATATTTCTACTACTTCCGTTTGTTCTTGGAGCGTGCTTGACCAACGACTTTGGAGGGTAACACGATGCTACGGCGTCTGAAAGTGAAAATATTAGCTGATTTTACCAATATTAGGTTGTTCACATAATTCAGTGCTCCTTAACCTAGAAAATTTGTTTTGATAGGAGCGCAGAATTATTTGAACTACCTAATATAAGTAAGTAAAGTAAAATCAAAAATTGAGTATGGTACAAAAAAAGCAGTATAATTTCCAAAAAAGTACCGTCGTAGTAGTATACGTATTACCAAACACCAATACTACAGAATGTAGAATTTAAAAACTTACTGTACGAGTCCAAGAGAATTAGTCCTGTTGACACTTCCGACCGGTCGTTGCTTTCGGGTCGCGCCACTGTTTTTGCCACTTGAAGAGTTGGTGGTTGTCGTCGTTGCATTCGACTGCTGACTGACAGTGTCTTTGTGCCTGTGGTGAGTGTCGTCGTCGTCCTGAAATTAGAAAAGTTGAATTTATAATATTAATATTGTTTTATGTGTACTGCAAAGGCCATTTCTTCGTCAAAATGCCATTTTTAAGCAAAACAAATCAAAAAGAAAAATAAAAAAAGTTAACCTACCCTGACCGAGAAGATCCGCCTATTCTTCTTCCGCCCCTTTGGCGAATTGGCCTTCAGATTGAGATCGTCCAGCGACTTGGCATAAACTCCTTTGATCCTGGTGGTAGACCTTTCAGGAGGTGGTGGAGGAGCGTACTTGCCATTGACGAGCTTGTGAAGCTTGTGCAAGATATCCCAAAAGCTTGGTCGACTCTCTGGGTCCTTGTTCCAGCACGCCTTGACTATCGCCTTCACCTCTGGGGGCATCGTGTTGGGAACGGTGGGCATCTTGCCGGTCTTAATGTCTCTGGCAATCTTCTTGACTTCATCGTCTGGCCATGGTTTCTGGCCATTGTTGAAGATCTCCCAACAAAGCATGCCATAGGCCCTGAAATCATTTTAAAATTAAGATTAGTTAAAAGTTATCGTACACTACTATAATATCAGATTGTTACAGTTGTTCTCGATCACAAAATGGTCACAAAGTACATAGAATATAAGACTTAAACTGAAAAATCAAAAAAAAAATTCCAGCCAGCCGGATTCGAACCAGCGACCTAAGGATTCCCGCTGAACTACAGTCCTCCGCTCTACCAACTGAGCTATGGTTGGTCGATCGCTTCTCGATCAGAATGCAAAGACTATCAAGAACAACAGATTAAAACACTGCTTTCGACTACAAACAAAACAAACGTACCAGACGTCGCTCTTGTGCGAGAACAGAGGCTTCTTTCCGATGGTTTCGGGGCTCAGAAGGCGGATCGGGGCCTTGAAGTTACCGTCAATCTTCTCTTCGCTCAGCTCCTGGGTCGTCAGGCTGAGGCCAAAGTCTCCGATCTTGAGTGTCGTGTCAATGGCAATCAGACAGTTCCTCGCGGCCAGATCTCGGTGGACAATGCTGATGCCCTCGAGGTACTCCATGCCTCTGGCGGCTTCAAAAAGGTACAGAATCCGCTCTCCAATCTTGATGGCGTCCTTCTGGGAGAGGAGGTGAGAGCCCAAGCTTCCTCCAGGACAAAACTCCATGACCAGCTGAAACACGATGGTTTTACTGTGGGATATTACAGTATAATACTATAGGGTAATCGTATGCCTTGACAACTTTTTAAAACATCATGGCATGGTATAAAGATCAAAATAAGCTTAGAAATGGATAAAAATACAGAAATAACACTCAAAACAGTACTAACTTTGATGGGTGGCACATCACATAACACCCCATAGAACTGAATGATGTTGACGTGGTAAGTGGCGGACAACGAGCTGATCTCAGTCATCATCTCCTTCTGCTCGGCGTGGGTCTGGGCTGTGATTTCAGAATCCTTGAAGTTCTTCACGGCCACGTTCTTCAGGACCTTGTTGGTGCCAGTCATCACGGCTTTGGATACAAAACAGAAGTTACCTGAAATGTAGTATATTATACTACAATAGTTATCTTAAACTCTACACGTAGCTCCTTCTTTCAAAAGATCTTCCAAAACAATACAAATGTCATATTATCCTACTTTCGCCAACTCGGTGCTTGATCTGGATCTTATCATTGCGAATGAAGATGGCCGGTCTCTTGGCAGGCTCTGTCAGTGGCATTTCTTTGCAGTTGATTTAGCTTTTAATCAGCTTTTTGATGGTCTGAGCTGTCCTTGACTTGAACCGCTTATCATCAAAGTAGTACTCGAGGGTTGGCGTCGTCCTGATCTGGAGATGAGTTGCCTAAACAACAAAATATTACGGTAACAGTTGAAATACCACAAATACTAATATAATTTACGACTTAATCATTGTAATACTCTTACCTTGGCGTCAGCTTTATAGGCCATCTTGAAAATGAAGGTCTTCTCCAAAGCGGTCGTTTCGATTGCATAAACTGCGAATTCACCGTCTCTCTCAAGCGACGCTTCAACATCATTTCTAAAATCACATATATTATCAGTTACATACTTGTATCTAAATGATTGGGAGCTTATACAAACATGTTATACCATAAAGTATCAGATTCAAGCCAAGAAGCCAAAAAAGCGGTAAATGATTACTGACTTTCAGATATTATACTATATACTAGCCATACAGTAGAACTTCTAAATCTACAGTAAAATCTTATAAAAATACTTTACCAAATACACAAATACTCCATAAACTTACGGAGTGACGAATCCAAAGTAGAACACTTCAGTCAGTACGTCCTCAGGCAGCTTGATTGATCCCAAGCTGTGGCACGTCTCAGATGGTGACGATATCTTTTCCATTACCTAGCTGACGATCTGGAGCGATGCTACGAGTTACTATGGTGGTAATCCGACTGTTCGGCGGTGACAAAATGTAAATGAATGACTGTTTTCATCTGAAACTAGATTTTGAAAATAAAGCTTTTGAAAAATACTAATATGCAAATTTAGAATTAATTCTGTTTAGTAAAATTTCACAATATTTTCAATATTTTCTCGGTCGAATAGTAGCTACAGTGAAACTCTTTAGTATGACCTTCAATAGCACGACACTCTTTATAATAGCAGCCTTCTGACTGCCATTCGTAACGTAACTCCTGTCAAAAATTTACCTTCAGCCCGGGTAGTAGACGCTGATTATTGGCAAGCCAAGTGAATGCTTTAATTCAAAAAAACCCCCTAATTAAAAAATCATAGTTTTTACCTCTCCGTCCCTCCCTATATACAAATTACCCTCCTGGGATAACTATATTCACCAGTAAATCAAATTTTAGGCTGATATTGATAGTTTATGAAATTGAAGATATATCATCATCAAAATATTAATAATATACAAAAATACCAACAATACTTCAAACCATTTTCATCTCCCAGATGTTTGGCCATATCCGTCTCCACTTCTTGAACCTTCCTTCACCGAACTTGTCTTGCATCTCGTCTGTCTCTTCTTTTATCACCATATTTCTTTCCAGCTCATCTTCTGTTATGGGTAGCCACACTTCTTCTGAAGCTCCATTCGGGTTACCGTATTTTGCAAAGTTTGTAAAATAATTTGTGAATCGGTCCAAAACTTTCAGATCCTGCGGGGATGGAGTGAAATGGGTTGATGTTATACATCTTCCAAAAAGATAGGCTAGTTCTATCGTATGGGTAGCTCCTGAAAAATTAATTTTACCTAGATTAACGAGTTATAAGATGTGTTATAGTGTTTGCAGTTGGTTTGTGATAATATTAAGTCGTTTACTTAATATTATACCAAAAAGTTGACAAATAGATAAAATAAAATCGATTCTACCTACTAATAAGCCAAGCTATCTATAGATACCTAATAACCATCCCTTACCTCTAAACGGGAACAGATACCCCAACAGACCACCAACATTGCTTCTACAGTACTCAAACGTGTACATGTATACTTCATGGCCATTCTTTATTGACTCTTCTGCCAAATACCTCATGTTGGTGTTGTACATAACATCAGATATCACTTTACAGATTTGTTGTTTGTGTTCCAATGAGTTCTCTGGTTGTTCTAGGTCAATAAAACTATCCACAGCTTTCTGAACATATTCATCAGCTGAATCCGGCAAATCGTATCTTAACAGTGTCGATAACATCAGTTCACGAGCAAATTGAATGTATGATGGCTTCAATAACACTAGAATGTATTTTTATTAATAAGGGTCACATGTTATGACAGTAATAATATAATATTTAAAAAAATTATACTTCAGTTAGAGTGCTTATCATCAAGGTACACTGTAAAAAATTTTTATCACCGTGATATACAATAAAAAACTGATAAAAATACCCATATTAAAGTAGTAAAACAACTTACTGAAGAGTAATCCCTCCCACTGTGTCACTCCAAGAAGAATCTGCTTTTTAGGTACGTTTTTCCTCAGATCTTTGAAATCTTTTGGGAAAAAGTCCCCATCAACTACTGGTGCCACACGAACACGACCATCTTTGTTGATAGTAAGTCGTTTATCTGGCATCATACTCATTTCCATTTTATCTGATGGTTGAGACCTGCAAAATACTTTTAATAAAAAATTAAAACTAGCATTTTAACCGAACCAAAAGTCTTTAGACAAAACACAAATAACGCTACAAACCAGTCAAAATGTTTATAGCTAAAATACTCTGCCATAAAGTAAATTTCAACAGATAAAACACATTGCATTACCTTAAAAACTCCAATAACTTGTCATCAACCTCCTCCTTCGTATCTTCAGCATCATACTCAAATCCTAGCACTTTTTCAGCATAATGTATCCATTCCACCCTCAATCTGTCACTCGTTTGTCGAGAATGAGTAGAATAAGCGGTCCCTGCCATACCTATGTACCGCTTGAACAAGTTTTGTGTATGTGGTGACAAAGCGAGGAAATCAACCGCTGCTCCGCCAGCACTTTGCCCAAAGATTGTGACATTACTTTTGTCACCTCCAAAATGATGAATATTGTCTTGAACCCATTGTAGAGCTTTGTGCATGTCCCAGAAAGCATTGTTACCTGGACACGATGGTGAAGATGTTGTAATGAAGCCAAAGATACCAATTCGATAGTTTAATGTCACTACGATCACTTCTTTTGAGCAAAGGTACCTAAATACACAATATTATAGAAATAAATACCTAAATTTACATATAAACGGCGTTTTTTACAACAAGATTACCCACACTTACTTGACAACGTTACTGTCTCCAACATGAGATGACGAATGTACAACAAAAGCTCCACCGTGTATATAAACCATAACTGGCAAGTCCCGACCTCGTTTTACAGTTCCAGGTAAAAATACATTCAGATAAAGACAGTCTTCTGATTTCGAGATGTTCCCGGTCAACTTCTCGTGTAGCATGTCTTGATGTGGACATCGTGGAGGTAGTTTGGTACAATCTTTGATGCCTTCCCACGGTTCTGATGCTTCTGGCTTCTAAAAAATTGTATAAAAACTGTTATCAAGAATACTATTATATAAAATTAAAACCAGCTTCTGGAAGAAGATAAGGCTTTATTGAATCCTATTGTTTACCTTGAATCTCAGCTCTCCAACTGGTGGTTTTGCATAAGGAACACTCATGTACGCACTTCCAACGTAGCCATCGTTGTATGTGTAAGTAAGTCCTTGTATTAAGCCATCGTTTATCTTCAACTCATCCGTTTTTTCAGTTTGGAAGTCCGAATAAAAGTAGGATAAGATGTTACCCATCTCTAGAACAACAGATCTTTCAGAATTTAAAATTACTGTTTATAACTACTTAACTACATAAAAACAAAGTCAAGAAACAAAACAAAAATTGTTTTCCTTTTTTACTGAAACAAAAACAACTTTTTGGAACGGAAAAAGAGCGAAACACTATAATATTATCCATGTTACAAAAAGGAAAGAACACAAACCTTGTGGTTCTACTAGAATACGAAAAGCTTACAATATAAAAAAGCACTTTCATATCTATTTATTTTATTAAAAATTCAATTTTTCAATTTAAAAATTTATTTCTGACGTATTTTCTAAAAAATCTAAAATAATGACTTATTTTCTAAATAAATGACTGTTTTTTGGACGATTTTGTTCGAAAAACGTTGTTTTAACTGTTCCTTGAAGAATTCTGTCGAGTTTGATGAAACATTTTGTTAATAATGTACTAAAAAAAATTTAGTTATATGTTTTGGCATGTTTTTGCCTTTTTTTTGTTCAGTTTACCTTGTGTTTGACATTACTTGTCGAGAATAGTTAAAATGTTTTATGGTCAATACACGTGTATTTTTGGTAATAAAAACGAAAAAAAGTAAACGTCAATTTTATGTTTAACTGATCTTTGATTAACAAACATAATATCAAAGTCAATATAATTAGTGATAAATACACGTATACTAAAATGGAATGACCATTTCCAAGGTCAGAGGTCATCTCTTTCAGTTCACCAATAAATTTATATTTAAGTGTTTTTGTCATCTACGTGCAGAAGAACGGCTACTATTTTTGAAAACTCATAGATTAATTTATTCGTGAAAAAGTATTACTCAAATAATATATTCGTATTCAACTCAAAAGTTGTTTTTCTTGTCTAATTATTATAGTATTTTTTATCATTAAAGGCTAACAGTTTGACTCAAAGAATTTCTATCCACATAATGAAAACGGTGAGAAAACTATAAGCTGTTGACCTTTCTGTTAACAATATGAGTAAAATGGACTCAAGCCATGTTTAGAATGATGGTAAAGACGATATAGATTTACGTAATCGACCTTTTGCTAAAAAATGCTAGTTCTTCTAAGCTAAGCCAAAATCATTTTATGCATTATATCAGTGAAAGCATGCGCTTTTTACGTTGGAGTTTGCCTGTTGCAGTGAGTTTATAACTGTTTATTTATAAAGATACGTATATACGTATAAATGATATTATATATGTAAATTTAAACCCAATAATTTTGCTTATACTGTCTATGTATATATGTTACCCTAAAAGCTTTTTCATTCACTTTTATGTAACTCTCAGGAACGTGTGATCGACTACATAGAGAACATGGAAGAGATATCTAGGTTGGCAACGATCAGCAAGTTCTTCTACCGACTGATAAACATTGATTTTAAAAATTTTGTGCTACAAAAAACTCGGTGTATCGTCTAGCCGGCGAAACATGGTCAGAGGCTTTTTCAAAGTAAGTTATAGCAAGTTAGAGAACGTACCGTACGACATGTTTAATACAGTACCTTACTAAAATAATTCAGTTAAATATTTTTTACATATTAGTGTCTATGTTACAGTACAAACTACCGTACACTTGACGTGAACATTGAAACATGCCCAGCATTAAAGATCAGGAAGCATTCGATGTGCTGTCCTTACACTGGAACGGTGGCACTGATCTTAGAAGACAACCGAGTGTTAATAACCAATATAGACTTTGCGAAGAAAGTCTTTGAAATCATTGACTTCAGATCTGTTGAAGGTACCATGGCCAATCTGCAGCTTATAAACAAGTCCACAAAGCTTCTAGTAGACATGACAACATCGTATGTTGTGTATGACTTAGTCGAAAAAGAAATTGTCAAAGTCTACAGCGCTTTAAAAGAAGAACGTTACTATTCTTTCACGTTGTATTACCGTGAAGGCATTCTAATTGACTTGTATAATCAGAAAGAGTACAAAGTCAAAGCTGCAACATCACCTTTAATACGTTGTATAGTAAACGCTGATTTGTACGGCTACAGAAAGTACGTTGGGTATGTGAATTGCCACCGTGAACTAGTGACAATTAATAACTCTACCGGCGAAAAAAGGGTAATTTGCCAAAAGGATAATGATAGTTATGATACGATACGTATTTTGGATATTGTAGATCAAGTTCTGCGGCAAGGTAAATGGTTTTTAATCCCGCCTCAAGAATTTGTTTTATTTAGCTTTAAAATATGGTATATTTTAATATATTACAGGCAGTGGCACTAGGGTTTTTGATATACGGACAAAAGAAATAGGATATTACGGTGGCTCTTGCAATAGGGTACTAAAAGACTACAGATTGGTGGGCCTCAAATACTTTCACCACAACAATAATGTAAGTAAAAAAACATTAACACATTGAGGACGTTTAAAAGCGGTCTAATTCTAAAGTATGGTTTATTAAAATATATTTTAGCAGAAAAAGTAAATTTAAAAAAATATTTTTTTATTTTCAGCTGATCGGATACTGCGAGAAGAAGAACAAGCTGACAAAATTGGCAAAATGGCCTTACAAAGTTCGCAGTGGATATATACTCTATGCTCATGCTGATCTGTTGCCACAATCAACCACACATCGTATAGAAGAAGGCAGTTTGTGTGTCATAGACCACTTCGGTTGGTCTTCAGGTAAAAATTAATTAGTTTTCATTATAAAAACCGTAAAAAAAGGCAATTGAAGGAATAAATAACATCAATGTCAATTTGCAGGTCGTCTAGTTTCACAGAAGTTTCGACCAGTAGAAACTAAAGCAGTCGGGTTCAACTACCTTAAACTTTCGGAGATCAAGGTTGAAGAAGGTGAACTTACTGAAGATAAAGTGAACAAAGCACGACAGCAATTCGAATTAATAGTACATAACTTATCGACAGATATTACAAAAGATGTTTCTGCTTTTCAAATTTAAAAGTCTTTGGATTAAACCAGCAACTTTGACAAAGGAGGTATTACCTTCAAAGAAGTGCTTCTGTTTCATGATTTTGTTAACCACTTACTGTACTATCGCTCGGAAAACAAAAAAAATCTTCGATTTTAATCATTTCGTTGTAAAAATGCATAACCCCTTATTTTCATAGTATTTTAGTTATATCATTTCGTTTGTCAGTAAAGTGTCTAAATTCGCAAAATCTAAAAAATACAGAAAAAATCGGCACAGGTAGCTAGCTACCTGTGCCGATTTTTTGGACCCCCGCCCACAGACCAAAAGTCCCCGCCCGGCCCTGGTTAAGACAATCAAATACTTTGTTTCACTTCTTCGGCCGACGTTCATGCCGTTTCTTGATGCAGTTGTCGTTGGCTGAAATTATTGATCATATTACTATAGAGAACATAAATAAAAAAAAGACGAAAATGAGTTCCTCTCCCCCTAGAATCACCCAAAAAATAATACCCACACCCTCAACTAAAAATCAAAAAGTACGACATAACATAATATTATAAACAAAACCAATATTACAGGTTGCGCCACATGATCTGTTACACGGTTTTTTAATCAAATATTTATTTTAACAACAAATATAATTAAAACAACAACTAACAATAGTAACATATAGTACTAGTTATAACATAGTCAAACGGTTTCGAAGTGTCCCCCTTTGCGGCTTGGCACAAGCGCAAACACTTCAAAAAGTTTTCAACGATGGGCCGCAGCGCCTCCGGTGACAGTTTGTCCTACTCTTCGATCAATGCTTGTTTCAAAGACTCCAAAGTTTGATGTCTTCTACAACACACCCTAGCCTCCAAATCGACCACACACTTTAATCCATAGGATTGAGATAAGGAGAATATGGAGGCCATTCAGCAGATGTAATGAATTCAGGGAAATGGGTTCGACACCACTCTTGCGTTGATTTTGCTTTATGGGCCGATGCAGAGTTTTGCTGAAAGCTCCATCCGGCACCTTTGAAGTGCTTCTGAGCCCAAGACATACCACAGTTTCTAAAATGTCCCTTTGATACACTTCTTTCTTGATCTTCACGCCTTCATCGACAAAAATCCAAGAAATCTTGCCTGAAGCACAGATACCGGCCCAAACCATAATGCCCCGAGGGTGTTGACGACTTGCCACGATGGCTTCAGCTTTAGGAGGCTCTGTTGAGCATTATCTGTAGGCCTCTGTACAATGTAAATATATCCCTTGAATTATATACATTCAAGAAAAAGTCGGAACGAACGAGACGTTTTCCTGTCTCGAGCCCAATTGGGGCAAGAATCGTGGATTGTTGTCTTTGCGAGGACAAGAATCAACAAATTTGAAAATCAAATTTTTTCGGGGACAAACGTACAAGAGGTCGGGCCCCGAAATATTTCGCGGACAAGAAATCAAAAAAAAAAACCAAATTTCCAATTTGGTGGACAGAATTTGCTCACTTTTTTCGAGTGACGATTTCGTGGACAAAAACCGCAAAATTCTGTCCCCCAAATTGGAATTTAAAAAAAAATTTTTTTCGCGGAATTTAGGTACAGATAAGTTTACGATACTTATAATAATATATAAAATGCCGAAATTCAATATTTTCTACAAAAATTTATACGAAACCTAGACAAATATATGGATGGTGAGTACAAATAACAAATAACAAAATTCTAATATTCAACAAACCAAAAATGTTAGTACTTGCGTTATCTCGAAGGTGAAAATCGCGTGCGCTTAACAATTCGGCGACCACGGGAAGATACTGAAGTAGCTTGCGATGTAGCGGGAACGGCGGACAGTGTAGTAGTGCGGCGAACAGTTTGCAACGTTGGTGCTTCATCTAGTAATTGTTCGAGTTCTTGTTCGTCAGCTGGCGGAGGCATGAGGTTTTCCTAAAAATTAGTTATTACTAATTAGATAATGAGGTAAAAAACATAAATTATTAAGAGAAAAAAACTTTTACTTCATTGCCTAGCTGTTGTTCCTCTACTTCTGCGGATTCTGCGTTGTTTGCGGTTGTCAACTTCCTGAACTTCTCAATCGTGACGTTGCATTCGTCGGATGCTTTAACAATAGGGGCGGGTAAAGTAACAACTTTTTCATTAATTTTGCGACAAGTTTCGGAAAAACTTTCAACTGGCATATTGGTAACGGCTTCCAAGTGATCTTGCAGTGACTTGAATGTGTCTTCAGACAAATATTTTATGATATCCTTTTTGAACTTTTGGAGGCGGAGCTGTTGCTTATTCATGACGTATGTTTCACAGCCAACTTCTCCAATTTCCTCGTCTTTCTAAAATTTTACAATTGTATCTTATTATGATGACTTACCTTTAAGATTAAGCGGCTAAATTGGTCGGCGTCTTCAGGATACAATGGTCTTATTTTGTTCAAATTCAAGTAGTCATTGCACCGAATAAATTGCTTGAATTTAGCGCGGATTCCATCTTCAGCTTGGTAGATCTCAAAATAGTGATAGTTATAAACTCCATCAAGTAATGCGGTTTCCGGAGCAATGTACAAATCCCATAAACAATAAGAATCATAAATACTTTTGACTCCTCGAACGTTGCGGACAAATTCAGTCATTTCTGAGGGGGTTTCTAAGCGGTGGCCAATCATCTTTTCCGCTAGACAGCCAAAGAAAGCGTCTACCTAAATAACAATGGTTAAGTTATAATAAAATAGTTGTTATAATAAAAACCAAACAAAAATACAAACTTAAAGTTAAAATGTAGACTTACATTATTATGAGTGTGGCCTGCTTCATGAAACGCGAATATGATCTTGGATATTTTCGGACAGAATTTCAGCAAAAGCCGAGCAAAATGTATTGTTGATTTAGACTTGTTGCTACGAGCGTTGTCTGTGTTGATAACAATAACTGGCGGAAGTACATCGAGTTCTGATAAGACGGACAAAATATTAGAATAAACAGAGCTACTGCAAGCGGAAGCGGGATGAAAGAATCCAATGACATATCCGCGGAATGATTGACTTGTGGCGCTTAGATGCCCTAAAAAATGAAAGTAATTGTAAATCACCAAACAAAACACTTACTATGTCTTGCAACAATGCAGGCGTTTAGTTGAAATGGTACAATTTTGTTACAGTTACTCAATGCCTTCGGTATTCTGTCTCCTAAGAACGGTAGCGATGTTTTGTGTCCAGACATACCGTCATACTTCAAAAGTAAAAGTTCGTGAGGAAAATTGATAGATTGGTTCATAAAAGCGTCTATTACATTGCGGTCATTACTCGTGTTTTGATAATGTGCTTCAAGAAGTTGGCGGCCATTATACGGAGTACCGTCAATAAAACGGATTTCTTTGACATTCTAAAAGCAAAATAAACTTTATAAAAAGTTATACTTACTTTAGTCAGTTCGCAACAAATGTTACACCGCGGTAGTAAAGACGTTTTTTTGAACGAAAGCGGAAAACCATGCTTCTCTACCAAGTCAAGTGCGTAATCTACAACAGCATCTCCCAAAGCATTTCCAGACAGCTTAATGTAGAATCATTGGCGTCTTGTAATGCCTCCATGACAAATGTTCTTCGGGAAAACTGCGGAGGAACCATGTATTTGCCACACATCGGTGATGGTTCAAGTCGAAGTTTAATGAACTTTGTAATGGCTTCGACTCTTCTGGCGGTTATGGTGTGAAGTTTCGCTTTCGACACCGTTCTTAGGTCTACATTTGGTACAGTTTCTCCATTCTTGATTGCTTTCTGGCTTTGGTAAACACTAAAAACATCACTAAACCAACAATATAAACTTACAATGACTTCGGTAGACAATATACATCGCTGTAAAACACTCGGCATACTGTTTCGTTAGCTATCTTCAAAACATGGCGGCTGTTCTCAAACGCTATTTTGTGAGTAATGTACGTTTTGCGGTCTTCTATGTTGAGCGGCATTGTGTTACGTTCATTGATAACATCCAGAATTGTGTAGAACGAAGAACAGTAGCGGTGGCAGCAATAATGTACTGATCGGATGAGAGGGTAAATTTGGTTCGATTGCTTTGCGGTAATCTTCTAACACGGAAGCAATTACTAAAAATAATATTAAAGGAATAAAAACTTGAAAAATAGTGAAAAAATAGTAAAGCAATCCTTACCCTGCTTCTTCCTCGAATTTCCGCTTCTGATATCGCTATATAGCACGGCATTTCCAGCCCAGTTCACCGGTAGCTCCATTCCCATTCGGCGGACACAATCAACAACATCAAATTCAGAATCTTCATCCCCGTGCGGAAGCATTTCTTCTTTTTTTGGCGGAAAAAGGAAAATAAATAAAACAAATTTTTATTGGAAAAGAAACGAACGCGCGCGCTTTTTTTTGTCTCGAAACGATTGGAACTGGCAAAGTGACCTACTGTTTTTTTTTATATGTTTTTACTTCTGACTTTGTTTTAGATTTAAATATTTTATTTTTTTTATGCATAACCGTGTTTTTTAGATAATTTTGGCGGGTAAATTTATGTTTTTTGTTTTTATATTAAACTGATTTTAGAAATGGAGATACCGCCAACTCCCGCTCAAGGGCCCGTGCCAGACATTAACTCAACACCGCCATTAAACTCGCCGCCCATTCCCGCTCATCGAGACGTGAGAACCAACAATGGGACTCCACCAGTACGATCACCGCCCATAAGCCAATCAAGCTCGTCTTCGCGCAGAACTACCACATCAGACTCTGGAGCTGGAGAGTTTGGACGTTCTTAACCGGATTCTCCCGCGACACCTCCCGCATGGAATGTACGACGTGGAAGCCGTTCCCGCCAACATTACGTTAGGAATTTTATAGATGTAAATCCAAATTTGGATTCTATTAAAAGCAACATGTTCAGTGAGTTTAAAAGTTTATTATCTTTTTTATGAATTTTAGTATATGTTTAAAATAGGTATTTCATTCTTAACGTTACAGAATGTATCAAAAATGCCGAACCTAGAAAAATATCAATTTTTGATATTCCCCGCCAAGATATTGAAGACCAACTAGATGAAAAATGTTTGCACTTGCTGGAGCAGTACCAAAGAGAAGGAATAATTGATTTGCAGACAACCCGATCATAAAATTGTCAACGCTGAGTTCGGACCTGCTTTCCGCTCGCTGCATTGTTACGGTTCTCAACAAGGGTGAGAAAGTGTTGTGTGGGTGGCTAAATATGTAAGTTGCACTTCATGTAAGTTGCACTTCATGTTTAAAAATGTAAGTTGCACTTCATGTTTTATAATTTTTTCACATTTTAGGTAATGGATCTCATCAGCATGAAAAGCCTTCTCTTTCCGGATACTACACCAAACACAACGGCCTCGAGAACACTCAGCGGCAAGATCAGAAGCCGCCTTGCTTCCGCATTAACCTGTAAACTGGCTGAGCACCACGTGTACATAGCGTTCCGCACAGATAAAGAACGTCCGCTGTTGTTGAGATTAGCACGAGCTGTTGAGACGAGGAAAATTTGCAATAACGAGAAAAATGCGGACAAAACAACATTCTGGAGAACTTTAATTCCGCTTCTCGAAAATGGACATAAGCAATGCCTGGTCGAACTAGAAAGATACCTGGACATGTCAGAGCGACAAAGCGGAAATGCTGCGGAACTGTTAGAAGTGAGTTATATATATTTTAAACATTTATGTTTAGACTCTTCGCCACAACCGCTCCGAAATGTCAATGTTCTTGTACAAGTACTATCGTGAATTGCCAACGTCTTGCAGCCTTTACAGGAGCGACCGTTTTTTGTTATCAGATTGCTTCAACTTGATGAGATATTGGTATGTTTTAATGGTATTTTTATCACATATTTTATAGTTTTTATGTTTGTATCAAAATTTTTAATGAAACAATTGCATTATTTGCAGTAAAACAACGTTCCGCCTTGACGAATTGATTGCTAAGCATCAAAAGCCGTGTCATCTACGGATGTTAAAAGCCGCAGCTTTGTTTTTGGGTGTTGGAAAAGAAGAGAATCCGCTAATTACCACATTGAATGATCGTTGCACACGTGATTGGGGTAGTGAATTGCTAGTTAATCATTGCTTTTAAACCGTTATTGACACACATTATGTAAGTTAAATGTTTAAATTATTACATTTTGTTTTAAGTTTGCCAATTGCTCAACAACCGTCATGAGAGAATTGATAAAAATGGAAGATTCAATCCGTTCCGTGCTCATATTAGCTCCAAGCAATCTGGAGGACCTCGAAGATGAATTCTGGCTGTCGCTGAAACAGTTCATACAGGGGTGGTTTTACGATACCGCTTGGGATGTCTTGCACTCTGATGTTCAGTTTGGCTCACCGCTCCGCCACAGTCGCCTTTTACATTTCAAAAAAGACGAAAGTTTCATGATCACCGCCCGTGCTGAAAGATCCGTTGTTATGAACCAGATCAGCGCGATGTATCCTACAAATTGCGGAGGTGTCTACTTTGTTGGAAACCGTGATTGTAAGTTTCAACCTTTATTTTTGAACTTTATTCAATTTCAATGTACATATTTTCTACTACAGGTCGTTTCGTTGGCCGCCACACCGTCCCCAAGACAGAAAACAATGTTATTGTTTACCGCTACATCGAGGATTTGCGCGCCGCCCACAAGGAGACCAGCCTGTACACGAAGTCACAATACTTCGACATAGAACGTGTGTTGGATGACGATCTGAATCCCGAAGATCCCGCTTAATTACATTGATGTTTTTTACTTATTCCGCTTTTTGTTGACTAAGATTGTTTCTTGCACTAAGATTCTTACTCTTTTTACTCACTAACTACGTTGTTACTATTTCTCGTTGTTATCATTACTGTTACTATAATGTTACGGTTTATTCCACATTTTTTTCTGTTTGTTTTAGATTATGTTACTGTTCTCATTGTTGTTTTACTTAATGCGGTTTTACTTTTTTATATTACTTTATTTATAGCGACAAATAAACCTGTTACCATCCAAAAGTATTCGGAAGTTGAAGATACGTTATAACATTGTAATATTTACAATAATATTAAGGTTAAAAAGTAATAATATTGTTAGATTTTGGTGGACTAAATTTGAGGTTTTGGTCCACCAAATATTTTTTTTCGTGGACAAAATTTTTATAATTTTATGATCGCAAATTTTCGTAGACGAGATTATAATAAAACTTGTCCACCAATATTTTCGTAGAATTTTTTACGTATTTTCTGTCCCGCAAATGGTTTGGCGGACAGGAATTCCCACTTTTTTTTTAAGGTCACTTTCGGGGACTTTTTAACGGTAAATTGGGCCACCAAAAGGTGTTTATATACCCTAAAGTCTCCGGCAAATTCATAAAAGCCTCCGCGGACCGTACCATTTAGTAATGTCAAAAAAAAACAAAATTTAGAAAAATTAGTACCATACAGTACCAAAAAATTATAAAGTAGCGCCATTTTATCGAATTTACCTATTTCTTTAAAGGGGGGGGCCTGTTTGGGGGGAGGACCTGATCATTTCAAATCTAATAAAACAGTTTTAGTGTATCTTTAGTGGTGTTTCTAGAGCATTTTTCATAATGCAACAAAAGTAAAAAACGGTTGCACGCAGCGAGGTTCGAACCTGCTAGAGCAGCACCGAGGGATAATTCCATTTTGGGAAGCTCTTTCCGAGAGAAAGGCGCAAGCTCCGCCCAATTTCCCGCAAAAAAACACAAAAAATATTTTTTTTGAAAAAAAACCAACTTATACGATCAAATATTAAAATTTTTTTCCCGGACCGGGCGGGTCCGGCAAAACACTGAACGTAATCGTGCCGTGCTGTGAACGTTCTAATGTTACTGAATTTTTGGTGCGCAAAAAATACCTGATAGTAAATTATAATCGTATTTCAAAAACTAACATTAAAACGTTCACGACACGGTACGATAACATTCACCGTACTCTACCTAGCTTGCGACTCTACATTTACACCATACAGTTTAAAAAAGTATACAAAAAATGTCATAGGAACGTTCATGGTACGACGTCAACATTCACAGTACTTAATAAAACCACATGTGAACGTTTTCGGAAACTGCTGATTGACCACTGTAATCGGAAATGCCACAGGAGTACATCAAAGATATTACGACACAGGAACGGTGACTCACACAACGTTCGTCGGTTAATGTGCACCTGCAAGGTAATTATGATCGTATATTACTAGAGTCTAGTGTGAAAAATAATTAAATTTTTGTATTATTAAAGTTTTTTAATTCTGAATAAATATTGAAATTTGGAATACAAATTATGCAGTACCTGAAACATAAAAAAGAAAAATCGATGATTTATACGAGCGCTATAAGTTTAAATAAAAATTTTTTAAAAGAAAAAATGTACATACCACCACTAGCCAAAGTAGCGACCATACCTGCAGTGCTTTCAAAGTCAGTTTCCAAAGAGCACAATCAAAGTATTGAAAGATGGTAAAATAAGGAACTAAAAAATAATTCTACGATCCTACAGTATCATATCTTGCTATTTTATTGCATTACTATACATGGAAAATCATTAAACTCCAAAGTTTAAAGCCATATGGGGCATTTTTAGGACATATTAAGACATACTATGGTAAAATGAGGAAGTAAACAAGAACCATAACACTATTTTATTACATTATTGTACCTTAAAAATGATTGTACCTTAAAAATTCCAAAGCCATATTAACTACTTTGAGTATATACCAAGACTTACTATGGTAAAATACTATAGTAAAATAATTTTAAACTAAAATATTATATACGGACACTTTTATAACCGACCCGCCCGGGTTTGCAATTGTATGTGGTAAAGTTATTTTGGACAAAATGCCGTTTTGGCACTTATATGCCATTTTTTGTTAACATACTGTTAAAATTTAGCAAAAAATCAATAATACACCAAATGTTCTGAAAAAATTTGTGTGCTTACGTCTTTGACCATACCGAACAATATTGTAATTGAAAATTTTCTTCTATCGTTACCGTAACCTACCGTAATTCGACCGGTTCCTTTTTGATTATAAATATGCAAATATCTAAAAAAGTTAACACGGAATTTCACAGGCAATTTTTGTATATTTATAATCTCCATGAAATTTGGATCATCATAGGCTAAACCCCGTTTCTAGTCCGATGGGTTTTAGGGGTTTTTGGTAGATTCAAAAATTACGGTAGCAGACCGTGCAAAATATAAAAATTTTTTAAAAATCCAATAAGGCATCAAACGTTATGAAACTGTGCATAGTTATGTTTTTGCCTCTATTGAACAATATTGTAAATGAAAATGTTTTTCTAATGTTACCGTAATCTACCGTAATCCGTCCGGTCGATTATTCTCAAAATTGGCAGCTATAAAGATGAGCTTGTAGCCTATCAATATTTACGTTTCATGTAGATTCTAAATATTCTAAAATTGAATATGGAGATTCGTGTTAAATTTTTAGATAATTGCACTTTTATAATCGACCGGTCAGATTACGGTAGGTTACGGTACATTCAGAAAGAAAATTATATTACGATGTTGTTCAGCATGGTAAAAAACGTAAATATGCAAATTTGTATACTTATCAGTGCATTAGCAACGCCATAGTAAAATTTTAAATTTTTGCTCGGTCTGCTACCGTAATTTTTAAATCGACCAAAAACCCCTAAAACCCATCGGACTAGAAACGGGGTTTAGCCTATGATGATCCAAATTTCATGGAGATTATAAATATACAAAAATTGCCTGTGAAATTCCGTGTTAACTTTTTTAGATATTTGCATATTTATAATCAAAAAGGAACCGGTCGAATCACGGTAGGTTACGGTAACGATAGAAGAAAATTTTCAATTACAATATTGTTCGGTATGGTCAAAGACGTAAGCATACAAATTTTCAGAACATTTGGTGTACTATTGATTTTTTGGTAAATTTTAACAGTATGTTAACAAAAAATGGCATATAAGTGCCAAAACGGCATTTTGTCCAAAATCACTTCACCACATACCTTAAAACAGCCAATCTCATGGATTTAGCTAATTTTTTAGTTTTAGCGGTAAATAAAATTGCGGAAACCGCCAATTTATTAGCATTATTATTATCATAGCTTTACCCAAACTTGCCCTTGCCCTTTTTAAACTCACCCTAGTCTAGTTTAGCCCCATTCAAGCCTACATCTACTCATTTAACTCCTATCCTAGCTACCGCTGCTCTTTTCTACCCATCGGTACTCTAACCTGCCCTACCCTATTCTACCCTACTTTATACTGATGACAATAAGTTTTTAAACACTCCATATCTCGGTTTGTACATAATTTTCCATAAATTTTTAAAAGGAGGCCGTAATGGACTTACAATTGCTATTAGTAAGAAATTTGTCAAAATCAAAATTGACATTTTGTTACATTTGTAAAAAAATATTTTTGCTATAAAATTCTGCCAAAAAGTTTTGAGACACCCTAATTTTTGTTGCGATGAGGTCAATATATTGATGCAAACTACTTGAAAAATCTATTAAGTTTTGTCAAAAATACTACTTAGCAGTTGTTTTGGTTTTTTTACTTTGTTATAGGATTCTGGAGTTTTACGTCAAGTTGGTAATGTATATCAACACCGCTATTTTAAAATTGGTAATTATTTATAATTATGAATTAAATTTAATATTTAGCTCATAGTATGTATTGTAAAAACTCTTTTTACTTTGTGACAACTTACAGTGACTTCAGAAGTAACCACGTAAATTATCTTACAAGGCAATGTTACAAACTACTCCACTTGTTAGGTACCCCAACGGGCTTTTAAATACCATTAGCTACTCAGTTTAGAAAAAGTAAAATAAAGAGCAATGTTTAATACAACTACTACACTATTATCAATATATAAAACTACTAAAAAAATCTTTTCTAGATGGTATGTTGGCGATTCTATATGTCAAAATTACGCAAAATAATAAACTAATTTTTTCCGTAACGCACACCTAGGGGCGATTTCTTCAAGGGCGATTTCTTTATGGGCGATCCAAAATATTTTTTAAAAAATACCCTTTTGGCCCTACCTGACCTTATCCCTGACCCTTTTGGCCTTACCTTACCCAACTCCTGGCCCTTTTGGCCCTACTTGACTATATCTTTGACCTTATTAGCCCTACCTGACCTTATCCCTGACCCTTTTGGCCTTACCTGACCCAACTCCTGACCCTTTTGGCCCTACCTGATCCTATCCCTGACCCTTACGGCCCTACCTGGCCTCATCCCTGACCCTTTTGGCCCTACCTGACCTTATCCCTGACGCTTTTGGCCTTACCTGACCCTATCCCTGACCCTTTTGGCCCTACCTGACCCAACTCCTGACCCTTTTGGCCCTACCTGACCCTGCCCCTGACCGTTTTGGCCTTACCTGACCCTACCCCTGACCCTTTTGGCCTTACTTGACCATACCTTTGACCTGCTTAGCCCTACTTGACCCCATTCCTGACCTTTTAGACCCTACTTGACCCAACCCCTGACCCTTTTGGCCTTACCTTACCTAACTCCTGACCCTGTTGGCCCTACTTGACCCCACTCCTGATTCTTTTACCCCTACTTGACTATGATTTATATACAGCTTAAATGAGTTAATTTAAACCTCAAAAAGCATTTTACAACTTGTATATCATTATTAAAACAAAAAAACAATCACACATGCCATGCTCGTGTTGTAGCAATTGAAGCTATGTACGATGCAGTGCATTTTGATACAAAATTGTCAACTTACTAATATCAGTTGCAAGTCTTCATTACAAACAGCATATATATATTTGTGAAAATTTGTCAATTACAAATTGTGATATGGAGTGTCTCAAAACATTGTCAGCAGTATATCATACTCTACATACTCCACAACGCCATAACATACCATAACTTACCACACCATGCCATCCTTACCTTACCTTACTTTTCCTTACCCAAAGATAGTATAAGATTGGATAGGGTAAGTTATAATAAGGTAGAGGATGTTAGAGCTTGTAAGATATGGTAGGATATGGCGGGTATGATATGTTAAGGTATGTTATGACATATAGTTAATCTAAAGTTTTTTAATGTTCTATAATACATCTTTATTTATAATAAAATAACAAATGTTTTGCCCAGAGCTCGGGCCAAGCCTCAAAAGGAGGCATGTTACTCAACCCTAAATAACGAAGTGTCACAAACTAAATTGATGAAATAATATGAAAACAAAGAATGGTCGGCCAAGAATTTTTTACATTTTTTTGTGTTTTTTTTTTGTTTCTAATTATTTTTGCGTTAAAAATTGTCAAATGTGTTAATTTTTTTCATATATCCTAGTTGCAAATTACATGTTTTGAAAAGTAAATATTAAAAAGCAAAAAATGGCAAAATGCCGGCCAAAAATGGTGTTGCGGTTATTCTTTTTTGTTTTATTCGACCAATTTTAACTTAATTTTAAAACATTTGATGTAAAGAGTTTTTGCAAATGATATGTTTTGACTTTATATCTTATTATAGGTTAGGTTTGACACTTTTTTAGGTTTTACATTGATTCGTTATTAACTGTTACCTAATTTAACTTTTAAAATTGTATCTTTTAATGAATTTCATTGTAGGCTCAAACCAACAACACTATCGTATCTTACAAACACGTTATACCCTTTACGTTCCATAACGTTCATTAAACCTCCAAACTCAATATCCTCTGGCGTCCCAGCATGGCCAATCAAGAACTCCCCCGGCCGAACGTTGTCCCAGCCCAGGTCCCAAATCCAAATCAAGGAGCACCAAACCCAGAACCTAATAATAAAATCGCTGAAACTGTACTGTCGAAAATCGACATTCTTGAAGAAATCTGTTTGTATCTTTCCATCAAAGACTTAATTTCACTATCAATGGTATCTAAGCGAATAGATTCTACCTTTTTATCTTCAGACGTGGCAATTTGGAAGCCAAAATTGGCTACGTTAGAGAAGAAAGGTAGATTTTAACTGAAATTATTGTGGTTTTATTTTAAGATGGTATTATGTATACTTACCTATTGAATACTTTTCATATTTTTTAAGTACTAACAGTTAGTAAAAACAATAACAGCCCTGCTTAATTTTAAATTTTTAGACATTGATGATGTTGTACAACAACCAACCAGGAGTTTTCGTTTGGAAGTAGAACGTGCTTACCGGCTTCAACGTCATTTTTTTGCTGCCCTGGATCCAAACCCATAAAGGAAAAAGTTTAATACTTTGGTATGTGTTTTATAATACTTTTTTTCAATTTTAGGAGCAGAGCAAACGATGAAAAACAACACTTCAATGGCTAAAGAAATTTTTTTGTTACCTAAATTCACACAAAAAAGTGAATATACTCAAAAAATATATAATTTTTTAGAAAATGTACGCTTGTTAGCCTAATTTAAACACGTTCTTACCTAAATAAAAAGAGCATTTTTTATTGCTTAAAATAAGTTTTATAAAATCTAAATTGCCGCAGCCGTATGTAAACGAAGTGTTCGCTTTTCATTTTTTATTTTGCTTTCTGGCTGTCTTGAATCTAATAGTTCTTCTAATCTCCGCCATTCTGCCTTTATCTCTCTATGTTATTCATAACAAATCATTGTTTTAATACACAGTTGCCTTTCCCTTGTAAATAACTGTTTTTTGGAGTATTTCTTTGGAAATGTGTTTTTACTATTGTTGGATGGATTCTGTCGAGTTTGATTGTTAATAATTTAATACAATAAATAAAGGTATACATTTTGGTATGTCGCTTTTTTTGTTCAATTTATATTGTGTTTGGCAATACTTGTCGAGAATTGTTCAAATCTTATATATGGTTTTATTCTGCATAACTGAATATGTACAACTAACTACGGGGTAAGTCTAGACCGATTAACAATTTAACAAGGGTGTAAATGTGTTTTTACTGTCGAAACAAATGGTATACTTGTTTGACAGTCAATTATGTTCAATATTCGTGTATTTTAGGTCATAAAAATAAATAAGCATCTGAACCTCAATGTTATGTTAAATAACCTGTGATTAACAAATATAATGTCAAATTTAATGTAATTGGTGATAAATACACGTATATTGACATGGAATGACACTTTCAAGGGTCAGAGGTCATTTCGGACCATTTATATTATGTACAATAGTGTCAAAACGCACTGTAACAATTAGGAATGAGGTAAGGAGGCATTTTATTATGCTGCTGCTTGTTCTGCTTTAGTAACATCTATTGGTTCCACCTTCGGTGGCACATCATCTTGCTTTGTCACGGTGGCTTCTAACCTCGGCTTCGAAGGCATGAACGGTAAGCTGTGTACCATTTTGTTCCTCAGGATGAAGCTGTTGATTTGTCTGCCGAAAGCGTAACCATCCATCGGAGTGCCACAATCTTCGTATCGTGCTGTTTGATCTCCATTATCGGCTCCGTTAGTGTTCTCTACTGGAGCTTCGTTGAAGTTTTCGAAGCCACGTTGTTCACGAGTAGCGCCAGGCACGATGTTGTCCAAGATGAATGCGATTAAACCACCAACGAACATTTTGATTTGGAGTAGGATGTTCAACATCTGATCGACTTCATCTATACCAGTATCTACTGGATGAGAATGAGCGTAGTCTGGGATTACCACCCCCATAATGATAGCCATACCGACGATGGTAAGGTTTCTGGAGATGGTCAGGTCGACCGTCTGAAAATAAATTATAGGTATCGTTGTTTAACGTTGTATTAACTCTTAGTTGTCCGTGTCGCATTCATGCTTCACTCAGACTAAACTTACCCTCAAATTCGAAAAAGCCAATCCACAGATCATGCAGACGCCCATTCCAAGAGTACCGCCTACAATTGGGTCGGGAATGGTAGCCAAGACAGCTCCAAATTTAGTGAAGATACCAAGGAACATGAGCATGCCTCCAGCAATCTGCATGGTGTATCTGGAAGCGACGCGAGTCAACGATACGACAGCTACATTCTCGGAATACGTGGTTACTCCAACTCCACATCCCATCAGTCCTCCGAGAAAGCATCCGAGGCCTTCAACAACAATAGCTCTGTTCAATGTTGAGGATGGTGGAGGTTTTTCCTGAGAAACTCGGGCCAAAACACCGTAGGCCCCAAGACTTTCTACTGAGCAAGCTACGCAGGATGCCAACATTCCCAGGAATAGGCCGACGCTGAACTTTGGCAAACCGAATTGGCCTAGAACGCGAATCGATTATAATCTTTTACCTATAAAGTGTTTAAAGCGGTGTTTTTTCAAAATTTAAAGCAAAAAATAGGTAACTGTTCTCAAAAAATAGTAGTGATAGTGCGATGACTCGGAAACCTACCAGGATACGGGATTTGGAATACAGGTGATCCCATCAGAACACTCATGGACTGGTTTTGGTCGACACGAGCTGGACCTTCCGGCTTCTCGATGTTGGTGACAGTCAAGAATAAAGCGAATAGCCAGGTCAAGATGATGGAGATCAGATACTGCAAATACATGATTAGGCAACTGCTCATACGAATTTACAATAGGATGTCTTATCTAGTAATAAGCAACGTAGATTTATATTGTTTTAGATTAGAAAAAAGTGTAAAAACTTACCGGAAATTGTCCGAACAATCGGTACTTGACGAACTGTATACCCTTTAGGTTGAAGTAAGGTAACGGGATCTCGGTTTCGGACAAAAACAAAGCGAAGCTACATAACACAGCGAACTGGCTGAAATAAAACTTTTAGTACTTCAGTCAAAGCTGTACTTTCATTTTGACTATTGTTGATTGTTCTAACGTACAAACATGTTTTACGTTATTTTTGGTTTTTCAGGTAGTTCATATAATTCTGTGCTCCCCTTCAAAGCAAACTTTCGAAGTTAGGGAGCACAGAATTATTTAAACACTTAACAGTATGTTACACTTACATGATGGAGATCCAATGTAATTCCGACTTTTCGAGTACCAATGGAGCATTACCAAGGCATAGCAGTACCATTAGAGGGCAAATTGTTATTGGGCCGGTGCGACGAGCTATGATACCAATAAGACCAGTTGCACCAACAAGAATCAACATTAGAGCCGCCCCAGCTAAACTGCCTTGAATCTAAAAGATTAAGTTATATTACCCATCAGACATTGAGGTTGGTTGATGTTGTCTTCGTTTCTGTTTATATATAAACAGCTATGACACTTGCTACAGTTTGTGAAGAAGAACCTACCGTCTGAATTCGAAACAAGTAATCGGCTTCAGGGACATCGTCATGAATCGTGGCTTTACATTGCATTCCAGGCAGGTCTTTGAAGGCGAACAGCGGTGGAATAAAGGCGAAAGAAGGTCCTTGAAGAATGGCTAGTCGAAGTCCGAGAGTGGTTTGGATCAGGGTTGTGATTCCGGTAACGACAAGAGTGGTTGAGATCAGTTGAACACGTAAAGCGATTGTGGAAAGACCGGCACAGGCCACCTCGGCCACCAGATGGGGAATGACAAGGATTCCGGAGATACACACCATGGTTTGCTGGAAAGATACGACAATATATTTGGACGGTATTTTAAGAAAGGTATGTCTTTACTCTGTATTTTACAAAAATATGGAACAATAAGTGAAAACCACCTCCAACTGTCTTAAAAATTGCACCAAAAGATGCCAAACCTACCTGAAAACCAAGGAACAACGCCTCCTTCCAGTGAGGCATGTCCGTAGCACGGTACTGGAGATCGTTGAACGTCTTTTCCGAGCCACACGAACTCTCGGGCACGGTGATGGAGATGGATTCGGTTCGTCGCTCCTCCTGTTCGTCGACGTAATACGCTCCAGGATCATGATCTTCATCATTGTCCGGCATCTTCTTCTTGGCACCAGCCTCATCCACTTGGTGCGCTTGAGTTGAAGGCATACTCTTCAAGGGTGTTAGCTAAACTGGAACAGGTAATTAGAAATGGCTACGGCAAAACACGCACATGACATGAGCATTGACGTGACTGTGAATACGGTAAAATTGAGGAGGTTAGAAGACTGATTTGAGTGCTCGATTTAGATATACGTTATTGTATTTTACGCGGTAACGCGACACGATTGTATGTAGATGAAAGAGAGTTTAGGAAAAGATGTTACCTTTGTTGCACAGACCTAAATTAGGCATCATACTGTAACCTACAGTACCCAAAAGTCACAATTGTAACCTACAATGCCCGAATGCCACAATACCGTAACCTACCATACCTACTGCGACAAAACAAAAATGTACTGTACTTACCACCTCACGGATCTACGATCATACCTATAATGACTTCAAAACGGAACCCAGTGTTTAAATTTGAAAATATTTTTTGAATGATGCAATTATTTTGTAAATCCGACTGTTTACTCAGTAAACGAACTGACATTACGCCTCCCGAAAACAACACTAGGATCAAAATTTGTTAAAAATGCAATTTGAGGCAGTTTTGACAATACAGTAACTTTTAAGAGGAATTATAGTACTACATGTTGAAGTACGTTCTTGTGACTTGATTTCTTATATAATTATAACTTATCACTGTAATTTTTAAGTGATAAGGTATTCTAACATCCAGTTAATCTTACAGGACCCGCAAACTCTAAATTATGGGCTACAGTAGTTCTGTGCAACTAAAACTTGTATATTGTAGTTTGTTCAAATAATTCTGTACCTCTTAACCTCGAAAGTTTTTTTGAGATGGGCACAGAAATATTTGAACAATCTAAAAGTAGAGATTACTGTGGAATTAGATTTTCTAAAATTGTATTTTAGAAAGTGAAAACATGGTTAACAAGAATAGACCAGTCGATATTTAGACTTCAAAAAACATAAACTTCTACCGTAAGACCACGCAATTACTGTACTTTTAATAAATTTATGGTTAAAGACTGTATCATTTATACATAACCATCTGACTGTTCATATATGTTCAGAGTTAATGTATAGACTAAATTTAAACCCTCAGAAACGATAATTTCAGTACCGTGATATTACTGTAAAACAAAAGTTAGTACCTTAACATTACATACTGTAAAGTAAAATTTAGTACTGTAGTATTACTTTAAAGCAAAATTTTGAAAAGTACAGTAATCTTTCACTGTAGCAGAAAGCATTGTTACTGACAGTAAGAATACTGGAATTACAGTAAGACTACTGTAATTTACAAAACTTTGGAATACAGTAATTTCACGATTAAAAACATAATGACCAAAGTGGTCGATAAAGTTGATTGGAATTGGCGTTCCATCTCTGAAATCTTGTATACTAGCCTAGTCTGTACCTATATTTCTTTAAATCTTAAAGTCTATGATTCTTTTTATAGTAAAAATCTATTTTTAACTTACAGTAACTGCAGTATAAAATGTTTAAACTACAGTACAACACATTTTCATACAGTATAACGTCATCGCAACCCCAAACCCAGTTTAAAGCTTTGTTAAGCCATTAATTATTCCCTTAATTTGCCATCCAAAACAGGCTTGCATACTAATTCCGTGACCGAACTTGTTTTTGCCTCGGATGTTATGCAGAACGTTGTAAATAACGTTACACCGCACGTATATTTATATATCTCCTGGCAACAGATACGGTCTTTGAACCCTGTTAAGCTTAATTCGCAGTAAATAATTCAAAGATCGCCCATTCATAATATAAACAAATAAAGCATTGTATACCTATTTGTATATTAAAGTAGTGTGCTATAGTACAATAACACACTACTTTAGCTCTCTAGAGGCAATTAGTAGGGATTCAGATCAAAATATTGGTAGGCTAAAAATAGTATTGCAAGGTGTTTATTACCAAGTCTTTGATGAATATAGCATTAAAAAGACATAAAGTGTCATTATGCTAGTGTAAGACAATAAAAAAGTTATGAACTATCATTATATTAAGGTATAACAGTAAAATAACATTTCTTTTTGAAGTAAAACCAAGTAGGAATAGAAACTACAAGTAAAGTATTAGGTATGTCCAAATATGAATGAGCCTTTCAAAACGGCCAAGTTTCAAAATTTGTCAAAATATAAGGTTACTTCAAGGTTCAAAAGCTCCGTATATGTTTCAGCTGATATACATGTTTTAACTATACAAACTTTACTGTCTGCAGTACAAGTAATACATCAGAAACGTCTTGTAACGGTTACTGTGATATCAGGTCATAAAGTGCACGTGTACTAATGTGATCGCGACGACCTACACCAACTTTCTTTTGCTTTTTTAAATTACTACAGGTTTTTTACTGTAGTAATTTAAAAAATTAATTTTTAATGTTAATTTGTGAACCTAAAGCGCAATAGATACAACAATGTTATGCTGCATTTATAGCTCGAAAAGTGTTATACTGTAGTGTACTGTAACTTTCTATATTTTAAAATTGAAACTTGCACTAAATTTGGTCAGTATTATATACCTAGACCATTAGAATGATATATTATATTACCTAATAGTTACTGTAAATTCAGTCTTCTACGTTACTTTAACTATTAAAAATAAAATTTCGTGACATAGAGGTACTAGCCCAACATCACAATATCCTTAACAGTACACTTTTAACAGGTTTTAATTTAAATTGAATTTGAATTTGATTTTTTTCCAAATTTAAAGTGAATTTAAATTTTTTTTAAATTAACTTCCAGCTTCAAAAATAATTTTAAAATCTGTTAAAAAAGTACTGTATCTTCGTCCAACTTAAAGTGACAGATAAAGTGACCGTTAGAAAAGGTATCGTTCCACTCACCCAAATCCATCGTTCTTGACTGTAGCGTGATCACGGCGGTTGTCTGGCACGGTGCGGGCTTTCACGTTGGCGACGCATCCTGTAATAAGCAAGAACTGGTTGTTAAAGAGCAATGGCGCAACTGATAATGCCGAAAACAATTAAATAAACATTCTTTATCATAGGCGGAAAGTGATAAAAAGTGAATGGAAAAGTTGTAAAGTAGGAGAAAATTGAAGCATTATTGAAGGGGGTACTCCACAAAAACGAGAGGGGGGGGAGTGATAAAATTATTGACAACCCATGCCTTCAATTTTGAAAAAGTAAAAAGTCACCACAACCATAAGTTCATACAAAATAATCACTTTTCCAGACCCATAATAAGTAATTGACCGAGCAAACAAATAACTTTCAAAGATCTATTTCAAAACACTGATAACACTTTAAACTGACAAAGCATTCCAAAATAAACATTGTCAGCATAACAAGTATTTTAACCCAAATTAAAATATTGCGACTGATAAGAATAATGGGTCAGGGATTTTGTACTATAATATTATGGTAAAGTGGCTATGGCAAAGCAATTTAAAATTAAAAAAAAATTTTTTGTGTTTTACAGTATATTTGTGAGACTTTTGTAAGAGTGGAGGGATCCATCTTATATAAAAAAATTTTGAAATTAAAAAATTTTACCGTAACCCGCTATTTCCCATTTTATTTTTAAAAAACACCCCTTCCCCTTCCTACCCCTTAAAAAGCGAACCGCCATGCATTAATCATCCTCCCCCCACCTTTAAAAATCATATTTTACAGCCAAAATAATTTTTGTTGAAAGTTCCAATAAATGCACCAAAAACAACATTCTCCTACCATATTATCACAACCTCAATTAATGGTGTTCGTCGAACCCATTTATAGATAGCTATTGTTTTTTAAACTACCTCTAATGGCAGTGTAATCATTGGTTCACATGACTCTGCTCCCTAATCTCTCCCAATTCATACCCAAAATAAACTGTCATTTACAGTTATTTTCGGCCATTTTAAGTGGCATGCGACATACCCCTTAATTGGCATACTATAAACCCCTAAATTCCAAAAATTCTCCCCCCCCCCTCTTTCTTTGTCTCCACACGTCTCAAGAGGGTTCTTCTTCACCTCCACCCCCAGCCTCAGTCTTTGCAAGTTTAGGTATATATCTTTATAAAATAATGTAAAGTTTAGAGCATGTGTTTGTGTACACACGGCCTTGTTTACATTTACATAATACCATGTCATTTTTAAATATTTCGAGAAAAAATGCCTTAAGCGGTTTAGAAGCAAATAGTGAATAACAATATTGGCAGTAAAAAGCTTTGCAGAATAACATATGACGGTCTTTGAAGTGTCGTATGTAATAGTTATTTATGGTTTTTTATAAAGTTACAGTATTTTTGACCTTTTGTCGTTTATGACGTTTTTAAAAAAATTACTTACTATAATAGATAAAATACTATTCATAATTTAAACTTTTTAAAAAGTTTAAATTTTTCAGAATTTTACTTATTTTAAATTCTGTACTTTGAAAACCTTCAGTAACTTTCACTTCTATATTAAAAACTTATATTAAACTAACTTCAAACTTCGCAAACAATAACAAGAGTTGGAGTAACATTAAACTGTCATACTTTAAAACACCCCTATCTGCTCCTTAACCTCAGTTTGGTCTAAAAGTGCCACAATAAAGCAAAATAGTTAAAAACAAAGTAAAAACAACTACCTTACCTGCAAACGTAAGTTCATAACAGCACACGGCATGTTATCACCATCCCTCGAGTGTTTATCACAACCTTATCAGCAATGTCAAGCTCTAACTGACCGTTTCTATTGAGAGAAGCTACACAATATCTTCACACAAAATTGGAGCCGGCTCCACAAAAAAGGGGCGGAGCCTGCTTCTAAATTATGCAAAAAAATCCGGCTGTCACTAAGAGGACCCACATCTGATCTTTGCTCACATAAAATAATATGGTGGTATCTGTTCGGCCCATCTGCTCTCTCTGCTCTGCCCACTATCTCCATCGTATTAACTCTGGCACTTTTTGCTGTTTTCTGTTTTTGGCCTTCCTTTTGGCCATTTCTCTAAATCCTTTTTGGAAAAAAGTTGGGCAAGCTTCTGGAGTTCAAAGTCTGTTCTGGTTACTGTTTGGAAACTTAATAATAAAGACATTATAATGTGCATTATGATATAGACTTTGTAAGATATTGACCTTGTAAGGAAGTACAAGGTTTGTTATCCTTTACAATGTAGAATAGACAGCATGACGAGAAGAAAGGTAACAACAACATATTGTAATTGAATAAGATACAAGTAAAAGTTATGTTAGACGTAATAAAGTTAATGTAGAAGTCAAAAAGCTTAATAAAGTTACAGTATAAATGAATAAAAGGATACAGACATGTAACATAATATGACACAAACACTTCTGAACTAAACATCTAAACTTCTAAGGCGTAACATTGTGTTACATTACAGTGTTTTCTAAGTATTATGTTACAGAACATTAGTATCACTTACAAAATGTCATGTTAGATTTTAATAAACAGACGTTCTTTCTTACTGTAAGTACAGTATTATATAAGGTATAAATATCAAGGGACAATATATATATAACTTATACATAGGTAACCATATATATAAATATTAGGTTGTTCAAATAATTCTGAGCTCCTAATCCCGAAATATTTTAACAACCTGATACGTAGCTAAAATGAAATTTCTGTACAGTAAAAGTTATATATAGATATACATATAGTATTAAACATAACAAGCTATTACACTGCCTTTAAAACCATATTAAACTCCCAATCACCTATTACTATTTTATAAGCAGCTATATGACACCTATTTTTAAATTCAATTATATGGTACCTATTGCTTTGTCAATGACCATATAAAATGACCGTAATACCTTGACAAAGTAAAATCAATGCCTACAAATGAACTATAAAGTCAAAAGTGTCACCTTAAGTAAACAGAGTTTAATTTTTAAAAGTCACAAGGCTTTTGTCACAAAATTTGCTTTAAAAATAGTGACAAAAGATATTGTACTTGAATAATTGTTTATATACGACAGCAAGACATTGTTAATGCATTACTATAACACGTTGAGCAAACTGTGACAAATAAAAATAGTAAATAAACAAAGTTTACCATAACAGCCAGTTTTAATCTTATTATACTTTCGTTATCACTGTCAGAAACATGTCTTTAAAATTGTTTATTATAAATTTTTTAAATTTTAAAATTTTAAAAATTTCAAAATTACTTTTAACTGTCAAAAAGCTTAAAAAAACTAATTTCAACTCCATTTCAATTGTTTTAAACTCTCAGTAAGGCTTGTTGATATAGTGCTCTTTAAAGACCATGGCTCTCCCACATATTTTACGTTATCTGTCACGAGTTACTGATAAAAATAGAAAGGAATGTTGATTTACATGATCACTTATCAGTTACTACTATCAACAATGCTTACACGATTAAAAATTGCTTACTAAAGCTGTTCTGTTACAAAGTATAATATCATAGTTTACTAGGACTTTTAGCGAACATTTCACCAGCCATATATAATATGCCAACAGTATTTTTTGAAAGATAAATTTAACTGAGCTAACAAGCAAAGTGCCCTACCTGCCTCGCTCAAAATCATACTATAGTACCCATAAATAATTTTAGCTTGCGCTTTTGAGTTTTAAATTTAAAATATTTGAGTTTCCCGCTAATTTGACAAATTTGGCATTGTGTTTCAAGCCCTTTTTTCGACTTTCCACACAAGAGCCGCTTATGAATTTAAAATTTTAGGTCTATATAAAGGTTTTATACTAGTATATCAAAAAAAAATGATTAAAAGTCAAAAAATGGCAAAGTTATAAGCTTGTTACTTCTATCTACCTTAACATGCAAAAAACGTTCCCTATTAAACTACAAAAGTATGTAACATATTATACTAATAAATAAACTATATATTACTGATAGGACAAGACCTAAATATATATATATATATTTTTACTGATAAAAAACATAATAAATAATAAAACTTTTAAAAAATGTCAACGAAATCTGATAAAACATTATAATACAATTATAGTTTTAATTGGCTTTTGATAACAACATTATTTTTGGCGACAACATGAAAACTATAAACTGATAAGAAACGACAAAAAGGGTAGTATATTATTATAAAGTGTAATATTAGGTTGTTTAAATAATTCTGTGCCCTTTTGCCTCAAAAATATGCTTAAAGAAGAAGCACATGATTATGTGAACAACTTAATGATTAAACTTTTCAGAAAGTTCGAGCTACTTAATATTATAATATAATATGTCATGGTCAGATAAAAATGAAAAATTAAAAAAAAGAATTAACCTTAGCTCCATGTACCCTTACTACAACAAAAAACTCAACATACACATGTCAATCCACCCTTTTATAGTTGAAACATGATGGATAATGTTGTGTTATTCGCCTCCCTTTCAGTTAGTCCAAAACAATTTAAATCTGTTTCAAAGTGATCACAAGGTTTGAATGCGTGTTTACATGGTAAACCACAGAGTTGTGGGGTAAAACATACCTTTTTGATCCTAGTTATGGAATAGAACACAGCGTTGTGATGTAAAACACCAAAATTATGAGGTACAACATCAGATTTGCATTAATTTCAAGGTGGAATGTCATTGCCAACAGCAGAGATGGTGGTTGAACATCAACACAAATATAAACATAGTAATAAAGTTTTTGTTTTAAACTTTTCAAATCAGTTTTAAAAATATTAGGCTGTTCAAATAATTCTGGGCCTCTCTCAAACAGTAAATTTTTGAAGTTAGGAAGTACAGAATTATTTGAACAACCCAATAATAAAGCTTTTTGTTTAATTTTTTTTAAATCTGATATGTTTTCTTCAAATTTTACGACAACTTTTATATTATAGTATTATGTTTATTGCTGTTTTTACACTGGAATGTAAACAAATATTGCAAAATCATAAAGAAACGATATACGATCCTACTGAGATGGTAAAGACAAAATATGAAAGCAAAATTTAAATACCAATTTAAAAAAATTACAAAAAAAATTTAAAAAAAAGATATAGAAAATCTTCAAAATTTAAAAACTATGGTTAAAATCTATAGTGCACGATAGTTAGGGGAATGCACATGGTACTACAATGTAAAGTAATTCGATCAATATGGCCTGGTTGTAGCTCAAGTAAGTTAAGGCACAATAACTTAATATAAGACTGATAAAAAAGAAAGTTAAGGCAAGGTATTATGATATATTTTTTACAAATATTTTACGGAAAAAAATTACCAAAACACATCTTGTAAGCCACGAAAACCAAACTGAATTTTAGAAAACAAACTTGTTAGGATTACAAAATCGAAAAACAATTTTAAAATAACAAAAAGATTTACAAGTTAAGTACAATTACAATATGATGTAATCTACCATAAGCTACGAGGGTATATGTTACTAAAACTACATATTTATAAAGCTTGAGGCAAAGGTTTTTCATCATCAAAAGTTAACTTACAGTATCTTTTCTTTAAAATTTAAAAAAACACTGTAACATTGACATGATGACATCCAATTCAGATTTGACATGAGTCATTTGGTTGTTCACATAACTCTGTGCCCTAACCTCTTAAAGTTGTTTTGGAAAAAAGCAGAGAATTATTTAGACAACCTAATAATAAAAATAGACAAAATATTCATCTACAAGAAGATACCAAATTAGCCACACGTCACCTCACATATTACTGTCCTTGTGTCTAACCACACAGCCATCTTTGTTCATGTCCAATGTGTTAACATCGCTGTGGTGAATGTAAAAGCCATTGAGTAACGGTGTAGACTTGTAACTTTGCCTCAGAATAGTACAATCTAGATTAGACACAGGCTTTAGTTCACATTTTGGTAGACTAGGACAGCCGAAACTGTGCTTTTCCAACAGAGAAGCGAAGCGATGATAACATTTGACTAGCGAGTCGTAGTAGTGGAACTTGGAGGGGAGTCTTTCAAAGGTCTGAAATAGGTATGTTATAGGGATTATAAGTACTTTATGGGCATTATAAGTATGTTATAGGTGTTATAAGAATGTTATAGATATTATAAGTTTGTTACAAGTATTACAAATATGTTATAAAGACCTACCTTGGTCAAGTTGTTTCGTATCATAAAAGCCACAAATTGACCATCAACTTTCTTTCCATCAGCCAAGAAGGTTTGGTTAGTGAGCGTCAAGTTCTGAAATAACATAAAGTCATATTAAAAAGAATGTACATTACTGTACAAAGCACGTTTTTACAAAGAACCTACAGTTTCATCAAACTTCCACTGTCTGAAGTGATAAACTCTTGAGAATTGTCCACCCAACTCAGTGACGTCGTAGTTAGCTCGTGTTCGAGAAGGCGCGTGTAGCCAAATACCGTCGATCTGAGCTGGTCTTCCTACGAACTTTCCAGTCAGGATATTCGAGTCGTCTACTTCGATATTATCTATTGTCCTTATTAGGTCGAAGTCACGAGGAGAGTGGGCTAAAATTATCCAAAAGGTTAAGGCAAGTTAAAACTACTGCTTAGACCTATAATATACTAAGAAGTTCCTCTTACCAGTATGAATAGTGACTTGAGGACGCTGAAAGATAAAAGCGGCCGAGTTCGGGTAGAGTCCCGTAAGCCATCTCATCTCCTTGTAGTAGTCTCTATGTGTTTCTGGTATCAATACGTCGTCCCAATCAGCAATCATCATGAACTCAGCACTTTCTTTGAACTCGTACAGACAAGAATTGTACGAAAAGTCCTGATTATACCATTCGTTCTCCGAGTTTGGATCGTATTTTAGGTCCGGCTGAAAGTTTTTAATTTTAAAATATTAAGCAGAACTTTGTGAAGTTAAAACAAATTTATAATTGATCAAAAGAAAGCGTAAATCGATAATATATATTATGTTAGACATGCCCAACTTCATTAAACATTAAAAACGAGTATTTTTGAAATTTTTAGGCTTAGATATAAATAAAAATTGTATTACCGGTTGAAAAAGCCTAGAAGCTTTTCGTATCTTCACGAATCCTTCCTTATCATAAGCCATCAACATTCTGTAGATGTCAGACAACACAGACTCGATGTAGGTAACCATCAGATCAGCCCCATAGAATCTGTAGAGTTCAATAGATGCAATAAACAACTGCCAGTTCTCGAACAAAAACATGCGAGACATACACACAATGAAGTTACGTTTCTGCTGATCGACCGGTCGGAAGGGGAGCTGAAACATAGTTTGTTTAAAGAAGATTTGCTTGATGGAAATAACATAATATGCTATTAAGTTGTTCAAATAATTCTGAACCCTCTTTTCAAAAAAATTTTTTGGAATTATAGAGCACAGAATTATCTGAACAACCTAATAGTACCAATTTACAATAAGAACCACTAAGCTGACTGCAAATACCCACCTCCTCCTTGACTCCATCAGTGCTCTCCAAAGCAAAATAAGATGGATTTCGTGTGACAGGACATAATGCCACCATGGTAGTCCATCGACATTGTAATGGTGCAACTAGGGCCATGTCAGTGTGAGCCAGTACCTTTTTCGTTTGGCCAAATTCATTCCGCGACAAACAGAAGATCGGAAAGTCGAGGGCATTCTTTCTGGCTGAGTAGATTACTGCGATCGTATTTGGGGGTAGACTGCAAAAAAAAATTTTTTTTTATTTTTAGATGATATTTAGTTGTTCAATTAATTATGTGCCCCCTCACAAAGCAAACTTTCAAGATTAAGGAGCACAGAATTTATTGAACAACCAAATATTTTTGTAAATTTTTTAAAATTTTGAACAAAATTCAAAAAATCCTAATAAAAAAGTCTTGTCGCCGATTTCTATAGCGTTTTAAGTCTTAAAACGAAAAAACTTTTCTGACCCTTTCATTATCATAACTTTTGAAATCGTTGCTTATATAATATAATATCACCCTATTACCTGAAATATTAACCATAATACTCACCTTTTAGAATGATTGTAATAAAATGAATCCACCACAAACATGTGAGTCTTCTCGGCCACTCCAGCGGCCCACCTCATCTTCTGGAACATCAACGTATTCTGAACGGCAACCACAGCGAAACAGCCACATACCAAGAGTAATATGTGAGTAAGTTTAGAGTCTTGTTTTAACTTTGTCTTCAAGTTAAATCTCTGGCGAGCTTTGATTATACTCGACGGTAGCTGGTTGAGGGCTGAGTTTGCCATTTTTATGATTATATTGAGCTGGAAATCGTAAAATGTAGAAATATAGGTAAAATACGATGTTCTTTGCTCTAAATATAAAACTTTACGTAAAAATAAAAGTAGCAATTATAAAACCAAGGAGACTTGATTTGCATGAGTTAATCATGATAATATAGATTAAAAATTAATTTAAAATACCAAAAAAGGAAAAAAATAAATCAAAAAAAGCAAATAATAATAAAACACCTTAAAAATACTTAAACAATTCCTCAACAACTTTCCCCAAATTATTCAGTAACAAGTCCCAAAAACCACAAAACCCTAGAGTACCCAAGTATAACATCCTATTATATAAATCAACCAAATGTTAAAATATTTTTTTTAATTTTTAAAATAACAAGAACAAGATAAAAAGAATATGGAAAATGTGTGAAAAAGAAACATGAGATCTGATTTCTTATCTAAAACTAACAAATCACCTTTTGAAGTTCCTTAAGTGCCCTTTACTCTAATCTCTCTAATCTCAAGCGACAAAACACAAATTATTTCATGAGTAACAAGTTTCATGCCGCCTTTAATTTGACAAATGACAAAAGATTTATTGGCCTAAAGTATTGTAGGATACTGTTTTTATAGATCGTATGATAAAAAGCATTTTTTAGACCAAAAATATTGTAAAACTATGTTTTATAGACGTCTTATTTTAGATGATTTGGCTATAAATTCAGTTTTTATAGAAGAAATTGGAAGAAAAGTTATCTAGAAGGTATGAAAAGGGTTGAGCTAGCCATGAAGAAGTCTAGGCCAAATTTTGTAGCCCCGCCCGCAGGTTAATTGATTTTGTGGGTTTGTCCTTACTGTAACATGATAATATCCCTTGTCTTTACAATAATATAAACTTTATTACAGTAATACCCTATACAAAACATGTTCTTTGAACTAACTCAACTACATTATAATATAATCCTTTGACAGACACAACCAATGACATCGTGACAAAGCCAACACCCAACGTGCCACTTCCTGCTTGATCTTCATCATAAGGAAGTTCCAGTGCAAAAGAGACTCAAAACTTTTTGAAAAACTACTTAAAACAACAAAAGCAATATTCGAAAAGCTGCGAAACTGGATTTGGAACTTGTAATACAATAACAAGACGGCAACGAGCTGGCATCAGATAAGTCGGAGAACAGTTCTAACGAACCGTGCGGTATTTGGAAACAAAGTTTTCGTTGGGATACGCACGTTTTATTCAGATTTTGAAATAGTTAACTTAAAAAATATTTTTAAAATTTTGAGTTATAGCTTCCGCTTTCCAAAATATCTTGTTTTAGATTATTCCTTTGTCTCTCACGTGGTCAAAAAGTTCAAAGAACGAAATTTTCAGAAGATTTACAAAATATTCGAAAAAACAGGTAAATTTACATTATTTTATCTATAAAAAACTGAACTTCATTAAAAATTATCAAAAAAATCAAAGAAAACCAAGTATAACATTAGTAAACCTAAAAAATGGCCAGATCCACCAAGACTACCGTCAAACTTCAGAAGTCATCCATAAATTCACATAAACCTAAAACAATATCAAGCCCGATATTAATATGTTCTTTAGTAATTACTTGAAAATTGCCTCCGAAATTTGAAAAAATTTGTCGAATCTTTGAATATTACGCAATCGCGCCTCCGGCGAGACAAGTTCCGGATTTTAAAAAGCGAAAAAAAACCGGAACCGGAGTTTGACTTTGAATATTGTTTTATTAATAATTACCCTACCAACGTTTAGCTAGCATTACACAAGCTTTTTCGACATTTGAAAGTTGTTTTTAAGACTTATCGTCCAAATTTACTGCACAGTAAAAATAATGTTTTTTGTAAATTTTTACTACTTACATATGTCCTTAAACAATTTGAAATGTTAAAGTAAAAACGCTTTAAAATCATAAAGATCGTTTTAGTCATACGCTTCAAAAATTCAACAAAACCGTGTTTATTTTAATAATTAACCGGAATAAATTCAAAAACTGGGACAAAAGTCAACATTTGATTGGAAAAAAACATAGCTTTGGAATAACAAGAGTTTAAACATTACTATAAGTAACATTAACAACTGTAAAGTTCTAATAATCCTCGCCTCGACTGACAACTTCCTTGCAGGTCGGTCTCAATATCAACGTGTGTTCCCATTGGGCGGTGTAGCATCCTTTCACATCGCAAAGCGGTGGATAAGCGTTGACAATGTCCTTGTCACACAGGTCCTTCAAAGCCATCAAGTATTTGGACTCGCCAAGTCTGTCCAACCAACGGCGACAGAAAGCGAGAGTGCCAAAGTTCTTGTTGATCGTGTTCAACAAGGCTTTCGACCGTGCCAGACTAAAAGTAATGTACAATCAGTAGGTAAAACAAAAGATTTTATATTGCAAAACTGATTTTTCAACAAAGCTTTTAAAAATATGATTTTTAAAATCATCAAGATTATTTCCTTTTTCAATGATATTTCTTGAAAAGTGCCATTCTTTTCTCTTCAAACGACAACTTACCGAATAGGAATATGCGTATCGGCCAAATCGTAGTTCTTCATGTAGTGAGAGCACTCCATGTCATCATGAACATACCCTTTACCAGTCGACCCGAATGTCTCAATGGCAAATACTTCATTCTCTTCCATTTTGGTTTGATCTCCTCCCTTGACAATCGGCACGGTCTTTCCAGCGTGAATACGGTATTGTCCAATCGAATGGCCATTCAGGTTTCTGATCGGCTTCACAACATAAGTCTTGCCATCAATTTCGATCTCATGCGAAGTCATTACCTCCTCCACCGTTTCTCCAATGTCACAAAGTCTGACGTCAATACCGGCTTCCTTGATACCTGCATTCGTGGCTTCTCTGACAGCTTCCATCAATGGGTCAAACTTGTGATCAAAGGTCAGAGTGAAGGCACAGTCGATGATACGACCATTCACATGAGTACCGTAGTCAATCTTGACAATATCACTCTCCTTCAGTACAGTTTCGTCCCCAGCGTTCGGAGTGTAATGAGCAGCACAGTGATTGATGGAGCAGCCAGTTGGGAAGGCTAGGCCAGCGTCTAGTCCAGCTTCACTGATCATGTGACGAGAATGGGCTTCGAGACGTTCGCTGAAACAAAAAGTTAGTCCTGACATTACTTTTAACAACAAATGCTGCACAAACAGTAAATAAAATAAAAATCCTCACCAAATATCGATCATCTTCATGCCCGGTTTCACCCAGCTCTTGACCCATTTCCTGGTTTGACGATGAGATTCGGCCGCTCTTCTGAAGTCCTTGTACATGTGATCAAAGGAAGAGTCCAATCCCTTCTTCTCTTGTGATGTCATTCGATTCAACGTGGTCGTATCATCCTTTCCTGGCAGGTATTCATGACATTCACCTAGAGGGAAGTCTCCATTGGGGAATTGCTTATCAATCGGCTTGAACTGTTTGATTTCCTCAAAGTATTTCGCGTTTTCATCCACCTTCTCTTCTTCAACCTGTCCAACATCAGCATTCTGGGCCTTTCCCTTCGCTCCTCCTTTGCCTTTCTTCGCCGTTTGTTTGGCGTTGGCTTTCTCGGTAGTCAGGTTGACTTCTTTCAACAGATCGTCCAGGTTGTCCAAATCATCAACTAAAATAATAGGTCAAAAGTATGCACAAACGTATTTTACAACTAAACCAAAAATAATAACATAAATTCAAAAAGATGCCTCACCTTGCTTGTTCTGCTTCTTTCCTCCCTTTTTGCTCATTTTGGCAATCTTTCTCTAACCCTAAATTAACAAAATGATATTCAACCATTAAGAAATCAAAAGTATTTCACCGTAGAAACAGTAATAATCATCAGAGACTATCTTTCAGTGTACATTTATTCACCAAATACAACTTTGAGCAACGGTAAATTAAATTTACATTTCCATCGCACCGTAATTTACACAATAAACCCGAAAAACACTGTCGTACCCGATATAAATAGTTCAAATGAACAAAAAAGTGAGGTAGCTGGTGATCGCTAGCAATACATTTTAAAATAAAAAGCGTGAGTGAATTTTCTTAAATAAACCGTATATTGCTCAGATTAAGACAATATTAATAACATCGATATAAAGACTAAAGTGAAATAAAAAGAGCAATTTCTGTCATTAGAACAAATTCTCATTGACAGTTTTCATGAAAATGTCATAAACTTGACATTCCAGAAAGTCGTGAAGATCTTCCTCAAACTCAACCTCTTCTTCTGTCTTTTCTTTCTCAGGCTTCCAGACTTCATTTGTCTTCTTACTCTCTTCGTCAGATTCTGATACCTCTTCTTCAACAAAATCTCCAGAAGGTTTTGGAATGGGTTCTTCTTTCTTCTGAGCTTTTCTTAGGTCACCGAACAGATTGAGCTTCTACAAAGATAAGTTCACTTAAGTTTCAAGCCAAAATGCAAAAATATTAGTATTATTATCATAGAAAAAAAGCTTAAAATCACCTTCCAATTAAAATTAGCTGGTTTAATCACTTTAAAAGCTGTTTTTCACCAAACCTTATATAAATAAGCCAAATTCCTACCTTAACTTCATCAGAAACCTTAATTTTCATTCTCTGGGAGAAATCGCCAGTAACAACACTATCATTAAGATCCTTCAGTGCTTCTGCTGTGGCTACGAAGTCTTCCCCCTTTCTTCTCAACAATCTGCCAGCCGGCTGAGGTGCGGTTGGGTGTTCCTTGTAAAATGTGCTGATTCTTTCTGTCAACTTCTTACACTTGGCGCTGAAGTCATCGTACAAGATCCACTTAAGTTGAGATTCTGATATTTGGTTGCTCTCATCAATGATGCCACTGGCATTCACTGAAGCTACCCGTTTTTCGACCACTTTCACTTTTCCTCCGTTTATGTAGACTTCTGTCACCTGCAAACAGTTTTATATTAGTTTTGTGTAAAATATAGTGACAGTAAAACTATAAATATGCCGCCATAAATGCGCATAAGAGTATTAAAATAGTTTCAATGCCGTAAAAATCATTATTTGTGATTAATATTGTCTACATTTTGCCTTAGTTAATATAAACAGTACCTTTTTGTGTTTGTTCCTCTCATCCAGCACATTCTTCCGTTCCTCCTTCTCCTTTCTTCTCTGTTCCTCTCGTTTCTTCTTCATTTCTGCCTTCTTTTCATCTTCTGTCGACTTAGCTTTAGCGGCACTCAGATCAAACTCGCGAATGTCTACCATGGTTCCCATCGTTGTATCATCAGTAATGTCATTTAAACTGTTATGTGAAATACTAACAGAACCAGTGTTGTCTGAGTTTAGTAGAACTTTGTTGTCGTCTGACTTCTCAGACAACTCTTCGGTTGCTTCTTCAATCTTTGGCATGGCTTCCACCTTTGAGATCTCTGATTTCTTTGACGGTTGTGATTTGACTTGATCGCTTCCAACAATAGGTTGTTTGACTTCGTTTGTTCTTCCATTAACAGCCTTTGCTCCTTTCTTTTCTTCAACGTCTTTTTGACCTTCTTCTACCGGTTGACTCTGATTTTTCTGTAAATACATTTATTAACCATTAAAATTTTTAAACCTTTAAAAAATTTCAAAAATTCTCTAAAACCTACATTGCCAGTAATTTTTAGATCTTCTGCAAAAGTTATGGCCAAGTCATCAACTTTATCGATGGCCCATCTTTTCTTTGAAGCGATTTCTCCGGGAATATTATTGAACCTCTTCAAAGCATAATTGTACCATTCTGGCTTACTCAGCTCGCCTCTGATGTTGATCAGATCACGCTTCAAATAGAAGATCCTCCTTGAACGACTTCTTTCTGGGACGCTTTCGTTTAACTGCTCTTCCTCTTCTGGTACTGGCGGCAATTTCTCGTGAAGTGTTGGTTTCGGATCAGCGTGATAAGACTGGTTCTCGCTTACTTTGAAAAATGGTTCTATAGCTTTTGGCTAAAATTAAATAAATTATTTATATTTGAGCTCAAAAATTAGTTTACATAGCCTTGTAAAACAAAAAAAATTGAATTTTAATATTTTAAAATTTAAATTTAAAAAAAATTAAAACTTAAGAACATAGATACCACTTACCACAAAAACTTGGCATTTTTCGTGAAAAAGAACATTTTCAGTCAGATCAAAAGGTATGAAGTCCTTCAAATCCAATGTCCTCATGTCCAAACTCTTCTTCATAGCATGGGCAGCCAAAGACTGAAGTTCTTCTTGAGAATGAACAAAGTGTACAGCTACACCTTTACCTCCAAAACGGCCAGCTCGTCCTATTCTGTGCATGTGAGTATCTGGATCTGAAGAAACGGAAGCATTGATTACCAAATCTACTTTCGGAGCATCTATTCCTCGAGCAGTCTGAAAAGTACAGTAAGGTTAATATTAATTTGACAGGGTAAATACAATTTTTAGATTAGTTTATAAATAAACATAAGATAAACCATAAAAATTCAAATTTTTAAAAAAATGTTGAGAAAACGTACCAAATCGGTTGAGATCAAAACTTTAATTTGACCTTTCTTCAGTTTACTCAAAATTTCAAATCTTGCGTCCTGAGGAAGGTTTCCGTTAATAACTGTCGTTTCAACTCCCTTTTTTGCCAAAAATGCATGAACACGATCGCATCTGAAAATAAGTTCATACCAATATCAATTATTAAATTAAACTTTAAAAAAAAGTTTTAAAAATATACAAGTCAAAAAATTAGGTATAATTTCCCTTTATATAGCCCTATAATTTGCCATAGAAAGCTTTAACAAAAAACCTAAGATCTCTAACCTTAAAACTTACAAAACCTGAGTGTTACAAAACACAATACATTGTTCGAACACCAGCTTGCTCAAAAGAAGTTCCAAAGCATCTCCTTTTCTGAATCCGTTGCATACCACAACATACTCTTTAATAGCCACTAAAGCTTCTTCATCTGCTTTCAATTTGAGCAGCGATGGGTTGTTCATGTAGTTCTTCAAAACTCCTTCCAATCCTTTTGGGTACGTAGCAGAAAAGACACAAAACTGCTTGCTTTTCACTGACAGACCAGAAAAGATGAAACTGAAATTAGAAAGCTTAAGTTAGCATATGTTTTATGAACAAACTTAACAATATGCAACAATAAAACCTAGTTATATCATTAAAAATAAAGCCTTACTTGATTTCTTTGATGAAATCCGCTTCCATTAGTTTGTCTGCTTCGTCAAGTACCATTAACTCAACATGGTCTGTCTTGAGCACATTCTTCTTTATCAAATCAGCCAACCGTCCACAAGTACCCACAGCCACTTGAACACCTTTCCTCAATGCTCTGATATCATCCCCAGCATCAGTTCCACCAACAAACAAACTAAAATAATATAATTTTAAAAAATTTTTAACCAAACTAAGTATATTTTATCATTGCTAAAAACAACAAGCATCATTCAATAAAAGCCAGTATGTTTCATAATTAACTTAAACTAAAAGCATAACAAACGATCAAAACTCAACATACTGGCAATAAAATCCCTTTGGAGTAAAGTGATAAACCGTGTCATAGATTTGTTTAGCAATTTCTCGAGTTGGTGCCACAATAATGACTTGTGGAGAATCCTGATGATGAGAGCTGAACAACAATTGAGAAGCCAAGACAGAGAAGATCAAAGTCTTGCCAGTTCCTGCCTTAGCCTGAACTATCATATCAGATCCCATCAACAACAAGGGCAAAGACTTGGCTTGAACCGGAGTAGGTTTAAAATACTGTCTTCGCTTCAAAATCTCCTGAATCTGCGGATCAATCAACAAATTGTCGAAAGACTCAGTACATTGTACATCTTCGCTTCGTTCCTCGTAGATTTTCAGAAACTGTAGCTAAAAATTGAGGTTTAAATTATGTGTCGCAACTTACTTCACCAGATTCTTTTCCCATTTTACATTAGTCCTTTCGAAAATTGAGCTTTCAAAGTCAAACTAAAAAAGAGTGATTAAACTTTAAGAAAGCAAACGAAATCTACAACAATATGTAGCCAAAACTCGAAAATTCTACCAAAGTTTTAGTAACTTCTACCACAATAAACTCTTTTGGGACGATAAATGGTTTTATTTGCGAAATTCTTGGCAAAAAAACAGAAAAACGAAATGTCCCAAAAGTTGCGTAATGTCACTATTGACTGAGAAATAATTTATATCAAAAAATGTTTCAAAGTCAACGTAACAGACGCTTTCTTTTATAACTGAACGTTCAATGTTATATTTACTCATTAACGTAATTTATTTTATAAATTTCTGATCGTTTTACATTTATATTTTAGGTTAATGCTTCGCAGATTGATCAGTACAGGCAGGGCGGTTCGAATACCTCAACGAAATGCTCAAACACAGCTTAAAGGAAGCGTGGACAAGGCTGTAGCATACTACAATGATGTGATTGGCATTACTGAAGTTACACAAGCTAAAAAGGATGTCATTGTTGTAAGTTATTCGGTTTATGTTTTTTATTTTAGGTACAAAGTATAAAATAGTACTTTTGAGTGGTCTTCAAGTTACGTAGAGTACTTTGACATTTTATTATTGTGTTAGCGGTTATAAAACATTCTACAGTAATTATTTACATTTTTGTAGTGGGAACAGCGTTTGAGTGATGCTCAACTTTCCAGAAGACAGAAACAGTTTGATTTGAGGAAGATTCAGACGAGGTTAAAGGAAATACACAATGAACTAGATCGAACACCTCGTGGACAAGATAGATACTTGCACTTGATTACAGAAGAGCACGAGAATATAAAGAAAGAACAATCGTTGATGGAGGAGTTTGAAATGTTGGAGAATAATGAGCGAGAAGCTTTTCATCAGCTTTCAAATAAGGTAACAATTTTATGTTTTGATGTTTACTTTTCTCTTTGAAAGTAGATTTTGTATTGATACTATATAAATACATTTTCTAGAGGTTTTAAGTTAATATACTTCTTATTTCTTAATTTCTACATAAAATAGATGTTTTAGGTGCGAGTAAGTCAAGAAAAAGAACGAGAACGCGAAGAACGAACAAAGTATTGGTCTTTAACAGCTTCGCTAATTGGTGCTTTGCTTGGAATTGTTGGTACATCAATAGGTAACGAGCTAAGAATGAGAAAGTTCAGAGAAATGTTACCAACCTCTTCTGAAGTTCGGCCGCTTCTGGAGGAAATTGCTTCTATAACCCATAAGGAACAGACTCAGGTAAATAACTGTATTCTAGAGGTTGAGGAGGTTCTAATGAATATAATTTTTATATTTTTGAGGAAATTTTTGAAGTTGTTTATTTTAATGTTATTATTTGCTATTTTGAAGATATTGTTTTAGATAGGTAACTTTATAAACGAGCTAAAACGAGTATTCGAACTACAGTCTCCAAAGCTGACTGAAGTAAAGATAGAGAAGCCAGATGGAAATTTGGAAGAATTTGTGAAGATAATAAAGGATCAGGTTAGAAGTTTGCGAATTATCCTTTATACGTGTAATTTTGTTATCTAAAAACTTTAAATTTATTATAAAATTATCGAATTATTTATCAATTCCAATCTAAACCAATATAAATCAATTTTTTTTTCCAGAACTCCCAGCTGAACTCTCAATTAGTCGAACTGAAACGTCTTCTCTCCTTGAACAAGGCTTTGGACGCTGATCCGAATGCTGTAGTATATGTTGGAGATGAGATGGAACTGTTGCTCAAGAAGACAGAAGAGAACATAGAATCCAAGATGAAGTTACAGACTCTGCTGATAGTGGTACTAGCTTACGGTATTGTGGGAGTAGCTGCACCCCTACTGTATTTGTGGTACACTAGAGACTTGTAACTTATGATTCTCCCAGTATTAGGATTGTGTAGAGCTTGTAAAGTGCTTGTCGTAATAAAATAACATACCGGTATGTTCATTTTCTTTATTTGGGGGTTTTATTCTTATTGCTTATGTTATTTATCTTTGGTTAAGGTAGGTTACTGTTATGATTTTTTTCTATTTTCGTCTGTTTTAATGGTCTGGTTTTTGAAATAGTGCAATTTTAAACTGAAAAAACGGTTCCTCAAACGTTTAACAATACAATAACGAGCTATGTTATCAAAGATCTGGTGTAATATCGATCGGAGACGACTGTCAACCTGATCTCGTCTCAATTACAAGTAGTGATAGGTCACAGAGTTTATTTCAAAACTGTTAATTTACAAAGTAAAATCAAATTAAATACAAAACAGACGTTCGTTCGTGTCAAAAATAATTAAGAGTTTATTATTAACTAGCTGTAAATATGTCTTACAGTATTATATAGCACTATGATACCATAACACACCTTGCATTACTACGGTAATGATGTAAAATTAGTTACGAAATAGGTTACGATATATAAAAGTGGTGTAGTATTGTCTACAATACATTATTTTAAATTTACTGTAGAGTTAAGATGACAAACATGATTTTATATATCAATCTACCTTACTGTAACCTCAACCTACTATAATAAGTTTTTCTGTAAATTGAAAGTAATGTAAGATGTACGATACCATATAATACGAAATAACTTATACATTCACCATTCCTGCACTTGTACTTATTAGTTATGTAGTTCGGTGCTATTGTGGTATACCAATTTGGCGTTGATGGTACAGTTAAGAAACGGTCGCTCATCTTTTAAGGAACGGTCGATAAAAGAATAAAACTCAAAATTGTAACATTTTAGTGCTATAATATGTCTAATCCATGACAAGAACCTCGTCCATCGTCTTCTTCAACAACTTGTCCACAAAGTTCGAAACCGAAGCTTCGTCTACAGTGCCATTCTCATCGTTGTGGGCTTCCAGGGATTCTGTAGATCGTGATTTCTGGGTGCCGTTAACTGGTGGGAGGCTCGATTCACGGTGGAAAAATGAATTCTCGGGGAAATTGCTGGTTGGGATGGCTCGAATCGCTCCAAATGATACTCGTCTGCCTCGGTTTTTGGTCTACAACAACATAAATTGATGCTTTTGAAGTTTTAAAGAAGGTTTTATACGAAACTTTTCATTTTTAAAGATCTTTTTCTTTGAATTTCATGTTAACCTTGCTTTTTTGAAGCTGTTTTTTCATAAAAATGCAAATAATTTCAATTTTAAAGCCTCTACCTATATAAACTTACAATATTCATTCCCAGTAATCCAGGCTGAGTGCCATTTCTGTCGCTATTCAGTCCATTGTTACTCGTATGAGCTGGGAATTCGTCGTCTTCGTTGTTCTCCAAGACAATGTTGGTATTGCTGATAACAGGAGTCGATATCAGTGGAGAGCTGGATGCTCGACTCGTACTGACCGGTAGGTCAGCTTGACTGAAGATATCGACCAGAGTGTGGGGATGGAAACCAGGGAAGGCTTGTTTTAGGTCGACTCCGACCAGTCGTTTCCCGATTCCAAACTTGATATTGCCGGTTCTTTCCAACGCTCCTAGAAGTTGGGTTGAATCGAGGAGACGAGCTGTGATGGGACCATTCACATCGACATAGTTAATGTCTTTGAAGAACTGGGCACCGAAGAAGGCAATGTTCATCTGGAAATGAATAAACTTAGTTTTTGGGTGCTGTATTGTTATAAAATGATAAATTGCTCTAAATCAAGCTCTAAAATACAAAAATAAATCTGCTTTAGGTAGTTATATCTGATATTAAAGCTTACTTGATAAGGCAACTTTCCATCAGTTTTGTAGGTCAAGCAGTCAGTGACAACAGCTTTGAGAGTTCGTGACAACAAAGGCCAGACCTTCTTTAAAGGCAGTTCAGCTTGTGTTTCATCCTCCATTTCAGCAGCATATTCATCTACATCGATACGACCTGACAGTTCTACCACTCTGTCACTGGCACGGTACAGACTCACTTTGGTCTAAAACATACTGATTGTGAAAGCCGTATTTTACATTACACACTGGACAATCTTTACAATATTATGTAATCAAGCAAATATATTTACTGTACTTTGAAGAACAAACGTATAATGTATATCAAGTCTTTAAAGTATAACATATATAAAGTCAAGGTATGACCTATATTAGTATGGTGAACCCTCCTTACCAGCTCATGTTTGAAGAAAATACCACCAGTCCATTCGTAGTCGTACTCCCAGTCGTAGGCTTGTTTTGCCGAGTTACTCATGTCTCTGAACAAGGGCTCGGTCATCGTACCGGAAGGGAAGGTGAACTTGAACATGACCTGTAGCTCGGTTTCTCTGGGGAAGTGACTCCAGTGGAGGGCCTAAAGTTGAGGTTAATATAAAGATTTAGAAATTATTCGTATTTTACAAAAAAAAATTTTACAAAATGATTTTTTTGTAAATCAAGAAAAGTGGTAAGATTATTAATATGATAACTTACAGGAGGTTTCGAGAAAAGTGAAGGCCTTCTGGCAAAAGTGTCCTTGATGTCCAATCCGTTTTTCAGTTTGAAAGTTTTGGCAATAAGACCCTGAAACCAAAACGATCATTATCTGACGAAAAACGTTATCATTTTATGTACCTTAACATAGACCTACAATAGTATCCTTAACATAAACCTACTAAAACATGCCCAATACCATTAAAAGTCGTAACAAAATACAAGCCTTAAACTCACAGGCAGCTCAGGATCATCAAAGTGCACAATCGAGTACTGTGGCATCTTGGGCGAGGTCCACAAGTCGATTCGCTTCAAGGATTCGGATCGGGCTTCACTTTCGGCCAATTTTCGTACTTTTTCAAATTGAAACGTCCATTCCTGACACCACTGTTGGCGAACGTCTAACATAAGATTCTGGAGAGTGTCACTGTCGGTCGATTCAAAGTCCTTCTTCACGATCATCAGCTGGCTTTGGCCGTCTGGGCGCTAAAACAGGTTGGTTTAGGCTTATAAACTTTGAAAATTAAAAAAAATTAAAATTGAAAAGCTCTTACATGAGCCATGAGAAGTCTGGCCATATCACTAATCGTCTCCAACATGAGCTTGTCCCAGTTTTTGGCCACCAGAATCATGATTCTGTCATCTGGAGCACATTGATCTCTTCGTTTGGCTAACACAGAGGTAGCCTCGTCTTTATTCTGTTCTTCTGGCTCTCCATCTAGGACTGGACTGTTCAGAATCAATAGTTTCAGACGCTCCAACAAGTTCTCGTTCTCACTGATTATATACATTTTGGGGGCTGCAAATGACATTGTATTATAGTAGACAGAGTTGTTATTATTTTTTTTGTAAAAGACAATTGGGGAAGAAGTTCGGAAAATAATGGCATAAATGTTGTTGAATAATCAAAAACGGCACGAATTGACAAAACCTTTAACCACTTTTTCTTTTTCTACCCCCAGGCATAAAAAACTACCCCTGCCCCTTCTGCCTTTAAAAATCCACATCCGTTCCTCCCTGCCCTTATAAATCAATCCAAGTCCTAGTTTCCCTTGAAAATCCACCACCAGCCCCTTCTTACTCTTTAAAACCAGCTCCATCCCACCCAAACCCCAACAATTCTTGTGACACATATTGAGTACGTAATATATAATGACAAAGTAAAAGTGTTATTAAATTATTAATCAATTAAAATAAACTAATTAAGAAATAAATCTAAGAACAGAGTCATGCCAACGTTACCAATGCGCGTCGTACTACTCCGGAAAGTTATTGTAACGTCGTAATTAGCCGAATTTGACACGCATTTGCATATGTCACGCGAGATGTAAAACTAAACTCGTCATTAACAACATGCGCGTCTCAAATTTTTATTTTCAACCAATAACAAACAAGTCTTTTTTCTTAAATTTAATATTTTTTACTAAAATTTGAATAAAAAGCTTTTTTTAAATCTAATATTCTTATGTAGTATTGAAAATTTCAGAATACAAAAGATTAGCATCTTGGTAAATGTAGAGGCAACCACTTGTTGCTTATAGAGAATATAGTAAATCCCGAAACCTTAGAAGCAAAACGTTTCGTTACTTCTAATATCAGTCTTTCTGGAAAAGAATGAGGGTTCTGCACGGTGCAATCCCTATGAAAATCGCAGCCCATTGCACCGTGCAAGTTCACCCGTGACCGCTTGCGACTCAGCGGTGATGGAAATACTGCACTTCTAAAAGATAACTATAAGTACGTTTATTTTAAGCATTTTGTTGCGCATTTATATAAACTTGGCTAGCCCAATTAATTAAATTTAAATTGAGTCATCGAAACGTGGCCTCCGGCCATTTGCAAACCTAATTAAAATACTCTCTAATAGGCACTCAGCTTTTAAAAGAGTAAAATGTAGTATAAAAACGTTGCCAATTTTTAAAACAGTCTTTAGAATAACGGTCTTCAAAACTTAAATATTAGCCTTCACTGGCCGCTTAGGGTTTCAAAAATTAAAAATTTTATTCAGTAAAATCCTAAAAATACTCATAGTAATAAGAAAAGTGAAAAACTATGTTTAAATACTTGAAAACAGTAATATTGTTTACTCGATATTGGCATTAAAACGACGTTAAACTGTGTTATTACCTACGTAATCAAGGTGTCATGCAAGGAAAATGCCTAAACTTAAATGAAAATACTTAAAATTACTCTAAAACCCGCCCCCAGCTAGCTAAAATAAGCCTGTAATAGTTAGACATTTTACAAATTAACCAAAAATTTTCAAAAAATAAACCCAAAGTTAGCCATACCCAACGTAAAGCTCCCAAAGTTGCCACCAGTGTTTTGCCGGACCCGTCCGATCCGGAAGTCCGGAAAAAAAATTTTTTTTTATTTTAATAAAACTGTTTTAAAAATTGCAAATAAAACATATTTTTAAGAGTTTTTAAACGTAAAGAAAGCAGTTTTAGCGCTCCTGGCTCTTTCTAAAAATAAAAAAAAAATTTCCGGACCGGACCTGACCTTTTTGGTCCGGACCGGACCGGACCTGAGCGAAAAAAATAGAGCCGGACCGGACCGAAAAAATTCTCATCCGGACCGGTCCGGCAAAACACTGGTTGCCACAGTTATACAGTTAATGTCACTCAACTTAACGTAGACATCTAAATTTAAAACGTTTTGACCGATTAATTATAAAGTGGTAAACACAATCACATACGATCGCAAATTGATTTTGAACAAAACAAACCAATAAAACGCCTCAATCATAGTCTGGACTGCTTTGTCCGGTAAATAAAGTTGGAAGCGAGCTTAGAAGAAATACGAAAAAGTGATGAATAACGTGTCCTTAGGCGATTTGGAGTAAAAATAAGTGAAAAAGTTGTCAATTTGTTACAATTTTAGAAGGATTAAATCTTTGGCAACATTATTTTGCTTTTAAAAACGGTCGAAAAGTCGCGGTCGATAAAAGAAACGCCCTTTAAAAACAACAAAAATTCAAATTTATTAGAATTTGCAATGATACTATACTATTATACAAAGCGAACAAAGGCATTAACAATATAAAATAAAATTTAAACTGCCTTAAACATGTTATAATAAGAATTCGAACCCTAAAACTCAACAAATTTCGTCACAAACCGTCTATAACCATTAACCACCAAAGGTATATAAGAAGAAAGAGTTAGTAGAACAACCTATTACAACATTACTTGTTTTTGTCGCTGTAAATAAAGCAAAGAAGAGGAAGACAGTAAACATCAACGGATATTACCCATGAACAGATTCATCATTGTGATCGCTCCGGGCTATTTATAGGCGGTGTAAATTTAGAAAGTTTACTGCAAGATACCAAGTAAACCAAAGATTAGTATTTAGTTTTAGAAAGGTAAATTCAATTTACAGTTTTGTTTGGAAATTCAGATGTTTTTACACTTTCTTGGGAGTTTAAAGTACAAAAAACAAAAGTTATGGGGTAAAGGCTATGATAATATAAAACTGTTGTAGTATAATGGCTACTTTCATAGTAGACTATATATAACTGCTATAGTAGAATAATACTTGTCATGGTACTATATATAACTGTTGTAGTATGATTCCTACTGTCATAGCCACCATACTACAATAAAAACCGTTTTTCCTCGACCCCCCCCCCTCTACTCTAACAACCAAAAACCGCGTAAACACGCCAATAGCTAACCCTGTACACGTACTATGTCGTGGCCGTACCCGCTGGCCACACTTGAGTGTCGTGCCAAAAAAGTTTTAAATTACATTTCATGAACTTTAAAGGCCGAATCAAACGAGTAGAAGCTGTCAAAAACAAACATTTATAAATAGACCTTATTAATCGTGGCACGGCTATTAATATGTTTGTCTATCGTGATATCAGAACTTGTCATACATGGCATTACATATCATCAAGTTTCATGTTTGTGCAAGGTTTGGAAACGTATGTGACGAAGCATTTATATCTACATACAAAACACTATTTTAACCATATAAAACGTATTCTTAACAAAAAAGCAAATTTTAAAAATGGCACAAAAGTCTTGCCGCAATTTTGCACTGTTTAACAATTAAAAAACGCCAAGACTTCTGCACCTTCTAGGTGTACATCTTTGTCGTAAAGCCATATTCGTCTATAAAAAAGGTAACAAACAAGATAAACAGACGATTAAGACGGATTAATAACTGATACTAAAACGAGTTGAAGACCTACTGAAAACATTTAAAAAAGAAAGTGTAGTTAAGGCTGTATTGGTCAAAAAGTTCGTAGAATCGCTCAGTATTCTTAATTTTAATTTTTTAATAATTTTAGGGTAAAGTAGTAGAATTTCACGTATTTTACAATATTTTTTCAACTTCCAGACAAACTATAACGTTTTTTAAACCCCCCCCATTATGTACAACAATGTATGTGTTCCAATAAAAATTGAAAAAAGAAAATAAAGGCAGATCGACACCTTCAGAATCAGACAGAAATTATGCAAATCTCTTGACAAATATCTGAAAGTAGTGTTTGAAAGTAAGTTGTAAGCTCTTTCCGTCTCGAAACTTGCATAATAAACACGATTTGTTTGATAACAGTTTACTTTAACCTGGTCGTGTTCATAGTACAAAAAAATTGTAAATTACCCCTCCTTCTTCTACCACATCCCACTCTGTTTGACCCTCCCACTTGTCTCCTATTCCTCTTCCACTTGCCCCTCCCGTTCCTCACCCACCGCTCTTACCCTTGTTGATACCTTTTTTCAATAGAGTTTCAAACTGCACTTCAAACCAAAAAAAAACCATTTTTCATTTCAAAAAATCATCCATTTTTGAAAATTTTATTTCGAAACCACAATTTCCCCATTTTTCAAAACAAAACCTAAAACTCAACGCAATCGACCGGTCGTTCGGACGGCGCAGTCGGTAAGAACTCGGTTCTTGTATTTCCGGGATGCAAGTTCAGAGTTGGAGCCGGCTGTCAAGTCCGATCGACCACCAAGATGTCACTTCAGCAGTTGGTGCTTCGGTGGACCAGTACTGTTGAGACTCTTGGTTACATTGATCGTGATAACGTTACTAACCCACGTTTAACTTGGCCAGATTTATCTACGCTCGGTTTTATTTGGTGTATATGTTGTTACGTGAGATGGAGAATATAAAGAATCAGTCTAAAGATATCAGAATATAAAGAATGTCAGTCTACAGATTATCAGTATAAAGCGAGTAATAATGGTACCGAAAAACCTTCCCAGGTTCTGGTGGTCTCGTACCATTAGTTTTGCTTTTCAAATAATTTAATTTATACTACCTTTTAGTATGTAATAGTGCATAAATATGGTACTCAAATATAGTACACATACTAGAAAATCCAACAATCATAAAATTTTAGGGTTGCGCTCGCTTTACCCCAGTATTACCCCTCAAAATCTAAAACAACTAAAGATAAACCAACTAAAGTACAAGTCTTGTTGCAGTCCTATAAAAACATGCATTACAGCATGAGTAATTAGCTCTTACTCTGTAACCGACGTCGAAATGAACACCAAAAAGATGGTTAACATTTTTCATGGTATAGTACGTGCGAGTACGAGTAATGAGTAATTCAATTAGTAGCATAAATTATTCAACAAAACAGCAAATACTAGAGTGCTGCTTCTACTCTGTATACATAGTTTATCTCTGCATATTATACTGTATGTCTTTGAGATTATTTAGGAAAATTTGCAATCATAATATTATAGTAATACATAGTGTTCTAGATATTAAACTTAGAAAAAGTAAATAAACACTACCTAAACTTAAATATAAAAGTAATCTTACTAGACCTACAGTAATAAATTCCTGTTCGGACGCTTTTCCAAGACATATATTATCCTTCCTGTTAAAAACTTGAAAAAGACAAAAGAACCCTCCTTTTAAGTTAAAGTAACGTCCATTCCAAACAACATATACCCAAAATAAAGAATTGTTTCTTGCTCGTATTACTCGTGTCCTTTAATCCATCATAGAAAGGATACGTTGATCGTTATAAATAAATCATCGCTCAACGTCACCGAACGTGTATGCATAATATAGGCACACTAGCTTGCATATACAATTTTTGAGACTAAATTTAAAAATTGGCCGTTTGTAAAAAAATATTACGGTTAAAGTTGTTACTCTTAAGCCATCATTTAAGAGGTAACCTACCCTGCCTTGCCTAGTTTTGTCCTGCCCAGTTCTGTCGTGCTCTGCAATGATGTGCCATGACCTGTTTTGTACTACCCTATCCTACACTACACTACCTTTGCCTAACCATACCCTTTTCTACCCTACCCCACCTTGCTCTGCCCTCCCTACCCTAATTATAATACTATCATATTCCCACCGTATCAAGCTACAATATGTATTACCAACAAAGTTTAGGTACACATCTCTGGCATACTATATTGTTGTCCCATCTCTAACACGCCTTATAGAGGCTCTGCAATTACTGGACTTACCCAAAATATCGAATGTACACAACCCAACTTCCTCCTCATGTCCATATTATTCAGAAGGCACACTATTGTTGTTTACGCGACTCCTGAGAAGGCTTATTAATATCGCATAATTGCACTAGACCAACTTGTTTTTCATTATTTTTGTTTCTCGACAATTACAAGAGGTACGGTTGACATGTAGTTGTTATACAAGTTGTAGATCAAAAGTCAAAAGAACTTACTGTAAAGTAAAAATGTGTATTCTATATTTATACTATCTATATGACTAAAAAATAAAGACATTTTAGTATACATCCATTGGAATGAACTAATATATACCTCTATATCTTATGTAAACCATAAAATGTTATCTAAACTTAACCTTTCTAATACAAAAATACATTTTTAAGCAAACAAAGAATTGAAATCCCAATAAACTTTCCAAGAACTTGTACCTAAAATACACTCGAGTGTTACCCCCCCCCCTTAAAGCAATCATCTGAGAATAGAAACACTAGCTAAAACATCTAAAATAGACTGAAAAGCTTTGTTAAACTTATAAAATTGAATTACAACCAGGAAATAGCCACTTCGAGATGTCAACTTAACGACAAGTTAGCGCTCTAAAGCAAGAGACCATTTAGTATGTTAAAACAGAGACCGTTTAGTATGTGGTAAATGTTACCTAAAAAAGACTGAGTTAAGGTTTGAAGGTTTAGAAAGTTCAGCAAAAGTTTTGACCAAAAAAGTTGGAAAAAGTTAGATTAGGTAGTTTTTGGACGTAAATCTGAAATATCTAGCTACTTATCATAACAAAAACAAACAACACATTACCTTGCATAGAAGATCGTTCATGCATTTACTGCTATAAATTATTTTTAAACTAAAACAACACTACTTGTAATGTACTAATATCAAGTATACCACAGAAATAAAAAATTTAAGGATGAGAAACGGGCCGAGTAAACCCGGCCCAGAAAAACCTCTACGATCGGACCAACCGGCCTTAAGCTGAATTTGAAACAAATCAAGTCGGAAATCTTTCTTGAGCAATCCGGACTGGCCTGAAAAAAAATTAAAACAGGCATATATAAAAGATATGACAAAATTGAGTAAAAAAGTTTGTAACATTTCCACCTCTGCGCCTAGTAACATAATATAATCAAATTGATGCACTTTTATGACAAAACATAATTTAGAAAACAATCAACAAAGAGCTGCAAAACGACAGAATCAAACTGAATATGTCATAAATACTTGATGACAATACAGGGTTTAGCTACTGAAATCAGAGCAAAATTTATAAAAACGGAGAATGTTTATAATATGTATATTATGTTGTACAGATAATTCTGTGCCCCTTTCAACGCAAATGTCCGGAGTTAGAAGGCACAAAACTATTTAAACAACTTACAACTTACTAGACAGCATATAAAAAACTCAAAAGTCTACACAAAGCCTTCCATACTTTCTATAGTGATAAAACTCCAAACCACCATTTCAGCCAATTGCCCTATGTTTCCTCCATCATATCAAGAACAGTCGACCCTTTCGGCCGAACACAACTAAACCCAGTTTACGTCAAACCAAAATGTTACAATTGTAATTTTGACGGATTTGTTTCTGAATTTCCGCCTCCGGGGTTTAAACCGAACACAATCAGGCCCTACTCGAATATTCAATGGCACAATTTGAAAAAATGACAAAAAGTTTTTGCTCGCTTTCAGTTGGGATTGAATTCAATTTCATTGGCCAAGGTTTCGGGCCGTTCCTAAAGTGTTTTTGTTAAATGTTCTGCCGCGACAAAGTGTTTATTTTAAGGCTTTAAACACTTTACAGAGTTGTGAGGAGTGACTTTTTGCACTTGCAATTAAAAGTTTTGGCAACCAGGAAAAACTTTTAAACTTGGAGTTATGTTGTTAGAAAGCCTTAAGTTAACTATAATTTTTAAAAAATTAAAACAACAATTTCATATGAAAATACCCTTACCCTATCCTATCTTACCTTACTCTACCCTACTCTATTCTATTTTACTCTACTATACCCTACCCTACCACACCTTACCCTTTCCCAACATATATTACTCTACCAGACAACGTAAAATTTAAAAACAAAAAAAATTGCCCCCAAATACGGTACAATTAGACCTACAACAATATAGCTAACTGAATTCCCAAACAAATCAAAGCCATTAAATGTGGACTTTAAGATGTTACACATTCCCACACCCCCAAATCCCCCGTGGAACTTCTTTTTCGTTTAATTTTCCTTTCTTTCGAACGTCCAAATTAATTTCTTCTTTTTATGGCCTCAGGCCATCACGCCAAACGAACTAAAAAATACTCTTAAGGACTTGAACAGATTCGAACAACAGTTCGTTTGTCGCCAAATTTTAGGCAGTCAACATTTTTTGTTTGAAAATTGACTAAAATTAAAATGTTTTCTAAAATTTGATAATTAGCTCACAAAAATAGAAGTTAAGGTAGACAACAAACCTAAACATTGGTGTCTTAAACTGAAAATTCAATTCTGTTTTATTTATTTTTGGAATTTTGAGCAAAATGTAGGTTTAAAAGTTAAATTAAACCTAAAACAAAACAGGTAATGAAGTTAAAATTTTAAAAATAAGGGAGAGATAGTAGTGTTAAACTACAAAAGTAGGAAAAACCTTTGTTAAAGCACTGTTATTGTATTTAAACTGACAGCGAGCTAATACTATCTTCAAATATCGAGTTTCCTGTTTATTTATATGGCGGTGAGATACGTGAAATCACCGGATTAACGCCCAAAATAACCATAAGACAAAAGTTAAATAAATAACATTTCCATACCATCGTCTGGACAGTTTAGACTAAACCTAAATGAAGCACAACACATAGGTCTACAATATATATAGGAAGTTGATCAAAAAAGCTAAAAGGTAATGGTAACTGTTTTAAATATTAGCAAAATGGTCTTCAACTTGATTAAAATTACTTGTAAAGCAAATAAAATAATATTAACATCCAGCAAATGCCTTTAAAACAACTAAAATAACTTAAAAAGCAGTTTTCGCACAAAATAACAACGCTTATGGCTGAATGTAACTTTGACAAAGGAAATGAAGCTCACCATGCTACTTTGTACGAAAAGGGTAAGCAGTATTGTTGTGCGAATAAATAAAATTCCGTGACAAAAAACAATTTCCTCGAATAACAAATGGTTCGCTCCTCAAATCCGTTTGCAAATTTACCGCCAAAGGCTTGTGGACAAAAATAAAAAATTTATTGACCTTCGGATGTAAACACACAACCTAGCAGACGAATTTTGTTTTGTGGAGAACATGGAAGAGGTAATAGATGTGTTAGTTTTAGCTAATAGACGTTATCGTTTTATAGAGGTATAAACATACTACAATATAAGATAGAGTCTATAAGGCACCTTATTACATAGGAAATAATGCAAGAGCTCCAGGGCCCTGAGTAAAGCCTCAGTTCAGTCTGCCAAAGCTACAAATTTTAGTAACAAATACAATATCAAAAAAGGCAATATCATAGACAATATCACATGTTTCGTTGTTTTGGTGAAATTTTAAAAGCAAAATTAAAAACTCGCGAAACCAAAGTCATAAACGAAATTTCAGGCCAAAAACGGCCAATTTGAACAATTTACGACGTTTATTTGAAAATACGACAAACATAGCGCGTAAACCAGAAACGTTAGAATAATTTGGCTAATATTGCAATTATTCAGCCTAAAAATCTAGTCTGATTCACAAAAAATTAAGGTAAAAATATATAACTCACATTTTAAAATAATTTTATTGTAATTTCCTTTCCAAAAACTGACCGGTCGATTGTAGAAAGCATTTACTGACTATGTTTTATCTAAAAGCCTTGAAGGCGACCAGATCCAAACGTAATATTGTTTTCCGCGTATAATATGGCTCTAATTTTTGGGCGCAGCTGTATAATTTTGTTTCTGGATTTTATCAGTAAAATTTTTGTAAATTCTTTGTATTTTACTTCCGAATCAACGTGATTTGTTATTTAAAATCAACCTTATATCACGATTGTTCAGTTTTTACTTTGGAAGCTCATAAAACTGCTAACAATATTGTTTTAGCTTTGGTGAGATCGTGCCGCGCTTCTTCTGTTATTGCAAGTTCTAAAAATGGCACACCGGCTTCGGAAGAGGAGATCTTCAAACACTTTCAAATCAAGGACACTCACGAAGCCTCGACCAAGAAGTTGGCCAACCTTCTGAATTCTCGAGGTATCAAGTTGGCAGATCCGAGGATTCAGAAGTCGCGAGAGCTGTTACGACATTTTATGCGACTTCGGAATGGCAATAAGGACACAAGGCATTACAAGCTCTCTAAGCAACACTTTTTGGAGTAAGGTAACTTTGATTTTTGAGGATTTATATTATTTTTACAAAAAGCTGATTAAATCTTTCTTTTTAGGTAATAAAACTATCTTTTTGGCAATTTTGTTAAGAAATTTTAACGATTAGTGGCAAAAATTGTAAAATACGCAAACTGTAGATCTGTAAACACGTTTTTATAGATGTGTTCGCCCATCGATTGGATTAATCACACAAGCCATTCAGAACAATATGATTATTCCTTCTTGGCAGTCGTTCAAGAGCAAGATGGCTGAAATCTTTGCACAGGTATGGCAGAGTTTACATAATAATTGTAAGATACGTGATATGATACTTTCAGTGTCGTGAAATCAAGGAAGGTAACGTTGCCACTTACATTCCCCAGCTAGCGCGACAAGATCCGGAGTTGTGGGGAATGGCAGTTTGTACTGTAGATGGACAACGATTTGGGCTCGGAGATTCAAAAGAACCGTTTTGTTTTCAGTCGATATCTAAAGTAAGTTGAGTATAGTAAAAAATATTTATTTAGGTATTAGTAATGTAGTTTCAGTATTATTTTAATTGGTTATTACTCTATTGACTCATACGACATGATTTGTTACTTTGTATTTGTTTTTTAAGTGATATTATTGTACTTTCAGCCGTTTACCTACTCGGTAGTGTCGACTGATATTGGATCTGATAAAGTGCACGAATACATTGGTCAAGAGCCGTCTGGTCGATTGTTCAACGAGATTTGTCTTGATGTTTGCTCGAAGCCGCACAATCCCATGGTAAATGCTGGAGCCATAATTTGTACAACTTTGATCAGAACTGGACTGTGTATGGCCGATCGGTATGACTTTGTAAGTTTTTTTCTGAACTTATTGTTACAGATAAGGGCTATAATAATGTAGCCATATAGCATATTTTTGGTCTTAAAAATTTAAATTTGGAGATTTATTTAGGATATCTTTAATTCTTATAGTAAAATACGATAAGCCACTTTTGTAGGTTCATTAATAATGATAGGAAAAGTTGTTTTAGATATACAATGAGTACAAGAAGCTGGCTGGTGGAACTTATATTGGCTTTGACAATGCCACTTTCTTGTCAGAACGCAACACTGCATCGAGAAACTTTGCTTTGGCGTATTTTATGAAAGAAAAGAACTGTTTCCCTCCAGGATCGTCTAATCTGAAGCAGGAGTTGGACTTGTACTTTCAACTGTGCTCGTTGGAAACTGACTGTGAAAGTGCCGCGGTTATGGCTGCTACTTTGGCAAATGGTGGTATGTTATTACTGGGTTTTTTTAAAATTTTATTGTAGCATTTATATGTAACAGATAAAAGGATTACGGCCATAATTACCTTGTAGGTGTCTGCCCATTAACCGACGAACGTTGTGTAAGTCCCCGTGCCTGTCGCGACGTAATGTCTTTGATGTACTCATGTGGAATGTATGATTATAGTGGTCAATTCGCATTCTCCGTTGGATTACCGGCAAAGTCAGGAGTGTCTGGAGGTCTCATCTTGGTTGTACCTAACCTAATGGGTATCTGCTTGTACTCTCCACGACTAGACAGATGTGGGAATACAGTACGAGGCGTGCAGTTCTCTCAGAAGATGATCGAACACTTTAGTCTTCACAACTATGACTCTTTGCTTCATGCTGAGCCGAAGCTGGACCCGAGACAGGACTGGAATGTGGGCAAAGACGTAGCGGCTACAGAAGAGCCGGTTGTCGTTAAGGAAGAGAAAAGTAATAATAAGAAAGGCTTGTTGGCTTTATGACATTCTGAGAAGTTATTATTGATTATATTATGTTATGTCCTACTTCAAGGAATTCGATTTTTGGCTGAAGGTGCGGGTATAGCTTTTTTTGGTGATTTTAGGGGAGGGGAACTCATTTTCGCCCTATTTTATATTCTTTGTATTATTATTGTGAGTAATTTCAGCCAACGACGACGCCTGCATCAAGAAACGTCATGAACGTCGGCCGAAGAAGTAAAACAAAGTATTTGATGGTCTCAACACATTTTTACAATAAACCGACTAAAATCGATGATTTTTTATTTTGCGAGCGATAGTACAGTAAGTGATTAACAAAATCATGAAACAGAAGCACGCCTTTGAATGTAATAACTCTTTTGTCGAAGTTGCTGGCTTAATCTAGGAACTTTTGAAATATGTAAAGCAGAAAACTCTTTTGTAATACCTGTCGATAAGTTATGTATTATTAATTCGAATTGCTGTCGTGCTTTGTTCACTATATCTTCTGTAAGTTCACCTTCTTCAACTTTGATCTCCGCAAGTTTAAGGTAGTTGAACCCGACTGCTTTAGACTCTAGTGGTCGAAACTTCTTTGAAACTAGACGACCTGCAAATTGACATTGATGTTATTTATTCCTTCAATTGCCTTTTTTTACGGTTTTTATAATGAAAACTAATTAATTTTTACCTGAAGACCAACCGAAGTGGTCTATGACACACAAACTGCCTTCTTCTATACGATGTGTGGTTGATTGTGGCAACAGGTCAGCATGAGCATAAGGTATATATCCTCTGCGAAGTTCGTAAGGCCATTTTGCCAATTTTGTCAGCTTTTTTTTCTTCTCGCAGTATCCGACCAGCTGGAAATAAAAAAATATTTTTTTTTAATTTACTGTCCTTTTCTGCTAAAATATATTTGAATTAATCATACTTTATAATAAGACCACTTTTAAACGTCCTCAATGTGGTAATGGTCTTTTACTTACATTCTTGTCGTTATGAAAGTATTTGAGGTCAATCAATCTGTAGTCTCTCAGTCCCTTATCGTCAGAGCCGTAATCATTTTCTATTCCTTTTGTCAATATATCAAAAACATATGTTCTACCACCTGTAAAATGCATCGTATTTTAAAGTTAAACACACAAACATTCTTAAAGATTACTTGCCTTGCACCATAACCTGATCTTCACCATCCAAAATACGTATCGTATCATAATTAGAATTACGTTTTTTGTAAATAACCGTTTGTTCGCCGGTATAGTTATTAATTGTCACTAGTCCAAAATAGTAATTCACATACCCAACGTACTCTCTGTAGCCGTACAAATCAGCGTTTACTATACAACGTACTAACTGTGGTTTTGCAGTTTTGACTTTGTACTCTTTCTGATTATACAAGTCAACCAGAATGCCTTCACGGTAGTACAACGTGAAAGAATAGTAACGTTCTTCCTTTAAAGCACTGTAGACTTTGGTAATTTCTTTTTCGACTAAGTCATACACAACATACGATGTTGTCATGTCTACTAGAAGCTTTGTGGACTTGTTTATAAGCTGCAGATTGGCCATGGTACCTTCAACAGATCTGAAGTCAATGATTTCAAAGACTTTCTTCGCAAAGTCTATATTGGTTATTAACACTCGGTTGTCTTCTAAGATCAGTGCCACCGTTCCAGTGTAAGGACAGCACATCGAATGCTTCTTGATCTTTAATGCTGGGCATGTTTCAATGTTCACGTCAAGTGTACGGTAGTTTGTACTGTAACATAGACACTAATATGTAAAAAATATTTAATTGAGTTCTTGTAGTAAGATACTGTATTTAAGGTGCTTTACGATAAACACTATAACTTGCTATAACTTACTTTGAAAACGCCTCTGACCAAGTTTCGCCAGCTAGACGATACACCGAGTTTTTGAAACACAAAATTTGAAAATCTATGTTTATCAGTCGGTAGAAGAACTTGCTAATCGTTGCCAACCTAGATATCTCTTCCATGTTCTCTATGTATTTGATCACACGTATCCGTAGCTGAGAGTTATATTAGTAAAAAAATCATGTGGCAAAAAAAGTAACATAAAGGTCAATAGAAAAGCTTTAAGAGTAACCGATAGACTGTATAAACAAAATTTATTTACATTTATATATATAAACCTTTATATATAAACTGTTATAAACTCACTTCGACAGGCAAACTCCCAAGTAAAACGCGCATGCTTTGGCTGATGTAAAGCTTGAACTGATTTTGGTTTAGCTTATAAGAAATAGCATGTTTTGCAAAAGGTCGATTACGTAAATATATATCGTCTTTACCATCATTCTAAACATGGCTTGAGTCCTTTTTACTCATATTGTTAACATGAAGGTCACAGACTTACAGCTTTCTTATGGTTTTCATTATGTTGAGCCATGATTAATCAATACTTCTTCAATTTTAAACTATAGTTGGGCTTAAAATCCATTTAAATTGATTAAAGTAATGTCAAAGTTTTGGAAAATATATTTTAGGTATCAATCCACGAAGAATCAAACTTTTGTTCTAGAACTTTATTTTAGCACTGCCTACACAATACCTAATTAACATTTTGCATGTAGTTCGTTTGGCCAACTACCAGTTAAGCCTTAATGTGTTTACAAGTCTTGGTTAATAGTGGCGATGATCTTGTTGAAGATGGCATCAGTAGCATTCAATCCCCAGATCAGATCCATGTGAGCGAAGCCAGGGTATCTGTTGTCTTCTTGGAGCACTCCTGGAGCCAAGTTTGGAAGAATGTCTTCTTCCAAGTTGGCCAAGGTGGTCAGCCAGTCATCGGGAGTACTGTAGAGGTAGAGAGGAACTTCCATTCGGGTCAAGTTGTACAAGGGAGGGTCAACTGATCCGTAAGCAGCAATGTTCTCGGCATCAGTGGGGTAACGGTACCATCTGAAGCCACCCGTTCCGTTGATTTCGGTCTGACAGTACTTCTGGACCAAAGCAGTAGAAGCACCAGCTGGGATGTGAGTGGTAAAGACTGGCATTCTGGTGACATTGGTCTGAGTACTAGGTCCTCCAAACAGATAGTACACATGAGCACAGTATTCACGCTCAATCTCGAGAGTACAGGTGAGGTCAGTCAAGAAGTCGACAGACTGTTGGCTGAGGAGTCCCAGGCTGAACTCTGTGTATGGTACCAAGTCCCAGATGCTCTGACCAAGAGCAAAGTTGTTGGTGTCACAGACGATGTCGAACACACCTTTGAGATCCTTGAATACGACTCCAGGGCCCAAAGCGAAGTACTTGATGACTCTGTCAGCAAAAGAAGGATCCCAAGCGAGCTTGGCGAACATGATGTAGGTACCTTGACTGTGGCCAACGTAGTAGAACTTGGGCAAGCCAGTGACATTCTCAATCACATCAAAGTAGGCTGGCATATCGTACATTTGCATTTCGTCGCTTCTGAAATGTTATTCATAGCTAATAAATAATACCTTTTTTTTAAGCTTAGAGTTTTAGGCTAGCTTTATCTACTATAATATAGTCTTAAACTAAAGATTGTAAAGATTTTAGACTCACGTGAAGTGCCAGAAGCCAGACTCGGTTCTGTCGTAGTTTTTGTTAGATGTGTAGCTGTTACCACGAGTGTTTGGGATCCAGACGTCGAAGCCAGCGTCAGCGAAGACAAATCCAGGACTTTGAGAAGGGAGATTGAGCAAGAAGTTGTCGCTAGAGCATTCCAGACCGTGTTGGAGGATGACGACCGGCTTTCCAGGTGTGTTCTCAGTCTCATTTTTGCCACGGGGGATACGGTGCATTGGCAGAATCCAACCGTCTTCAGTCTCCACGATGTGTTCTTCACCGTAGTAGCCCCAGTACTCAATGAGCTCCATCTGAAGGCATTTTATATCAACTGCATTTAGCAAAGTGCCTATATTATCTTAAGGATAATATATTATCTTAAGGATAATATAGTTTTCTGTCTTATAAAAACTGCTGATTGCAATTTATACAATTTGTGTTACAATTACATCTACCACAACATAGGTAACTCACTGCAGTCAGCTTTTCCTCAGGCAGATGAAGATCGCTCAAGCTGGCCAAAGCCACAGTGGCCAAAAGAAAGCATGACACTACCTTCAAACTCATTTCCAACAACGTCCAGATGCAATAGAACAACAGAGGCTGTAGTGCAACAACCAAGTGTTGATGCCACTCCCATCCTCACCATCCCTTATATACTGATGTGTAGCACAGTAAAAAACTCGACCTTTGTGTTTTTACGCTTTTCGATTGTAATATCGAACATGCAAATCCCCAAATCCGCAACTTTTTCACCTCGTACATACACATAAAAAGTACATTGGGAACATAAGTCTACGAATTTGCATGTTTTAGGTAATAAACGCAACAAACGGTCCACCGTGCGATGGGTGTTGCCTTTTAGATTCAAAGAGAGCAAATTACCATGTATAATCTAGCCAAATACGGTTGTGGTTCGACGTTTCAAAATTTCGGTTTTTTGGCCTGAAAGAAAGTTGGCTCAGAGAAAAAGCTGACCCATAACAGGATTCTGTTTCCTTTGAAGGATTGAATTGATGGAATGCAGCTCTGGAGCCAAACTTTTAAGATAATGATTGTTAGGTTGTGTTTTACTTTTACAAAATTAGTTTTTTTTTTTATCAATTATTACCTCTTACTTTGCTTTATCTTTATGACTTACTCAATTATATCAACTTTAGACTGGTCTTCATCAAAATGTAAGTTGAATTGTTCTTTAGATTTATTCGGTAATTACATACATAATATCTAGTCAAATACTGTAACCAGAGACGAAAAATACATCTAGTTCATCTATTAAAAGCAACATTTTTATGATTCAAGTGAAGTTTAGGTAACATTTTGTGATAATTTTTGTTAAAGATTCGAAAAGACGTTCAAGATATAAACGAGCTTAAAGTTCACAAGGTTAAAAAGATCTGGTTTTACTTAAACTTAATATTTTAGATAACAAAAATTTTAAAAAATTAAAATTTAGTTTAAAAAAGGACATTTAAACACAAAATACTGAACGTTACCTACATTGTACGAGATTGTGAACAGATGAAAGTCTTAGATACCGTTAGCTAAACCCTTATATAAATTTTAAATTTCTCGAAATTTCGTTTTTCATTTCAAAGATAATGTTTAAAAGTGGAGTTGGAGGTGAAACTGAGGAACCATCAAGAAATGCTTACGACAAACGCTTTAGTAGTGGTGAGAATGAACTGTGGAAATGATACGGATGTAAGGATAATATATTTTGAAACAATATACTGTCAGTACCTAAAACAATATAAAAAAGCTGTGAGAACAAGATGAAAAGCTTTGTAATGAGAATAAAGTGAATCTGAGTCTTTTTGGATTCAGATGACGTTTTGATTGCCTTAAAATGTCATAAAAGCCTCTAATTTGAACATCTGACCGCTAAACCACTAACTCAAGGTAGCCGACTAATACAAGAACAATATATCCTACTATAGTAGCTAATACCAATCAAATAAAGACCAAACAACAATAATAAGGCATCAAAGAATTAAAGTTTTTCAAATTTGAAAGCTAAAAATGTAAAGTTTGTGATATTATACTGAAGGCTCAGCTGTCCGAGCTCTCTTCATTGATGGTCCTTCATAATCATCATCGTCCGCTTTGTTATCTACCGCTTCCTTAGACTGTGCCAGCTCGAGTTTATACTGTTCCAGCTTCATTTTGGCCAATTCGGCTTCGAATTCTGACTTTTCCAGCTGTTTTTCTGCCGCTTTTTCATAAAGTTGCTGGGTTCGGAGTTGCGACAACAAGATGTCGCGTTTCATGGATTCGGCCGAAGCTGATGGGCTGGCTGGCACGGGTTGGACTGATTCGTTGTGGACTGAATTGGCTGAAGACGATTCTGTTGGAGCGGCACTGACATTCGAGGTAGCACGCTTTTCAGTGGGCTTAGACTCTTCGATTTGGGGGGTGGAGAGGACGGAGAACTGAAAGCAGTATGTTATTAGGTTGTTTGGAACAGTAGAATAATCGTGTTACTTTCTGACGCCGTATTAGCATAGTTTTTTCAAATTTATATAAATATAGCTTTACCTGTGCCATAGCATCAGCGCCAGCTGTCTGTGAGCTGAGCATGTTCAACAAGTTGGCCACAGCCTGACTCTGAGTATCGAAAGTGTTCTGTGGTGATTCCGTGTAACGTTCAGAAGCCGGCGACGATCCATTTTCATTTTTGAATTCCAAAACTCCGAATCTGGTCTCATTCGAATTCAGAATCTCCATCATGATCACGTCGAACTCGGTCTCAGGCATAGCTCCATGACCTTGTTGGGCTAGGGTTTGACGATGAATGGCTTTGCGACGGATTTGCTGGAAGTCTACATCACGCACGGTCTGCCAAGTCTTGCGTTCGAAACGTGAAACGCCGTTGGCGACCATTTCCTTGCGCAGGGATTCCCATTCTTCTTCCTTACGTTGCTGAGTTACATTACTGCCTCGACCAGGTTGGGCGAAGAGAATGGACTTGCGACGGTGAATGGCACGAGCTAACATCAGATGGACGTCAGCTGGCTTCATTTTGTTGAAAGACAAGGTGGAGGATGAAGAGGAGCCTGAAAACGAATTTAGTTTGAAAAAAATATAAAAAATGACATTTTTAAATTGATATTCATAAAATAATGGCAGGTTAAGATATCAACCTATAATCAGTACTATTCAGTGTAAAAAGTCTTGTCGCTTTTTTAATTGAAAATACACATAAATTTACGACAAAACTTTTTGAAACCTTATACGCTATATTGTTATTGCCATAGTACTACTTATTTCTTAGTTTGAATTCTTGATAGTATGACTTAAAATGTCATTTTGAACTTACTGGTCTCATTCATGTCTCCAAACAAGTTGAGGTTGTAGCTGTTTGAGTAAAGTTGTAGATTGTTTAGCGTTTCGCGGTCCCATCCTGCGGCTGCCAAATTCAAATCTGGATTAGCGACAGCAGTCATTGCAAGTGCTTCCTGAAATAGATCCTAATATATTGTTGTATATTAGCAAAGGTCTGCGCGATAAACATAAACGTCAATATTTTTAAAATTTTAAGAAAAAACGTAGTTAGAAGTTACAGTAGTGAGAAATGGAGGTTAAAGTTCGGAATATAAAGTTACAGTAATGATTTAAAACACTATAGGTCATTATTTTTCTAAAAGGTTAAAAATTAGTGAAAAGTAAGACAATATCGACCAGTCAAACCTGTCAAAACAGTAAATAGTCTTTCCCAACAAAAAAGTACAGTAAAAATCCGCATCAACTACAGTAAACACCCCTCACAACCGCTCCATTCAATCCTCAAACTCAAAGAAATTGTAAAACCCTCGAGGCGAGTTTGCCAAAATGTAAAACAAAACCGCAAAATAAACATTTTTTGAGTAAATTAAATTTTATTGGCCAGAAATTTGGCCATAAAATCATAAAAAATATTCGTTTTTCGTAATGCTTTTTCGCGGCCCAAAGAGCGGCCAAGAAGGGACTTATTCAGCGAGCGTCAATTCAATTTGTCAAATGTCAATTTCAGCATAAAAATGTTTTGGGCCGCTTGAAACGGGGTGAAAGTTTTGTTTATCCATTAACATACGTTATTCGATTATATATTATGTCAAAATAATACACTTCACAGTGTTTGGGGACGTAATTGGCTTTTGGGAGACGTAGTGCCTGAGGAGGTGAAGGGGGGTTGGGACGGTGTTTCAGGGCTTGGGTAGGGAATTGACAGTATTTTAGGGCTTGGGTAAGGAAATTACGGTGTTTCAGAGCATGGGTAGGTAAATCACAGTATTTTAGGGCTTGGGTAGGGGTAATATTATTGTAGGTTCCATAAGTTTATTACAGTAAAACATTGATTACTGTATTTGACAGTTGATCCCGCTTACTACAATATTCGCTATGGTACGAATACTTACTAACTAAGATAGAAATACCAAATATTTACTATGGTAGAAGTACCTACTGCAAGTTCTCGCCATTTGACATATAAAACCTTCTACAACATACGACATCATCCCAATACCTACTACGTACAACATAATATATTACCTCAATCATTTTCAATCAATGATATATTTTTGTAATAGGTACTGGAATTTTAATCTCTGATATATTATGTTGTTGTAGGTACTAGGATCTTAATCAGTAATATATTATGTTGTAATAGGTACTGTAATGAAAAACCCCAAACTCCATACCCAAACCCCTACTGTAAACCCCTTCAACTCTCCGCCAACTGTACTAACAAATAATATTTCACAAAAAGTAATAAAACAGCTCCAGAGAAACCGGCGGAATTGCTTGTTGACCACAGCCCTTTTTGATAATCAAACAAGAAGTGACCAATCTCTCGGGTTTTATCAATTCGTATGATCTGAGACGTTTTATTGGCCATTTTACAAAAGATTACAAAGGCGGAATAGTGATATCGAATTCGCAAACATTTGAGGAGAATAGGGCGCACAATGTTTGGGGTTTTATTGGTGGTCAGAAAGTAAATAGAGGTTTCGATAGGTTTTTGATTCTTTGATTGTAGGAATTTACATTATGACTAGTCATGTAACTAGAAGTAAAAGGTAGAGAAAGGACAAGTAATAGTCAATATATAAAAGTAAGACCAATTACAAGCCTAGCGAACCTGTGCTTACACACAACCTAATCTTATATATAAATAAAGCCAAGATATTAAATATAAAATAAGAGACGATATGCAAATTTATATTCATTCTCGAGATTCTCGGTAAGATTAGATCGCCCGTATGCATTGTTATGCAATCGATCCAACGTTCAAATAAGGTGCGCCACTCAGCTGGGAAACTAATTTATGACCAACCACTGGGCTTCAACTTTCCATTTTAAAATTTTAATTTTTCATAAAATTGTAGGCTAAAATTTAAAATCGTTTAGAAATGGTTGAAAAATTTAAATTTTGATCTTTTAGGGGCATAAAAAGCCTTGGCGTTAATTTGGAAAAATTTTTAAAAACGACAAGACTTTTTTGTCATTCTAAGGAAATTTTTATTTTCACTCTTTATCTATTATTTTAAAAAACCGCTTAGTACGTGACAAAACTTGCAAAATTAATCTTACAAAAGGTTTTTGAAAAATGACCTCAAGTCTTGAAATTTGACGAAATATAGTTTCGTATTACTGTAAATAGACGCGCGTATAAAGTATTATCCAAATATCTTTTTCAAATAAAAAAATTTAAAAGTAAAGTTTTCCAATGTATTTTACAATATTATGCGAAAATAACTTGTTATAATATTGTCATTTAAAAGTCAAAAATGTAAAAAATCGAAAAAACGCAATTTCATATTTGTAGACCTAATATTAAACATTTGAAAATATAAGCACTTTAACTTTACCCACTGTGACACTTTAGTCCACCCCCTAGCCCTCCTGTTTCAAATCGCCTAATAAAATGAAATGCACATTTGGTTTATGAAAACATTTCGTTTTGGTCGAAACAAGTGCAATTTTAGTTATTAAAAATTTTGCGCGGCCACGCCCACAATTTTATATAAAACTTTAAGGCGAAAGCCCTCCTAATTTCGAATTTAAACATATTTACAGTAGGCCTAATGTGCGCAGAAAGTGGGCATATGGACTGAGAAATTTCAGGAATATGTAATGTGACATTTGGGCATTGAATTTGCTGATTTTTGGAAATAATTTGCTTAAAACAGTGGTTGACGTTGCTCTAGGGTTGTATGTCATAGTTGGAGGGAGGATGACATACGTTGTTGACACTACAGTCAAAGGTAGAGTAAAGTTATCACTCCGTGAAAACTTCATTAAATACGAAGTAACAATGGTACTAAAATGACTCCTACATTAGCCTACCCTACCCTACCCAACCCCAAAACTTTCCGACCTTCCGACCACCCCCAACATAGCAACAACACCCGACCGACCCCTGCCAATATTTATATTGCCTTTCGCTGTTTCAACATTTGAATATATGAGTTTTGGCCTTTTTTCTCATTTCCTCCGCTTTTTCAATTTATCCGTTTACTTACCACGGCCGCAGCGGATTAACAAAACTCGCGCAGGTCCACTGCCCTCGCCCTGCCCAACATATAATAAACATTTAAAATGGGCAACTGTCAGTTCGTATATTCATTAGATAAATGAGCCCACGAATTATGACTTTTGATGGGGCCAGAATGGCACAGTTTAGGCTGGCTGAATCCTTAATTTGAAACATTTTACTATACAAAGCTGGCTTTTGAAATTTGAAAATCGAATTTTAAAACTTTAAAACTGAATTTTTAAATTTAAAACCAAAAAACAAAGTTTGAATTTGAAGTTTCGCGCCAAAAGAGAAAAGCCAGATCATATCACCACCTGTTTATTTGCAAAATGATTTTTTCAAAAGTTTTGTCGTCATTTTATATGTGTTCCCACGTAAAAAAACAACAAGAATTTTTTGACATTCTATTACAACCTTAAAACTAGAAAAAGAAAACTTGTAAAGGCTTAAAAGTTAGTGACACGTGACATAAAATTAAGATTTTCACTAAACTTGACCATCTAAATCCCAAAGATTTTTTAAAAAACCAATTCTTGAAGCTAAAATACACTCAATTTTTGGCCCTGAACCCAAGAATTGGCCAATTCGGGGAGAAACAGATGATCGAATTAAATTGCGCCTTCATTATATACATTTATTTTATGTATCAGGCTAATTGAGTAAACGCTCGCGATTATGTCAAAAAAAGTATGAAACATTTAACTCGCGGGGTACTGTAACTTAAATTCTTAATAGACTAAAGGGATAATTTAGGTTTAGTTATGAATTTTGCGTATATTGCTTATATAAGCATTTTAAATTCATCCACTATTATCCCAGTACCCACTACAAGATATCTTCCCTTTTTAAAATCTTTCCCATAAGCTCCTCGGCCCATGTCCTAACATAACATGGTAACCAAATCCACTATAAAGTAAGTTATCGCCTGCGCAACGGCTTAAGACCCCTCGGTTTTGCTTAATGGCGTATTAACCTGAGCCATAAATCTGAATAATGCGTAATAAACAACAAATCCGAGCATAAATTGCCCGAGTATTAAATGACCATTAAAACAATATTCACAATGGCTGGTGTTTATGACATTGGCCATGGTAAAAGGCTGTTTTACATTAGACTTATAGGAAAGTTTTGTTTTAAACTTTTGTGTTAAAAAAGAATGGCATTACTTTGAAAGTGCTCGAATCCAAGCTTTTCCACTTTTTTAAATTTTTATTTTTGAATTTTTAAAATTATAAAATTTAAAAAATTTCAGAAATGTCAAATCAGTTCTGTATCTTTCACCACCCACAACAAAATATGGCATTTCACTACCCATACCCAAAATAATAAAAGTTATATTATAATAGAAGCGAACCCAAAAAATGGATGACATTCATAATTAAAGGTCGTATTTAACTTGTGCATATCTATCTTGACCATCAATTTATACATTAACCTTTGTTATAAAGGTGAAAAGGTCAGCGCGATCGAAAGCAAAATAAGTGATTACTAACCTGTTAAGCAGCGCCATAACGCTGATACTTTTGATCAGATTACGAACTTTGCATATCAGCTTTTTTGGAATTTCTTTGCAAAATGTTTTTCAAACCCGCCCTTTGGATATTTCAAAATTTCAAATATTTTTTAAATTCAAAAATATTTTTAAATTCAAAATAACAAGTTCAAGCCATTGTCCATACCTACAAAATAATTCAAAATTCTTCCCAAATTCATAAAATTTCAAACAAAACCAAGCAAAATCAAAGCGAAATGAGCCCATTTGCATATTTCCAGACTCCCCCCCCCCTCCCCCCCCCCAACTAAAAATTCAAAGGTTTTTCGTCAAATTTGCGCGGCAATTTCAATTCGCAATAAATGTTTTTGTCAGAAATTCGAAAAAACGGGTAAAAAAACAGCGTTTTTGGCGCCCAAATTTCAACCATTTTTTAT